CCACCATTTTCTGAATATGCTATAGCCAATCACTACTTACAGCAACAGTACAAGGTGAGCCTGAGTGGAATCATTCGAAGTATTGTCTTGTTTTATCCGCATTTTCTGAGCCCAGACACAGCAGGTAACTCAGACTTTCCATTTTGGGAATGTAAGCTATCACATATAGCAGGTTTGGTCACACAATTCATAGGCAGTTGGTAAGCATCACAGGAAAACAAACAATGTGAAAGAACCAGTGTTCACAGAGCCATATGCTGGTGCTATATTTGTATGAATCTATGGGAAAGCATACTATGTAAAGCCTCTCTGGCATCATATACATGACTAGGAATTTTCCCAATTGTTTTTGATTTTTTGGGAGACCATAGCACAGCAAATACATTGTCACTAATGAGCTTGTGGCTTGCATTCAAACTCAGCCCAATAGCCTGCCTTTGCAGGGCCTATTGAAGAGTTGAACTGAACAGAATAGCCTAGGATCCTGTCTGGAGCTGCCAGTCCCCGGGAATTCCAGGTGATAATGGTGCTTACAAGATGGACCAAGACTCACTGACAGAGTGGCTTACATCAGGCTACGCAGGGGTCATTCTGCATTATTATATGTTTTCTGCCATATTGGAGCCTCAACAGTCAACTCAATATGAATTCATAGTACTATCTGATGTTTCTCTGATTTTCCTGCTATTTATCCAGTCCTGCAGAGGCCATGCACAGCCAACTTCCCAAATGGGCAGGGGACTGACCATATATGGCCGTTTTGTATGTTTGATATCCCCCACTTCACAGAGCCTCTCATACATGTGGAACTGTCTAGTACAAGCATCATACACACACCAAGATCTGCTTATATGCCTCAGTATCATCACTTATGATGGTCAGTACTCTCAAAATACCTAATCTGGACACTGCTACCAGTACCCAAGGGCATTGCATGGAGAAGCAATATTTTGGGATTTTTCCGCATTTATGGGCTCTAGTAAGAGCTCAGTAGTGTGGCTTGAAGCCATCAAAAAACTCGGCATGAAGAGCTGAGATTGAAAGATTACTTTAAAAGGGAACATTTGTCAGCATTCCAGCCAATGGGAGTGCTCCAAAATCCCTTTTCAGTGACCGGAGTTGTCGACAGGCCGGAATTCCGGCCTGTCGACGACTCCGCTTCGGCAACGGGCGCTTAATTGAGCGCTTAGTAAGCGATGTAAGTGCACACTGTTACTGCAGCACAATTCACTTGTTTGGGCTCAAGAAAATGCAGATTAATCAGATGATATTCCAGGAGATATGTGGAGCATCCCTGAGCATATACACAAGTGGAGAATATTGCCATATATGGTTATTCAGTGCTGAGACATCAAAACATGCATGTTGTCACCATCTTCTCCCATTAATAGCTGTGCTGTGCAGCTTCCAGACACACCCATGCATTGTAAACTATGCACATATCCATACAGGTCATAGGCAATGTGTTTCAGAGACAACAAGCCAGTCATATCTGCACAGTCACTTGTGATTCTCTAAATGTTGTCCTTTGTTATTCATTCCTCCAGTGTATGATAAACCCTTTGAATGATGGGCTATCAAATGGGCTTATTACCTCTATAACCTCTATAAGAGTTGATTGGATTTCAGTCAGTGTATCCCAGTCAAATGCCACACAATCATGCATGTGTTTCTCTGTTTCCTGAATTTCAAACAACTGGGCAAGTCATACTAGTCATATATTGTGTGGGCCTCCATACAGGATTGTTTTCTTACATACAGCAGACATCACAAATGATTCCAATCACAAATAATATTCCCTGATTTTATCTGGATTTTCTGAGCCCAGATTCAATAGGTGAATGAAAGTTACCATTTGGGGAAGGTCAGATACCCTATATGGCAGGTCTCAGATGTCATAGAGTCATGAAAAATCTATGAGCAGTCTATAGGCTTCACAAGAGTCACTTTTGAGGTGAAAATGTATGCACCCATGTGCACAGAGGCATTTGTGTGTTTTTCTATTGTGTGAATTGTGCCATAACCACTGAAGGTAATGGGCAAGTCACAGCAGCTATAGACTCAATGACATCATACCTATCACAGAGATTATTTTGGGAATTTTCCGCATTTTAGTGGGACCACAGTACAGCAGGTACAGTGCCACTAAGGAGCCTGTGGCTGAGATTCAAACTCAGCCCAAAACCTCGGCAGCCTGCCTGATTAGGGCAGAAAAGGGGCTGTTGCACCAATCAGAGCAGCTCGGCATCTCTCTCATGCCGTTCGGAGGTGCAACCGTGCCAAATTTCCGCACAGATGCACCTCCAAACGGCATCTGGGCGCTTAGGGAGGACTTAGTAAGTGATGTAAGTGCGGACTATTACTGTGCTTATATGGGCTTATTTAGACCCAGGAAAAAGCGGAAAAATCAGAGAATATTGGAGATGGACCAGGGAATGTGATTTAATCTGTCTATGAGATATGCTTGACATCAATAAAGGCAGCATTTTCAATAACTGTGTAACATCGCTGATGTTACCTCAGTGAGCTTATTCATACAAGCCTGCTACTTGACTGTAGGAACTACTCATGTAGTTGAGGACACCCCATAGGATGGTAGTGTAAGTACAGATCCATATATGTATTCTGAGTTTGCATCTGTGTGCAAGACAAAGCCAGTGGCTGCATAATTGCCATATGAAGTATATTGCCTTCCCAAAGAGGAATCATACACAAACTGGTGAATCTGGGGCTCAGAAAAATCCAGAAAATCTATGAAATATACAGACACATCAAAGACAAGTGCATGGTTACTTTTAGTCCCAATTTCGGTCATTACATGGTGTCCATGGGCCACAATATGGCAATGGATGGTAAAATGACCCATTGTTGACCTTGTTAGCTCTGTTATAGAAATCACTGAGCAGTACACAGTGCCTAAACCACCCATATATATCACAGTGTGCATACAGAACATATTTCAGCCATAAACAAGTACTTTGAATCTGCAGAGGCACATGTGCATTTTTATATTTTGCATTTCCTGGCCTAGCCAGCCACTGTATGCCCTCAGTAAAATCCCTGTATACTCTCTGCATGAAGGACTATCAGATGAGTATACTATGTATACTATGCCTTGTTACTGGCTGAGACTATATAGGCACTACAGTGTGTGAGCGCTTGCAGCATTGAGCCACCAAGCTGCCAGTCACATGATATGTTCACCAGTTTCCTTATTGGGGGAACTGCTAAGGCGTTTCATGGGCCTCATATCCATAACTGAGCGCTTAGCCACTGCATTTGTTTGTATCTGTTGGTCCAAGTTGCGTCGTCTGGGAGTCTGAAATTTCAGACTCAGATAAGCAACCTATACTAACAGTTACTTATCTCTGCTTATTGGGGTGGCTGCATGTCACGTGCACTGTGGGAACAAACTGCCATTCTGGAGGAATCACTAAGGCGTTTCATGGTGGTCCATCATAAGAACGATACCTTCGTACCTCAGGGATCGTAAAGAAATATTATGCAGATATGGTGCTGTAGGAGAAGTAGTAACAGACAATGGATGAGAGTTCAAAGAAGCCTTCAAAGAACTCATGGACAAATATGGATTACCTCACATCAACATATCCAGTTACAATTCAAAGGCTAATGGAGTAGTAGAGAGAAGTCACTTCATTATAAGAGAAGCATTGATCAAATCCTGTGAAGGAGATTGGACAAAGTAGCCAGATTATGTCCATCATGTTTTCTTTGCAGATTGCATTACAGTCATCGACGGCTCCTTGAGACGCCCAAATCGTGTTTGGCGTCTTGCATCGAAACACCGCGTACTCTTCGAGATCGGACGGTGTATGCACAATCAGGCATGTCCAAGGCATCCTACAAAAAAATTGTATCCTTATCCATAGAGTGAGCGTTGCACACTAAGGAGATCAGTCGCGATTTTTCTTATCAAGACCTTTCCCGGTCCTTGAGACACCTGCCTAAAATGGTAACTATTCCAAGTGCTCATCAGTGCAGATGGCTCTTCCAGACTCTTTCCTCAAGTGAAATACCCTTACAAACCATTGGAATGATCACTGACAGTACAAAGGAAACTTCCTTTGTGTTTAACCCCCACTTTCGCGCTGTTCCGCATAGTAGGGATTATGGGCTGGTATGATTATGTAATGGTATTTGCTAAATTGGGTAATGAAATTCATGAAATGTGGTTTTCCATGTTCTTCGACATACCGTGCAGCGACCAGCGCTCGCACCATCGCAAACACGGTCTCAGTAGGTACATGACAACTGTAAACAAATTGTTGTCATTTTTCTAGGCTAGCAGGCTTCACTGAGCACACGCTGAAGCCCGCTGTCTCAAGGACTGGGGGTGTCTCAAGGAGCCGTCGATGACTGTACAATCACCCCATCTATAGGTATTTTCCATATTACCTGTTGTATGGTGTACATCCCATACTGCCATTTGACCTGTTGGAAGCCACATTCATGCTTGAAAATTACAGGAGAGGACTATCCACTACAGAATTATTGGCATTATGTACCAGGCAGTTACAAAAGAAGCCTGAAGATGTAGCTCATGCTGCATCAGTCCTAAAGAAAACTAGATTGCAATCAAAAGCTGATTTTGAACAGTGGTATAGTAGGAGATTGAGAAGAGTGTCATATAAACCAGGAGAGTTGGTATTGATAAGGAACTCAAAGATAGAAAAGCATCATAGCCACAAGCATCTGCCTCAATAGGGGGGTCAGAGTACGGGATTTTGGCGCGATTCAGGGTTTATCCGAGGTGCGATGTTGGACACGATTTGAGCAGAGTGAAACCGGCCAAAATTGTGCATCGTGCCCAAACTTTCGAAGCGCCTCCGGAGGTGCTTCAACATCCGAAATCACTGAGCATCGCTTGACGATCCTGGTCTGTGCTTCGCTACCGCCTTGGTATACAGCACCTTAGTGACAAAATATCCATATATATATATATATAATACATTCTATGCCTTTTACTGTGTGCGTGCACCATGCTCGCCCTCTTCAGTCTCGTCACTGCCAACTAGTGCCTCGCCACCAGCCTGCCCTTGCCAATAAATGGCCCAAAAGCAGACCACGGCACCGGGAGATTGTACGGTGATACGCCTCTAGGCTATCTAAGCCCCGAAAACGCAATCTAGGCCTCTACGATGCTCCGAAGCTCTTAGAAGATCCACTACAACTGTTCGAAGATTTCGAAGTTCGTAGCCAACCCTGGCTCACCTTAGAAGACTATCCGCGACCTTCCGGCACCTCAGTGACGCTATAGGAGCACCTACCCACCTATCTAGATGACCCCAGAGCACGCAGGTCACTCGAAGATACACTATGTGTTAGAAGACACTCGAACATGTTAGAAGACGTGCTACGGTGTTAGAAGATCTCCTGCGAGACCATAGGATGCTACAGGATGTCCAGTGAGTCCTTGCAGGTCGTCTCACATCCTTGACGAGTGGTCTCGGTTTCCGGCGTCATGTGATAGCCGGTCGGCCTTCGGACCACTGGTTAGCGAGCCCGAGAGCAGTTGTCACGTGTTAGAAGCCATAGCCGGATGTTTGGGGCCGTCGGAGCTCCGTAGTGGTAATAGCCGTGTTTCCCTGTATATACTCTGGGACTGGTTCCCTTCGAATCTCAGAGACCCCCTTACCCTCTCAATCTCACCTCGCACCGGCGAGGTTCGTCAGTCAGCCAGTACGTTCAAAGTCAGCAAAGTTCGCCAGTCAGTCAGTACGTTCGAAGCCAGTCAGTCAGTTCGCCAGTACGTTCGCTAGCTCGTAGTTGCCCCGAGAGGCTCTACACTTCTCCTCCTGCCGTCGCTCGCCTTTCTTGTCACCGTTCGTTCGACCCGTCTGTCGAAACCCTCCCTCCTACCTTCGAGGCTTAGCCCTCGTCTTCGAACAGTCTTCGACATCTTCGAAGCTCTCCCACGTCGTTCGGAGTCTCGTCCGTCCTCCTCCTTCTTACCTAGACCACTGTACAGTCCCCTGTACATCTCATAGACACAGAGGCCTCACATACCACTGCTCGACCTCACGGTTGGGTTTTTGTGTGGCTTTTGTGTTCTTTTCAGTCGTGTCAACAGGAGCGGCACCTGTTGCCCATACAGCAAGGGGCCGCAAGGAAGCACCTGCGAATCCGGTGCCGCCCGCAGAGGCGAACAAGGCGAAGGAAGGGTGGCTCGGACGCAGAGACAATTGAAGTCAAGTGCGTAGATTTCACACTGCCAGAACTATCAGTACACTAAGCCATTCGCGGCAAGATGGGACCAAACACTCACCTGGGCTCTGATCACTGCCATTGGCGAGGATGGTGATATCAGTTGCAGCCTGTTCCCGGGCCCCGGAGCCAACACGTCGACAACAAATGGGGGTGGGAAGAAGAAGACGGAGTTCCACTTCGCGCTCACTGTGATCCTGTTCGAGAACCACGAAGAGTATGGAGACGACTTTGCGCGCATTGAGGCAGAGAAGGGCAAGGTGAAGACAGCACTGCGGAGGACATGGACTGGTAAGATAAAGAATAAGATCAGTGTGTGAGTGTCAATCAACTACGTACCGTGAAACAGCACTGATCAGTGCTGCTGTGGCTGGGTGTTAGGCTGATCAGGGAGACACGCAAGCACATGGCCATGATGTGTGACACCGGCGAGGGTCTCACATCCCAAGAGCTTGAGGAGCTCCAGGTTACAGATCCTGACCTGTACAATAAGTGGTGTAAGTGTCTGCTATCCTCGTGTTCTGTGGATAGTAAGTGTACTCACCTCGGGTTCAATCAGAGGTCATCAAGGCCGAGTTCCCATGGTATAGGGAGCTGCGAGACCTCATTGGCAACCGTCTGAACAGTAATCCAGTGGGCCTAGGGAATAGCAGGAGTGATGTGGACGTCTCTGTGCTCTCAAATGGTCCCCAGGCAACCTCTGACACAGAGTCTGAGGATGCGGATGTCGTCGATCTCACGGTGGATGTGGCCGCTACGACTGATGAGCCAAACACTGCACAACACACCGCGGACGTACACTATTCACCTTTCCATGACAATGACGAGCTCTATGCCACCTCGTCCACACCGCCAATGCTTCGAGACGAAGGCACCGAGTCTGCTGAAGAGGGTGCAGCAGCCCCTGAGCCCGCAAAGCACAAACGGAAGATGCCGTCCACGGAGTTAAGTGATGGAGAGGAGGATGATGCGGATGTGGGCGAGGGCAAAGCCACGACTAAGGTAGCTTCGACTGAGAAGGATCGCCCCAAGCTGGCCAAGACAAGCAAGAAGGCAACAGCCAACCCAGCCACCATGCCGAGCAAGACTCACCCCACGCCGAGCAAGACTCACCCCACGCCGAGCAAGACTCACCCCACGTCGACGAGCAGCAAAGGCACGAGCAGCAAGAAGTCAAAAGCGACTGATGTGAAGGGCACCAAAAAGCTAAAGTATTCGGAGGACTTTACCAAGATCGCAATCACTGAAGAGCATACAAAACAGAAGCAGCTCGACCTGAAGCGCATGGACAAGCAGTACAAGTTGGAGAAGCTGAGGATGAAGGCCGACATGAAGAAGGAGACAATCCGAGCAAAGGCTGAGCTCGAGAAGGTCAAGCTACAGGCTGCCATGGAGTACCGGCTGGCGAAGCTCAAGTACGGTAGGGGCAGCACGGCTCCTGCTCAAGGCCCTTTCACAGGCTTCAGCGAACAAGCCCAGGCTGGTCCGTCAGCATTCACGGACGGGCGAGGTCAGCATGGCCGTGGCGCCCCAGCGTCGCTTGACGAGCAACTTCCATGGCAGTTCAGTAGGTACCAACTCTAAAACGGCTCCATCCATATCAATTCACCATGGTGTACCAGCTCCGGAGCGAGCCAGGAGTGTGACACCTGTGATGTCTGATCCCATGCAGCACCACGACTTCAATTTCCCGCCCGCAGACTTTGGTGGTGCAGATAACTGGCCTCTTATGGATGATCGTGATGGCACCAATGCATAGTATTGAGGCTGTCTTGTTCGAAAATTTATCTTCATCATACAAAGCTATACAGATATGTGGTACACTACTCCTACTCCGAGTCAGACGCAGACGACTCGTGATCTCGGTTATTACGACGATGCCTCTCTTGAGCTCTAAACAACACCGCTTTCAGATCCTCATGCCACTGCCTCGCAGCTTGCAGTCGTCGACCAGCCGGGTAGTGATGTCGTGGTTGCAAGTGTGCATTGTGTTCTGAATCTGAGGTCGTATCTGACAGGCCTTCTCGTACAAAGGGATCAAGGTCACTGTTGTCTGATCCATCAGCTCCTCGCTCCTCCGCCTCGCACTGCATGGCAAAAGCATGGAGGCCGATGCAAGCTTTGATCCAGTAGGTAGCGAGTTTGTGGGACTTCTCGTCCTGGATGTTGATGCAAAGGTGCTTGAGAGACTGAAAGTGGCCCTTGAGGAAGCCAATTGCATGCTCGGAGCGAACTCGGATGATGGATACATGGTTGTTGAACTTCTCATTGTCTGGGAGGTCACGGTCAGGCCACTTGTATGGTGCGACCACCCATACATCAATCTTCAAGTCATGTATATGATTGTAAGCCTTTGGCAGAGCAATTTTGAAGTCTACGATGTACCGGATATGCAGAATCCGCCCACACAAATTCACCCTCATCTAGGTCTAGGATATCAGCATGGTTGATCCAGAGGTCAGTTTCCTCCCATGCCGATGCATCGTGCGTACTTCCGGTGTGACCGTAGCTGAAGTCAACAATGCGCAGGTTCGGTAGGGAGATGATCTGGTGTTTGTTGTGAGATACCGACGACACAAGACAAACATTATTAATTAGACATACCTGGATGTTCATCGAATAGTTGCACTTGCGATCAAAATAGCTCTCGCCATACCAGAATGGGCGTGTGTACAACGGGATCAGCGTGCCATCGACCATCAGCCAGCCGTTGTGCCACACCCGACACGAGCGTGCTTCCACCCAACGCTTAGCCCTCTCCTTCTCATGCTCCATCACTGGTGGAACTGCGGCCTCCATAAACTCCTTTCGCAGGATGGCTGTCAAGACTCGGCGGGTCGCCAGGAGGATGGTGCCCTTGGCATATCCAGACCATGCGGCAACCCTTGTCAAGCGGACACCATTGCCTGAATGGCCAAACCGGAAGAGTGCAATAGCCAGTTGATCAGCAATGGGCATCTGCTTGTTGTTGGATTCATTGGCGAAGACGGGATCATTGCAGATGCGGGCAAGGACACGGTCAAAGGTGAAGGGTGTGATGCAGAGCTCCTTGCGAAAGAGGTCCAGACAAGTCTCCTTGAGAACAGTGAGTACATGAGGCATATATGGGGGCCCACAAGGATACTGAGTGCGACTCTTCTCATAACACTTGCTGTACATCCTCTTGATTGCTTTGCGAACGTGGTGGCCTATGCGACTCGCCCCCAGTGGCTCATCAAAGTTGTCGTCTTCATCCGACTCGAATTCTTCATCACCTGCACCCTCATCATCTGCCTCATCCCCCGAGCTCATTGATGTAGAGCCATCTGTCCCCCAACCATCCCATCCATCACCAAGGGGAAGCTCATCACCCTCCGGGTCGAACTCGTATGGCACAATGGGTGGCATCATGATAGCACCATCTTTGTCTGAGTCATCCGAGCTGGCGAAGTATATGGCCTCAATTTCACTGAGGTCAGCAATGTCATCAGGTGAGTCCTCGACTTCATCAGAGCTTGAAGAGTTTGTTGACTCGGAAGGGGTAGTAGATGAGGAGCTTCCACTGCTAGTGAGAGAAGAGTCGGTGGAAAGAGAGCTGAGAGAAGAGAGCAAAGGAGAATGCTGCTGACGAGGCTGTCGCCAGACTTTGCGGAACTGGGCCTGTGCACGTACGAGTCGTGCGCCTCGCCGGGTGTAGCACTTCTTGTATGCCTTGAGGAGGTTCTCTGCTCGCCGACGGCGGGCAGTGCGACGCGCCATACTGTGACAAGACTCGGATAGAGTGGACTGTAGACGTAGTGGACCCTGCGAGGTCAAATTTGATCATATTGCATCTACTTGCTTTGTCTACACTACATCAACGGAGAATCAACATAACTCCAGAGTGGAAAAATGGGGAGTTCAGAGTAGCCGGTGATTTTCAAGCGATCCTTCAGCAATCTTGCAGCCATGAAACACCTTGACATCGCCCTTACATCACCGTGTGAATCCCCGTCAAGATCACTACTCTGACTGCCCCTAATATTTAGGGCCAAAAGAATTGGATGGTGCTGGCTGGAAACAGAAAGTTGCAGCATTTCACATTATGCCCTATATCAGCCATCATGATCCACATTTAGCTGATCTTGCACTTGATGAAAATGACACAGACAGCAAAAATGACAGTGATGTTTGAGGAATTGACATAGCACTATGCACAGACAGTTGTGGGAAAAGGCATTGCTTTAACAGCCAATTAACCTAAACATGGATATGGATGCCCACAGACACAAACAGATCCACACAGATCAGCGTCACAAATAGAATCCATTACTCACTGCATGCAACTTCTTTTCCCCACCAAAATGATCAGCACTATCATTGTTGGCACTATCATTATCATCATGCTCATCATCCTCTTCTGCTGTGGCCCTCTTCCTTAGATGGAAGGTGTGCATCTTCATCCCATTGTCCATCCAAGCTGCCCTAGCATGGCTAGTTTCATCAGTTATGATGTGCATTTTGTTGAACACAATCAGACCAGTACACTTCAAATTACAATATTGATCTATTCTTTTGATCAAAAGCACTCTATAGACACCAACCAGGCAAACACATTGCCAGTGTAGGAAAGGGTTATTGAGAACAACTGGGGACAGTTGCAATATTTTGTGTTGGGTAGATGTCACGTGTTGATGGCCAATGGAAAGACATATTGATAGTTGAAAACACAAGAGTGTCATGATAGCACAATAATGAACAAGACAAACAACAATGAAATCAAACAAGGTGGTTGTGCTGCTCTACCATGTCAAGTAGGCCAGGAGATGGTCAAGAGCCAGATCAGGGAGAATGAACTCAAAAGAAACAAAAGTGGTATGCAAGATGAAAATTGTATCCACATAGTATGTATGGACCACTTTGTAGCAGCTGGGCCATTCAGGCCACTCTTCAACACATTTAAAAAGATATAACATACCTCATTGCAGCAGCAAAGACAGGCAGAGAACCAATGAGGCGGGGCCATTGTTGTTGAGCCTGCCACTGAGAGAAGAAAGAGTTAGAGAAGGAAGGGAGAGAGTTTAGTAATAACACACTAAGGTGCCCTCCCCATCAGTGACCTCACTCCACATGTCCCAGCCAGAAGACTTGTCAAACAGTATGTTGTGGGAGAGTGGCATGACTGTGGTTGAGGGTGGATAGAGTGTGGTTTGCAGTGACATGGCAGTGCGTGCACACATTAGGGAGACCAGTGGCTGAAGATCTAAAGTCAGATCAAAGTCAGCTGAGTGCCTAGATCCAGTCCATGATATTCAGCAGTGCCTACTCATTTTATTGTGCTTTGTCAGCACAATAGAGGTGCTCAGTCAGCAATGCCAAGAGCATGAGTAATTACTGGAGATCAGGCCACAATGGAAAAAATTATGGGATTGGCTGGCAAGTTGGATGATATTGATCACATGATAGGATTTGATTGGTTAATCTGAGTGCTTGCTTACTCATTATCTTACTTAGCTGCTTATTAAGCAGTTCACAAAGTGTATATAAAGCTCTGTGTTTTGCAGGCAAAGACATGCAATCCCAGTAGTCCCCTCTCAGACATCTGGTGTGAGAGATCTGCAGTTCCCATTTAAGTCAATCAGTTACTATTTGAGGCAGTATCTCACACAGTGTGAGACCTCTGATAGTATCTTCTGGTCTAACAATCAGTAGTTTGTCCAATAGCACCTTACTAATGCTATCACTCTCACTGAGCAAGTCTTCATTTGGAAGTATTGTCTCAGTACATCTTGAACCATTCCAGAAAATATGTAAAACATATACAAATATTACCAACTCCCATACACACTCCTAAAACACCTATAGTGAACCTTTGGTTTTCCCATGAACAACTGTATAAGCTTGGTGTTCACCTAAACACCCAGTGAACACAGAGGAAACAACTTTCCTATTGACAGTGCGTGCTTGTGTGAGGTTGCACTCACGTCAGTATAGTACGAGTCAAGCAAATGAAATGAAAGGAAAACAGATGTTGTCATAACACTTGCACATGCCGGGAAGCTCAAATTCATGCTCCTCACTGATAAGACACTGCTAACCAAGATATCATATCCAGTACTGCTAGACAGCACTCTGTGGTGAACTGACATTATCATCCCACAGAGCCAGAATATTGTCTCAACATTCTGCAGCCAATTCAAGATCACTGCCACTGCCCTGCCTGTGACATTCAGTGAGCTTCCCCTGGCCTCCACTCAATCACAGAGGATCTCCCATTGAGATATGCCACAATACACATAATCTGTGACCTCAGGTGTTTGTGGGTCAAACAGAAGCTGAAGCAGGATGTAGAGCAGAGCCAACTGATTCACACTCTTGATGCACAGGTATGCTGGAAAACCATGTCTCTGCATCAATACTAACTAGATAATGTCACAGGCACCTTCAAGAGTTGAGGCCTCATTGTCTTAATCCTTGACACTGTTCTATTCCAATGCCCTGATGGGCTTGGTAGACAGCCACATCTCTTCACCAATGGTGTCCCTGATAATATTGTTGCAATTGCGAGCTGAATAGCTCTATGCACTTTAGACAAGTGCATGACAAGTGTGCACAATCCCAGGAACTTCTCTTGTGAAGTATACAAATTGCACTGTGAGTCCCTCCTCAAGTTCATAAGTCAGCTGAAGCAGGAAAGAAATGTGCATTACCAGAGTTTGTTTGTCAACATTGTTCAGCGCAGATGGTGCATCTGTACATATAAATATGAACAGATGAGTTGCTGATACTGATGTGGCCAGGGGATGGGCATTGGGACCTGCCATTGCAACTGATGTCACCCCTGGCCTGCCACCACTGGCTCTAGAAGTGTGGAAGTGCAGCTGGGGTTTGACAGCAATATGTAAGCCAGACGGCTTACTACTATTGCTACTTACCATATCCAGTTTGTGTGTGCCCATTTGGTGTGCCACCGGTTTGCTTCCACAACACTTTCACTCTTAAACAGATATACTCTCATCTCACACAGCTCTCTGACTGCATTCATTGAGTGCTTGCCGCCGGACAAGCCTGGCAGTGTTCCACAATATTGACAACATGTAAACTTTTTTGTGCAGTGTGTATGGGTCACAAAATGCATACTTAGCCTGAGTGCCTGACCACTGGTCCAGGAAAGCAATACACTGGGCCCTTCCCATGTAGAATGAAGGTTTGTGGCATACATGTATAGAAATATACAATGAAAGAATGATCTAAGAGATATAGAAAATGTACCCTAACATTGTAATTTGAGTGGCAGCATGCACACAGAGCCAGAGATTGCAGTGGGAACCACTGCATTTGTCCCAGTATAAGTGCCTGCCTTAACACACCTCATTCCAGCATGGAAGATTAAGGCTTATAATTTGGAACTTAGGCAGTATATCACCCAGTCCTGAGGATAACCAGCAAACACAGCTGCTCACAGATTTTCAATATAGTATGGGCTCAGCAACTGTGCCACCGCATCCAACACTTCTTGTGCTCACATGTGCCAGTGTATTTGAATCCACCTCCAGCTTGGACTTATCTCACTTTACTACAATTACACAGATGTGCAATAACTTGCAGACAATTGAAATACCAATAAACAAATCTGTTAGCTTGTCAGCGTTGCTTCAACTCACCATCCAATTGGAAACCACTCCGGCCTGCTTCCTCCGAAAGATTCACAGTCCCATTACGTAAGCTTTGCGGTCCCTTAGGGGGGCAATGTACAGTCCTGGTAGAGCTCCAAACCCCTATTTGAGAGGGTGTGCCGAGACCTGCCTGATTGGGATGTATTGAGCGGTCTAATCTGGTCCCGCAAAATAAGTGCCCAAGCCACCGGGTCCTGCCCACGGAACAGCGCGCGCCCGTTGCCGGCCGAGGGGACCAAATTTGGGACCGTAAATCTGGCGGTCCGCCACCGCTTCGTTGCGCGTTTTCGCGCGGGCTCGCGCCAAAATTGACCCCGTCATCAGCCCTCTTCGTCCCGAAAGATTTACGGTCCCAAGGCGCCAATTTACGGTCCCCCGGTGGCTGCCCACTTTCTCGCCACTGTGCCTCGGCATGCCCTCGGCCTGCCTCTCCCTGCCTCTGGTGCCTCTGGCAGTGCGATTTTTGCGCTCCCTCGCCTCCTGTTCCCATGTACTGTAGACAGAACCTTTTGTAACAACCCAAAATATATTTGTATGAATTTTTGTGGCCCTTTCCTGCATCACAGAAGCCCCGAGTGCATATTTTGTACTCTGCTCTACTGAGCTGTGGCTGGCCTCGGCGGCTGCCTTCCCAACGCGGCAATTCACCACTTTCCCTATCGAGCGGTCCCGTCGGGACTGCAAATCTGACCATCCTCAGCGTTACTTCCCATGATCGAGTCGGACTCCCAATGCATTTGCAATTGAACGACTTTTCAGATGATGACCCTTCACTACCATCTGGCTACTGTTGCTTCAATCACACAGTCCGTACTTTGCACTTATACGCCAACTTTGAACGATGCTAATGATACCACAATGGCATGCGGGACACTTGTGTCGAAGAAGCAAGCATTACATTGCCACTAGTGCGAATAGCATTGACATAGTTTACTATTACTCTACTGATCCATCCCATAACGCACGGCTCCGAACACGCTATCCACGTCTCCATCAAGCCTTTTGGACCAACCCACCTTACTGCTTGTCCTTGAATATCTTCTGGATCGCGGCGGTTGAGTACGACTTGGGACGCTCGAGAGCTGAAGCAAATGATGTCAAGAACAGCGGATCCACGAGTAATGGATGGACACTTACGAGCACCGAGCGCACGGTCCCAGATGAGTTGCGCAGCCACACCGAACGCACGCGAGACACCGAAGAGAACAGTGTAGAACTGCATCTCTTCAAGGCCGTAGTAGGTAAGGAGCGCGCCGGAGTGCGCGTCGACGTTCGGCCACGGGTTCTTCGCCTTGCCAGCAGCGAGCAGAATGTCGGGGACGTTCTTGTACACCTGGCCGACGAGCTTGAACAGCGGGTCGTCCGGCATGTGCTTCAGCGCGAACTCGCGCTGCGCCGTGTACCGCGGGTCCGTCTTGCGGAGGACGGCGTGGCCGTAGCCGGGGACGACCTGGCCGGCGTTGAGCGTCGACCAGACGTACTCCTTGACAGCCTCGTCAGAAGCATCCTTGCCGATCTTGGACTGCATCTTGCGCAACCAGAGGAGCACCTCCTGGTTCGCAAGACCGTGCAGCGGACCGGCGAGACCGTTGAGGGAGGCACTGAAGGCGAGGAAGGGATCCGACAGAGCGGAGCCAACGAGCTTGCCGGTGTGCGCGGAGACGTTGCCACCTTCGTGATCGCTGTGTTGCGTTAATGGCTGCGTGACGAACTACGGTGCACGGACACGCACCTGTGGATGGTGATGTACAGCCTCATGAGCTCGACGAAGCCGGGCTTGTCGCTGAAGCCGAGCAGGTGAGACAAGTTCCAGGAGTAGTCCTTGGTGGGGTCGATGGCGGGCAGCTTTCCGCGGCCATAGGTGTTGCGGTAGATGCGACCAGCGATGTTAGGCAACTTGGCGATGCTATATGCGCAGAATAATGAGCACGCGGATCCTCCCGAGCGATGACGTTGCGCTCACAGGTCCATGCAGTCCTCGAAGACGGGCTTCCAGTACTCCTTCTTGGAGATGCCCTCGGAGTACGCCTTCGCGAAAGCGGAGCCATGGTTGAGCTATAACAGACGTGTGAGCGTGACAAAGTGATGTCGACGGCGAGGACATACGGCGGTGACCGCGATGGAGAACTGGCTCATCGGGTGGAGGGTGGACGGGCATCGGTCGATGAGCTCCTCGACGAAGGCGGGCAGCTCGGCGCGGGCAGCCCATTCGCGGGAGAGGGCAGTAGTCTGCTCCGGGGTGGGAACCTCACCGGTGAGGAGAAGCCAGAAAAGGGCTTCGGGAAGGGGCTCCTGGCCGCCGGGTGCTTTGGGAAGGGCCTGCTGGCACTCGGGAATGGTCTTTCCGCGGAAACGGATGCCCTCCTCTGTGCAGGGAGAAGACGCGCGTGAGTGAGAAAAGGCGCCGATTCGGGGAGACGGAAAACCGACGGACCAGCGTCGAGGACGGAACCGTCCCAGATGAGGGCCGGGAGACCTCGCATGCCGCTGCCGGGGAAAGTCAGTCATGGGTTCGGTGGTGTCTGGATACAAATAGGACGGACCCATAGAGCTGGTCGACGAGAACGGGGCCGAACGCCTTCTTCCCGTGCTCGGCACGCGTGGCTTTGACCTGGTACGATCGACGATCAGCATGACGCGCGCGGGCGGACGGTGCAGAGCGGTGCGTACGTTCTCGATCTCTGCGGGGATGAGCTCGGCGACCCTGTCCTTGAGGGAGGTTGCCTTGGTCGAGGCCAGCCTGGCCGGGCAGGCGAAGGCGCTGCGACGGGACTGGGCGTGCGGGGTGAGGACACGTGCGCGTGCGGGGGTGGGGAACATACCTGGGCGATGGCGGAGCGGACGAGCGAAGACTGCATGGCGTCGACGGCGACGGCGGGGACTCTAACGGCGACGAGGGAGGAGGAGGAAAAGTTGGAGAGTCGCCGCCAGCGCACACTTATGAGCTCACCCCGGCCACTTCTCACGTGCGCTCGGACTTGTCGGCTTCTGCGCGCCGGCCTCTTCCTCGTCCTCGTCCCGGTCGTCCTCTCCATCCCCGACGTCCTCGTCCTCCACCCGATGGCCAAACGCAAGAGGCCGCCGCTGACCCCGCCGCCGAGCAGAACGCGCTGCTGCCTCAGGTGCGTCCTGCGCCGCCTGCTCTCTCCCCGCGCCCCCGCTGAGCCGCCGCAGAAAAGACACTACCGCCAGCGCGCGCACGCCAACCCTTCTCTGACCACGCGCTCAGCTACCCGTCCTCGCCGCGCGCCATCGACTGGGCCGAGCTCTACCCCGCGTTCGCGGGCTCTGGCAAGACCCCCGAGTTCGCAGACGTCGGCTGTGGCTTTGGCGGTCTCCTGATTGCCCTCGCCCCTCTATTCCCGGACTCCCTCATGCTCGGTCAGTCCTGTCGTCCGTCTATCGCCGACCTCATCCTCTCCCCTTCTTCCCGACGTCGCCCGCTGCGCCCTTATCACCACCTGACCCTCGCTGTCGTCACGAGTTCCTGCTTTTGCATGCATCCGTCTGTCGCTGACCCTGATGCGCACAGGCATGGAGATCCGCGTCCAGGTCTCGCAGTACGTCCAGGACCGCATCGCCGCCCTCCGTGCCACCTCCGCACCGTCCCCCGACAGCACCTCTCCAGGCCCGTATCAGAACGTCTCCATCGTGCGCGCCAACTCCATGAAATTCACGCCCAACTACTTCCCCAAGCACTCCCTCTCTGCCATGTTCTTCCTCTTTCCCGACCCTCACTTCAAGTCCCGCAAGCACAAGGCCCGCATCATCTCACCGACCCTCCTCGCGGAGTACGCGTATGTCCTCAAGCCAGGCGGCATCGTGTACACCATCACCGACGTGAGAGACCTGCACGACTGGATGAGGACGCACCTCGAGGGGTTTCCGCTGTTTGAATATGTAAGTGAAGAGGATCTCAGGAAGGAGGGCAAAGGCACGATCCTCGACGCGGTGTATACTAGCACGGAGGAGGGCAAAAAGGTCGAGCGGAACCAGGGCGACAAGTGGCTGGCGTGCTTTCGGAGGATCGAGGTGTCGAGGGACTGAACGGCTTCCGTACGATTACCCATATGTTGTAGCCTTAGACCATCTTTTCACGGAAATCAAAAATCCATTCTGTCCTCCATTACAACATCTCGTTCGAGGGCTTCCCCACCGCCTACTGGCAGCTTCATGCCCGTCTCCATCGCGCCGACCAACCGACTCGTGCGGTTCTTCACAGCTCGCTTCATCTCCTTGTGCAGTGCCTGCCCCGCCTCGCCCGCCAGCCTGAATATATCCGCGAACCGATCGACGTGCAGGCGCGTCTCGAGCGCGACGAGGGTGACCTTGCCCGTCCGCGGCATGACGGCCACGGTCATGTGCGGCAGATCGTTCTCTTCGAGCATGGTGAGGTCGAGCAGCGGCGAGGTGGAGTGCACACCGCCGCTGACCGCGCAGACGAAGTCGGTCATCGGGATGCCGGCACTGATGAGGGCGAGGGTGGTCGCGTTGATACATGCGTGTAGGAGCCCACCGTCCTGCTGCAGAACCTGGACAAAGATGTCGATTTGAGAGCGCGGGTGGAGCGTGGTCTGGACGACGGGCTCAAAGGTGGACTTGATCGTGGCGGCGAGCTCAAGGATACGCCTGGATGCTTGCACGAACCGTTACGCTGGGACGAACAAGCACTGGCGAGGGACTCACCTGTCTGCTCGTGCTCGTCTACGTCGCTCGCCAGTACTGAAGGGAAGCACGTTCATCTCGACGTTGATGACGGCGCGGTCGTGCAGCGTCTGAGAGCGCATCTTGGCCTCTCTCGGGCCGAAAACGGTGACAAGAACCTGGGTGAGTCCGTGGTTCATGGTGCAGCAGCCATCTGCGGAGCCTTGCTGAGAGAGGTCGATGTCGATGTCGCGAAGCTCATACTGGCGACGGCCGTCTGAACGGTAGCCTCCGTCGTTGAGGATCTCGACTCGTGAGCTCTGGCGGGGCCATTAGCGGTGGCTCGATGGTTGATGCGGCGGAATGACGACTGACCATGCCTGTGGCTGCCAAGCACTCTTGCCCGCGTGTTTGTCGTGGACGGCGATGGCAGACTGTGGTGGACGCGTTCAAGACGCGTTGGGCAGCCAGCAGCCGCTGCGTTTTGCGCGCGCCTTGCCGGTCGACCGCCACCGCGCCCCGAATATGACACGACGGGCGAAAGACTGGCTGCTTCGAAGGCTATGAGCCACTATCGCGTCCGCAGCCTCCCTATCACCCGTCCTCCTTCTCCTTCTCCAGTCGCCCAGCATGTCGTCGACAGGCATCCTCCCAACGTCGCTGCTTGACACCGATCTCTACAAGGTGCGCTCAGTCCCTCAAGTACGCTGCTTATCGCGCGCCGACCTCATTCGCACAGTTCACAATGCAGCAAGCTGTCCTCCGTCACTTCCCGGACGTACAGGCTACGTACCGCTTCACCCACCGCGACAAGGACGTCCCCTTCACCCGCGAGTGCGTCGACACCTTCCGTGAATCCGTCTCCAGTACGCCTCCACACCGTCTCATCCTCCCGTCTCGTGACTTACTCGATCACTCCAGAGTTTGGCTCGCTGCGTCTGACTGATGAGGAGTACGCCTGGCTCAAGACTACCTGCCCGTACTTCAACGACGAATATCTGCAGTACCTCCGCCAGTATCGCTTCAAGCCCGAGCAAGTCTCCGTTCGCTTCCTCCCACTCGACGAGAATCCCACCTTAGGCCACCTCGAGATCGAAGCAGTCGGCCCGTGGCTCGAGACCATCCTCTGGGAAGTGCCCCTCATGGCTTGCCTGAGCGAGCTCTACTTCAAATTTGTGGACACGGACTGGAACTACGATGGGCAGGAAGGTCCGTTCCGCATCGCGCTCGCATCGTCCACGCAGCTGAAGCATACCCGCTCGCTCGCTCAGAGCAAGCGTACGCCAAGGCCGAAGATCTCGTCAAGGCAGGCTGCGCCTTCAGCGAATTCGGCACACGCAGGCGAAGGTCCTGCCGCACCCAAGATACGGTCATCCGCGGACTCGTCCGCGCGTCCAAAGAGTTCCCGGGGCCAGGAAAGTTGACTGGGACGAGTAACGTGAGTTCGTCAGTCCCTCTCCGTCCACCACCCTGTTCAAGTATAGTATGCTTCAGGTTCATCTCGCGCATGTACATGGCTTGTCGCCGGTTGGAACGATAGCCCAGTGCGTGCGCTTCTCCCCCGCGCGCCGCAATGCCTGATGTCTTGCCCTCGACTGCAGCGAATGGTTCATGGGAGTAAGCGCTGTTCACTTCCTACTTCTCGACAGCATACTTACCGCGCCATATCTCCCAGATCGGCGCTTTGAAGGGATACGAACACGCCAACGGCACCGCACTCGCCCTGTGGGAAGAGGTCTACCCGGACGCTCTCCAGCTCGCCCTGACCGATACGTTTTCAACGGAAGTCTTCTACAAGGTGACCTCCGCACTGCTCGTGTCCATCGTCTTCTTATTGACGAACTCGCGTAGGACTTCATCGCGAACCCAGAACGAGCGAGGAGATGGAAAGGCCTGCGCCAGGACTCCGGTGACCCGTTCATCTACGCACCGCGGGCCAAAGAGGTCTACGAGTCCCTCGGTATTAACCATCGCGAGAAGATCATCATCTTCTCCGACGCTCTCAGCGTCGAGAAGGCAAAGAAGCTCAAAGCGCAATGCGACGAAGTCGGTTTCACCGGTAAGTTCACCACTCGTTCGCTTCGTCTGGCGCATCGCTCATCGCTGAGACCCCGCCACGCAGCTTCCTTCGGGATCGGGACGACCTTCACGAATGACTTCAAGAAGGTGTCGAGCGGCGGCAAGGAGAAGAGCAAGGCGCTGAATATGGTCATCAAGCTCGCGGCCGTGGATGGTAAGCCCTGCGTCAAAATCAGTGATGAGCTCACGAAGGTAGGCTGCGACTTGTCGTGTCTCGCTTGATCCGCGTTGACTGGTCTGTCACATCTAGAACACTGGCGATACGGCAATTGTGAAGTTGGTGAAAGAAATTTACCATCTTCCCTTGTGATTGCCTGTCTGTATGTGAGATAGACAACCTATGCTGTAGCTGATCTAAATGTTGTTTCAGTATTGTGATAGTGTACACAAATGTGGGAAAAGGATACTGAAAGGTCCAGTAGGCTGTTAGATGCACTACAGATAAAAAGAACTTAGGTCGGGAGATTTACCGTCGCTTGGCGGAGGCGCTAAGCGGCTTGCCTCGTATGGCAAGTCCGTCCGATCAGTGTTCCGATCAATCTCAGATTCGGCACGCCACCGGCAAGCTGTGGCGGGTGGCTGAGGTGGCTGGTGTCGTGGCGAGTGGCGGCTGTGGCTGGGGTTTCCTAATCGGGAAGGGCGAGGGCGTGACGTGTCGGGCGCGAATATACATCGCGTAGAGCGGGCCTGCGGTGCCGTGAGTGCGAAGAACGCCGCAGGCGCTGGCTGTTGGGCCTAGCACATTCCCAGGCCACTCAGGACCTGTGGTGGCAGGTGGCTGGGGTTGCCTAATCGGGCGGGGGCACACGGGGCACGTCGGTGGCGGGGATACATTGCTCGGGAGTCGCTCGGGAGCGCGCCTGCGGCGCCATAAGACGATACAAAGCGCGCGTTAATGGCTGCTGATGGGCGTGGCTGTCCCCGAGGTACTCTAGACCCGCGAGTAACCAATAGAAGCGACCGCGTACACGCGTCGCCTGTGACTAATGACGATTACACGGGCGCTACACCCCGCCAGCATTGCATAACGAGGATGACACGGGTGCAACACGTCGGTAGGCATGTCAGTGCACATCGCGTTGAGCGCGCCTGCGGCGCCGTCAGTGCGTGGGAACGTTGCACCCATAGAACGGTGTGTGTGATACACCGCCTGGCCGTTCTAGGCCCACGATTGGCCCGTAGAAGCGGCCGTGTACGCGGTAAATGTGATGGGCAGCACCTGCCCAATCATTAAGTGCATTAAGTGCATAAAGTAGGGCACCCACTTTATTTTACTCGGCCCGAGTAGCCACTAGCCAGTCACATGACCAATGAAGTGGGGTCGCAACACTCGCAGCGGTGTTTTCGCTGCAACTGCTGCGACCCCACGTCATTGGTCATGTGACTTCGAAAAAGCAGTCAAAAATGCGCAGAATATTCATTCTGAGGACAAAACCTACTATTTTGGGCCCAGAAAAGTTGTGTAAATTCCCAATAAACTGGAAGGCCTCAGTGCAGCCATCCTGAAGTAATTCCAGGTCATATGAAGTTAATATCATCTTAATAACAGGTGCCACAAGGCTGCCAGTCAGCTTTCAAGATACAGTAGTAGCATTACCACATTGGGTGTTACCTGTAGCCACTCTATGATATCTTGGAGTGATTTGCCTGAAGTGAGAGCACAATGTTTGATGTTTGAGGATTCAAACAGTGTGATACTGAGGTATCCAGTATATATAGCTTAGTGAGTTAGAGTAAGCAGTTAACAATGTCACTAGACACAGCCATGTGTGCTCTGATATATATTCACAATCACAACACAGTGGCTCTACTATTTTCCCCAGCAACTGCCTTATGTAACACCCTGACCCAATGAGTGTAGGAATGTATACTGTTCTTGTTGTCCTTGATACAGACAGAGAGCAGACAAACACAATGGTTCAGAAAATTACAAATGCCTATAGGTATGGAAAGATGCAAGTTGGGACACATGAACACTGATGTGACCCATATAGCACTGGGATTCATGGAAAGAAGCATCAGCAACTGTTAATGTTACAATAATATTTCAAGAGTGGGACACAGTACATATATAATGCATGTATGCTTATTAATGATTCTGCATATTGCAATTGCTTGAACTGATGCATTCATCCACTCTGAATATTCTGTCATTTCTACAGTATCTACTGGTGCCACAAGGTATTGCCCAGTGTGTGATTGCCAATTGGGAGGGCACCTGCCATATGTAGTAATAATGATTATGTGATAGCTCCTGCTTCACAGACCCTCTCATAATTTCCATAGCCTTCATGGTTCCTTATGCTATGCATGGAACAAATCATGAACATGTGCAGGATATTCACTCTAGGCCACATAACCTCCTTGTATAGCCTCAGAAAAAGTCCAAACACCCCAGAAAATCAGTGAAGTATTAATGAGACACATACAAGTGGTCATTGTGCTGACCCAAAGCTCTGGCAGCACTTAGCATACTTTGATATGGCACTAAGCTAACTCATTTGAAGGGGTGCAAGATATATGCAGACTGCCTGCTGCTATGCAAGAAAAAACAGTGATGTTGATGATAAAATTCTTGTTTACAATTTCTTGCATTCCATTGAATATTCATAACTTCCTGTGACAGATCCTCAGGTCATGAATTAGGGAATTTTGGCAGTAACATAGCTTTGATAATCTGTGATGCCCTCATTTGTTAGCAATGTGGACTCCTCAGTGTTAGAAATGTGGACTCCTTAGTGTAAATTGTGAGGCACCTTTTGAACAGTAGGTGCCCACCTAATGCATTTGCTGTTAGTAACTTGTTACATATACCTGGATTGACAGTAACATGAAATGATGTCGGGATAAGGGATGAGGAGAGGAATGCAGATGATCATTCCAGTATACCACATCAAGAACATGTGATTTACTGTTTTTCCATAGCATGAGCCACAATTCATGAAGAGGTATCATGAGTGTACCAAAATCAGCATGGTTGACATGAACAGACTCTAACATTGGGAGGTCTAGGCCAATAAAGTATCAATTTGTAGGGAAGTATGACTTACTCAAGCTCAAATGATACAATGATTCTGACCATTGTCGTTATTGAGTTACTAACAGTCCCTAAATAGATTCTATGATATAACAATCTCCCACTAGTAAAGTAGTATTATTGTTCCGTGTTTTGAGACAGTGCATAATGTCCCAAACATAGTGGAACAGGGCAGCTCAGCTACAGTTGGGCAAGAACAAGTCTGCAACCACACATATCATTGGGTAATGGGTGTGTGGCAATATTGGCATAGCTATCTATGATCAATAAAACCTTCTGATGAAGAAATATGCACATCATGGATTCTCCAGGATACTCAATATTCAGGATTCAATGCTCTTGTGTCTTGTGTCACTGCAATGAGGATGGTGAGCTGAGCAAGTACCTCTGTGACTACTATAATACTGCCTTGGCCTGTGTGAGGTTATTGTTGTTTGACAACTGCTTGGTAAAGCATGGAAGTTAGCCTCACAGACTAGTATATATCCAATGCATTTGATAAGTGAGATTCAAGCAATGATTCCATGAGCTAGAAGACAGACAACTTGCATATAACTGGGATCATATTGCCATGCATGGCCCACTCCCCAGCAAGTCCTTATAGCCTTCCATGATACAATTGTTGCATCAACTAGGGCAGTATACTCAATAACACGGTGAGATTCACATTCAGTGAGCTCATATATGCCTATGATCACACTTCAGACAGTGTCTCTGCAGCATACAAAGCCTGACATCATAGTAGCATGAATACGTATGGATGGCCATTATATATCCCCAGACTGTATCTATGTGTCTATATGCCAGCTACATGCCACAACTACCATATAGAGTAGGTGTCCTGCCCAAAGAGGAAGTAGGACAAGATGTGGTGCCCATGGAGCTGACAAAAATGCAGAAAATCTGTCAAATATACAGAAGCACCCAATAGGAGAATGTGAGTGCTTGGAATTATCATAGACATCACTACACCATGTACATGGACTACACCATGTGAAAAGAGGGTCAAATGGCACATTGTGGCTGATTTTGGCTGTAGTGCAGCACCCACTTAGTTGTACAGTGTCTGAATCACATATTTATGTCATTGCAGACATATGGAACACATCTGAGGCACAAATAGGCACTTTGACATCTGCAGAGGCACATGTGGATTTTTTGACTTCGCATTTTCTGGACCAACCAGCTGCTCTAGCTACTCAATAATGATAATGTATACTCTCTGAATGAAGGGCTATCAGATAGGTATACTATGTACACTACAATTTGTTATTACTCAGGACTACGGGGCCGCCTATCAGTGTGAGTGCCAGCAGCAGTGTGCTGCTTGGCTTCAAGTCATGTGATATTCTCACCAGTTGCCATATTGGGCACCACTCGAAGCATTTCTTGGGCCCTCACCTTGGGACAAAGCACTGAGCCACAGCATTTGTTTGGTGATGTTGGTGCAAGTCATGTTGTCTGGGAGTCTGAAATTTTCGAACTCTGCTTACTGACCATAACTATACATGATAAGCTGAGGGCAAATGACTGTACCTGTGGGAAGAAACTGCCGCATTGGGCACCACTGGAAGTGTTTCAGGCCCATCCATCATAAGAATGATACCTTCATACCTCAGGGATCATAATTAGAAATCATATCATTTGAAAAGACATGAAAGTGCTACATGCCTTTGAGGCCTTCTAAGTCTTGAATGGGAAAAGTGACTCTAGCTACATGTATGTGAATGGTCACCAAGACAGTAAAGCCTTGTGTTGACTTTCAAAGTGAATTAAGAAGGGAGGTTGCCTTTATGCCTTTGTACCCTTATTTGCTCTACAAAGTCCTGAAAGCTAATTCAGTTTTGCCTGATGTGACCAGGGAGTCAGCAAAGGCCTGGCAGGCTGCACGCTGACCTGCTGTCAGGGGGGCATCATAGTGAGGGTCAGGGGAGAGCACCGCACAAAGAACAAAGAACACCAGCTGTGTGAGGTACTTGAAGTACTTTTGAGCAGCACTGGGGCCAATTGAGCTGAATGAGCTGTTGGATGTTGACTGCCTGAGTGTCATCCCAAATCAGCAACATCCTTAGGAAAAACAAAATGAAGCAACTCACTCACTGAACTTCACCGGTCCATCTCGTCAAGGTTGACAAGGGAGGCTATGAAGGCAGGGGTATATCCCTTGATGCGGGTCCAATGATTCTAGCCTGCAGACTACTCTGCATGCCTTGCTGTTCTCCCTTGTTGCGCAGACCTCCTCAGGTGCGCATATGGACAAGTACTCTTCTCCCATCATGCACTTTCAAGTACTCAGCGCAGTCATGTCTGATGGAGGCTTCATCGATATGAATGATATGCGGGGGCTGAATGTGCAGCTCATTTATGTATCAATCCCTTGTGTAGGGTCAAAGGACACGCCGAGTACGTCGTTGAGTATGCCAGACACGTCAATGGGCTCATCGACAGTGTGTACGTGAGCGACTGGCTCGACGTACCGATTGTGTGACGGATCACATAGATATGGCATGTCGGATGTGCAGTGATGCGCCCCTGACATGTTGCCACGGGGAATGGCGGGCACCGGTGTGCATTCGTCGTGCGCATTGCGTGAACAAACAGTGGTGAATGCATCGAATGACGAGCCTGGCATATCCACAGCATGCGGAGACGGCCTGGCAGAGCGAAGATGTTCTCATGACGCACCATCTCATGAAGTGGGAGCAGCAGGCACAATCACTCTGCTGCTGTTCGGTCTCAGCACCCCGTCGTTGACGTTGGAGAGACACACAACGAACTGAACGTTTGTTGTGTTGCCTTCTAACGTGGGCGCTGCGGCTGGTGACGTATGTACCTGGTGTACCATCATAGGGTACCCCTTGGTCGCGTGTAAGAGGTCGAATAACAGACCGGGTACTTCTTCGAGCACCCCGGACACATCGGTGTTCTCGTCGGCAACACATACATCGAGCAGAAACAACGACATACGCATAGCTCGACAGATAGAGATGACAGGACAGGACACGTCAGACACGTGACACAGCGCGTCCGCTGTGTCGCCATGTGTAGTGAAGGGCATGACCTTGAGGTCATCCCGAATTGCAGACAGGGGAACGGGTACAACGGTAGAGTCGACCCTAGAGGCGGAAATGCTGTCTTCTTGGCTAGCAGGGCCACAACGACATCTTGTTCGTCAATACACCTGCTGGCGCGGACACTGGAAATGGAATGGGCACGTCAGACGCACAGCTGTGAGTGTCCGCCATGTTGCCGTGCACAACAGCGGGTACGACCGTAATTCCCGGGACAACGTTGTGGCCAGCAGTGCGCACGATGAGCTTCATGCTCGTCAATACGTCTGCTGGCGCGGGTACCAAGAGCGGAGGCGGCGGTGCAGGACGTCCAACAAGGGTGTACCTGCGATTCTGAGCCTCTGTGCTCGTCCTCCCTGCTCGCCCGCGTTCTTCTTCCTCTCCCTCCCTCTCCTTCTGCATCTCCTCCTCTGTTCTCCTCGCTCCGTGTTCCTGGTGTTCTGCGTGGCCTTGTTGCTCGGCGCTGGACTTGCATGCGTGTCGTGCGAATCCTGGGCCGGCGGCTGGGTTGCGTGTCGCCAGGGTCCCAAAGATCCGGATTGAGGTCGCCAGATCCGAGAGAGGAGAGGGTAGAGTTGAGTGGAGAGGTCCCGGGTGGAATACGAAGCCCAGGAGAGGAAGGAGGCGGCGGTCTTGTGCTGTGCGCAGGGTTGTCAGGGGCCCCTAGCTGAACGGGCGGATGTTCAGCTAGGTGGTTGCGGACTTCAGCTCGCCTGTCCGTTGGGACAGCGCGAGCACCTTGACGAGAGATCGAGCGGTTGTGGTGGCTGCCTGGGAGGTGGTGAGAGACGAGAAGGTGGTGGTGGCGGTCGAGAGCAAGGTGCTGGTGCTCGGAGCGCTCATCGTCAATGCGGGCTCGCAATGCTGGACGGCTTGCAGGTCGAGCGGGCTGGTGTTCACAATGAGCACGTCGTCCGAGGTGAGCGCTTGAGCAGTGGGTCCGGCCATCTGCTTGACGAAGCGAAGTCTCTGCACCGTGCCTGATTCGAGTCCATAGAAAGGACAGACGAAAGTGGATTACGTAATGATGGCGTGATATATGTAGGGTAGTTGGTTGCAGAACATGTAGTGCGCACGGCCGAAACATATGTAGTGGTGCGACGGAAATGTATGTAGTGGTACGAAAGTGTATGTAGTGGGCGCCGAACATATGTAGGGGTGGTTCTGAATGTATGTAGGGGGTATCGAATTTTGCGTCAAACGGTACGCCATATGAAAGCTAATTGGCATCCTTGTGGCACTAGTAATTATAGACATATTGGTATCATACAACCTCAAGGTACTTCAAGATAGCTACAGAGAGGTCCTCCAATTTATTGGGGATTTATGCGATTTTCTTGGGCCCAAATCAGTAGGTTTTGTCCTCAGAATGAATATTCTGCGCATTTTTGACTGCTTTTTCGAAGTCACATGACCAATGACGTGGGGTCGCAGCAGTTGCAGCGAAAACACCGCTGCGAGTGTTGCGACCCCACTTCATTGGTCATGTGACTGGCTAGTGGCTATTGTGCCTGTTCTGGTACTAAAGAGACATGTATACAAAGATAGTGATGTGTAGCTAATGTGAACCATGGAAATGTACATTTCAGGCAAGTTGTGGGAGGGCTTATTGCACAAGAAGTATCACAAAAGCTCACAATGCCCCAAATGGTGAGCAACCTTCCAAACCCAGTAATTCTTCATAAAGTGAATGTCTGGTGGTTCATAAATTGCAGATAAATCAGAAGATATTCATAGAGCACTATGACATGTTTATGAGGGATGTGCCATTTACAATATGTTACCATATATGGAAGGTAAGCTATAATACCATGTACAAGCATGAAATCAGCCAACCTTGCCCATTCTGAGCTCTGTTGTGGCACCATAAAGCATTTTCATGATGTCTGACACACATGGCTATACTGTATAGGTCATGTGCTCCACATCTAGGGTGAAAATAAGCAGTTCAAATTCTGCAAAGTCTCTTGTGTTTTTTTGTATTTTGCATTTCCTGGCCTAACTAGCCACTATTGGGGCCCAACAAAATTACTGTAGGCTCTATGAAACAAGGGCTACAAGTTGACTATATAATTGCCATATCCATTTGTGGGTGCTTACTGTTGCAAAAAGTGATTGATTCTATTGGAGCCCAGTGTCGCTGGTGAGGTCACATGCCATGCTCACCACTTTCCATATTGGGCTCCAAGCTAGACGTTACAGGAGTCCCAAGTCCATGGGGAATTGTCAGCCACAGCATTTGTTTGCAGGTGTTGGTGCAAGTCGCGTCGTCTGGGAGTCTGAAATTTGAAACTCAGCTAATGTAAGCATAGTAAGTGTTACTTATCTTTGATTATCTGGCGCTCAAACAGTCACATGCACTGTGGGAAAAACCTGCCACATTGGGCTCCATGCTAAGTGTTACATCCTCTCCAGTCATAAGAATGCTTCCTTGTACCTCAGGGATCGTAATTCCTTCATACCTCAGGGATCGTAAAGGACTTCCAGGTGAGTCACCTCAACTTCTTAGGCACCCAGTCTCTTGATTTGCTAGGATGCAGGAAGATGCAGGCATCCTTTCCCGAGAAGCCTTCCATATGAGTACCATGACTGCCTTTGGCAGGCAGACATAGTGGAAAGAACTGGTCTAGACTCCAAGCCTTTGACCAAACATAACATACGTTGGAGGTCATTTCCTACTGCGCAGCAGTCACCAGTGTAGAGGCTAACTAAATTTACTTTGGAAATTTGAAAAACATCAGTAGGGCACCTTGATGCTCCTCACCACACTGAGACATCTGGGATGGACATCAAATGCTGGCACACGTCATGGCGGGGCTATTGATGCACATATACAGCTTCCCTGCCAAGGTACTGGACTTCACAGAATGCCTCAAGTCATTGTATCATTCACCTTGTTGGGAACCCAGGCCATGGTGACAGCAGCCACCAACACAGCCAATGCAGTCCCTGGGGTTGCTGTCTTGAGAATGACTCCTGTAGCCATCCCACCTCCTGCTCCCTGCTCCCCCAGCTGCTCCCCCTAATCACTTGGGGCCCATCAAAACCCTGCTGCCAGCCCGCTCAGGGGCACAGCTGAAGGCGGCGATCAGCCTTCTGTTGAGGTCGCGCCACGATCTCAATCTCAGCCACTGAGCACGTGATGTACCGCCGGGGGTGTTCATTGTTCTACCGCGACTGAGGTGAGGACTTTCATGACTATACAATAGTCACATACTCACTACCTACACAGAGTCTGACTGACTGTTTAGGTAGTGCAATCTCAGTCAATGTAAGAAAATTTATTCCGCATTTCTGCGAATTATTCTGAGCTCCATTGCCCTGTCCAAGTTGTGGAATGTGTCCTGGTGTGTTCTCCTTTATTCTACATGGACGCCATCACTATACCTTGCATACTGTACTTTTTCCGACGTCATTCCCTTCAGTCTACCATTTTCCATAATGTTTGCATCTTCAGGGATTTGAACCCCTGCACTCATCCGATTTTTTCACTGCTTCGTTGATTTCCACTTTGTGGCTGTTTCTACTGTACAGTTATGGTCACCTTACGTAACGCACACCGTAGACAGTCCGCCTCGTCGAGCTCCAAGTCCCTAAGACTTTACAGAGCTCGACTTAGGTGTGTATCTTCGCTTCTTTGAATAAAAAGACTTTACAGAGCTCAACTTAGGCCTTTGGAATCTGCTCTGAGGCGCACTGCAGCCAACAGGTTATGAGCCCTGCACTCTGAAGGCCTCCAGACGTCCATATCCGCCCTCCAAACGCTCTGTGGCCCTCCCAAGGTGTCCCCCTTCGCTCTCACAGCCTTCCTGCGCTTTTAAGCCCCTGTCTTCGCCCCCATTCGATCTTTGGTCGATATCTTGCTCGTCTCTGCGCCGTTTTACCCTGTTTTTCGCTCGATCCACCCATCCGCACGTCGCCCTTTGAGTCGTCATCATGGCGCCGTCCCCTGCTTCCTTCCCCATGCTCACCAACCGCAACTATCAGCAATGGAGGCTTGACATGGAGGCTAGACTTCGCACTCTTGCAGCTCTTCGCATTGTGAAGGGCTCAGAGACCAGGCCTTCGTTCACCCAGCCCCTGGACGCCTCAGAACACCGAGATATGCGTGATTTGGAGAACAGGAGGGATCTGGCAGCTGGGGAGATCTGGGGGTGTGTGGAGAGGGAGCAGCAGACACATCTGGAGGCGATTAGGGATGACCCTGAGGCGATGTGGTTGAAGCTGGAGTCTGTGCACATGCAGAAACAACCTGGTACATGTTTTAACACCTACACCGCGCTCCTGAGCCTCTCCAAGGCCGAGGACGAGTCCCTGTCGACGCTTTTGACACGAGCTTCGCAGCTCAAGTCCGATATGAAAGCCCTTCGTCCCCAGGACTTCGACATTGCTAAACTCGACGATGAGCTCGTTTTGATGGCTTTAATCCGCGCCCTGCCCGCCGAATTCGCTTCTCTTCGCCAGACCCTCTTGCTGGACGACGCCCTCACGCTTGAGAAGCTCCAGGACACGTTTGTCGCCCTCGAAAATCAGCCTGGTGTGTTATCGACGATCCCTGTCCTCTCCCAGGTCGCTGCTGCCATCATCTGCACTTTCTGCGGCTGCTCTGGCCACTCCGAGGAGCAGTGCTTCTCCAAACGTGATGCTAGCGTCAAAGCGAAGGAGAAGGCGTCGCAGCGCACGCAGTTTCGCTCTGGAAAGGGCAAGGACAAGACGAGGGAGGCGAAGGAAGGTCGAAAACCATCCAGGATGTGCAGGATGCGTCCCAGGAGTCCGCTGGAGCGGCCACTGTGAGTGCTGGTTGCGCCTCTGCCCTCCTATCCACCTCGGATCGCGCCTCCTGGCTTTCTACGCCTGCAGCAGCTAACTGGAACACCGACACAGGTGCTTCTGCACACATGACACCTCACCACCATTAGTTTCGCTCCTACTCTCCCCATTCCATCCCCATTCGCCTCGCCAACTCGCACGTCATCTATTCGGCTGGACTAGGGTCTGTGGTCTTTCAACCTGCGGAGAGGGACGGAGTTTTACCGCCAGCTGTTGTACTGCACGACGTCCTTCATGTCCCTGTGCTTGCCTGCAATTTATTGTCCGTTTTGGAGAAGGGCTACGTCGTTGAGCTGCAGGCTGCGAACGCGTTTTTTTACCAGGAGGGAGAACTCCGCTTCAAGGCGGGAGTTAACGAGCACAACATCGGCTACCTGCTAGGCCAGACTGTGTCTCAAACGAAGAATGTGATGTCCGCTTCGACGACTTGCGATCTGGACCTCGCGCTTTGGCACCAGCGTTGCTTGCACGTCAACCTCGACGACCTCCGAATGGCGCCATCGAAGGAGCTCGTTTCTGGCCTCACCATTCGCTCGAAGCGTACACCTGATCCCATCTGCAAGCCTTGCCTAGTTGGTAAGCTGCATTGACACTCTATCCCTCGTTTTGCGTCCAGAAAATTTGTCCGCATCGCCCTCGTCCACACCGACCTCAAGGGGTCTCTCCCGACGCCTACGCCGGAGGCGCACATTTATTGGATGACGTTCATCTGCGACTCTTCGAAGTTTTGGGTTGTAGCCTTCCTGAAGTGCAAAAGCGACGCGTTCTCTGTGTTCCAGGTGTTCAAGGTGTACGCCGAAAACGTCCTAGGCCTCGTCCTGAAGGCTACGCATGACGACAAGGGTGGGTTACTCATGGGCAAGCAGTTTGTCGATTTTTCGCTCAGCATGGCATCCAGCGTCAGCACACTGAACCAGAGGAGCCCCACCAGAATGGTGTTGCAGAGTGAGCTAACAGGACGATTGCTGAGGGTGGGACTGCTCTCCTTGTTCAGTTGAAGCTCCCTCCGTCGTTTTGGGGCCATGCCATCTCTACCTTCATCCACACAAGGAACCGCACAAGCCTACGTCGTCCCTGCGAGGTGCTGTGCCCTGGGCTGCCTGGAAAGGCGATGGGCGCAAGCCAGATGTCTCCTACTTCCGCATTTTTGGCTGTCTTGCCTATGTGTTGGTACGGAAGAAAGACCGCAGTGTATTTTCGTCGCCTATCCTGAGGGCACCAAGGTCTGGCGATTCTGGGACCCTGCTGCGAAGAAATTCATCATTTCGTCACATGCTGTCTTTGATGAACACTGTTTCCCTGGAAATTCACCCTTCATACATGTTTTTGGCCTTCTCTTGACAAGGTCGACGTCCCAGGACCCGCGGACGACGACAGCAGACACGCTGAAGACGTCCCTGATGCGCCAGAGCTGCATGATCAGGGGGGAGACGACTCTGATGATCCTGCACCTCCTGCACTGCAAAATCCGCTCCCTGTGCCCCAGGATGTCCGCAAAAATTCCCCTGACCGTCCGGCACGTTTGCCCAGCCCTCCTGTACCTCCTGCGCCTCCGCCGGCTCCACAGCGTCCGGCAGTTCGTCGACAACTCGACAAGTATGACGGATACAGGCCCTATCCTGCGCCTTCACGTCGACTCCCAGCTCATTCTACGTGTTTTCAAGGCTCCCTGAATGACGACGACTTGCAGCGGAGAAATCTCTTGCCCCAGTGTTTTAGAGTCGACTCTCAGTCCCCTGCCTCGACGCCCGAGCCTGGCCAACGCGACGAAACGCCTCAGCGCAATTCTCCGTCACCTGATCCCCTCATTGAAGCGCCACTGAGTCCACCTGCTGCACCTGCTCCGCTTCCAGAGCCTGCTTATCCACCTTCTCCTACCTCCAGCGACGACAAACTCAATTTCCTGTGTGGAGATGGACATGAGGACGCCTTTGGCTGCTCGCTTGACGCGATGATTGCAGGCGTTGAGCACGTGTACTCCGCTGAAAGCGAGGATTTCTTGTCTTATGACAAAGCCCTCGATTTTGCGTTCGAGTCTTTGGCTCAGAATGCATGCAAGGCGGACCAGGAGCACTCCGGCGAGCCTAGGACCTTCGCAGATGCGATGAAGAGATCCCCAGACGAGCGAGAGAAGTGGCTCAAGGCTGCTCAGGACGAAATCCAGTCCCTCATCAAAATGGGACCTTTGAGCTCGTTCAGCTGCCTCCCGGATGCAAAGCCATTGGTTCCCGGTGGGTTTTCCGCGTCAAGCGCAATGCTGATGGCTCAATCGAGCGGTACAAGGGCCGCCTCATCGCCAAAGGCTTCTCCCAGTGTCCTGGCTTCGACTACAACAAGACCTTCGCTCCTACACCGAAGTGGGCGTCGATTCGAGCCATTCTTGCGCTTGCAGCCCTGGAGGACCTCAAGCTCGAGTCTGTGGACATCTCCTCAGCCTATCTAAACGGCGAGCTGAAGGAGGAGGTGTACATGCAGCAGCCAGAGGGCTTTGAGCAGAAAACTCCGAGCTGGGTATGGCATCTTCTGAAGGCCCTCTACGGTCTGAAGCAGGCTGGACGCTGGTGGCATGAAAGGCTGCACGAGGTACTCATGAAACTCAGACTTTTGCGGCTGATTTGCGAACACAGTGTCTGGGTCTACCATCGAGATGGAGTGCGCATCATCATCCCTGTCTTTGTCAACGATATCACCATTGCAGCGAAGTCGAAAACCGCATTCAGCGTGTCAAGGACGACCTTCGTACGCACTTCAAGCTCAGGGACCTTGGGCCGACGTCCTGGCTTCTAGGAGTCAAGATTGAGCACGATAGAGCGAAGTGTTCACTTTCAATTTCACAGCAGCAGTACACTCTCGACGTCCTGGAGCGCTATGGCCTCGCAAACTGTGACCCTGTGGGCACCCCAATGGAGCCTGGCCTTCGTCTCAGCGCAGACATGGCTCCCAAGACGTCGTCTGAGGTCAGGGAGATGCAGAACATCCCATATGATCAGGCTGTGGGTTCGCTTTTCTACCTTGCTGTGGCAACTCGTCCAGACATTGCATGCGCTGTGGGCAACCTGGCGCGTTTTACGAAGAACCCTGGCATGATGCACTGGAAAGTGGTCAAGCACCCCTTCCGATACATCAAGGGCACCCTCGACTACAAGCTCACCTACTCCCCTTTATCTGATTCCGAGATTTTTGCCTCCCACACCAACACTGACCACGCTGGCTGCCCTGACACTGGTTGATCCACCTCTGGATATGTCGTTAAAATGGGTACAGGTGCGATTTCGTGGTCCAGTCATCTTCAGACGATTGTGGCGCTTTCCACGATGGAGGCAGAGTTCGTTGCAGCGGTCTTAGCAGGCCAGGAAATTCTCTGGCTTCGGAATCTCCTCACAGAGCTCGGTTTCGACGTCTCCCTTGCCTCCAAGCTTCGAATCGACAATCTCTCCGCGCTTTCTGTGGCGAAAAATCCCGAGCACCACGGACGCATGAAGCACCTCAACTTGCGCTTCTACTGGCTCAGGGACGAAGTCGCCAAAGGTCGAATTGAGATCATACACCTTCGCACTTCTGACATGCCTGCTGACATCCTGACAAAGTCGCTGGCTAAGCCGAAGGTGCTGGAGATGGTGAGGATGCTTGGGCTGGGGACTTGACAGGTCAGGGGGGAGTGTTGAGCTCGGAATTTATTCCGCATTTCTGCGAATTATTCTGAGCGTCATTGCCCTGTCCAAGTCGTGGAATGTGTCCTGGTGTGTTCTCCTTTATTGTACATGGACGCCATCACTATACCGTGCATACTGTACTTTTTCCGACGTCATTCCCTTCAGTCTACCATTTTCCATAATGTTTGCATCTTCAGGGATTTGAACCCCTGCACTCATCCGATTTTTTCACTGCTTCGTTGATTTCCACTTTGTGGCTGTTTCTACTGTACAGTTATGGTCACCTTACGTAACGCACACCGTAGACAGTCCGCCTCGTCGAGCTCTAAGTCCCTAAGACTTTACAGAGCTTGACTTAGGCCTTTGGAATTTGGAATTTGAGGCGCACTGCAGCCAACAGCTCTGTCAGGTAATCAGGCGTGGAGATGTTGAACTGGCTCCCACCAAAGCATACATTGTCCACACTCCCCGGGCGGAAGTACCCGAGGAGCTTGGCCTGCAGCTCCATGCAGTGGTGAAGCTCAGGCTGGACAGTGCGGATGACGTGAACTCCAAGTTCACCGCCCACCTGCAAAATGATAAGTCAAAAAATGTGAGATGCAACAACTCTTACCTTTGCAAGCTCCCTACGTATCTTCGCATCCTCACCATCGCCACCCATGAAGGACTTAGCCTCCGCGTTGGGGGACAGGACACCATTCTGGGCCTGCTGGGACTGGGTGATAGCATAGATACGCTTACGGTCAGCAGTACCTTTCAGGCCCTTGTCGAGCACGAGATGCTCGAACTCGGTGCCTTTCACCCAGCCCCCGTCCTCCTTGATGGGCGCCTCACGAGAACACTGGTCAACGGGACCAATGATCTTGCTACGGAGGCTGAGGTAGCGCTCCTGCAGCTCCAAGGGCATGTCCCTACGCAGCAGTGAGCATGAAAAACAATATAGAAACAGAAATACTTATGTCTGGGCAAAGATCTGTTGGCGCAGGACATCATCATCCCAGCCTGGGCCGGCCGGCGACGCAACGTAGACGGGCCGTGCAAACAGCGAGTCTCGTGGGCGCAGAACGTGCCACCCTAGCAATACATAAGCTCTCATTCATGAGATGGATTGCATGCTTACCTTTGTCCCACACGTCGTCCTCCGAGACATGTGGGAGATCCCAATCTGACGGCTTCCTCGCGGTCATTGCAGTGGTGGCGCGCTCGCTGTTATTGACGAACGTGAGGTAGCACGTCGTGTTCACATCTCCCCTGTATGGGTTACGCGGGTGCTCATTCACCATGAACAGCGGAGGAGCTGACTTGGGGCGGTTAGCCACCGGGACCCACTCCCCAGGCGCATCCAAGATGATGCTTGCAGGGATCCCAAAGGGATATGCAGCAGAGGTGCTAGACAAAGGGATATGCAGCAGAGGTGCTAGAAATGGTTAGTACTGTATGTCACAATGAAAGATTGACCAACCCGCTTTTGTCCACACGCCCACACTCCCTGCCTTGCAGCTTGCCATCGAAGTTGGTGTGCCTGTGACCGACCACCCCTGCTCTCCCACCTCCACTCCTTGGTCCCACCCCGCTTCCTGCACACAACCGATGGATGTGACTCTCCCATGCCAGGAGAGTTGTGCTTAAGCGCTCGGCACGAATCCGCCACTGTCCAATGGCCCTGGGTGCGATCTGTGCACCCAGTTGCGTCAGGCTCTCCCATGCTCAACTGTTTCCCGTGAAGTGGCCACGGTTTTTGTTGGCTACAGTGCACCTCAGAGTGATTCCAAAGGCCTAAGTCGAGCTCTGTAAAGTCTTTTATATTTAGGAATCAAAGATACACACCTAAGTCGCGCTCTGTAAAGTCTTAGGGACTTGGAGCTCGACGAGGCGGACTGTCTACGGTGTGCGTTACGTAAGGTGACCATAACTGTACAGTAGAAACAGCCACAAAGTGGAAATCAACGAAGCAGTGAAAAAATCGGATGAGTGCAGGGGTTCAAATCCCTGAAGATGCAAACATTATGGAAAATGGTAGACTGAAGGGAATGACGTCGGAAAAGGTACAGTATGCAAGGTATAGTGATGGCGTCCATGTAGAATAAAGGAGAACACACCAGGACACATTCCACGACTTGGACAGGGCAATGACGCTCAGAATAATTCGCAGAAATGCGGAATAAATTCCGAGCTCAACAATCACTGCATATGTTACAGATTACATCACAAAGACTCCTTTGAAGACACATATGATGTTCTCAGCTGTGAAGACAGTGTTCAGCAGAAATCCTGATCTCAAAGCAGGTGAAGATAGCAACCGCAAGGTGTGTGCACGGAAGCTGATCACTAAAATTGTCAATGCTCTCACTGCCAGTGCAGAAACAGGTGCACCAATGGCTTGCATGTACCTCCTTAATCAGCCAGACCATTACACCAGCCATACATTCCGGCCCTTCTACTGGAGGAGCTACATGTATGAGGTCCTCAAGGCCTGGCCGACTGAGGAGCCAGTGTACACTCCACATGAGAAACCAGCCAAAGTAGTCATAGGCAAAAGCCATGATAAGTTTGTAGGCATTACACAACAAATGGACTACATGTACAGGCCAACTAAATATGCCCAAGTGTGTCTGTACGACTGGATCAGACTGAGTGACAAACAAACCATGGGACGTGCCATGAAACGTGCTACTCAGAAGCTCAAGCCAGTACATGAGAAGATTGCTAAATTGGAGAACAATGAGGACAAGAGCAAACAAGATATAAAGCCATTGCCTAGTCGCAGAGGTGGTGGCCAGGATAAATGGAAGGAAGAGTCTGATGATGATGACCCATTGTTGCTCACAAAGGAGACAGCACAGAAGGCTAGAGAGGATGAGCAAATGGATGCTATCACAAATTACCATGAGCCCACACGCTTCCAGCCCACTCATCCTCAGTATGAAACACACATGGCTGTCATGCTACCAGATCATTGTGCTCGGGTGCCCAACTTTGTTGGAGGCACATTGCCACGTCAAGACAAAGGTAATAGAGAGGAATATTGCATGACCATGCTCATGCTCTTCAAGCCTTGGCATAAAGGCTCAGACCTCAAGGATACTTCTCAGACATGGGATGATGCATTTGCTAGCCATGAATTCACAGAACGGCAGCAAGAGGTCATGAAGTTCTTCCACATAAAGTATGAGTGCAATGATAGTCGAGATGACTTTTCCAAGCACAGACAGGACAAAGGAGAACATGGAGGCCTGGGCTTTGAGGAAGAAGAGGAAGTTGACAATGATGATTACATTGATGTTGTGCAGAGCAGTGTAACAGGTGATGATGGGGCAATTGACTATGATCCAGAATGGGATGTTCTCGGGAGGAAGTCCCTGACCCGTATTGCACAGATGCAACAGGCAGAGAACATTGCTCATGCTAGTGGCTGGCTTGATGACTCCAAAGACAAAGCATCACTCTCACCAATGGACCAGTTCCAGCCCGTGAGCACCATGACAGGACCAGAGTGGAAAAGTGTTCTCAGCCAGAAGCGGGAAGATATTCTCCATCAGCGAGAGGAGCAGGCAGCAAGCAAGCCCAGAGATGAACCTGGTAGCCACAACAATGGCAATGACAAACCTGCAGACTATGTGGATAATGTGAAGGCGGTAGACTACAACTATATGTCAGTCAAATTCAGAGCAGCAGATGATAAGCTCCAGTCACTTATTGATGGCATAGTGAAAAGCTTCACATTGAATGAGGAGCAGGAAAGGGCTTTTCGTGTAATTGCTAACCATGCAACTCAGCCTCCTGCAGAGAAGCTGAAGATGTATCTTGGAGGAATGGCTGGAACCAGGAAATCTCAGGTCATCAAGGCTTTGATCAGGTTCTTCCAAGATCGCAATGAAGGCTATCACTTTGCATGCATGGCTCCCACTGGCTCTGCAGCATCCCTCATCTCTGGATCTACATACCACTCCATGCTGGGATTCTCCAAATATGGTGATGCTAATAATGGGACTCTGCGTAATGTCCGTGACAGACTGAAGGATGTGGACTACATATTTCTGGATGAGATTTCCATGGTTGACTGCAACCATTTCTATGATATTTCTGCACGTCTATGCCGCATATATAGCAACACTGGTGAGCCATTTGGTGGCAAAAATATGATCTTTGCTGGTGATTTTGCACAGCTTGAGCCACCAGGAACAGGGTACTCTCTGTTCTCAGCAAAGGTCAACAGTGTCAGACACTCTACGTCAAGTTGGAGACAACAGGAGGCATCCCTTGGGAAGGCAATTTGGCATCAAGTTACTACAGTTGTGATTCTCCGACAAAATATGAGACAGAAGTCTCAGAGTGCTGAAGATGCAAAATTCAGAAAACTGCTGGACAACTTACGCTACAAAGCTTGCACAATGGCAGATGTGAATTTTCTGCGAGGCCGTATAGCTGGCCGGGGCAAAGGCAAACCAAAGCTTAGTGATCCCAACTTCCGGAATGTGTCTATCATACTGTCATACAATTCCCACAGAGACCGAATCAATGAACTTGGTGTAGCCAGGTTTGCAAAGGACACAGGCCAGACTCTGGAATCCTTTTACTCTCTAGACCATTATGGGAGTCCTGAGGAGAGTAAAAAAACACGCAAAATGAAGAAAAATGCGGATGTCAGGCGCAAGGTGGACAAGATCCATCCTCATCTGCAAAATCAACTCTGGGCATTGCCAAATAAAAATTCCAATAATCACCCAGGGATAATATCCCTCTGTGTAGGACTTCCTGTCATGATTAAAGCCAATGAAGCCACGGAGTGCAATGTCACCAATGGAGCAGAGGCAGTAGTTGTAGGATGGGAATCCAAGCCACTCACAGGAGACAAGAGAATGCTGGATGTGGTATTTGTGAAGCTTACTGCTGCTCCCACTCCTGTCAAACTTGATGGTTTACCAGAGAATGTAGTCCCAATTGCTGCTCAGACAATAAAGATTCCCTGCTTGATGCCCAATGACCGCACACTGACTATCCACAGAACTCAAGTGGCTCTCATACCCAACTTTGCCATGACTGATTTCAATTCCCAAGGCCGTACCAGGCCATACAATGTGGTGGACCTCCAGAACTGCAAAAATCACCAATCTGTGTACACGTGTCTGTCCAGGGGTTCAAGCTATCAGGGGACCATTATTGTCCAGGGCTTTGACAACTCTAAATTCATGGGCGGTGTCACTGGCTGGCTCAGACAGGAATTCAGAGAGCTGGAGCTGCTAGATGAGATCACAAAATTGAGATATGAAGGAACATTGTCTCCAACAGTACAAGGGGTCACCCGTGTAGCCCTCATCCATGCTTACAGGAACACAAAGGGTGCTAAACACATGCCCAAGACCATGCACACTGCACTGAGATGGTCTGAGAAGCAGCCCTTTGACATTGAGGCTCCATACAAGGAAGCTGAGTGGGATATAGTAGAGCATCCAAAGAAGAAGAATGCAAAACAAGGAAGCACAGATGAGCTTGCTGAGCAAGCAGCAAGTGAAGATACACAACAGATCTCCCAACAGGATTTGCAAACAGCCAAGTATATTCCTGCCAAAGGGGCTGTACAGCTTGCAACTGTGAGTACAGACACTGGTGGTAACATGCGCAAGAGGCCCCTGGGACAAGGGACACATAAAGATAGTAATGACAGGCCAGCAAAGAGAGCACGACCACTGGCAAATAATAGCAATATGCCACTCTGTTTTGACTGGAATGAAGAAACATATAGCTGTGCATTTGACAGTCTGCTGGGCATTTTGCATTGTGTTTACCGAGAACAGAACATGTACTGGCAGCAGCATACTTGCTGGGGAGAGGGCCATAGCTGGCAGTACGATCCCTTTGGTAGGATACATGTCAATTTATGAACAACTTCATGCTGCCCACATCAGAAGTCATGCTTGGCAAGACTGCTAGTATTTTGCCTATGCATAGAGTACTGACATATCTTCCACATTTTGCACTTCAGAGTAGCCTGCTAATTTATTAGGTTGTTGTCATATGAGGATCATAGCTTGCAATCATGAGCAACAGACATTATGGATCTGTTTCTTACTTGGTAAATTGCCAAGTTGCTTATCAACATGATCTGAATACTAATGAGCAGTGTTACTGGTTTGTATTGATAGTAACATAGAGCAAATAGCTTGGGAATGTTGCAAAGAAGTAAGGTGAGCCTCTAGATCAACTAGAACTCAAGGAAGGGGAATCTGGGGGTTGACTACAGTAACCACTACTCAGGTGGGACTTGCTGTCAGTGCTGTTGTCCAAGTATTAGCCCTTGATCAGAGAAATTCTGATACCAAAGGATGTCTTTCAGTAGATTGTTAACAGTATTTCCCCAAGTCCAAACCAATCAACAGTGGAGGATGGAACCAATATACAGAGGAGAAGTATACCAGTAAGGAATTCTGAAAAAGGCCTGTCAAGAATTGATGTGTTATACAAGGAATACAACCAAAGAATGTGCAGTTTGCTCTCACCATAAGTGAACAGTTACCAGACACTGACCAGTAGTACAAAGCCATACTAAGGTATGTTACTGGATTGGAGCTCAGCTCCTGAGTCAATAGTAATGGGCTCATGTAGTACAATGTGAAGCAATGTATCACCATAGTAAGTGCCATCAAGACTGAGAGAGTCATGGGCAGGATTGATCACTGATGAATTGAAGGTACACTGGCATAAGAGTACAGAAGCAAGTGGTAGATGAGATAAATGTTTGGACTTGCTCATAGGGATGCTCCTTTTGTGCATTATGCACAGCCTTTTAGCTACATAAAATACTTCATAGAATTCTACAAAATAGTAGAAGACTCAGTACACCACTTTCCAAGGCCATTCAAATGCACAATAAGCTCACAGGCTCATTGTAAGGCAAGGGTAGATGTGCCAATAATTCTCACTGATCATCAAGGATGTGCTCTGTGATTCATGACACACCACTTGCATGTTGTCCTGAAACACTAGCACAGCCTTATGAACACTAGTCACTCATAGATTGCCTGCCAGCTGGGATAATATATCAATAGATAACATAGTCTGAGCTAATAGAACCCCAGTAATATCTTTCAAAGCATCTGGTCACAAGGGTCTAAGGAGATTGGTAATAGTCCAGTCAGAACATACACCAATAGGTGCCACAAAGCATAACAATGTGGGAAAAAAAGATCACTGAAATCTGGTCAGAAGGCATTGTGAACCCAAATGAAGTCCATTAAAAGGATCTACAATAAAGATAACAAAGCCCAGGAGTGATAACAATTCCTGCTGCCTACCCTATTCAAAGACCATATCTATTGTAGAAAAAGGGTTTTCAATGCCTTGTCCCTAACAACGGACTGCATACTAAGACTTGCACATGGGCCTTTCCTGGGTATTCTAGTAATGCCTACTATCAGTGGTCATGCTCTCTGATCATAAGTCCAAGGATTTCTATATCTTCAGACATACTCCCAAGATAATCACCAGGGTCATTTTCTGGCTGACTGTTCATTATTTTGTGTGCACATACAATGTATGGTACTATATTTGGATTACACACTATATTTTTCATGTTGACATTCCTTGGGCATGGCAGATACCACCCAGGATCAACTGCCAAATGGTGTACTGGTAGGCACACTGCCACAAATTTCCAATGCTGTTCAAATATCACACACACATGTTCACACCTGGGTCTAAAGTGTTATATTTCCACTTTCCATATAACATGAAAGGACCCAACATGAGTAGCTGATATTTTATCATCACATGTAAAAGGAAACAGTTGCAGCAAATGAGAGTACTGCCAAAGTCATATTGTTGACTAGAGATCCATAAAAGGACAGCCATATATTGGCTCAGAAGTCCATTGTAATATGGCCTCTTCACTGTTGCTTAGTAAGCAATGCAAGTCTGCATTATTTCCATGGCAACCATGACTTCTTCTGAGCCCAATCAGGAAGAAATCACAGCATACACTGCAATATGAGTGATAGTAGACATTGCACAAACAGACACCACTGTCAATACATTTTTGCCCATATGAACAAGCCAAGAGCTGCCTATTCTATCTTCACATACCAAGGGCCATTGCATGAGAATAGGATGATGGTAGTGCATACAGACATTAGATATGCTCCAGGCAAAAATTATATGAGCAATTAACAATCAAGCATAGCACCATCATACTGTATAATTGGCACTGCTTCATATTGATACAATCAGTCAAAGACATGCTTATACTGGACTGGGACAATAGAGCTGTAGACATCAGGCTGTGAACTCTGCATCAGCACATCTGAGATGTACTGTCATGCATTGGCCTACAACAGTCAGCATGATGTCATGGGATCATCTGATTTTATCTCATTTCCTACCATTTATCTAGCATTGCAGAGACCATCAAAGCATTTGATCACCTATGTGTGGTGTCCCTACTTTATGACATTGCTAGCCTATAGACTTTCTAGCAACAGTAGTAGATGCACAACTTGTACAATGTCTTTCTATCACTTTCTAGGATCAGTACAGTGTCATAAAGCTCTGCGAACCCATAATATTAATAGCTATGCCATTCACATGTGAGACAGAGCCAATATTATGAACATACTCAGCATTAACTGTGGCCTTTGTGCCACAGGTGTTCACCATTTTCTGCATATGCCATTGCCTGCCAAAGGGTTTAGACATGAGCCAATCAATACTTATAGCAAGCAGTACAAGGTGAGTGGAATCATACAGAATATTCCCTTGTTTTATCCGCATTTTCTGAGCCCAGACACAGCAGATAACTCGGACTTTCCATTTTGAGAAGGTCAGGTACCACATATGGCAGGTTTCATTCAGGTCTCATATAGCCACACAATCCATAGGCAGTTGGCAAGCATCACAGGAAACACAAACAAAGTGAAAGAGCCAGTGTGTACAGAGGAATATGTATTTTATTTTGCTTTGTGAATGGTGGGTGCCATGTTTATATGAATCCATGGGAAGGCATACTATGTACAGCCTCTCTGACATCATATACATGACTGGGAATATTCCCAATTGTTTTTGATTTTTTGGGAGACCATAGCACAGTAAATACAGTGTCACTAATGAGCTTGTGGCTTGCATTCAAACTCAGCCCAATAGCCTGCCTTTGCAGGGCCTATTGAATAGCTGAACCAAACAGAATAGCCTAGGATCCTGTCTGGAATTGCCAGTCCCTGAGGTGATACTGGTTCTTACAAGATGGACCAAGACTCACTGACAGAGTGTCTTGTATCTGGCTATGCATGGGTCATTCTGAACTATCATATGTTTTCTGCCATATTGGAGCCTCAACAGTCAACCCAATACAAATCCATAGTACTATCTAATTTTTCTCTGATTTTCCTGCTATTTATCCAGTCCTGCAGAGGCCATGCATGGCCAACTTCCCAAATGGGCAGGGGACTAACCATATATGGCAGTTTTGTATGTTTGATATCCTCCACCTCACATAGCCAGTACATGTGGAACTGTCTTGTACAAGCATCATACACACACCAACATTTGCTTATATCCCCAGTATCACTTGCCAAGGTCAGTACTCTGTGAAAAACAACAAGAACACCTAATCTGGGCACCCTTGTCAGTACTCAAGGGGCATTCCATGGAGAAGCAATATTTTGGGATTTTTCTGCATTTAATGGGGCTCTAGTAAGAGCTCAGTTAGTGTGGCTTGAAGCCATCAAAAAACTCGGCATGAAGAGCTGACACTGAAAGATTACTTTAAAAGGGAACATTTGTCAGCATTTCAGCCAATGGGAGTGCTCCAAAATCCCCTTTGAGTGACTGGAGTCGTCGACAGGCCGGAATTCCGGCCTGTCGACGACTCCGCTTCGGCAACGGGCGCTCAATCGAGCGCTTAGTAAGCGATGTAAGTGCACACTGTTACTGCAGCACAATTCACTTGTTTTGGGGTCAAGAAAATGCGGATTAATCAGACAATATTCCAGGATATATGTGGAGCATCCCTGAGCATATTTAAAAGTGGAGAAGATTCCCTATAGGGTCATTCAGTGCTGAGACATCAAAACATGCATGTTATTACCATTTTCCCCACCAATAGCTGTGCTGTGCAACTTCCAGACACATCCATGCATTGTAAACTATGCACATATCTATACAGGTCATAGGCAATGTGTTTCAGAGACAACAAGCCATTCATATCTGCACAGTCACTTGTGATTCTCTAAATGTTGTCCTTTGTTCTTCATTCCTCCAATGTATGATTAACCCTTGAAATGATGGGCTATCAAATGAGTTTATCATCTCTATAACCTCTATAAGAGTTGATTAGATTTCAGTCAGTGTATCCCAGTCAAATGCCACATTCATGCATGTGTTTCTCTGTTTCCTGAATTTCAAACAACTGGGCAAGTCATACTAGTGATATATTGTGGGGGCCTCCATACAAGATGAATTGCCTTCATATACAAGGCAATACAGATGAGTCTGATTACACATAATATTCCCTGATTTTATCTGCATTTTGTGAGCCCAGACTGAGCAGGTTAAGCAAAATTACCATTTTAGGAAGGTCAGCTACCCTATTTAGCAGGTTTGAGATGTCAGAGAATCTGTGGGCAGCATATAGGCTTCAAAAGAGAGACTTTTGAGGTGAAAAGGGATGCGCTCATGTGCACAGAGGCATTTGCATGTTTTTTTGTTTTGTGAATTGTGCCATGACCAGTGAAGGTAATGGGCAAGTCACAGCAGCTATAGACTCTATGACATCATACCTATCACAGAGATTATTTTGGGAATTTTCCGCATTTTAGTGGGCCACACACAGTACAGCAGGTACAGTGCCACTAAGGAGCCTGTGGCTGAGATTCAAACTCAGCTCAAAACCTCGGCAGCCTGCCTGATTAGGGCAGAAAAGGGCTTGTTGCACCAATCAGAGCAGCTCGGCATCCCTCTTGTGCCGTTCGGAGGTGCAACCGTGCCAAATTTCCGCACGGTTGCACCTCCGAACGGCATCTGGGCGCTTGATGGGCGCTTAGTAAGTGATGTAAGTGCGGACTGTTACTGTGCTTAAGAGAGCTTGTTTAGACTCCGAAAAAAGCGGAAAATTGAGACAATATTCAAAATGATCCAGGCAATGTGAATGAAGCTGTATATTGCATGGGTTTGACATCAGATCAGATAGCATTCTCAATAACCTGGAAAGATGGTTGCTGTGGCCCCAGTGAGCTTATATAAGCCTGCTACTTCACTCTTGGAACTGCTCATGTACTGGACAACCCTATAAGATCATAGTGTAAGTACACATTCAGGTATGTATCCCTAGATTGTGTCTGTGAGCAAGACAAAGCCAGCAGTGGATGCATAATTACCATATGGCGTATGTGACCTCCCCAAAGAGGAATCATACACAAACAGGGGCATGTAGGGCTCAGAAAAATGCAGAAAGTCTATGAAATATACAGACACATCAAAGACAAGTGTATGATTGCCCTGAGCTGCAATGGTTACCATTACATTGTATGCAAGGGCCATAATATGGCAAAAGATGCGCAGATTACCCATTATAGTCCTTGTTACCTGTATTATTGAAGCTACTGAGTAGTCCACAGTGTCTGAACTACACATATACATTGCAGTGTACATATAGATCATATTTGAGTCATAAACAAGCAGATTGAATCTGCAGAGGCACATGTGCATTTTTTTGCTTTGCATTTCCTGGGTTAGCCAGCCACTGTATGCACTCAGTAAAATTCCTGTATACTCTCTGAATGAAGGGCTATCAGATGAGCATACTATGTATACTATGATTTGTTACTGGCTGAGACTATATAGGCACTACAGTGTGTAAGCGCTTGCAGCATTGAGCCACCCAGCTGCCAGTCACATGATATGTTTACCAGTTTCCTTATTGGGGGAACTGCTAAGGCGTTTCATGGGCCTCATATCCATAACTGAGCGCTTAGCCACTGCATTTGTTTGTATCTGTTGGTGCAAGTTGCGTTGTCTGGGAGTCTGAAATTTCAGACTCAGATAAGCAACCCATACTAACAGTTACTTATCTCTGCTTATCAGGGTGGCTGCAAGTCACGTGCACTGTGGGAACAAACTACCATTCCAGAGGAATTGCTAAGGCATTTCATGGTGGTCCATCATAAGAACGATACCTTCGTACCTCAGGGATCGTAATACCAGGTAGCTGTCGATGAAGGTGAGTCGCGATGTTGAGTTGAACGGGCCCTGAGCTCAACAGGTTTAGCACCATCGACCCAAGACATTATCGCACGACTCAAGGAAGAGGACGCAGCCAAGTGTGACACCGAGATGGATAGACAAGGGGTGAAGCGGAAGGCGGCGGGTATGGAAGACGAGGCAGGGGGAGTGACTGTTCGCAGGCAAGGTCTGGGCGACCTTCTCTTGGATGTGATTGCACTGGAACGTCTACAGTGAGTGAACACGACAACTGGGTGTCTATGGATAGGTGACAGCCAAGAACAGGGAAACCTTAAAGAGGAAGGTGCGAGAATACGAGAAGGAGCTGTCATCCGAGATGTACAACGAGATCGACAACGAACGGGACAAGCTCCATACCAAGCAGCAAGATTGGCTGATGTGGCAAGCCCAAGTGATGGGCGCGACATTGCTAATCCTGGAGGAGGAACTCTGCGACTGTGAGTGGCCGACTCGTGCAACAACGGATGCGGAAAATGTCGTTTTATTGGTCCCATCCACGTACCCCCAACCTGTTTGCAAGCACACCCTTTTCCAAAGTTTCGTTTCGGCAGAGTGGCACCTCCGCAATGCTCATGCCAAAGACCTCCTGAAGAAAATCCGGCAGAAGCTTCATTTTGAAGTGTTCTTTTGCGCGCAAAACACGGGCTTGTATGGCAGCAAGCCCACACCAGGTATGCGAAGCTCAAGGAGACCAAGAGGGCAAAAATCCAGTCACTATGACAGGAGTACGAATTCACCAGGACAAGGGTCGTTCGACTGGCCTCGGCGGATAATCCTTGCTCATTGGAACCTCTCACAGAGCAGCAGTGTCGCCCGCCAGTCATTGCTGATGAGAACACAGGTTGCCAAAATGAGCGTGTCTCATGGCTTTGGCGGGACAACACATACCACGGCGCTGGACGTTGGACAAGTGGGCGCTAGAAGGTGAGTCTCTGCAATAGTACGTGTCAAAGGCACACTGACGTTCTTCATGCAGCGGCGTGCGTCAAGTGGTTCTGGGCCAGTGCACGTGTAGCAAGATGGACGTATTAGGAGTCGCACTAAATACACCACTATGTTCAGCACTACACTGTGCACTATGGAGCGCGCTAACCATCGGCACTAACCTGTGCACTAGGGATCGGGGTAAGGTGCGCACTAAAAGGTGGGATATGTTTTGCACTACAAATTACACTATATATTTGGGTAAGTCGTAGGCTACCTGTTGGGGCCCCAGTAGGTAGCAATGGAGGGATGCGGACAATATTAGTGGATGAGGAGTGGGGGGCAAAGTATGTTATTTGGACAATATTGTCGGTCAAAGGTATCTTGCCAGGTGCATCTATTGAGCAGCTTTGTTGTCTCTTGTACTTGTATAAGGGCTCAAAGTCTCAAAATGTACATTCAATCCTTTAAAAGGACACATAAGTAACCCAGGTTTTTCCTGATGGCAGCCTAGCCCACACCCTACATCGCCGAGGATGGCTTGCATGTCGGCCACAATCCTGGCCATATGTGTCCTATATCTTGCCCCTGCAACCTCCCGATGAAGACTTGTATGAACACGTCCACTACACAGCCAGGATCTCCACGCCAATCCAAAACAATCAGTCATACACACTTGGGAACACCATGACCCCGGTTACTCCAACCATGGAGTCGCCGCATCTGCCTACACCCACTGTACCATCACACAGGAACCACCCCATCATGGACTACCTCCCCCACCCCAAAGACATCGCGGCCAACCCACCTGCGACTGCAAATGTGAGGAAGCCAGCTTCCAAATTTGGATTGTCCACAGTGGGCTCTGCACTCCAAGCGACAGCCTCTTTGTTGCAGGCCTCGAGCTCTCACGGACAGCTGATCCAACACAGGTGCAGGTGCCCGAAGAAACATCTGCTGCCCACCCGCACCTCCCCACCTCCGCCCGTCAACTACCCCTACCCACCGCCCAATGTGCTGGTGCAGCTCCCACCTGGCCCTGCCTTGGTCGCCATGTATGACATCTGGCCACAGCAGCACTGGATGGACTCACTGACCGAGCAGCCGTCCGAGCTCGCCAGTGCATCTGTGGACGCACACATCTGGAAAAGCTTCATTTGAGAATGACAAAGAAATATTGACAATAATCAGCATTTCTAGGTAAAGATCTGCAATACCACCTGTTCTTCGTTTCCCAGAGAATCACTTTTTCTCTTACCCCCCAGCACTTCCTGTGGGAATTCATGGCAATTACATTCAATACAAACCACTTCTACGCACTCGCTGCACATTATCTGACGTGTATCAGAGTAATTTGGGGGATGTGCATTCTTTGTTTTGCTTTCTGGTTATGCAGTGTCATACAAGGATCATTACAGAGTATAATGCATAATTGTTATTCTAGAACAACGACAATGACTCGGGACGAAGTACTACAACATAGCTCGCAGATCACATTGTTAGAGACGAGGCCGCCCTGCTTCTTTGTCATGTGGGTTTAGCAGCATGACTGCTGTCATTGCCTGAAGAGCCCTGGAAACAACAGTGGCAGCTCGTGCGGGAGGTGTTGAACAGGCACAGCGTACCCCCAACTGTCGACAAGCATGAGCAAGACGTGCTGAAGCCAGTCACAGACAGCGAGATGAGTTACCCCTCGCACCCAGTCAATGAAGCCGACTTGCTTCCTGATGAGTGGTAGGGAAGGCAGGGATGGGAGCAAGGGGAGACAGTGTCTGAGACCCTTCTTATGTAGAATGAGTTTGTCTGTGTAGGGTTGCTGCACTCCGTGTCCGCGATGGGTCCATCAGATGATGGATCCACAGTGTACGGCAGCAGGATGCCTTTCTTCATCACATACGTGAGTGCAGCTGCCAGTTCACAAAGTACAAAGTGTACCCATCAGTACACTGGTTCTGGTTCACAATGGACACACGACACAGGACTCACCAGCTGTGACATTAGCCACTTTCTTTGCAACCTTCTTCTCCTTTTTAACGTGTTTGTTGTGTACCTTGACCGCTGTTGATGAGACTTGTATCATCAGACTCGAGAATCTTGCACACCTTCACCTGGTGCTCGTACAGGTCTGGCATATTCTTCACCCTCGCCATTCATCCCCTCACATTCAAGCTCCACAGTGCGCCTGCTCTCGTCTGACGTGCCCACGACTTCCTTGCATGTTTGCTCGCCTGCTTCGTTACCCTCATGTCGCTCGCCTTCACCCACGCCTCCTTCCCACGCCCTGTTCCTCTTGACACGGCTCAGCTACTTGACGACCTCAAAATGACCTGCCCAGACGATCTGCAGGATGAACACTGGGCTGTGCAAGACCGCCACACACCCAGTAACCTCTCTGCAACCACCTGCTCAATGGAGGTCTCTGAGGGACAGTGAGTGGCACGGTGAGGAAACACAATTCAAGAATATACTCACCTGAGCAAGGCTTCTGAAGCATTGTAAGCCTGTCCCACACGTCTTTACGCAGTGTCAACAGCCATAATCTTGAATCAGTGCAATGGTCGATGCTGTTGTCCTCATTGCGGGCGGCTGCGACCAGTGTGTGTGGCTGTTGGGCGAGGTGTCCATGTCCGCTTGTGGGTGTGTCTGGCTCTGCCATACGCTCACGTATCCGTGCATGACTGTCATTCCAATCCAATGTGGTCTGATGAGTGAGGGTCTCATGAGCCAAGGTCCAACAAAACCACAGTCGGTACCAATCGACTCACCAGGCTAGTAGAGACCAGTGTCTTCAGTGAGCGACATGTCCGAGTGCTGCACTTGTGTGGTGTTGTTGACGCTGCACTCGCTATGGTCATCTGGATGCCGTCTGGTGCGTTGCGTGGAATGCTGGCTTGGGGTAAAAAGGTCAGTTCAGTCTCGCTGACTCGGGGCCGTCGGGTGGACTCACAATGATCTTGGCCTTGCTGGACAGTCTGTATACCGGCCTTGACACGCGAGAGGCGGCAATGGTGCAGGGCTTGTCTGCTGCCCATCAGGTATGCACATGGGCCTTCATGATGTACAGCAAGTGCAAGACGTGGACGGCACCACCGTCATGGGAAGGCATGTTGTGCGTGAACGAGGTATGCGACAGGAGCAGTGCTGAGAGGCATGACAAATGTGGGACAAGTGTGCAGGAGGAAATAACAGGTAAGTATGAAGTATGGACAGAACAGACAATCTTGCGACCAAAGATCTGACAATACCGGGCAGCTGGACAGGAGTCGTCAGGGAGGTTGCGTAGCCATGTCACCGTTGTGCTGGCAGGCCACTATGACAACATGTACCTAGACTAAGCACCTAGCTCGGACTCACCTTAGAGCTTGTCAACGCAAGGAGCAGAGCCGTCAGGCTTTGGGATGATGTGGAGGCTGAGAGGAGCAAGGTGAGAGGTCGACGCAAGACGCAAGGCTTGCCACGAGAGCTGAAGTCCCAAGCACTGGTTCCAGAGTTTCCCGCACATATGCGGCTCTGGCTAGCACCGGATGTGCTCACAACTACACCTGCCCAACTGTGCCTCACTACACTTGACTTGCTGGGGAGTGGGCCATGTATGGCAATACGATCCCAGTTGTGTTGTCTGTGTCTTTTGTTTTCTGGTTCATCAAATTATCACTTCAATCTCACTTATCAATCATTATATGTATTATGTATTGATACATACTAGTCTGTGAGACTAACTTCTGTGCTTGACTAGACCAAGCAGTTGTCAAGCTTTAACAATGATACTAACCTTGCACAAGCCAAATTTTATTCATCAGGGAGTATCATAGTAGTAACAGAGATGTTTACATTCATATGGCTCAGCTCATCATCCTTAATGTGGTAACACAAATCCTGAGTCCTAAGTGTCCTAGACAATCCATAACCTTTCAAAAAAAATTATTGATTCCAGGTAGCTATGCCAATATTGCTATACAGCCATTACCCAATGATATGTGCAGTTGCACAGTTGCTCTTGCCTAACTGTAGCTAAGCTGTCCTGTTTTACCATGTCTGGGATATAATGTACTGTCTCAAACACTGAACAATGATACCACCTCAAACTGGCAGACTTTTCTATTACGTAATCTGTGTAGAGCATGCTAATCAATGAATAATGATAATTATTAGAGTTCATTGTACCATTTGAGCTGGGTAGGGAGTCATATACTTCCCTACAAATTGTTACTATACTGGCCTAGACCTTCCCAATGTCAAAGTCTGTTCAGGTTAAGTTTGGTACATTCATGATCCTTGTTCCTGAATTTTAGCTCATGCTGTGGAAAAACAGTCAGTCACATGGTCAAGATACAGTATACTGGAATTCTCATCTGTATTCCTCCTCATCACTTGTCCCAACACCATTCCATAGCATGTCTCTGTCACTACAGACATATGTAACAAGTTACTAGCAACAATCTGACCCAGACATTGTTACAAATATTCAATGGAGAGCAAGAACCTGTAAATAAGAATTATATCATCAACATCACTGTTTTTTCCTGCACAATAGCAGGCAGTCTGCATAAGTCTTTCACTCCTTCAGAAGGATCAGCTGTAGTCCAGAGCTTTGGGTGAGCAAAATGACCACATATGTCATTCATTACTTCATTGATTTTCTGGAGTTTGGGATTTCTTTCTGAGCCTACACAAGGAGGTTAAGTGGCCTCAAAATGAATATCCTGCACATGTTCATGCTTTGTTCCATATGAAGGCTATGGAAATTATGAGGAGGTCTGTGAAGAAGCTATCACACAATCATGATTACTACTACATATGGCAGGTGCCCTCCCAATTGGCAATCTCACACTGGGCAATGCTTTGTGGGCCTAGTCAGCATACATGCATTATATGTGTCCTGTGTCCTGTTCTTGAAATGCTATTGTGAGACATTAAAAGTTGCTGATGCTCCTTCTCATGGATTACAGTGCTTTATGTGACCCATTTTGCATCTTTCCATAGTTATAGGCATTTGAAATTTTCTCAATTGTGCTCTCTGTCTGTATCAATGACAATTAGCATAGTATGCATTCCTACATTCATTGGCACAGGGTGCTATGTAATGCAATTGCTGGGGAAAATAGTAGACCCACTCTGTTGTGATTGTGAGCATATATCAGACATATTGGGAGCACACACATGGCTGTGTCTAGTGATATTGTTAGATGTGCATACTCTCACTTGTCAGGCTACATATGTACTGGATACCTCAATGTCATACTGTCTGAATCCTCAAACATTAAACATTGTGCTCTCATCTTGAGCATTCACTCCAAGATATCATAGAGTGGCCACAGGTAACACCCAATGTGGTACTGTTACTATTGTGTCATGAAAGTATGGCGTACCGTTTGATGCAAAAATCAATGCCCCCTACATACATTCAGAACCACCCCTACATATGTTCGGCGCCCACTACATACACTTTTGTACCACTACATACATTTCCGCTGCACCACTACATATGTTTTGGCCGTGCGCACTACATATACGTACATCGTGCCGACTGTCCTACATATTCCACAACTTCAGACCACCCCCCTACATATTTCCATTACATAATATAGTATTAGCGCGAATACGGTGTGCTTCCAAGTCCGTAAGCATTTTGGCACTTCGCTTGCTTTGTCGAGTGTGACGCGCTTGCTGCGAAAGAAAGCCCGGGCCAGCCGACCCAGGTAGTAGATGAATTGATCATTGTTGTTTTACCATATAATCTACGAGTTCTAGTGCAGAGCACAGGTACACCTGCGGGTGTCCCGAGGTGTACCCTAGTCGCCCCACTGGTACGTCTCGCCTCTCCTCTCTTTCATCCGTGCTGACACTCATCCTCCCCTGTCCAGTGCCCATTCCTTCCCGTCCATACTCCACACTCGTCGCGCCTGGTGCGCCTCCTCGATCTTGCACGTCCACCCTTTGATCGCCGTGGTCGTAGCTCCGCAGCGAGCCGGCAGTCGCGAACGCAAGTCGTGCACGCGCACGCGATGCACCTGGGCCTCGCCCGCGAACAACGCAGACAGATTCACCTGCCTGCGTACGTGCTCCCGCTTGTCTCTGCCACTCGCGCATGCTGACACTGTCCGTCCCTCACCACCGGACCCATCCTCCCCGTGGCAAGCCATCCCGTTCCCATCGCGGGTCTTCAGCTGCTGACTCGCCCAAGCTCGTCGTCCCGTCGCAACATCCGGGCATGTTTGCGATGGCTCATGACACCTGGTGTCTGGCTCGCATTGCCATCTGCGACCCACTCCTCTGCCTCCAAGTCCGTCTTCGTTAGCGAGCAAAGGGGTACATCACACCACGTAAGCCTTTCCGACTGTTGCTCACCTCTGTCTGTGTGCAGATCGGATCGCCTGTATTCCAGTGGCGGCATGTGGCATGGCATGCTCGTTCGTTCGAGGGACAGTCCGGACGCAGGGCGCGCAGCTCGCGGGGAGTGAGTAGGGCGCGATGCCCGCATTCAGTGGCCCCAGGACACAAGTAGGTACGTGTTTTGGGTGCGCAGGCAGGTAGGGAAGACGGAGAGGCGCGCACCCCAGGGTTCGTTGGATCCCGCGCATATGGCTCAACCACTTGCGTACGTGTGTGGGAGGGAGGGATGGTGCGCAGGGACGTGCGCAGAGGCGAGGTGGGCTGGCGGGAGGGCACCTGGGCAGGATTCGGCACAGGCGGAGACGGAGACAAGGGAAGGCCACCCCACGCTTGATAGGCTACGCGGCGCGCGCGTCAGGTTGATGGTCCAGATGGGAGGCTCATGAGCGAGGGAGAGGGAGGAGAGCGAGTGGGCGCGGCGAGGTGCGTCGTGAGGCGCAGTGCAGATGACTGCGGGATGGACGATGCGGGGTCAGAATGATCACTGACCTGTTTGTCCGCTCGCAGCTCCCACTTGCCCCGTGCCCGTCCGTCTATCCGTGGGCTGCTCGCCAGCTTTGCACGTTCATCGACCATGTCTGCCCGCTGGGCAGTTGCCCAGCGTGCTCGTGGTCTGCGTGTGCTGCCGCTCGTCCGCTAGTTCGTTGGCCGTGCCTACCCCTGCGTGCCCACGGTCGTGGTGCACGTCAACGTGTCCCACGCCTGCCGTTAGTGACCCTGGGCCTTTCCCGGCCCACCAAGTGCGTCTTGAGATGTGTTTGTGACGTGTTCATGGTTGACGCGGCGGTCTTGCATGTCCCACGCTTGGTGCGCTGTGTTCGCCAGTAGTGTGCCTGCGCTGTCAGAATGTGCGGGACAATGGCGTGAGTAGGTGTGGTGATGTCAACATGCGCGTGCGACAGCGGATATAAGTGGGGGAGCAAGAGAGGTGGTTTGTGGAAGCACACGTGCAGAGCTGTACAGGCGCTAACACGTGCGATGCGGGCGGGCACCGCACAGGCAGCGATGCAGAGCGGCGACGCTGGCGATTCACAAGGGCGTTGAGGGCGGTGGACACTGCCACTCTGGTAAGTGTCCTGGACACTCACAACGACCAGTGTTTGAACACTCGTACTCTCCGCGGCTGCAACAGAAATAACCACACCGCGGCTTAAATCCTACTGCGACGATTTGAACTACATGCAGTGCCTCAGCAGTCTCAGTCTGTTGCAAGTATGCGTAACATGGATATAAAGCCGTTGACCTTCCAAATGGTTCTTGATCAACGAGAACTGCACGAAGTTTTAGAGCAGAACTAAACTGGATGAACCTCTGTAACGACTCACCTCAGGTCGATGGATGGAAGACATAGCTCGTCCTGATGTCGAGGCTGCCTGGGTGCGCCCTTCGTGATGGAGCTGGATGCATCGGCCGTGCTGGGTAGCACGCCGAACACGTCGTGCGTCGTGGCGGCGCAGAGCTTGTGAGCCAGACCGTCGGACTGCTTCGGTGGCTCCCTAAGGTCACCAACGCCAGGTGCAACGAGCTCAATGCTTGTTGTACCACACATTGGTGTGGGTGGCAGACTCAGAGAAGTCAAGACGAGAGCATGAAGGGGCACAGCGATCACACTTGAAGAGGTGTTGCATGTGTCCTGGGGATCGGCTGCGTGTGCATCGGGCAACAGGCTCGACGTACGTATAGCTCGATGCAGCATGATGGAAGGGTGGGGCGGCCCGGTAGAACTGGAGAGTTCGCTGGGCATGCTGCTCTTCGAAGTGGAATCTTGGTAGATGGTGGCGTGCACGGGCGGGCGTGCTTCGCACACATTCCAATAGAAGAAGGTAGTGGTGGATGCATCGAGCAACGGGCTCGACGCATCCACCGCATGCCTGGATAAAGAAACACAAGGAGGCGGCCCAGCAGAGCTAGGAGGCTCTCCGGACGTGCTGTCTTGCAAGTCGATAGCAACAGACGCAATTGCCGTGCTGCCAGTTGAGCCCAGTACCCTATTGATGTTGGAGGAATGCACGACGAGCTCGTTGACCATCGTGCAGCGTCTGGACGTGGGCACTGAGTTTGGTGATGCCCCGACCGGGGTCGCCGTCCTAAGGTGTGCCCCGGCCATCAGAGCAGCACGGGTTCATATCGGGCTCCCTTCTGCCCAGCACCCTCCTTCGCCTGCTCATATGGTGCAGTCCTAAGGATGGGAGTTTGAAGTAGTTGCTGGGTCACCTGTGCGTCATCCTGGGCCAGTCCCCACCAAAGGGACAGGTTGTCTAGATATCTGGCTGTGATGTGTATGTTGTTCCCAGGGGCAGATGGGAGTTGCTTGAAGAAGACATTATGCAGGTGGTTGATTGGCCCACTGTGATCAGGAGTGAGGGTGGCCTGGGCTGCCCGGTTGAGCTGGGCTGCAGTGTGTGGTGGAGTAGAATGGTGAGTGGGGTTTGCTGGAGCAGCAGCTGGGGCTGCAAGAGCAGCAGGGTCAGGGGGAACAGGAGGATCAAGGGTCAGTGGGCCAGGGGGCCCATTACAGGGGGGGAGAAAGGGGGCACCAAGGACAGCCATATTGCTGGGGTCGGGAGGTGCAGCACTTATGGTGCAGGTTACATCAAGATTAAACCTGTTGAGTGCTTTGGTAGCAGCATCAAGAGCTGTGGTGACACCCACAGGCAAGCCAGTAAGCTCAATACTTCTAGGCCAGACAACCTTCAAGGACATCAGCAAAGCATCCAGAACAATGGGCAAGACACTCACTGATATCATGGAGAGAATATGTGACAGTGAATATTGCAAGCAACAAATCTTGAGGGAGTATGAGCTCAGGGGCATGTATGAAAACAATGCCCAAGCTTGAGGCATTCATGAGGTTTGGCAGATATTAACAGTGGGGGACTAGAGGCACAGTGGTGCTGTGCGCCTGGTGGAAGCCACACACCATGTGCGAGAAGTGACACCATGCTCACATGAACTTTTTACCCGCAATTGTGCCATGGTGTGATTGCAGGTAATGGCAACTGGCCGAAGGCAGCCGCAGAGTGAGATGCAGACTGCACGTTACCCGTGTTCATGCCATGACACAAACATGGGTAAGAGTACCTTGCAATCCATGATCGTGCTGTGGCGCAAACAAGGATGAGTTCCTGCTTAGATTTGTGCTTCAAGGGCAATGAATGAATCATACAGGTGAAAAATCCCATCCTCACCCTATACTTACCCTGACTATTGGTCAAAAATCCCCTATAATCGGTCTGCTCCTTTGTTCAGGTGGTGGCCTGCATGTCACAGCATTGCAAGCGATAAAACACCGCTGCAGGTGCTGCAACCCCACATCATGGATCATGTGACTGGCTAGACCCAAGTGGCCACTGTCCCTTTTCTGGTGCAACAGAGATATGTACACATACACAGTGATCTGTAACTGATGTTATCCAGGAAAATACACATTCCAGGCAAGTTGTGGGAGACCTTTTGCACAAGAAGTATCACAAAAGCTCACATTGCCCTAAATGGTGAGCAACCTTCCAAATCCAGTAATTCTCCATAAAGTGAATGTCTGGTGGTTCATAAATTGCAGATAAATCAGAAGATATTCATAGAGTACTATGGCATGTTGATGAGGTCTGTGATGTTTACAGCATGTTACCATATATGGAAGGTAAGCTATAATACCATGTACAAGCATCAAATTAGCTGTCCTTGCCCATTCTGAGCTCTATTGTGGCACCATAAAGCATTTTCATGATGTCTGACACACATGGTCATGTGCTTCATATCTAGGGTGAAACTGAGCAGTTCAAATTCTGCAAAGTCACTTGTTTTTCTTTTTGTATTTTGCATTTTCTAGCCTAACTAGCCACATCTGGGCCCCAACAAAATTACTGTAGACTCTGTGAAACAATGGCTACAAGTTGACTATATATTTGCCATATCTATTTGTGGATGCTTACTGTTGCAAAAAGTGATTGATTATATTGGAGCCCAGTGCTGCTGCTGGTGAGGTCACATGCCATGTTCACCACTTTCCATCTTGGGCTCCAAGCTAGGTGTTACAGGAGCCCCAAATCCATGGGGAATTGTCAGCCACAGCATCTGTTTGGGTGTGTTGGTGCAACTTGCACCGTCTGGGAGTCTGAAATTTGAAAACTCAGCTCATGTGAGTATAGTAAGAGCTACTTACCTTTAGTTATCTGGTGCCCAAACAGTCACATGCACTGTGGGAAAAACCTGCCACATTGGGCTCCATGCCAAGCATTACATTCTCTCCAGTCATAAGAATGATTCCTTCATACCTCAGGGATTGTAATTCACCATGCGCTACAATCCAATACAAACCAAAACTGCTATGTGCTACAGTCCAATTTGCCATGATTGTGGACTGCTATGCTATGGCTACACTACAGCTATGTAGCTGTAGGGTCTGGGGATCATTCACTCCCCTCAGATGGGGGATCCTGAATCACATGGCAATGGATTTTGGGATCATGGGACATGTTTCAGTTGTGTGAGTATTGGGAACTTGCAGGCCTCACAATCACCAACTGTTCTTGTGAATAGAAAAATATTCCCATGCCATCACTCAATGTATCAATAAGCTGTGGTGGTTTTCCCAGTATTGGGGTGTAGGTGTTGATGTGATAACAACCAAAAGATAGGCAGTGGTCCATTTGGAGCAATCTGTTGATAATATCTGGTGGCACAGTGACTTGATCTAAGAACATGTGAGTTGTTAAAGATCATACAATTTACTTACTATTATGCTTACTACCAGCCAAAACAAATCTAGAAATTTAGGCTGTCCCTACAGAGGAAGCCTTCATGACAGCATCTCTGACCAACATTCAAACCTAATGAACTGGTGTTTACTCTATGATCTCATACCTTAGATCACATTATGTACACAGCTTGCATGATCAATGGAGATGATCATACAAATTACAACTACTATTTGCTACAGCTGTACAAGTGCTACATGCCAGCCTTCCAATAAGCGATATCACCGTCGACCACTGAGTTGACGGTCAGCAAGGTACCACAGGAATGCTAAGAACAACTCACTTTCGTAAGGTTTGCCCTGTTGCCGTAGCTTACCACCAGCCTTCACAGCAGACTCGCTACCAAGCTCTTTGAGGTCATCGAAGCTCATGATCTCCCCGCAAACAAACTTGTTCTCGAAGTCGGTACTAGTGACGAGGGATTGAGTACGCAAGGAACAGCATACAAGACACGAGCAAAGCTTACTGAATGACACCTGCAGCCTGTGGTGCTTTCGTCCCGCGACGGATCGTCCATGCTCGTACTTCGTCGGGTCCGCAGGTGAAGTAACGGATCAACTGTGGATGGATGAGCGAAATCAGAGAGCAACCAGCGAACGACAAGTCTAGACACCTACGTCTAGGCTCGTGTAACCTGCGGTAGTGATCTTAGGCAACGCACTGACGGCACCTATCTTCTTCTCTTCTTCTACTCGCTCTTCATCGGACATATTGACCAGCCGTTCTTCGAGTGCTACGGAGAAGGGGATGAGCGGGTCGCCGGTATTGTTTTCGTCGATCCAAGCCTTGATCTTCGGCAGCCTGCGCTGCGTTAATCCATGCTTCGTAGTCCGAGTGATATCACTTACCACTTGTTCTTCTTGCGCACATAATCTCTCTCGCTGAGATTGACGAGGTACGTGACGGGCTTAGCCGTCAAAAGCTGGAGACCGTTCACCACATCGACCTGTGTAAGTAGATTGTCAAGGTAATGTCGACTAAAGTAGTTGCGGAATATGGGAACGAAGTGGATCAGAAGAAAATTTGTTCTCATAGGCACAATGGGGCGTTACTCCCGCCTCAATGAGCTGGGTTACATCGAGCATACTGCTCTTTGTCATCACTTCCACGGAATAGGGTTGGACGTGCGATGCCGTGTCACTAGCGTCGCTCTCGGGTAGGCTACGGCCGAATGTCCGGTGCAGCCGGGGCCGTACGATGGTCGACATACATGGGTTCACGAAAGATGCGCACTTACTTCCTTGTTTGTCCAGTCCGCCTTGCGGACATCTTTCTCATCGACGGTCAAGACCTTTTGAATCTTCTCGACCGTAGCCTTCAGCGCAACGACGCGTCAGCCCATCAACAACAGCAAGGTCTGTTCACGCACGATCTCCTCCTTCCTTGCTTTGTCTGCCAGGCTGGAGTTTCCGAGAGAGCGACCCGTCTTCTTCAAGCCGTCGAGATGCTTGTCGACCCATTCGATGTCCTTCAGTCGGAGCTCTGTCCGTATGATCTCCATGTCGCGGATGGGGTTAACCTCGCCCTCGACGTGGATGATGTTGGCGTCGTCGAAAGCACGGACGACCTGGAAGATGCCGTCGACTGCGCGGACGTGCGACAAAAAGGCGTTACCGAGACCTTCGCCGCTGGACGCGCCCTGGTCGCATGGTTTGCGGACGCTCGTCATGGGAGACGTGTGAGACGTACCGCGGTGAGGCCGGCGATGTCGAGACACGTCAGGTGTGCAGGCACTCGAGACGCGGGCTTGTACGACTCGCAAAGCCAGTCGAAGCGGGTGTCAGGCACGGGGATACGCGCCTCTTCGGGGTTGCTAAAGCCAACGGATGTGAGAGAGTTCGCAGCGGAGCAAGGGACGAACATACATGGTCGCGTAGGGGTAGTTCGCCGCGACGGCGAGGTCTGGGAGAACGCGCGGTGAGACGCGATGCGCTGTGCACGGAGGGCTACGTGTGCTGACCAGTCTTAGTCAAGACATTGAAAAAGGAGGATTTGCCGACGTTGGGAGTCCTGAGCGAGGGTCAGACGGGCATTATTCGACGTGGTACCGGAACAGACCTACGATGCCAATCTTCAGGTTGTTGCTCGGGCGGCCAAGCAGCGTCTTCTTCTCTGGTGCGGCTTTCTTGGGCGGCATCCTCTTCTTGACTGCGAGAGCGGGGGAGGAGGAGAAGGAGCGGGCGGGGGAAGAGAGGAGGGCGAGTCGGACGCCCAATCGATCCCACATCCTCCAATTTTCCGACCAAGGGCAGTAGCGCCCACCTTCCTTTTCAGTCGGGCTCGCGTCACATGACCCAGCGACCGCAGTCGAGTGGAGACCACTGCCGCTGCGAGCTCCACTGCGCTCGTCCTCCGTCTCTCACTGCCGTCCTCGCTGCCCACCACCCTGCGTTCACCCGCACGACGCACTCGACATGAGATCAGCCCTCCTCAAGGCGGTCTTTGCCACTGTCTTTGCCCTCTCTGCGTATGCCCAGACCATCACGACCACTAACGCGTAAGTTCTGCGTCCGCTGTATCTTTCCTCATCCTCTCATCCACTTTCCCGCAGGTTGGGCCTAACGGTCGTTGAATTGATCACCCTCAACCCGCTCGGCCTTGCGACGACGGAGACCCTGTGCGTACCTGCCTACCTTGCTGGACCCGTCCTCTGACCGCCCCGTAGGTCGACGCTTACTGGGGCCACAACGCGGACCACCACCACACCGCTCACGACAACGACGCCCACAGCCACAACCACGGCGGCCACACAGAACGGTGGCGCCGTCGAGGACTCTCCGACGGGCGGCGCGGCGACACAAACCGTGTATCAGTACTCGACTACCGACGCTGCAGGTCTGTCCACGTGTAGTTTGGCCCCAACGAGCATCACGATACTGACGCCTTGCTAGGTAACACGGTCGTGCAACAAGCAACGTTCATACCGACGTTCGCACCCACTACCACACGCACTCCGACCGCGTCGGGCACGGTACTGCAGTACAGCGAGTGGGCTACATCGGCTGCGACCGCCGTCAGTTCCGCAGCTCCGCTCCGAGACATGAGCTGGCTGTTCGGTGGTTTGGGTTCCTTCGTCGCAATTCTGGGTGGTGGAATGTTGTTGGTAGCATGAAGAGATTCTGTCGTAGGCTCGGTGTGCGGACACGCGGACTTGTATTCTAGTACCGTGTGCGGTTCACATGTTCTCTCTTCCCTCCATCCCGTCTGGACCATAGCACATCTATACAGGCATTTTCATCCCGTACTACGCGCTATCTAGTGAACAATGTCCTGTTATATCTTTGGCTGCGCGGGAACCAAATGCGATAATGTCGGGGCGCCTATATCATACCGTGGGACCATGAACTGCTAGCTACAGGAGCCAGCGTCATGGATTGGCGATCCTTCCGCTCTCCCTCACGCTCGTATACCACTATTAGTAGCTTCCGGTTCTGTTGGAACCCTTTGCCACTACGACACGGACGTCCTCTTCTCCCGTCAAGCTCAAGCTTGCTACCGAGATCAGCGTCGGGGCTACCGGCCTGTCCTGTCCCGACGCGTCCGGGGACACTGCCTAACCGCGTCCACACCGATTCTGTCCAGCGCATCGTAGTGACGCTCAATGGCGAACGTCGTTGCCGTGGTGTATGTGGTCGACGCGTCGCTGGCACTCGCCACGGAGTGGGGACAAATCTTCGGAGAGTACATGCTCCCCCTCCTCCAACGCCTGGCAGAGCTGCATTCAACTCCGCATGTAAGCACATTCACCTACCGATCCGCGCCATCTGTCCCTCATCTGTTCAGTTCCGCGTGGGCGTGGTGAGCTACGGGCCTGCCGAGACAAGACCAACGCCGCTCGGAAAGATCTTCTTCGGGCCACCGCAGGTCATCTTCAGGGACATGCGCGAGGATCCCGAGAAGATGGGTCTTGGACTCTCAAGCTTGGGTGACTCGGCTGGCTTGGCTGCGCTCGAAGGACTGGTTGCCGCCGTCGAGGTGCGTCGGCCGTCTGAACTCATTGCCCACCCTGACGGTCTGGTCAGTTGTTCGACGCGCTGAAAGACTCGCCAGAGGTGCGTGAGGTATCGATGAGTGGTATGTGCCCTTTCCTGACGCACTGGTAGGTCACGAGCTCGCACATCATACATGTAGCAGCAGCTCCTCCTGATGGCTCTGAACACCCTCTCTGGAATATGACTGCTGGTCTCGACGACATCTCTTGGGACACTCTCCCTCTTGAGCTCCAGAAGGTGATGAAACACGCCTCTGATACGTTCACCGCTGATTGTGCAACGCGAAACAGAGGAAGATACATTACAGCAACATCCTGTTGAGGCAGCTGCCCGTTTCAAGGAGCTGCACATTTCGGTAAGGCCAAGGGCTACAGCTCGTTACTTCGAACTTCACGCCTATCTCACGACAGGCAGCAGCAGGTCCGTCACAGCAGCCTTGGTTTGCCGTCCGACCGCATCACGTCCTGCACCTGACTGGCTTTCCAACCGCTCTGCAGAAAGGTAGATAGCTTGCCTGTAATACCAGTTCCCGCCAGGTCCTTATGCTTAATGCAACAGGTGCGAAACGCTCTGCCGACGGTGCGAACGTGGCGGGACGAGCCGCAGAGCTCAAGCGGACCAAGGTCGAATCCCATCCGTCACCCCCACAGCCCCCACAGCCGCCACCAATGGACAACGTTGCTCCCGCATCCCCACCGCAGCCAGTCCAGACCACTCCTGTCAATGTTGCTGCTCCTGCTCCTGCACCGCCATCTGCGCAGCATCGGCCCGCACCGCAGCCGCCTCGTCCCCCACATGCTGACATTCGCATGATCAATCCCCAAGTGCTCCACCATATGAGTGTGCTCGTAGCAAAGAAGAAGCAGGAAGTGAGTGAACACAAGCAAATGGGCCGTGCGAAGGAGGCGGCAGAGGGCGAGAGAGATGTGCAGAGGCTGTTGGTGGCCTTCAAACAGACTCAGATCCAGCAGATGAAGAACCAAGCGTTGTTGGCTCAATCGCAATCGCAGCCTGCGGCTCTGGGCAACACTGGCGCCCCGCAACCTGGATCGGCGACCGACTCGATGCTGACAGGTACAGCTGGTATGCCAGGATCAACCTCTATGCCGACGATGAACAATGCTGCATCGACGTCGAGCAGTGCCATGCATGCTGACCCCCTACCCGTCCCCGACGACCATATCGGAGAGCTAGGCCATCAGCCATCGTCCAACTCTGAGCCCATGTCATCGTCGCAGAACCCTGCGCCATTCACGGCCCACATGCCCCTACAGCCGCCAAGACAGAGTGATCCCAACCCGCCGCCGATGGTGAACGGTCCGCCACACGATGTGTCTCAAATATCGCCAGCAATGGCCAAGGGTCAAGTCCCGCAGCCGTCCGGACCGTCTCAGGGTGGAGGAGCCCCTAGCCTCCTACGCATATGGGAAGGGCCTGCCGCTTGGGTTGATTCCAAGAGTGGGCGAATGATGCAAGCGCATATGTTCGTCAACGCTTCAGACATGTTGTAAGCATCAGCTGCCAATCGGCCCCATGTAATTCGCATTTACGAAGTTGATTCCCTTCAGACGAGCGTTCCCCTGGCCAGCCACCTTGACATTGGAGCCGTCAACCGAGTTCAGGGTATCAATGCCCAAGTTGCAGGAGTGGCTGAAAGCACACGTATCCGAATATACGATGTTGTTTGCGGCACCGAACAACACCACGAACGACCCGAAACAAAATGAAGAGCAGTGCATGGTCATCTGGCGATCCGTCTATCTTTCGCATCGTGTACGTCCATTCATCGTGTGTGCGTTTTCGCCTTGCTCATCCGCGTAAGTAGTATGCGATAGCTAGCTTGGCTGACCCCTCCGGCGCTCATCCGGCGAAACGACTGCTGCTGTTCCCTGTTCGCCCCGGGCAGTATGCCGGCGCATTCTTCCATGGGCCGAGAGGTATTCCGGAACTCCCGCCGTCAATCGTGGGAGGGATGCGTGTATCACTCGTTCCGCCGTCCATAGCGCAACTGCTACTCAATTTGCAACCGAAGGAGGCGGCCGAGCTGGAGGCGACGGCTGCTCACGAAAAGCAGGCGAAGATCACCGAGCTTGTGCGACAGTATAGCCAGAGGGCGCAGGAACAGCAGCGTGCGCAGCTGTTACAGCAGGCGCCGCAAAATCGGCAGGCTCCTCCACAGCCGCAATTCCAGACGCAGGACAACACGCAGGGGGACCCGACGATGGCGACAATGGGACCTTCCATGATGACGCAACAGCAGCCTCCTATCCAACAGCGTCAGCCTATCGCGCCGAACAATCTCAACACGTTGATTCCGATGAACCCGTTCATGGGTGGCGCGCCGCCTACTTTGGATCAGATGCTGAGACTTGGTGGAGGTAGACCTCAAGCGCAGAGGCAGATGCCCAACAGGATGCCCAGCGCGACTCCTGGTTCCATGGACGGGCAAGGGATGCATCAGCGCGTACCAAGCGGCGGCGGAGGCGGCACGGGGAACGTGAACCTCAGTCACGAAATGATGCAGTCCTTCATGCAACGACGGCAGGACGGGTCGGGGGGCATGGGCGGAGCCATGGGTGGTGGGATGGGTCTGTGAGCGCGGTCATCTTCGATACGTCTGTTGCCGCCCAACATAGTCTACTGGCTTGATTTCTTGTTTGGTTGTATGATCATGTAGCTCTGTTCCGCTTGTATCACTAGCTAATTATTACCTGAACGTTCTGAAATCGCTTTGGTGCAGACCGACGACAGATGACGGGAGATTTCCATGATTGAAGTTTGACGTCTCAGAGTAATGTACAAGAATGGCTACAGCAGTTCTTTGTGTTCGACCGGGATGCCTACAATCACCCTTGCATGCTCGGCAACGCCTCTGTGATCTTTGGATGGTCCGCAATGTTCGGACGTGACTCGTAAACGGTGATGATCGGCTGGCCTTTGCGCTAGAGCGCATTTCACTTCAGAGTGCGTTGAATCGTCGACGAAGTCGTCTAGCTTACCTCGCCGCTGAATGAGCCGAGGAAGCCAACGTAGTAAAGCCGTGTTGTGTCGGCACCTTGAGACTCGGGGAAAAACAAGGTGACGGAAGTGACATTGGAGAATTTAGCTGGCCTTGTACCCGGCCGCCGTGAGTCAACGCGAATGCGATCATTAGAGCGGACACACATGACGTGATATTCGCCTACGTCTCTCCCTTGTGCGACATCGAACTCTTGTACTGCTTTCATGTCGCGATGGTGGAGAAGTCGACGTGGTCGAGGTTCGTGAACTTGACAGGCAAAGAATAGGTGCGCCTTCATTCACGTTAGGAGGCCTGACTTACGATGGACAGCTTGGCGGGGGTCTGATCAATAGGGCCTGCTTTGATGAGGACTGCACGCAGCTTGACCGCTCCAGCAAAGGGGATGCGGATGATCCTAGGAGGCATTAAACTTGACATATGGGAAGACAGAGAACGGAGGCTCACATTTGGTCGTCCGCGTCGGACTCGAGGTACTTGGAGACAAGCGGTCTGCGCCGCTGACACCTCAGGGTCATCAAGAGCGCAGAGACGTACCTTGTCCTCATCCAGCCGCTGGTCCCATGGCTTGATGACCTCGGGGCCCTTTGCAGGAGCCTGCACGTTGAGCGCGATGACATTGTCGCGGTCAATGCGAGAGTAGAGGTTGTCCCGGGGCCCTACGCCTTCCGGGAGGTCGTGCTGGTGGTCGTGATGGTGGGAGTCGTCGTTGCAGCCGCCGTGGTCGTGATCATGAGGCATGGTGAAAGTAAGTATGCAGGAGTTCTTCGAAGCGATGTTGGAGGAGCGCACGGTGGAGCCACAGCGGACAAACAAGGACCAACAACGCGCTCGTCCTCAAATTGCGCTCTGTGCACAAGTTGTTCGTCGACTCTCGCAGACTTTTTGGTGAGTGCGCTCTTCTGTTCTGTGCGTGTACATGATGTGTACTTTCGTAATTTGCGTTCGAATGTCTCCGTCTCACACCAAAGGGGCCGCTCGCCGGCGTGCCCTGGGACGGAGGCCATGAGACAACTTTCGATCATTCTGACTGTGTCTGCCACTCCGTCTCCTGCTTTGTGCTGACTCAGTACCTCTTTGCAGACTGTCGCCATAGGTCCTTGGATTGTGTCTGTAGCGTTGTCTAGTGTATCTGTCTGTACCGGTGAATTCGAGATTGTTCCCGTCAACGTCCTTAGCTAAGCGTGCGATCCAGTGAGCGCTGATCCCCACCCATTCTACACCTTCGCCGTCTCGAGACACCGTCCCAACACCGTCCTCTCAAAGACTGTCCCACCGATACATCCTATAATCGCTTCTGCCATGGCGGACACATCCAGCGTACCAGCAGCCCCGGCGTCGTCGCACACGGCAGCCACAAGTACGAGCACGCAGGACGGCAGTGAGCTGCCTGCCTTTCGGTATTTCCGCCCTCCACAAGGAGGATCAGAGCGCAGTATGTAGGTCTGCTCGTCCGATCGCGTCCACGCCGCTCATCATTGGCCCCTTCGTCCGTAGAAGATCTCCCCGACTCGTATTTCAGCCTAGTACCGCAGACCTGAAGGCTGCCCAGGCGTCGCTGTCGCGGCGAACTCACGCGCTGGTCAATGCTCCGCTGAAGACCCAGGCGGTACGAGATGCCGAAGAGAAGACGAAACGTGCGAGATGGCCTACTGTACGTGCGCGCATCCACCAGACGGCTTGTGTGACCCTCTGAGCGCGATCGCAGACCACTATCCGAATCAAGTTCAGTGACCGCAGTCAGCTCGAGAAAACGTTCCCATCGACGGACAAGATCAAGGCCGTGTATGCCTTTGTCCGGAACTCATTGCGCGAGGACGTGAAGCCGATCAAGTTCGTGCTCTGTATGTGCCGCCTTCCTAGCTGCACTTGCACCACTGATCTCGCCCGCTCAAAAGACCAAACACCACCAAAACGCGAGTTCAAAGTGTCCGATCCAGCGGTGCGCGACCTCACCCTGGCCGGGCTGCAACTGGCGCCCTCCTCCGTCCTTCTCCTCAGCTTCTTTGACGAGAGTCTCAACCGTACGTCTCCATCGCAATTTCATCGCACGGGGTCTTCATCACACCGACAGACACGGACGCGCCGGCGCCGCTCGATCCGTCCATCCTCGCGGCGGCCGAGGACCTCCCCAAGCCGCCCAACTTCGACGCCGACGAGAAGGCAAGCTCGGCGTCCACGGCGCCCGCAGGGCGGACGTTGTCCGGCCAGCCTGCGCCGGAAGCGCCGCCGGCGGAGAAGAAGATGCCCAAGTGGTTCAAGATGGGGACGAGTACGTGATATACGGCCTTGGCGCGTCAAGTACTGATAAATGGCGTCCGCTTGCAGAGAAGTAGGGGAAGCGGTGGGGTGATCACGAAGATTCGATTGGACGTCGAAGATTTGCATATATGTTGTACAGTACACGGGATATCAGGATGCCAGCATTGACAAAGAATTACGGCATGGAGTCGTTCTATATGTGCACTAGTGTACAATGAGTCGATGAGAATGGCCAAGCAGCGGCGACGGCAGCAGTGCAGTGGTAGACTTGACGAGGCTGCAGAGCGTGTTGCAGCAGAAATTACCAAAAATTGACAGCAAAATCCCGACTGAAAGAAGTCCCTCAGAGATCACGACTACCTCTGAGCTCCGGGTCGACGTATTTCATCCGTCCACGTCCTGATGTTGTGAACATTCGTCAGTGCTTCGTCGACAACTGCAGAGAGCACGCACCTTTAAACCGCACACCATTGCCCGACTCGCTCGCCTCCCGCTCCTCCATGCGCCGCTGCAGCCTCTCCAGCTCTTGCCGTTTCGCTTCCTCGAATCTCTCTCGCTCCTCGCGCTCAAGCCGCGCGTCGTACTGCTCCTCCGTCTCTTCCCCAGGCGGCACCGGCGCGGACGGCGACGGTTCCCGCTCCTTCTCTTTCTTGTGCTTCGACTTATCCTTGCCTTTGGATTTGTGCTTGTGCTTTGACTTTTTGCGGTGTCGCTTCTCGCGGTCGTGGCCGGTGTCGTCATCGGAGGCGGCGGCGGAGTCGTGATCGAGGTCAGAGCCGTCCGAGCGGCGGTGCCTACGCTTCTGAGGATGCCGCCGCTCGTCTTCACTCTGGCTGCCTGACAAGGGTGAGGCAGCTTTTGCTGGGGCGTGATGTTCGGGACATGTAGTAGAAAGGAAAGAGAATGCGGACGCACGTTCGGGCTCCTGTGACTGGGCCTTGCTCTTGAGCACGAGCTCGCCACAGTTTTCGATGGTGACGGGAACGGTCGGGCGGTCCTTCGCGTCTGTGGGGACGTCCGCGACCTGTTGGATGACGTCGTAGCCGCGAATGACGCGTCCGAACACGACGTGTTTGCCTGGGGGACGCGTCGGCACGCTGGGTGAAACGCGAGGAGACGAGAGCACGCACCGTTCAAGTGAGGGCACTCGCGCAGGGTGACGAAGAACTGGGAGCCGTTGGTGTTGGGGCCCTTGTTGGCCATGCAGAGGAGGCCTTCGGCGTCGAGGGGGTGCGTGAGGTCCTCGTCGGGGAATGTGCCGCCGTAGATGGACTCGCCGCCGTTCCATTGCGCTTGTAAAGTCTGCGTAAAGAGCGCGGGTGAGCAGAGTGCGATGGAAGGTGCGGTCGGCTACGGACCCCCGCCTTGGACCATGAAGCCCTGGATGGAACGGTGAATGATGCTATTTTTGTAGTAGAGCGGGCGGTCGGAGACGGGGGAGAGGCCCTTTTCGCCGGTGCATAGTGCGCGGAAGCTGGGCGACACGATGAGCACGTAGTGGCGCGTCAGAGCGCAAGGACGTACTTTTCTGCGGTCTTGGGGGCTGCGTCGGTGAAGAGCTCGAAGATGATCCTGGAAGGGTATATCAGGGCTGGGTGAGGATCTGATGGACGAGGGGAGGCTGCTGACCTGCCGGCGGGGGCGCGTCGACGGCGAGATCGAAGAACACGCGTGGGCGCACCATGGCGTGCGGGAGCGGCGTGGCGAGCTAGCGGCTGGGGGCAGGGGAAGGCTAGGCAGGAGGAGGCAGGGGAGGGAGTGATGGTGGGAGGCAGTCCCGCTCGCGCCTTCTCGCCTCCTTCCCCACCCGCATGCCGTAACCGCTAAAAACGACCTGCTCCTCCTCGTCCGACACGTCGCGCACACACACCATGCGCAAATTCAACGCGGTCGTCCTCGGCGGTGCGCCCGTCTCTCCCTCCCCGCTCGTCGCTGACACGCGCTGTCCGCAGCTGGAGGGGTCGGCAATCTGCCCTCACCATCCGCTTTGGCAAGAATGTCTTCATCGAACAATACAACCCCACCATCGAAGGCATGTCCCTCCAAATATTGTCCTCCTTCGTGCTCGCTGACTCGTGCCGCAGAGGAGTACCGCTGCGAGCTCATCGTCGACGGTCACAAATGCGTCGTATGTCCCTTCACGTGTTATCCACCCCTCGACGCGCTCATCCTCCTCCAGGTTGAGATCCTCGACACGCCGGCACAGAACAGTTCACCGCACTCAACGAAAAGTACCTCAAGGTTCGTTCCTTTCTCCTCGCACGCGTCACCATCATCACCGCGTCTCTCCAGAACGCCCGCGGCTTCCTCCTCGTATTCAGGTCTGTATCCTGCCTCCTTTGTCCTCACCCTCACCCATGATCGCCGTTGCAGCCTCACGCAAGAGTCTAGCCTCCGTGACATCGAAAACCTCAGACAACAGATCTACTTGGCCAAGGGTTCCGACAAGGTGCGCTCCGTCGTGCTTACCGCCCATCTCTCGCTAACCGTGCATTGTGCACAGGACATTCCCATTGTTGTCGTCGGCACCAAGCTCGATCTAGTACGCCCAACACGTTTTTCCGGCTTCTCTCCGCCGCAGCTGAGACTCATCACAGAGCAACGAGCGCGAAGTCTCACGCGCAACCATCCACGAGCTCGCCGAGTCATGGAAGCTCCCGTTCTATGAAACGTCCGCCAAACGCAACTGGCACGTCACAGACGTCTTCGAAGACCTCGTCCGCCAGATGCGCAAGCACTCCCCGGACAGGAACCCAGTCCGCAGCAAGCTCAAGAAGGACCCGTGTATTGTTATGTGAGATCGGATCGTCGCCGCTCTCTCTCACCGTCGTTCCGTCCCCGTCGTTCTCGGATGCATCCCATTCCTTTGGTCTCCCGTCGCAGCCATGCTAACCACCCACCCGGTACGCCTCGTCTCTCTCGCATCTCCCGATGCCTATGCTTGACTCACCGTGCAGATGTAGTTTTTATCGCGCTATAGAACCCACGTATACCCCTGTTGCATACATAACGCTATCGTCACCCCCGCTTTCTCCGCATCATCACACTCGCATTCCCCGTCTCGCACTATGCTTTCTATACATATCTGTATGTGCTTTGTCTTCGGTGTATGAATTACGGCTCGCTTTGCACTTGCGGTGGATACGTCTGACTGCACGGCTGGACCCACTCCTGCCACACAACCTAGCGCGTTCTACTACATATTTATTGGAGAGTTGTGACACGCAGCTATTGTACATGCGCGGGTGAGCCCCTTCTGAGATGAGAGTGCGCGGTACGTAGGCGCCGGTTACCGGGGTCTCGGATACCGGGTGCACGGGGTCTGGGCCATATATAAGCACGGTGCGGTGCGTGTTTCCGGCTCATCCTTCCTCTCTTGTCCCTCTCCCCCAGAGCATCACCCGGCTCCCTATCGCACCTCGTTGCGCCTTTATTCTCTTCCCTTTACTTCACCAAATCTCAAAATGGTATGCTTCCTTGCGATCATTACCTTTCGTGCGACGAAATTTGACTGACAATTTTTTTTCTTCAGTCTTACGGCGGCTACGGCGGCGGCGGCGGCGGCGGTGGCTACGGCGGTGGTGGCGGTGGAGGATACTCTGGTGGAGGCGGCTGGGGCGGAGGCGGAGGCGGCGGAGACGACCGCATGGGTCACCTCGGCAACGGGCTGCGCTCTGTCGACTGGAGCGCACACAAGCTCTCGACCTTTGAGAAAAACTTCTACGTCGAAGACAAGCGCGTGACCGCACGGAGCGACCGCGAGATCGAAGAGTTCCGGAAGGTCAAGGAGATGAAGGTGCAGGGGCGCGCCGTCCCGAGGCCCGTCTCCAACTTCGACGAAGTCGGCTTCCCCGAGTACATCATGTCGACCATCCGCGCGCAGGGCTTCACTGCGCCCACTCCCATTCAGTGCCAGGCGTGGCCCATGGCGCTCACCGGTAGGGACGTCGTCGCTATCTCCCAGACTGGCAGTGGCAAGACCATTTCCTTTGCACTTCCTGCCATGTTGCACATCAATGCGTAAGTCGACCCTGATCTAAGCTTGGGAGGAGCGCGTGCTCATGGAAACTCTAGGCAACCGCTTTTGGCACCTGGCGATGGTCCCATCGCGTTGATTCTTGCACCGACCCGTGAGCTCGCAGTGCAGATTCAACAAGAATGTGGCAAGTTCGGCTCCAACTCTAAAATCCGCAACACTGCGATCTACGGCGGTGCGCCCAAGGGCCCGCAAATCCGCGACCTGCAGCGCGGTGTCGAGATCGTGATCGCGACGCCCGGTCGCCTGATTGACATGCTTGAGTCTCAGAAGACGAACCTCCGGCGTATCACCTACCTCGTCATGGATGAGGCCGACCGCATGCTTGACATGGGTTTCGAACCTCAGATCAGGAAGATCGTTGCCCAGATTCGCCCGGACAGACAGACGCTGATGTTTTCTGCTACCTGGCCAAAGGATGTCCAGAAGCTGGCAAACGTGTGTTTTTTGTCGTATTGGTGCCTTTGTCCTGGTTGCTCATCTGTCTCGCTAGGACTTCTTGAAAGACTTCATTCAGGTCAACATTGGCTCCACGGAGCTCACTGCCAACCACAACATCCAGCAGATCGTTGAGGTCTGCAGCGATTTTGAGAAGCGATCGAAGCTCATCAAGCACCTCGACCAAATCAGTCAGGAGAACGCGAAAGTACTCATCTTCGTCGGCACAAAGCGAGTGGCGGACGACATCACCAAGTATCTCCGTCAAGATGGATGGCCAGCGTTGGCCATCCACGGTGACAAGGAACAGTAAGTCATCCTTTTCGCTGTCGTCACCTTGATCCTCAACGATTCTCTGCAGACGTGAGCGTGACTGGGTATTGGGCGAGTTCAAGGCAGGCCGCTCGCCTATCCTCATTGCGACTGACGTTGCGTCGCGTGGTCTCGGTATGTTTTCATTTGAGTGGCAAGCGCTACGACATCTTTGCAGCATGACTTCGGATGCACGGCGGAGTGGCCGTCGTGCTTGAACGCTGAACTGCGGGTGGCAGTGACGGCGTACTCAGGTCATTCGTTGGCGGAGCAAGACAGGCCAAGATGTTCAACACGCGCACCCAGAACCGGCGAACTTCCTGATCGTTGCCAGATTCCCTCTGACCTACCCACCGGACCTTGACTACGCTGCTTCCTCTGGGTTGCGTGACGTACATGGTCTGACCTGACACGAACAGTGAACACTGCTCTTCGTATGGTAAATGGTAGTGGTTATGGACTCGAGCAGCGGAATCTAAGGACCAAAGTTCGCTCGCCTTCAACACTGGGGTTAGCGCGTACAAGACTTGCCTGTCGATAGCTCGGACGTTGAGACCTCAGCTGCAGCCGCGGTTGAGGAGACCTGGGACCAGTCTGCGGATGTTGCTGTCGAGCGCTTGTGCTCTGCGTTCGTGCCGTGTTGTGTTTTCTGACCATGTCTGTGTCTTCTTTCATGTCCCGTCCATCGCTCCCTGTTCGACCGTGCGTCCCTTTCACGGTTTGTGTCTCTTCGGGTCTGCTGGCTTTGTTGCACGTGCAGACGTGAAGGACGTCGGCTATGTCTTGGTACGTGTCGCTCTCTGCTTTGCCTGGTTTCCGCTGATCGTAGTCCTTATCAGAACTATGATTTTCCCAACAACTGCGAAGACTACATCCACCGTATCGGTCGTACTGGGGTATGTAGGAGAGATTTGTGGGTCTTGCGCGCGCGTACTGACTGGACCTTGTAGCGTGCTGGTATGAAGGGAACATCGTACACGTACTTCACCACGGACAACGCCAAGTGCGCTCGTGAACTGATTGGTATCCTCCGTGAGGCGAAGGCAAACGTGCCGCCTCAACTCGAGGAGATGTCGATGTTTGGCGGCGGCGGTGGAGGTCGCAGTAAGTGTATATTGATATGTGTTGTTGGTCAATGTCGCTCATACGCGTTTTAGGCCGTTTCGGCGGAGGTGGTGGAGGTCGCGGCCGTGGCGGTGGAGGCGGAGGCGGCCGGTTCGGAGGTGGAGGTGGAGGTGGCGGCGGGGGCGGCTACGGCGGCCACGACAACGGCTACGGCAGCAGGAACGACCGCTGGTAAACGTCGCTCGCACTCTCGATGACCATCTCTGAGCTGCTCCGCGTCACTCGCCTGCTGGCCTCTCGCCATCCTTCCCATCTTCCTAGGGGACTTGAACGATAGATTCTACCACACCGCACCGTCGGTCATAATGCTCTCATCGCTGTTAGACTGTTCTGCGTCAAGGTCACCGAGCTGTAGATGCACGTCCTTCTCCACAACGGTCGTCATGTTTCTTAGATAGTGTATGCTTGTCCTGTATTGTTGAGATCATGCGTGTGCAATGATGCCATGGCTGCTCTGGCCAGTTGCTCTGTACATGTCGGTGTGCTGTCTGGCAAGGAAATGTCGATACTCCATAGTTCACGGGACTGAGTAATGCACTGGTAGGCGTGTGCGATGTATCATATTCGTCGTCTTTCGAGCTACTCCAATAATCTTCTACTTTTGACACGTAGCTACTTAGAAGGCGCATGGGCGGATGCCTATGCGTATGAGAGCGGTAACTTCAAAGCATAAACGCTCGACGTGAGGATGCCGTTCATGTCGATTCGTCGAGTAGCTGTGGGACAGACGCGGACGGGTTGCCATCAAGGACAGGCAGCTCAGGTCGTGGCTTCGGGCTTCTTCAGCTTTTTTTTGAGACGAGTCCTGGCCGACTTGGACAGTGCACGGATCTCCGGCTGCTGGTATCTAGAGACAAGCGTCAATACGAGTAGCCGACGAGCAAGAGCCACTCACGTCGCGCCTCCCTCGACCAAGTCCGGCAGCTGTTTGCGACAGAGCGTGACCTTCATGTAGGCGACTTTGTGTTGTCTGAGACTGCTCTGATAGTGAGTGACGGCAGAGCGGGCGGGAGCAAGCGACCCACTGCCGCTTCCCGGACAAGGCTTGAGTGATGGCCTGTTGCCTCTCCTCTTCGGGGCTGAGAGAAGCTTCAGGCTCGTCTTGCTCGAGCTCGCCGACGTGATTGTATTGGTGGAGGCCAGAGAGCTTCCCCGCTTGTGACAGTGCGGGATCGAGGGTCTTGAGGTACTCCCGCTTGACGATCTCCACTACGCTGACGAGGCGCGGGATGGTTGACATTGAGGTGTGGTTGCGAGGTTTCTTGCTGGCCACGGCCCCCGATCCGCTGGGCTGGGCTTCTGCAGGGGCTATGGACACGTCGTCTTGAGCATGGTGGACCTGCTTGCCTTTCGCAGGCAGCGTGTGGAAGACCAAGGGTTGGTCTGGGTTTTCCTGTACGGCTGCACGTTAACTCCGTCGCAGGCAGAGAAACGGATGCGCACCTGGAGAAAACGCAAGGCGAACTGGACCCATGCATTGATCTTTCCGTGGTTTGTGATGCGTAGTTGATGTGCGGCGAGAGAGTCGGACATTGTGGTGGCGGACGGATGAACGCGATCGAGATGGGCAGGGAGATCCCGTGATGGGAGCGCCGGATATGGCAGGGCGCGTGGGGCGCTGTGTCCGAGTCGCGCTCACGTTCTCCAGCCAGTCCTCTCCCCGCCCACCACCCATCCCGCCGCCGTCCCCGCCCCCGCCCGCCCTCACCGCGCCCCAGCGACGACGACCGACGACCAGACACGCTCTGCGGCATCGCACGCGCGGCCTCTCCCTGTTCTGTCTCGTTCGCGTCGGCTCGTGGCTGTCCGGGTTCAGTTGCTCTAAAAAGGTCGGACGCCTGCGCCTCCCATGCCTCGACGCACCTTGACTCCCGCAACCCCCGCGCCCCCGCCTCCCCCCGCCGTCCTCCCCAAGGACCCCGCCCAGCTCGACCTCTCCGACCCCGACTGGGCCGCCAGCCTCCGCCTCCTCCGCCGACACTGGAAATGGGCAGCCTTCAGCCAGTTCTTCTACACCTTCGCGCCTCTCTTTGCCACCAGCGATGTCTCCCTCGTTGTGAGTCGCCCTTTTCCGCACCTCTGACCGCTGGTCCTCGCTCCGTCGCTGTTGATGACGCGTCGTGGCCCTCATACTGACCGCGATTCAACAGGACATCGAGGACGACCTCGCCCGAGGCGTTACCCTCTACCTCCCGCGCATAATGACCAGGCTTCTCTACACCCTGACCCAGGACAGGAAGATATCGTGCGTGATCAGCCCCTCCACCGCCCACATGTTCTCACTCCTTCTCCCTGCAGCATCGACAACTGGCAGACCGCCCTTCGCAAACAGTACCTTAGGCGCGACCCAGCGGCGAATCCGATCGGCCCTGAGCCTCCTGCCGAGTCTCGTCAGACTACGCGGGAGATCTCAGAGCCTCTGACCGTCGACGTCAAGAACGAGAGCACCGTAGCGACCCCTGCCGCCGACGGCGACCAACCTGCCGAACTCCCTGACGGAGAGAACGCAGAAGCCGCTCAAACCGAGGACGCAGGGGGCGAGGTAGACGTCCGGAATGGCTCTGTACATCCCGCAAAAGACGTCAAGGAGGAAGACGCCCGCGAGCAACCTCCGCAACCGGACGCCGAAGAGAGCAAGGACTGGCTCGAGCTCCCCATGGTGGACAAGCTAGACTCCATGTATCTTCTGACCGAGTGGCATTTCCAAAACCCCCATCGCCTTAGGCAAATCATGAAGAGCGACGACGACTATGCGAGCTGGGTGAGTGATGCGTGGACACGTCGGAGACCATTCAATGACCAAGTCTGTTCGCGAATCTAGCGTATCGAGCCGATAGGATACGACGCAAAAACGAATGCTTACTGGTTGATCGGCCGTACGTGCTCTCACAACTTGTGTATCTTACATTGACCCAACGTCACTTTTTCAGCCGATCGACTATGGCTTCAGCGCGTCCCACCCAAGCCTCCAAAAGGTCTCAAGCGCAAACGCCCTGCCGCGAGAAAGTCCATTGCGCAGGCATCCACAAGCAAGTTAGACGATGACGAGTACAACTCCGAGGCAGAGCAGCAGCAGTCACCCAAGCGCAAACGGACTCAACGGACCCCAGCGAAGGCCGCAGCCGCTCGCCCACAACGCCCCGCCGTCCGCTCTACGCGCAGCCGCAAGGCTGCTCCGGAACCCGAGCCTGAGCCTACCGGCGGCCGTGGCAGCAGCCGCGCAGCCAAAATGCAAGCGAACAAGATGCTTGACGTACAGGCGAAAGAGCTCGCCGAGTTCCAGCGCCAGGCCGCCACCCTCGCCGCCGCAAACCGGTCGTCTCGACCGATGAGACAGAGCAGAGGACAGGCGGAGACGCCGCACTCGAGCCCGACACGGTCGACGAGGTCGCCGAGGAAAGCGGCGCTCGGCACGAGGACGAGCGCGAGGCTTCGTGGGGCGCAAGACGAGGAAGGTGGCGACGAATGGCAGCAGATACCCGAGGATTGGCTGCAGGATGCCCCCGAGCCGTCAGCGCGGCCGCCTACACGGAGCAGCGCGAGGAAAGGCAAGGGTAAAGCAGTCGCTGCCCCGGAGGAGGTCGCCCCCGAGGACCCCGTCATGCCGTCTGATGAGCCAAAGACCGGGTTGGAGAGCGATGCCGCTAGTGAATTGACGGAACTGTCGGTGTCGGAAGAACCGAGGAGCAAGTCGGTACGGAAGAAGCAGCGCGGGAGCCTACTCCGAAACCGACGGGTCGATCGACTCGGTCGAGGAAAAGAACTCGCGCAGCTGAGCTTGCCGAGTCACAGGCCAAGCAGGACACCACATTTGGCCAGGACGGTGCGGGAGAAGCAGAGGATACTCACGATGCAGACGCCGATCACTTGGAAGAACCCGTGGAGGAGCCTGCCGCGTTGCCAGACGATTTTGTGGAATGGGAAGCGGTGCGTACATACGCAATGCAGCGCGATGGTTCCTGACGTTGCCTTAGGTGTGCGTCACGTTGCATGAATGGGAGCACATCGCAGAACGCTTCGAGAAGGCGACTCACTACTTGGAGAAGGCGCTGTACAAGATGCTCACGCAGAACATCGTACCTTTAGTGACCGCGGAGCTTAGGGTATGGCTTCTGAAACCATATATCAGCATGATCTCACATGGCATCTTCAATAGGAAGCGGAAAAGAGGAAGAAATCGAAGAGGCAGTGGTTCATCGAAAGCGATCGTCGCGGATAGCCATCAAAGAGAGCGAGAAGGAACAACAGCGAGAGGTCGCGAAGAAGAGGGCGGAAGAGGACGATAAGCTCTCCAGGGCGAAACGGATGGAGGCGCGTGCGAAGAAAGAAGAAGACGAGCGCCAGAAACGAGACAAGGAGAGAGAACGGCGGCGTTTGGAGCGGGAAGAGCGCGAGGAGCGAGCGAGGCAGAAAGAGGAGCGCGCTCAGCGACGGTATGTTACTCTGAGATTCACCGTCGGGTCTGAAGGTCTCAATGATGTGTTCACAGTGCACAAGCAGAGGAGCGTGCTTCAACAACCACGCCTGCTGCGGGCACTCATTCGACTGAGTCGGTTTTGCTCAGTAGTGTACCGACACCCACGGGTGTCCAGACGCCCGGTTGGATGCTCGACTGTGAGATCTGCGGCAAGCGTGGGGCCAATCTCGTAAGGATATCTCACCCGTGAAACAGTCTCATGGACTCACACAATGTGACACACAGGACGATGGTCTGCCTATGGTCTCATGTGGCATGTGCTCAAAATGGCAGCACATTGGCTGCCATGACATGGCTGATCAGCGGATGAGCCGTCCGCGTAGAGATTGGGAGCGCCAACAGTTCTACTGCCAGCAATGTCGTGCCCGCGCTTCGAATGGCACGTCGTATATCGCCTCCAACCATCAACGATACCCGCTGCCGCAGCCCCATCCTTCACATTCATCGTCCTGGTCCCAGGCTGCCGCTGATCCCTCGATCCACCCGCAGAAATCTTTGGCCGCGCCACAACATATTACCCTGATCATCCTCGTTCACAAGCTGGGGTCGTCCCTCGTCCATCTGCAAATGGTGTAGAGTTCAATCACACGTCGTACCCGAGACAAGACGCACCGACACCGGCGGGCTATACGAGGACGCAGAACGGGCTCACGTTCTCGCACTATCAACCGGAGCATCGCGCCTTCACGAGCATACGTAACCCTCAACAGAGCACGCCCTCGCCCCCAGTTGGTCATGGATGGAATAACGGGTACTCGACTGCGCAGCCTAGCCACCAGTATGGAGGGTCCTACAACGGCTTGGGGTCAACCTCGTACCAGGTATGACTCATCTCAACCCGCTGTTTATGCTTCCCGTATGCTGATCGTCCTCACACCAGAGCGCTGCCTCCACGTCTGCGCGTCCGCCGTCCAACTTTGGGCACAGACAGGCTCCCGCTAGCACTTCGCAGTGGGCGTCTTCAAGTAGCTCGAACGGCCACCTGCCCCCGAATGACAGTGCTGTCCGCTCCGCCGCGGAATCGCTCGCATTTCTGCAAGGCGGAGGCGGCATAGGCGGGCATGCCCAGCCTCAGCAAAATGGTTGGCATCATACACCCGGAGCGTCAGTACCGCAGGGGAATGGCGGAATGTACTGAGCGTGCACGTTCGCGTCACGGCTAATGGGCATAGCGTGCGCGCGTTGGTGGCAGTATATAGGTCATTGGTAAGTTCGTCTAGATAGTCTTTGCCTTGGACTGTGTTCTTGATTTCGCTATCATCGCTATATCTCTCGTGTAATGTCGGATCGTCAATGTTGTATTCCTCAATCATTGGATATCGGTGATACCAATGGCTTCTTGTCCTTGGTCGACGACGAGCTTAAAGCTTGAAGCGCTTGAAGCTACTTGGGCAGCAATGCATCTGGCATGACGAACTTAGACCACGATTATAGATTGGTGCTATGATAGGACGTATTGTATTACAGAGGCGAGTGGGCCTGCGCGTTGTCGTGCTTTCTTTTGAAGCTGGGGGGCCAGCACCGACGCTCTTATGTCTTCACGTGGTGGGCGAGAACGTGGCGAACCAGTGAAGAACCGGGAACATTTCTGTTGCAGCCCCCCCACATGCAGGTGCAGTCGGCCGGAGATTGCAAGTTGATTCCATGAACCTGGTCGAGGTGACTCTTCACGCCGTCTTGAGTCGGGGTTACGGGCTTGCCGCATTGATTGAAGCAACATTGCGCGTCTGCCATTGTTACGACGAAGGTCGGGAAAGAGAGGGTTTGTTTCTCGGGAAATTCGAGAATGAGTCCGCCTGCATTGACATACGACAACCCGTGAGTCGAACCGAGGCCTGAATGCAGAACCTACTCACTGGGGACGATGAGGCGGGGCGGTCGAGAAAGCACAACAGTTGTGTGAGACTGTTCTGCAACGCACCTCAAGCCGCGACTTAAGTAGCCTTCTGGTGGGCAGTTCAGGCTTCGTGAGCGAGACACCTGCGGCGACATTGCATCCCTCCTTGATGACACCAATGGAGGAGGAAAGATGCCGCCATCCCGCTCTATTCTCGTGGCTCCGGCAGATGTGGTGGCTCGCGCCCAACAAAAGTTGCGCCATGAAGCACCCCGAGCTCCGCATGTGGTGCGGTGGTCCCGCTCGAAACGCAACATACACACCTCGCACTCGCGATACGGCACACGATCTCTGGTGTGAGCGGCCTGCCCAGCGGAGAAGCTACCAGATGGCGGTGGCAACTGACCACGTCGTTGACTGGCGAACGCAAGGTTGAAGTTTCCGGCTGTCGCTGCGCAGAAATCTGGCCACCAACTGAGTCGGGGTCGCCCTCGGTCAGCGAGTTGTAGAAATGAGGAAATCATTACAGATGTGGGATCGGTGGACAGTTATGCGAAGGTTGAAATGCAGGTGTATCGTGACGATGTGAGCGGACGAAACGCGTACCACGCTTCGCCAACCAAAGCATCATCAGCCGGAGCCAACATTCAAATCGTTACTTCACTCAACAATGAGTATGACATTGACCGTGATTGCCTCGCATTGATGACCGAGAGTAGTTCCCACACAGTGTTCACCTGTACATACCACCGATCACCGACACGATCAATTTCAAGCGAGTAACTTTAACGGACCTGCCACTCACCGATTGTTTTGATCAGGGAATAAACATCGTAGATACACTATACATACTGGTACAACAATAATGCTACAGAACGTTACGAGCTACTAATAAGTCTTGTCATCGGATACATTCATACATCTTGAACGCAGGAGAAACCCAGGAGAATGGTTCTTCGTTATTTGCTGGTGTGTCTCTGCAAGCGTGATGAGAAATATTGCAAGGCGGACACTGTGAGGAAGAAGAGACAAGTCAAAGTGACGTACTCAACAGGTCCAGGATGTGCAGTCCACGGACGTGCGTGTCCTTCCCATTCATGTGATTGGCGAGAATGATGAGCTGCACTACGTACGCGTTGATCGGTTTGCTAAAGTTCAACATGACACTTCAATGAGCTGTAATTTGAGCAGGAAACGGGACACACCAGCCGTCAGCATCCTCACTAGGCTCAGCGCTCACGTCGAACGTGATCCAGCCGTCGGGTTTCTCGAGCGTGAGGATACGGACGTCCTGAAGATCGGCAGGACCTGTCCCCGCACGGACGGCTAGAGTTGCTGGTGTGTAGGAGTCATCGAGCGGAAATGATAGGTAGACGCTGAGTTTCTTTGTATTCAATTGGACAGTTGTTGAGATGGGCAATGAGCACAAAGGAAGAGAGGCGTAAGCTTCCAGTGCGAAGGACAAACGAGGTATGGTACCTGTACCGCGACCTTCCGCGGAAATTCGATGGTGATAAAGTGAGGTTGCGGGCCGTCTGAGCTAAGCATACGAGTCTGTCGCGTCACCTCAAGAACTACCACGATGAAGCAACAACGTACTGCCAGAAAGTGTCTGGATCGTCGTCGGTCAGACACTCCGGGCCGAACCCAAACTTGTACGACGACACGGACCACTTGGCAAGGTGACCTATGTCTGGCCACGGCAGTTGAGGAAGCTTCTTACCTACAGGCATTGAGCTCACGGCGGGTGAGACGGGAGGCAAAGTAAAGCGCACTGGAGTGGATGATGGGTGTGCCATCGGCAGGCATGTGGCCCATCAGGTTGCCAATGGCCATGCCCGTGCCGCTGATGCTAGGTAGCGAGATGGGCATAGGCATCGCTTGCATCGTAAATGGGCCGTTATGTTCAGGTTCGAGAGAAATAGTAGTGAGAGAGATGCGCGTAGGCGAAGAGGACGATGTGACTGTCGCGGGCAGCGTCGCGGCTGTGGCTGAAGTGGCTGAAGAACAGCGCGCCGCCGATCTTGAACTTCAGCCACATCCAGCCACACCTGTCCAGCCAACTTGTCGCCGCGCTCAATCACCAACCATCCTTGCAATGTCTGCTCCCGCGTCAAAAGCGCCTCTACCACTAGACGATTACAGGCGGTATGGCAGGCAGATGATTCTCAATGGCATCGGTCTCCCCGGTCTGCTCACTTTCTCACCGCCGACTTGCGAATTGCTCATCCTCTCGTGAAGGTCAGCTGAATGTGCGAGACTCATCGTCGCTGTAGTAGGTGCAGGAGGACTCGGATGCCCTGCTCTGCAATACCTCGCGGCGCGGGCGTAGGTGCGACCTCCCTCGATGCTAACTAACCCTACGAACGCTCAGCACCTGCGCACTGATAGGGACCATCGGCGTAATAGACCACGATTCCGTTGAACTTTCTAACCTACAGCGCCAGGTTCTTCACACTGAAGCGCGAGTGGGTACACCGAAAGCCTTGTCTGCAGCGAATGCCATCAAGCAGTGTGTCATGCGTTCCCTCCATCGAGTGTCTGCCTCTCATTCCGCCAGTCTAGAATAAATTCTCGCATCAATGTCACACCTATAGTAGAGGCTTTGACGTCTGAAAACGCGCTGGCGCTCCTCGCGCCCTATGACATAATTCTGGATTGCACGGACAACCTGCCCACGCGCTATTTACTCTCTGACACAGCCGTTCGTCTCGGAAAGCCGTTGGTGAGCGGTGCAGCGCAACAGTTTGACGGACAGCTTTGCGTCTACAATCTACCTTTGTCGGATACGGGTCAAGAACGAGGCCCCTGCTTCCGATGTCTCTTCCCGAAGCCACCCGCGCCAGAGAATGCTGGGAGCTGCGAGGAGCTCGGTGTTCTCGGTGCGGTGACAGGCGTCATCGGCGTCCTACAAGCCACAGAGACCATCAAGATCATAACCGGATTGCACGGTATGTACGGTGTTCACTGCTTGCACAGCTATTTGAGCGTCTGGAGCAGATCGTAGACCAACCATGTTGATGTACTCTGCCCTAACTACTCCGTCTTTCCGCTCGATCAAGCTACGCACCCGGCGTCCTACCTGTCCTGCCTGCGGGACGGTGCCTGAGAGAGAACGTGTGGAGAAGATCAACGACACCGACTACGTTGCATTCTGCGGAGGACCACGGCCAGACTGGGTGGCACGCGGTGTGGAAGGCGCGGACGATGGAATAAAGAGAATACGTGCGACGGTGAGTGGCATCTCGAATGCGGCCGCCTGCGATGGTGCTCATCTTGTTGGCCGCAGGAATTGCATGAAGCGCTGAACTCCTCGGGAAGGCAAGTCAAAGTCGTCGACGTCAGGCCACCGACCGAGTTCGGGATATGCCACCTGCCAGGATCATTCAGTCAGTGTCCTGCGTCCGGTGCAAGGCGACCATGCAATGACCTCGTTACACAGACATACCGCTCAAACAACTCGTTGCCGACCCTCAACCAAAGATAAATTCATTTTTGCCGGCCGCCCAGACGCGCCTCCGATTTCCGATGGAGACGGACAAGACGGTCTCACGGAAACCTACGTCGTCTGCCGCCTTGGCAATGACTCTCAGATCGCCGCTGATGCACTGCGCGCTGAAACCACACATGGCGTGGTGAAAGATCTGGTGGGGGGACTGAGGGCGTGGGCGGCGGATGTAGATCCTGACTTCCCGGTTTACTGAGCAGACGGGCGTAGTTATGTTGCGCGTTCAGCATGAATGAGCAAGGTACATCTGGCCACGCGGTTGTGCTGATATAGACGGCCGTTCCAGCGAACACTGGTAAGGACAGAATGGAGATTCAGGGGAGGGCAGTAAGGTGGGCGTTACATCCATAAATCTCAGCTGAGCATCGGTACTGCATCAGAGCCAGGACAGATGTGACTGCACATGGCAGTCACCTGTATAACACGGAGAATCTTTCGCCGGGTAACCCAGACCGTGCAATTTACGGTACGTGCCCATGTCAATTTCGCGTGCGTTGCTTACAACGTGCGGAAGACCACGCAGTTTCTTTTTGCATTACTTTACGTATTGTCCACCCACTGGCATTGCGGACCTTTCTGTCACGGTATGACTGGCTCTGCGCATCTCGCTGTCGAATCAAACAGGTAGGCGAATGAGATACGACCGTGCAGGCTTGTGCCAAATCGACTTCTACGCCAACGAAAAGACTGACGGGATGGCGGTGGCGCTGGGGGGCTGTTGAGTGCGTGTGGCTGCTGGCCGGGAATTCCCACGGCCCCTTGTTCACGACTGCGACGACCGCACTGCCGACGCCGTCGACGTCTTGTCCTGCGCCGTGCTGGTCTGTCGTGCTCCTAACTTATCCGACTACATATCTTTCTCTGCCCACCCTCGCCGCACTCTCCCCCCACTTGCTTGCCCAGCATGCCCGGCACGCACTTACTGCCGCCGAATCTCCTCAAGCTCTTCGCACCGCGGCCACCTCTCCCATACACGCGTCCCCTCGACAGGGACATCGACCGCGTCAGACCCAAGCACGTCGAAGGCGTCGGTCAGATACTCGCCCAGCTCCGCGAGGACAAGACGAAGGGCATGATGGAGTCGGGCGCCAGCGAAGGCATGGAGGAGGGGAAGAACCAGCATTCACGTATGCAGAACAGACAAAGCGGGAGGTGCGCAGAGAGGAGCGCAAGAAGAAAAGGGAGGAGGAGTACCAAGCTGCCAAGGAGACTGTGGGTGTTGGTGTCTGCCTCGATTACCGCTCACATCCCGGTTGCAGACAAGCCCGCGGATGACCCCGAAGCCGTCGGGGACCCATACAAAACACTATTCATCGCTCGCCTGGTACGTTGTACTTTTCTATCAAAAACTGCTCACCGTTCATGCGTTGGCAGCACAAAAACGCCACTGATAGCGACCTCCGCAGGGAATTTGAGGGTTACGGCAGCATCGAGCGGGTAAGGATCGTCCGTGACAAAAAGGGACGAAGCAGAGGGTTTGCCTTCATCGTTTTCGAGCGAGAGCGCGACATGAAAGGTACATAGCTCGCCATCCTATATTTTCATACTGACCCAACAGCGTCCCCGCGCATTTTCTCATGGTAATTATCAGCTGCCTACAAGGAGTCGGACAGGCTGCAGATCATGGGCAAGCGTGTTCTCGTGGATGTCGAGAGAGGGAGGACAGTGAGGGGATGGAAACCCCGTCGACTGGGTGGTGGTTTGGGAGGCAGGCCCAAGCCAGAAGCACCAGCAGCAGCGCCGTTCATAGGTGGCGGTGATGGTGGTCGTGGCGGCGGCAGCCGTGGTGGGTTCCGGGGCGGGTTCCGGGGGGCGACAGAGGTGGGTTCCGTGGAGGCGACAGAGGTGGGTTCCGGGCAGCCGTGGGGGCGGCTTCAGAGGAGGCTTTGGCGGTGGCGGCTTCAGGGATCGTGACGACTTTGGAGGTGGTCGTGGAGGCTTTGGAGGTGGCGGAGGACACAGGTGCGCAGTCGCCGACGTCTCATCTCACGCCTTTAGTGACTGATCACTCTTTCCGCAGGGGCCGTGGTGGAGGCATCGGCTTCCAAGGCAGCGGTGGTTTCGGCGGCGGCGACCACGGATCAAACGGGTACGGCGGTCCGCCCAATGGACCTGGTGGATTTGGCGGCCCTGGTGGAGGCTTTGGTGGGCCTCCCGATGGCGGGCCAGGTGGGTATGGTCCGCCTGGAGGAGGGTTCGGCGGTGGTGGTGGTGGTGGTGGATTTGGGCGGGGTGGGTACCGCGGCGACCTCAAGCGCGAAGGCGGACCGGGAGGATACGACGATCGCGACGCAAAACGTCCACGGTACTAGGCCTGCATGCCATGCGAGGGCGATCGCCGCTGGTTAGGAGTTAGGAGCACTGCTGCGTGGCGGACTTGATAGGTGATAGCGATCGTACGTTCTGCGGCCCCTCATGCATGGCTCGCGCAGGTGACGCCATCCGTTTCTCATTCCCCCCCTCTTTCGTGCTGCTCTTGCTTTGTTGTTCGTCGGCCCTGGGCCGGTTCCGTAAGTATGGTTGTTCTGTATCGTCTGCACAGGTAATGAAGAGGCAAGTATGTATGGTGCCTTTGCTGTACTGCATATCACCGCGGGTTGAATTGGTCAATCGCGTTCAGTCGCTCGACATTCACCAAGGAAGCGTGAAGTGCTCGCTTATTTCTGTGCAAGTCAAGGTGCGTTTTGTTTTACCCTGGTCTAGCTTGTTTCGACCCCCGCGGCCGCGGCCAAGTGTGCGGGTGCCAACAGCGGTTTGCCCCGACGCGTTGCTCGGTGATGCGAATGCGGCCGCCGCCAGTCACACGAGGCGCATACCGGCGGCCCAATCATGCGCATGGACCGTAGGAACGGTGCAAGGAAGACCCGATCCATCGAGGGGCTGCAGCTGTGTTCATCGGCCCCGCTCGAGGACTCCACGCAATATCAACGTGTTCGACTGGATTGTTCGATCATCGAGCGTGTCCAGTCGATTGTTCAGATTCTGTCTGAAACCGGTGCATTCCGTGCGTTGTCTTACCTGTTTGCCCCTCACACGATCTTTTCTCCGGCAGGAACTTTGACGGCGTCATGAGACCTGGATGTGGCCCTCGAAAAGCATCCTCGTTTCCAGCGACCAGTATGCTGTCCACCCGCCTCTTACCGAATCTATTTCTCAGGCTCTTCTGAAGGCACTGTGTGCACTGTTGACTGCCGAGGAAGGGCAGTGATGTCAATGAGAACGGAAGTTGTGGGTGCACGGGCGCGTCTTCGCAATCGGAATCTGTTGGACCTGCAAGGCGATGTGCGCGTCAAATGATGCGCAAGGCGAAGTTGAGACTCGAGGGCTGTTGAGCGGTACCGAGCGATCTCACGGGAGGCGATGATATCGGCATCTGCTTGATGAGTTTGTCTACTGGCATTACGATAACCCCCAGGACCCTCGGCGGCCGTCGCGTCTGCAACGCCCGCAGTGTCGCGCAAAGTAGCGCCGAGATGGTACGTGCTCGCGCTCCGAGTCCCTGTAGCCGCGCTGACTGTCAATGTCAGAGAATTGTGTGCGACAGACGTGACGAAACGGCATGCTGCCTCGACGTCGGCTCAGTTCCGGATTCGGGAAGTAGGGCCTGCGCAAAAGGTGTGCCGTACAGTGAGGGCGGGCGAATCGCAGAGTGTTCACATTTACATGCCGGGTCGGAGGATAGGCCATTATCGGGTGGGCCGGGGACGGGGCCGGGGTAGAGCGCGTGGTGATAGAGTTTGCAGGTACGGCGGCCCTTCTCGAAGGAGAGGGATGGATCCGGGGTGCATATGATGGAGAAGGGCTACTAGGTAGACTCGGTGGCTGACGGATCCGTGCCTCTGCATTTGTAAGATCGCCAAGCTGTCGCGGCCTGTTCCCAGTGGGCGGTATGTCGCCAGCAGACCAATCATCGGCGAGATGGTCAGGGGAGAGGCGAGGGAAGTGAGCTCGCGCTGCCCCTGCGTTCTCGACTCCCACTGGCCGACTCTGATGGCTGCGGGCGCCTAAGCGATCGTGCTGCTGGGTTGGCCGGGATTCAAGGGCTCATCACTCCCAAAGGCAACTCGAAGGCAGCTGCAGACACGGTCGATGCGATGCGCGATGAAGGCGAGGCTGTGCTGCTTCCACTGCTGCTAGCCGGCGGCAGCGTTGGTGCACGGTGATTGCCAGCAGGGCGCGTGCACCCCGCACTCGCAGACACGCAGACGCAACGCAGACGAGACGTCAGTAAGTCGGACGACGACGAGGCGCGACCGTCGGGGTGGATGCGAGAGGCGGACAGTGCCTGGGACACGGCGCGTGCTCAGGCAGGCAACCCCATCTGCCACAGACAGCCTGCGGTTCTAGCCTCCAGTTGCCAGCGCAGGGCTGCCTGCCGTGGCTGGCAGTCGCTACCAAGTCGCTAGCCCTTTGCTGACCTCCCGCACGAGCATGTCAGCAACGGAGACTAACCAAGCCGCCCCGTGCGGACGTCGCAGTCCTGCACCGCCACCCCGCCTCCTCCCCAGCCCCAGCGGTGCATTCCCTCGCCGGTCCGCTCGGACCTCGTCCGTGGGCTTCGTTTGCCAAACAACCCCTGAAAGGGCGGTTCCGGCGAGTCCGAGATCTCGTCTGCGCACGAGCGCATCTTCTGCATCCAGTCTGTCGCAGGCGATTGATCACACACAGAGACCTGCTCTAATTCATCACAAACACAGCGGTACGTCACTGGCCCTCGTCTCCGTGGCGACTAGCTCACTCAATTCCACAGGCAGAGCGCGCCCAGTCGACGGCCGTCTTCGCCTTCTCTCAGGCTCGCGCGCGCAAAGGGGTCACACCCACTATCAGCATGGCGCCACGCAGTGCACCTCCATGCGTGCTTCGAACCAGCTCTTCCATATCGCATCCTGGTTCCTGGTGACCCAATGCCGGCCCTGCCTGTCCTACACTACCCCGGCGCATGACACCGTGCACGTCGCGCCTGCCTCGCAGCAGCCCGCGGCCTTGCGTTTCGTCCGCTGCCGACGTCGACCGTGGGTGGCAGACACTGCCGTTGACGGCGGCTGTTGACGCGCCCACTGATGTCGAGGGAACAGCACGCCGACAATGGGCCATGTTGACACCTGAAACAGTGGAAACGTTTGAGGATCTGCAGATCGTTCGGAGCGCAAAGCTGCTAGCCGGGGTGTTGGCGCCAGTGCATACAGAGATCAAGATTCGCCGTTCGAACGAGACCGCGTCCAAGGGCACCGATGACTTTGCCTTCTGCGCGCCTTCCCCGCCTCGTCTCGCTGCACTGCCACACCCCCATCTCCCACTGGCCCGGCCGCGGTCCGTGCCTTTCATATGCTCCCATCTCTCTATCTTCTCCATCCCTTTCCGGATAGGAGCCCCCGAGCTTTTTCCTCTTCTAACTCGGACCAGCCCTTCCTCCTCCCAGCCACCGCTCCTTCCTCCGCGTTCGCTGTCACGCTCCTCTCCCAGGTCGGTGAGTCTCCACGTTGCGCTGTTGCTTTCTCCCCGCGACGCGTCTGACGCGTCATCCCACGTGTCCAGACCCTTTCTGCTACCACCACCACCATCTCCACATGCCTCAACGACAACAGTCTGCTCTAGAGGCCGCCAGTAGCACCTCTAGCTCCGCGGCGTCCTCGCCTCATGCGCACCCCGACAGCCCGCCGTCCGAGGGCACGGATGAACCCACCGACACGACCGCATCGACGGGGATCCCTCATCGTCCTCTCACCGCCGCCGCCGGTCCACTGCGCGCGGGGCCGCAGGCGACAGCACGCGAGACTCTCGCGAGAAGCGCAAACGATCGCGCGTCACCCCCGAGCAGCTCACCCAGCTCGAGACCTTCTTCGCCGCCAACAGGAGCCCCACTGCAGCCCGCAGGAAGGAGATCAGCGATATGCTGGGCATGACTGAGCGCCAGACGCAGATATGGTTCCAAAATAGGTGCGTAGTGGCGTCGGCGACCGTGCGGCAGCTGATCTGGCCGCACTGACAGGCGTGCTAAGGCGAAGCTGCAGGCAAGTAACAGGGGACGACCATCGACCGCCCCGTCCCCCGACATACCTCCCATCCTCAACTTCGCCGACGACCCACAGCTTCGTGGACGGATCCACGAAGACGGACGTGAGTCCGTCTCCTGTCGCCCGTCCGCCCTATTGACCCATGGGCGGTGCCTCAGCTGTCAGGCTCATCTCATGCACGGACCTGGCGATTGGGACCTGGCGCCGCATCGCGACCCTGCAAGACAGGTACGACCTGCTGGCCTATGTCTGCGAAGCCAAGCAGTGCGTGGCATGGTACGTGCAGTGCGACGGCACCGGCTTCAAAATGGAGATTCCGTTTGGCACCATAACGGACGTGACAATCGACGGCGTCTCACCCGGGATGGCCATGGTCTGCTTGAGGCTGTCACGGCCACCCTCATTCTTTCTCGAGAGCAGACCGGCCTTGGGCGCGGACGCCTCGGCTACGCGGTTTTGGAAACCGTGCTCTGACTGGACGGAGGACAGGCAGGCATCAAAAATGCTCCAGCACGAGCTCGTGGCGCTGCCGCCCAACTGTCACAAGACTTTGTAGAGAGATACCAACTTGGCAGACACGCCGTGCATGGATTCACGGCGCAACCGTATACGTATCCCGATGAGCAAGTCACCTTCGACCCCGTCCCCGCCGTCCATGCGCCAGTACCCGTGGCCGGCCACATGGGCATGTACCAACCTCCACGGACAGACTACGCGTCCGGACACCATCCCATGCAACCGACCATGCTCGCTCGCCGTGCTTCCGAAGCTTCCCTAACGACCCATTCTCCCGCGCCGTGGGACTCGCCGCCCATCCAGCCCACGTCATCACAGCAATATGTATCGATGCATCATGGCGTCCCTGCCTGGGCAGAGAACTACCCAATGTCCGCTGCACCGAAGCCATCGTTCCTTACAACGTGCAGCCCCCTGATCCCATGCGACTTCCGGCTCTCGCTGCCTCGCCACCGGCCTCGATAGACACGCTCAACCCGTTCATGAGCGGGTACTATGGCGAACTCCAGGGGCTTCCACAGCGTGACTCCGAGTCCTACAATTCATTGTCGAGCGGACCGGCATCATCCAGCTCTACCGGCCAATCGTCCTTCGACCTCCCTAGTCCACCGAACACCGTCGACATGGGCGGCCCTCGGCAGCGCTGGGGGGAGCCTGTTCTCGTCGAGCCTCAATCGCTCTATGACGCACAGGGTTACGACCAGATGCGTGGGCAAATACACATGGGCACTCATATGGGGACAGACATGCCGCCGTACGGATATGACCCATCGGGCTCGATGCCGGACAAACATTACGGATGACGGGTCTCCTTCGCTTTCGACTGGTAAATAAAAATGAGCACTTCCGCGCTTTGTACTGTATTCCGCAACGTCAAAACTGTAGCCTAACTTTTGGTGTGTCGTCCCGTCCCTCTTTGGCTATCCGCAGTATTTATGAGATTGCTGTCGTCTCTCCCTCGTGTTATCATTATTCCAGTCACTCGCTCTCTGTTCTCGGCTTTCGTTGTCATCCTCATCACTGGCTCAGTCTGCGACGCACTAGACCGTTCACACATCTTCGCATGCACCTTAGTAGTAGAGGCGTAATGTCAGCCTAAGGAACCCAATTTGAATACATCGCAGCCATCGTCCGCGTATCCTGGCTAGCTTGGATTACGAATGAAGATCGAATCAATGTTCCATATCGCACGTCATCAATCTGTTCCCAACAGAGACGGACAGCCTCGGACAACACCAGGGTTGAGGCCTGGGTGGGGTTCGCGACGCACGCTAAGTCGTTTCGCGAAATTCTACTCGTACAGATCCCTCCTTGTTCTATTCATCAGCTACGACCCTGGGTTCTGATCACACCCCGGCGTGGATCCCCTTCACCGCATCATCGACCTGCCGCTGTACGAAGCGGGCGTTAGCGAGGGATCTTCTGGCATCACCGCATACTAAATCTGGACGTACGTGGCTGTCTTTCGGTCTACGACCGCGACCTCTGTCTTTGCGCGATTGAGCACTTTCTGGAACTCGCTCACACGGTGCCGCATGCGCGAGTGCATGTACGCTTTCGAGCACTTGATGTGGTAGTGCAGATAATCACGGAAGAGCTGGATGTGGCTGATCGTCGCAGAGGCGACGTCTGCGTTGGCGAAGTGGCGGGGGAAGAGAACGAATGTGACGTAGCCCACGTCCTCGGAGTCGACGAGGCCCGGGACATGACGGATCTCCAGGGGCGGATCACGCGTGGTATACAACACCTGGGGCGCGCTCTGTATTGTCGGCAGCCGTCGCGCATCGACGAATTCCTGCGGTGGATCGATGAGACAAGGCAGTACGGTGAGATCGGCTGGGGACTGACCTGCAGAAACACCTTGCCAAAGATGCGATCAGTCTCCTCCCGGAAGGTGGTGGAGAAGATGACAGTGACACGGTCGGGCGAGGCCTGTACATAGATGACCTCTTCATCTCGGTAGTGCAGCGCCATGAGCTCTCCCTGGCCGCTTCCTGACGCCTCCAGCTGCTTCTGCGCCTTGAAGCCCAGCTCGAATGGCGCGGCGAGGGCATTGCGCTTCAGCAGCGCGATGGACTTGATGGCTTCGTCGCGCTGCTCTGCGCGTGGAACAAGAGATTGTTGGCTACATGGACAACATAGCGGCGGGCATTCCGCTAGACTGGACACTCACCACCTGCCGGAGGCAGCTGTTCGGTGTTGATCTCGAGGCTCACGTTATAGTCGGGCTCCGGCTGCGCAGCGACCAGCCCACCGTACGCTTGTCGGAGCACATCCTTGACACCGTACTTGACGAGCTCGTCCCAGCAGCGAATGTTCATAGACAAGAGGAGCGTGGTGACGGACTTCTTGTCCGGGGTAGAGAGCTTGAAGCGGACGCCGTCAAAGTCTACGAATTGGACATCGACATAGCCCGGCCTGTAAGCCAGGAGGTCAGACGCGTGACATGAAGGCCTAAGATGCGTACGAACTTGACGACTTTCTCCGCGAGGGTGTTCTGGATGATGTAGTTCTGTGGCTGGAGAGGATCGTGTCAGTCGGGTGTGTGAGTAGGTGGCATGAGCGGTGTTACCTCGAGGAGAATCATGGTTTACAGGCAGGCCGGTTGGCAGCAAAGACGGTCGTGCTCCGAGTAGGGCTCCAGCAGAGATTAGGAGGACTGGCCGCAGGCAGGTAGGTAGGTACTACGCGCGCGGGCAGCAGGCTACGAGATCTGTTTACGTAAGACAAGCATCGGTCGACCGATATGGCAAGTGATGAACGAGAGATGCCGGCCGCGGCATCACACGCTCTTCGCGACGATGCGGCGGCTGGGGCACGCAGCGAGCTCAGCGGGAGGGCAGCGGCGACGCAGCATCCCTGCGAGGAGGTCTGGAGACGTGAGGCGGGCAGGTGGGGAGGAAGGGAGGACAGGACACGGCCAGCGAGCGTGAGAGACAAGCGCCCGATGGGACTTGAGAATTTTGGTCATTCGCTTCCAACCACCCTCTCCCGCTCCCGCCACGCGCATCGTCCTCGCCGAAAAGCCAGTCTCGCCCAGCGATACTTGCATCTGCACGCTCAACATGGGTGCGTCGTAGCCATCTGCTCCCACTCCGTCTCCTCGTCTCACTGTTCCGTCATGTAGCGCCCAAGAAAGCACAGAAGATGAGCCTGAACGCGTTCTTGGAAGACAGCAGTCCGTGCTCCTCTCACAGGCCTCATGCCAGCATAGCTCACCTTCTCATCTCCAGCCCTGGGATCATGGGCGGACGAAATGGACGCCCTCCCGACCGCTCGTAAGCTTCCCGCTTCCTGACAGCACGTCTCCTGAGCTCAAGCCGTCTCCCACCACAGCGGCTAGGTCGGATGAGATGGGTGGCCTTTCACGCGCCCCCGATCGCATGAGGAGGGATGATTACATGTCTTCGCGCTGTGAGTACTGCTACTGTTGATCCGTACTCCCGTCTATAGCCTCCTCCTAGCCGATCGCGGTCCTCCTCGCGAAGATCTCCCTCTCCCCACGGAGCCCCCGTACACGGCTTTCATTGGTAACTTGGCCTTTGACATCACCGAAGGCGAGCTCGAGGAATTCTTCGGCCCGGTCCAGGTGTGCCCCTTTCGTCCTATGTTCTCGGCATGTAAACTCAGTACGACGGTCGCAGGTCAAGTCGGTCAAAATCATCAAGGATAGGGACGATCGCCCCAAGGCTTTGGGTACATTGAATTTGCAGAGTTGGACGGCTTGAAGGATGCTCTGGCAAAGTCTGGTTCGGTACGTACCCGCCAGGTACTCCTGGGCACGATCCGCTGATCCCGCCACAGAGCTTTGCAGGCCGTACCGTCAGAGTCAGCGTTGCCGAGCCCCGTAAGTCCCCAGCCTCGTCCATTGCAAGTCCACAAAGCCTTACCTCGACCACAGCCAAGGAACGCTCCGGCTTTGGTGGCAGCGGTGGTTTGATGACGAGAAATTCGACAACCTTGGAGGCGCGATGGGCCCCTGCCAGACCTTTCCTCTCGCGATGGGTCTCGCAGACGGTTCGATGGCCCTCCTGGGCCGCGCGACCGCGAGCCAGCCCCACCTTCTGTCTCCGAGACGACCTCTGACTGGCGTTCGGCCGCCCGCGGGCCGGTCCGGGGACCCAGCCCTCCGCGCTTCGCGAGCCGGTCGTCCTTCCGAGAGGACGCCCCCCCTCGCGCGCCGATGCGGATGATACCTGGGTTCGAGGCGCGAGGTTCCAGCCGAGCGCAGCGCCCCCAGAGGGCCCCGGCAGCAGGTTCGGAAGCTCGCGCGGCAGGGGCGACATGGGTCCACCCGCGCAGAGTCCGCCAGACGATGGCGAGTGGCGGCGACCAAGCGCGATCTCGCGCAACAGCACTTCACGTACGTATCTGTCCGTGTTGCTTTCCTGACGCTCTGCAGTCAGTCTTATTGTGATGTCCAGCGAGCGGCTCGACACCGCCGACCCCTCAGATGGGCCGCCGCAAGCTGGAACTGCTGCCGCGCACGGGCGGACCCTCAGCCACCGCTTCCCCCTCGCATCGCCCAACCCTGCCAACGCCGCGAGCGCCCCGCGTTCAAATCCCTTTGGCGCCGCAAGTACGTCGTCTATCATCATTCCAGGGTCTGTGTCTTGACGTTTGTATTCCTGCAGGCCCGTGGATGTGTCTGCCAAGGAGCACGAAGTCGAGCAGCGCCTCGAGAAGGAAAAGGAGGCCGTCAAGGAACGCACGATGCACACGATGTCACGGACATCCTCGCGGCAGGCGTCTCAGCGCGGGCGTACTCGCGAAGGCCCGACGCCGCCGCCTCCGCCATGACGAGTCCCGTCTCGCCGAGCGCAGAGTCCCACAAGTCCCTTCCGAGGAACACCGCCGAAGCGAGCATCCGACCCAGCTTCAGCTTTGCGAGCGCTGCTGCAGGTAAGAAGGATCTCCCAGAGGAGGTCACGGAGGAGAACGGTGTGGAAGAGCTACGGAGAAGCTCGGCGAGGTGACGATCTAAGTCCGGCGCTGCAAGCTGCCCTCCGGCGGCTTGTATGCAAAAATGCGGGCTTGAACCCGTCGCTCGTCGTTCGCGCGCGCACGTCCTTCCCTCTATTAAATGATGTCCTCGTGCGCTTTGCTCGTCTGTTTGCTTTCCAGGTCTGTGTTCGCGTTAATGTCTGTCGTCATGTTTGCCCCGCAGTACACTGATTGGGATACTGTTCCACGGTCGCTTAGGCACCGTTTGCTCACCTTACCTACTCGTTATGCCTATTGTGTGACCATAGTTGCTTAGAGTAGAGTGTATACCAAATCACAGCCAGATCATGTCAACACGTCGGTGACCCGGAGCTCGCAGAATACTGATTACTGCCAGAACGAAGTATTTATGCAGTCAAAGTCACCGACCATGTTTTCCACGATCGTACTCGCTCATCGCCTTACATTCGTCGCCTTGAATGGGAGGCAGCCAACGTAGTGGGTTGCAAGCATTGATATTGAGGCCTAAGGCCTAAGGCCTTGAGCTTGAGGACGCAACAAGTGTGACCTCACTTACAGCCAACGCGGCTGTAGCGAACTTGCAAGACGTATGTAAGACGCCCCACCACAAAATTCGCGTGCAGAGCGCTGATGGATTCTCAGGACTTTGAACAACACCGTTTTTAATTATACCAAAGACGATTTATGGATCGCGTTTCGGTGTTCAACAGAGTGCACGAAGGGCACATGCCGTTCATGACAACACTCTGATAGACAACCATTCGGCTCAGAGGTCCCACACCAACCAACCAATTAACAGTTTTCGGACTGGCACGCGAAGCGAATCGGCCTATGCGATGAATAGATGACCAGGCCGGCTGAATTCTAGGTCGCCAGAGTTGTTCAATAGTTGGCCCGTGAAATAGAATGACATTTGATTGATCTCCTAGAACAGCCGTCGGCCAATGTAGACCACAGTGACCTCGACCGACGGACTGCGGAAAGGACCGGTCCTTCAGGGTTCGAGCGATGCAGGGAAGGTGCCGTTCTCCCTCTGCTCGTCCCACTTGGAAATCTGAAGTGGGGAGGTATCAGTGGAGATAAGGAAACGTGCAACGCAATGCAGGCTTACCCATTCGTCTGTGCGGGAGAACAAGGTGAGGCAAAGTGAAGAGGAAATGGAGAATGAATGACGTACTGGGGCAGAGAGAGTTGTACGCCCGCTTGAACTGCTTGCAGGGGGCAAAGTCCTCACCCTTGGCAGCGATACACTTGAAGTAGTCAGTATAGTTCTGGAAGCTGGTGCGGTTTTCGTTCGTCATAAACTGAGCAGAACACGAGGGATTGGGATGTACCAGTGCCTCGTCTGGTTCGTGTTGGGGAACCGGGCTGGTGAAGTGGCACGTCAGGAGACGAGCGCGCAGAAAATGGCCCGATACCGACCGTCAAAGCCCGCGGTCTGCAGAACGTACTTGCTGCAAATTGAGACGGTCAGAACGGGACGCACGGTGTGCGACGAGGGCGGGCTAACCTGGAGAGGTCGGACATGGTGGGGGATGGGGAGGAGGAGGAAGACGACGGGTGCGGCGACGAGGCGACCTCGGGAAATGATGGAACGCGCCCGGGCTCGTTCCCTCTCGGCCTCACCTCGGCCATCCCCGCCCCCGCCTTTCCTCCAGCCACCACCAGCCACCGTCCCCCCGCCGCTCTCCTCGAGCATGGATGCTCTCAAGGCAGAAATCGCAGTCAAGCGCAAGGCTCTGCAAGAGGACCCTGTCCTCGCGCAGCGCCCCACAAAGTACATGCGCCGCGGCGACCTCGAACGGCTCAAGGAAGAGCGCGCACGCAAGGAGCGGGAGGAGAAGGAGGCTAGAGAGAAGAAGGAGCCCGAGGAAGAAGAGCGCAGGAGATCAAAAGTGTGTCTCCTCTCTCATCGCTATGCATACGACCCCGCTCATGCGACATTGGAGAACAGCCGTCCTCTTCTCGTGCGCGCACAGATTCCCCCTCGTAGATGCCGCCGCGAGCGCATCTCCAGCCCCAGAGTCTGCATTCAACATTTCAAATGAAGAAACCGTTCGCCGTCTCCGAGCCAAAGGCCAGCCCATCCGCCTGTTTGGAGAATCCGACAAGGATCGTCGCCTACGTCTCCGTGCGTTGGAGCTCATTGAGGAGAAGAACAGCGAACGGCATGGCGGACAAAACGAATTCAAGAAGGCTCTGAGGATGTCGAGAATGTTGAACGTCTGCTGAGGGATACGCGAGCGCAGGAGGAACGAAGGAAAAGGGCAAGAAGAAAGAGGGAAAGGAGGCAGAGGCGCAACAAGTCTTGGACATGAATCTTGTCAAGACAGACCCGGACAAACTCTACCCTATCATCTACTACGCGCTCAAGCGCACGCTGAAGGAATGGGAAGAATGGATGGATGAGCGACCAGGTAAATTTGCGGCCATAATGTGTGTCCGCGCCGACCGATGTTCTACCGACAGACAGCGTGAAGCGTACTATGCAAGGGAAGCTTGCTGCCGCAACGCAGAAACAAAGTGCAGAGTATCTGAAGCCACTCTTCAAGCTGATCCGAGCAAGAGTACGTTCCTTCGGCACATTCGCTGCGCTGTCCTCATAGAAATGGATATTAGAATCTTCCTCCGGACATGCTCGCACGAGTAGCTGAGATCGTCCACTACATGCAAAGTCGGCAATACCAAAAAGCCAACGATTCATACCTTCGTCTTTCCATCGGCAACGCGCCATGGCCAATCGGTGTTACCATGGTTGGGTACGTCGTCACTTTCGGACTTTGAACACTGCCGCTCAATGACTTCGGTCTGCATAGTATTCACGAACGGTCCGCACGAGAAAAGATCTCCGCAGATCAGGTTGCGCATGTTCTGAACGACGAAGTCAGCCGCAAGTATATCCAGAGTCTGAAGCGGTACGTTGCACGGCATGTGTCTCTTGCATAACCCGCTCACCGTTCAATCGTACAGGTTACTGACGTTCTCGCAAACGAAATACCCGCCATACGACGTGACTCAATTGATGGGGTAGCCATTCATGCGCATCACCGACTCATCTTGCGTTTGGGTACTTTGCAAGCGATGATCAGGTCATCTAGGCACGACATACTGAATCTCGTCACTGTTTTGCTCTAACTTTGTGTAGCTAGGATGTGTGTATGTGTGTAGGATTACAGGGACTTGAACGCATGCTTCGTCTGCATAGCCGCCGAGTATCAATCAATGAGACGTGCTCTTTGGTTTCTGGTGTCAAAGATGTGCCATCTGCGTGGTCAATGAGGTGCGTATTGTGCTCGACAGCGTTCGCGGTAACTCAAGGCAGGGTATAGTGTCCACCACGGGCTGCGTCGGTGGTTGTTGCGGTTGAAACGTTGCACGGCAATGCTGTAGTCGGTCAGTTTCTCGATGGCCATGGATCGTATTTAATGGCTTTGGTCTTTCAGTACAGTCTGGTCGTTAAGATGTCATGGTGGCAGTATCTCGACAAGTCGGGCCTAAATTCTGCAGAAGACGCTATTGTTGCTTGCGCCATCTTTCGTGCCATCACTACACGCCGGACCATCCACCTCACAAGCAACTATCCATATAATCGCCTGTCGCAAGCACGCCTCCTGTCTTCTCCAGCGCGTCGACTTCTACGGGAAAGTCGACCACGCCTGTGCGCATGGGACGGAAGAAGGTAGTCATGGCAGTGCCAGAACATCCAAGTCGTACGTTGGCAGTGGTTGAGCTCGAACGTGTTCTTATTCTAGTGACGGATGTCGCTGAATATCAAAGGGGGCCTGTCACTTCCAACCCAGGCTTCAAGCTCGAGTGCGATCTGGTGCCTCTGGAAATTGCATGGAAACGTCAGAAAGAAATCCTATGCCACTCGTTCGCCCTCGGATGTGCCCGGGTTCGTTCTCGTGCGCGCAAAGGCATCTCGCATCGCGCTCTACGTTTCTGAATATCCTCCGAGCGGCTTAATGGTGTCGTCCCCTGATTCATCGACCACATCTTCTATGGCTTCCTGGTCGCGGGTCTTCAGCTCTCGGATCTCCCCATTCCATCACTTCCCTTCAACCATTTTTCTCGTTTTTGACCCGTGGCCGCTGGTCTTTTCTCTGTGCACTGCCCCTTTGCAAACCAAGGGTTCCGCCAAACCATGGCCTGGTTTCCGTGCTACCCCCGTTCAATCGTCGAGCTCGGAACCAATGGCTGGTCGATTTCCTGTGACTCGCTGTGAGTAGAAGATCATGAACCATCCGCAAAGCACGCACTGATCATCTGCGTAACGACAGGAAGCAGGAGACGAACACAACCGTCCAAAGGACCAAAACCGCGGGGTGCTTGTTTTACAATTCTTGAGCAGAACTGTGCGCGGATTCTTCAGGCTATCACGAATACGTCCGCTCTACAGTTCTTCCCAGAGGCATAAAAAAGCACATGGCGATCGGCGGCGATACACTGTACAGGCCTGTAGCTGCAACGAAGCTCTGCGACGTCCGCTCGTCCCGGCCCCACCCTACGGCTGTAATCACTGGACAGTCGCCTAAACGCACCGACGTGAATCAGCCCAACGGCGCGGGCGGGGCGTACTGGACTACCACATGGGTATCCAGCTAAGCTACTGCGTAACCAACACGACATGTGTCAGCCGCAGTTTGTTCAACGCGAGACAGACTTAACGAACAGCTCTATGTCACGGCTCTGAAGCATCTGTCACTTGGCGACATTGAAACCGGATTCTTCATAGCTCACCGAAAGCCCCATGCGTAGCATGATTTTCTCTCTCTCGTTCCGACGTTGTGTATAACCATATTATTATGTCAACAACTCATTGACTTCTTGTCAGTCCTCTATGTGCCGCGGATTGAGGAATAGTAGGCATCAACGACGCAAAAACAGCGACTCGTCATTGGGGATGGTTGCACCATGCGGGATGATATCTCTGTATCGGCTGTAGCACACTGGCAGTTCCTGAAATCCGAGTCCGACCGTAATGAAGCCAGATGGAGAAGTCAGGATTCTTCATGAATGGCGCTGTCACTAGCAATGCAGAGTTTAGTATTGGTCGTTTGCAACACCGTCATGATTGATGCGACTGGAAATACATGCCTGCGGGGACAGAATGACAACGCCCTTGCGCGTAGCATCAGACAGTTTGCTCTATAATTACACACAGGACTGGGGACAGACGTCTTCATTAGCTCCTTCGGGCCACTTAAGCGGCATATCGTACAGCGAAAACTCCATTAGTGCAAATAGTAAGGCTACAGCAACATCTTCCTTGCTACATTGGCTGGCATCTACGTCCCAAGTGTGACATCGCCGATGGACAGTCGGTCATTTCTTGCCTTTCTTGCCCTTCTTCGTACCTCCTCCCCGACCCTCGTCAGCCTGAGCCGGGGTTGCAGCAGCGTGTCCGGTCGTCTTGATATGCGCAAAGAGCTTCGTCCGGCTGTCAAACTCCGACTTGCAAATGTTACACTGCTGTGCAGAGAGAAACAGCGTGAATACACTAGCAACTTAACTGCGCAGTGCGTACTCACCTCCTTGGCAGTAACAGGGCCCACTGTCTCTGCGCGTGCTGCTTTCGCAGCCTCGCGAGCGCGGCGTTTGTCCCGTTTCGAGAGTTCCGGCTGCGGCGTTGGCGTGGACGTAGACTCGGCTGCTTCGTGGGGAGTATGATCCTCAGGCTCAGCAGTAAGCACAGAAGGAGGACCGGAAGCAGAAGCCGCCGCACTGGCCGGTTCGTTCCGAGCTTTCGCCCTACGCCGTGACTTTGTGAGGACCTCCGGAGAGGGGGCGCGCGGCTGTTTGCCCTTCGTCTTTGCTTTAGACGTAGGCTGAGTGACATTTGTCTCGCCATCTCCGTGTGGGGGACCGCCCTCCGTCCCCGGTGACGTTGCTCGAGATCCCTTCGTTGCTCTCTCGGTGCTGTTCTCAGATTCCTGATCCTCCTCGCCGCTGTCAGCGTCGAGTGCCGGCGCTTCTGCTGGTTCGTCGACTATCTCTCCAGCTTCCGAGGGGATAATTGGCGTTTCCGGGGGATCTTCATACGTCTCATACTCCTCGTCGCTTCCCCTCTCTTCCTCGTCCTCCTCATCAACTTCCCCCAGCCCCAGCTCTTCGCTCTCCTCCCTCATGCGCTTCCGGAGGTCCTCGACCGCCTTCAAGTGCTTCCGGCTGCGTTCATGGCTAGTCCAGGCCGCCTCACTCCGGAAGGTCTTACCGCACGCGACGCACTCCCACTCCTCTTGCTCGTTCTCTGCAGCGGCCCACTCGAGGTCTTCAGCGTCAGAGATTTTCTGTGCCTTTTGCCAGTCCTGCGCGACGAACTCGGCCTGGGAGGACGGAGGTGCCGGTCGCGTGGTGGGTGTGCGTGCGCCCTTCGGCGTGGAGGCGGTAGAGGACGCGGCGGCAGCTTGGGCGGCCAAATGAGCCTTGTAGCGTGGATCACGTTTTCGAAGGAAGGTTGCTAGAGACTGATGTTGCATTGGGATACGGGAAGTCGTAGAGGATGGGGGAACATACCCTGACAGTATCATTGTATTCCTTACGAGCGTCATCCCTCGCTTTCTTGTTGTCTCGCTCCATTAGCCTGTGCCATTCGTAGGATCCGTGAATCACACTGTGGTCGCTCATCGGGGTTCGCCACCTACCTCCGCACCCGTCGATCAGGAGCTTCGTTCACGTTCCACGCATCCGCCCAAGCAAAGTCCTTGGCAGTCACGAAGTTCATCCAAGAGTTGTAGAACGTGCGCGTGGCTCTATCCTTTGAGTCCTTGCTGGCGGGCACCCATGGCCATGTCGCATCTCCGAAAGCAGGGTACTGGGAGGAAGCATCGGCATATTGGCGCTCATCGTGAACAAGGCGGTCGAAGAGGTTGCGGTAGATTGTGAAGAAGCTCTGAAGGGACGCGGATGTGAGTGGGGTCATTTGCCTAGCGCAGCGAACATGGCGTACGTTGGGTCCGTCGTCATACCCGGTATATATTGACGCGTCGAAGAACTGAGCAAGATGTCGGACGGTCAGACCGCGATCGCGTGCGCGCGGAGGGGGCGTGCCGCGCTTGATGTCCTCGAAGACGGACCCAGCGTCGGGCTCTGGGGCAAGAGAGGCCCTATGACTGTCGTACCACGCGCGCTCCTACTTGACAAAATAAGTGAGGCTTGTGTATAGATGATGGAAGACAAGACTCACTTGGTCGTCGCTGAGTACCTGAGCGGAGACACATGAGAGAAGGAACGGCTGGAGCGGGAGAGAGGTACCAACCTCGTAAGCCTGCTGTAGGGTCGCGAATCTCTTTGTCGCGTCGTCTATGTTGTCGGGGTTCTTGTCTGGATGATGGATGAGAGCGAGCCTGCGGAAGGATCGCTGGACGCAGAGTAAGCTCCATGTAGGATGCGGACGGAGACTGCAGGCGTACCCTGATCTCATCTGCAGTCGCATTGTCGTCGACCTCAAGGAGAGCGTAGTAGTCGGGAGCCCCGGCGCCAGCCTGGCCATCGTCCTGCGCGCCGTTCGTGGTCGACTCGCGATTGCCCATCGCCTGGCTGTGGTGGGCGGGAGAGGCTGAGACGGCTAGCGCCGAGCGTACTCGCAGCGGCGGATCTCGATCGCGATCGACGACTCTTCTCAGCCACCGCCCGCCGCCACCGCCGGCAGTCGCCGCCAGCAGCCTCGTCTCTCTCTCCCGCCACAGCGACCTCAGCCTCCCGCTCGCTGCCCGCTTCCCGTCGTGCACAATGTCCAGCTTGTTCGGCTCATCCGGCAAATCGACCCCTCCGCCAGGTAGGCTGGCCTCACCTGCAACGCGTCCACGCACTCACTGCATGCTCACACAGACATGGCCACTCGCAAGCAGGCCTTCATGGACAGCTACCGCCAGGAAATGGCTCTCACCAACGCACAGGAGCTGATGACTGTATGTCACTAGCCCCTACTTACTCCTTGCCACCCCTTATATGGCGCGTAGAAATGCAACGAGAAATGCTTCGCCAAGTGCGTCGCAAAGCCCGGCAGTTCGCTCTCCGGTTCAGAACAGGTACGTCCTCGTCTCACGTGCCTCGCTGTCGCCGAGCTTAATCGTGGGCCTCAGACATGTCTGAGCAACTGCTTGCAGCGTTACATGGAGGCTTGTGAGTAGTCAGTCGATCTTCGCCCGCTTCATGCTCATACTCTCTCCAGTCAACATTGTCAGCCGGACGTACATCTCTCGGGTTCAAAAAGAGCGTCTTTCAGAGATTGCATGACCGTTTGCTTGGTACCGTCCAAGTACATGTATTTCCGCGTAGTGCGATAATTCAGCTGGCTCGTTTCTTGCGACACCGAAGAGGCCAAACCGCCTGTGTGCACAGCGCACGGAGCTCGCAGGACACTGACTGTCAATAGTTGAAGGGTTCGCAAAGGCGCTGCAATACTGCTGACACTGTCTCTGTATAGCTCGCCCTAATCCTACACAAATTCCACTATGATACGCAAGCTTCTATATCATCTGCTTACCCAGGGACAGGCGTATCTTCACCCTCCTCGACCTCAAATGCACAGCAAAACGTCTCGCGGTCCATCAACACCAGCCCCCGGCCATCCGGCGCCCACCGCAGTGTATGCGCCGCGAATTTCCTCGCAGGTACCCCTACACACTCCGCCACTTCCTCTGCCACTCCTCCTGTTGTTCCATCGCTCGCCCCACCCTCTGCAGACGTGGACTCCCACTCATCGCTCCACAGATAGACAGCCCCGCCGCCCGTCGCACAGGCGAGAGAGCCCTTCCGAACGGGATTCCACCGCACGCTCGTCACCGCACTTGCATGCAGCAGCACGCTCCTGAGCTTTGGCTTAAGTACGGGTGTGGGCGTAGGCTCGCCGGCCTTGTCTCCGGACGGTCGGGCAAAGCTTGGGAAGTTGTAAAGCCAGACTGCCTCCGGCGCACCGCCGTAGCGCACCATGAGAGTCGTTCCGTCGACGTTCCACGCCAGGTGCTCAGAGGTCGACGGTCTGGATGCTGTGGAGAGCCCTGGTGGAGGCTTGGTACGATCGTGCGAGATCAGGGTGAGTGTGTGAGGAGCTTGGACGCGTTCGTCTGCGGGACGCGAAGTGAGCAATCGCAGTGAACGATCTCCGCAGAAGACGCACATGAGAGGAAACCACGTCCCCCGGTGGTCTCGATCCAGTCAGATGGTTCACGCCATATCGTCTGCTAAATCTTGTTCGCTCTCGCTTCGGTGACGTCGAGATGCTTGGAAGCTTACCGTACCCGCCGGTATTCGACTGTGCAGCTCGAATGTGGCGATCGGGCCCCATGTCAGGTTCTCCAGGACATGCACCTGATGCTATTGGTCGGAATATACTGACTGCGCAAATCCTATCGGCGTACCTTGTCGTCCCAGCCTAGAACGGCGAGGAATATCCCGGCTGGATGCCATGCAACTGCTCGTATACCGAAGCCAGGGTCCTTTTCGGGCGCGAACGTTCCAAGGAGCTCGCCTGCCAAGCTCAAGACGTATACTTTGTGCTGCATCCGTGCTGAGTGCCGCCCAAAGACCCAATAGCGTAGACATGACGAACCTCGAGCGGGCCCTCCCAAACTGCAACATGGTTCCCCGTGGGCGAAAGGCTGAGTGCGGAGAAGAGCGCAGTAGGCAGCGGAAAGTGCTATATGCAACGACACACATCATCCTGCTCGTGAGCTCGCACATGCCATTCGCTGGGCGTGGTGAGAGAAGGGAAGGCGGCTCGGACGTACCCTGACCATGCGATATGTGGCAGTCGCGTCGTACACGCCGATGCTGTCCTTGCATTTGTGACGTTCTGCGAGAACGAGGTAGTGCCCGTCGGAGCGGAAGGCATACCCTTGAAGCACGTTAGCAAGTGGGTCAGAGTCGATGATAGACGACGGACCTCGGTCAGGATGAGCAGGATACTGGATGTACGTCGGGGAGCCTGTCACCAAGCTCCAGACGGTCACTCTTAGCTACGGCGCGCGGCAATATGAGGGACGTCGGGGCGACAGGGATACGAAGTGCATGGAACGTACCGCCCACTCACTCCAGCAGATGATGCTTCGTCCGTCGGGGGCCCATTCGGCTTTGACAAGACCTTCAGCGCCGGCCTCTATCCGCGCGCGCCATTCCTCGTCACGCATCTTGAAGACGTCCACGATACCTTTGCGCGCGCACGCCGCGAGGATGTACTCTGAATCGCACGACCAGCCTGCGTGTGTGATCCAACTATCTCGGTCCACTGGGCAGCCTGTGGTCCCGCTAGAACTCCCGTCTGAGGGTGCGAGGGTACGGGCAAGAGGTCTTCTCGAGGTAGTAAATCTAGACTGCGCAGATGTCTTGTTTGCTGGTTGAGCGATGGTGGAGGCGGTGGCGGAGAGAGAGGGATCGAGCTGCCAGGAGCGGGTGATCTGGAAGGAGTCCGCGCGGCGGACGACGAGACGGTCCTGGATGGCGGTAAGCAGAAAGTGGGCACCGGGGGAGAAAGAGACGAGCTGCCCCGTTTGCTTGTAGATCTCTGTAAAGTCCATCGTCGCTTTCGCAAGAGACAACGCGACGGCGTAGACGACAGGAGAGGGAGGCGCGTCTGTGGCTGCAAGTCGCGATCGGCACGGGCGCCTGCACGACCTCAGATCTGCCAGCGCCTGCGAACTGCAGCGGGGTGGGCCAGCGCCAATGGCGGCGTCCTCATTTGCGGACGTGCAAGTCCACACCGTGAACCAGCGACGACCACGCTCTACCACGTCGAGGTCAGTGCTCATCGCATCAGCCAGCGCAGAGACTTACCCGCTTAACCGCAGCATGAGGGCAGCGCACCGCTTGCCCTGGACATACCTATGTCGTGACTGCGTGCGGCGCTCTGGAGGCCGACCCAGTCTGCACCGACCGTCCTCGTCACTCGCCGTCGACAGGCCCGCCAGCTTCGCGTCCTTTTTCTTCCACAACTCAAGCTGGCAGACCAGTGCTCCCGCACAACGTCTTCCGTCAGGACACAGAGCCCCGCCGCTGCCCCCACTGACAGAGACTATCGCAGGGCAAGCCGTCGACCTCGGGCAGTATCCTCCTCCGCCCTCCGTCCTCCCATATCGCAGGACGAACGTGCTCACACCGAGCCGCTTGCTCAAGGTATACTCTGAGCTCTCTAAAACACGCCTCACCGTCCTCGTCGTTCTCACTGCCATGTCCGGCGTCGCCCTCTCCCCTCTCCCGACCACCCTCCCCGTCCTCCTGTCCACCGCCATTGGGACCGCACTCTGCTCGGCGTCTGCAAATACTCTCAACCAAATCCAAGAGGTCCCCTTCGACGCACAAATGCCTCGCACTCGCATGCGCCCGCTCGTCCGTCGAGCCATTACCCCGCTCCACGCTGTCGGCTTTGCGACCGCCACCGGCCTAGCGGGTCCCGCCATTCTCTGGACGATGTGCAACCCGACCACTGCCTTGCTTGGTGCGGCCAACATCGCGTTGTACGCCGGTGCATATACATGGCTCAAGCGCAAGAGCATCCTCAATACCTGGGTAGGCTCAGTCGTCGGCGGAATCCCTCCCCTCATGGGCTGGACGGCTTGCGGGGGTAATATTCTCCCATCTGCAGAGTACCCAATACATCTCTTTCTACCCTCCTTCCTTGCCTCCACACCAACCGACCTCGCGCTCATCGACAACCCGCTCGCTCCCTGGGTCCTTTTCCTCATCCTCTACAGTTGGCAGTTCCCGCACTTCAACGCCATCTCCTACCTCGTCCGCGAGTCCTATGCCCAGGCAGGCTACCGCATGCTCTGCGTCCTCTCGCCCGCGAAGAACGCCCTCGTCTCCCTCCGGCACGCCCTGCTCCTCATCCCCATCTGTTCCGTCCTCGTTCCGCTCTCAGGGCTGACGAGCTGGACGTTCGCGCTCGTCAGCCTCGTGCCGAACGTCATTTGCGCACGGGCGGCGTGGCAGTTCTGGAGGCACACCACGGAGAAGAACGCGAAGAAGCTTTGGCATTACTACCTGGCGTATCTCCCTGCGGTACTCGGGCTCATGATGGTTTGCAAGCGAGGTCTGGATTGGGGTTCCTGGGTCGAGAAGGAGGAGAGCAAGGTCATTGAGAGCTAGATCGCATTCGCCGTACACTGTATCAATACTGAGACGCATTGCTAAATGTCCATAATGTCCGCACTCACCGCTATGTCTGTCCGCTCTTTCCCTTCATCGCCTTTCTGGCTTCCCTTTGTCTCTTGACTGCCTCCAGCCTCGACTTCAACAGCGACACCTTCGCGTCTGCCTCCTCCTGTACGCGCTCCTCCTCCCATAACCTGTCCATGATCAACTCCCGTTCATCTTGCTCTTTTCGTCTCCTAATCTCTGCCTCATCCGGCACAGCGTTCTGCTCATCCTGGGTGTCGTCTGCTGCCTGCGGCGGGAAGCCTTCCGGGACCTCTGGCGCGAGCTCAGGCTCAGCGAAGACGGTTGCCCGCTCGTACGCCTCGTGGACGTCGGGGGCGTTGACGACCGATGCTTGGAACCGCTCCCACTCTTCGTCCATTGCGCCCTTCGTGGCCAGTGCGGCCGGCGCAGGGCGCGCACCTGGTGCGTCTTCTTCGTCTGTATCCTCGGAGGGCGGCAGCGGTGCGCGCGATGGGTCTGAGAAGAAGTCTGCAGGGAACCCTCCCTTCGCGGCCGGCGATGCAGGTTGTGGTTGGTCGTCATCTGCGTCGTCCTCGTCCGCCGAACCGCCACCTACCCTCCTCCGCTTAGCCTCGATTCCCTCATCCTCCTCATCGGACTGCTCCTCCTCCGCCTTCCGCTTCTGCCTGAGTGCCTCCTCCTGCGCTCTCCGCTGCTCCTCTTCCTTCAGCCGCGCGGCGTTCGTGCGGTGCTGCTTGCTGCCGACATGGCCCTCCCAGGACGTGCCCTGCTTGATGTTGATTCCGCATGCGATGCAGCGCAGTTGTCCGGCGACGGAATAGGAGGCGAGTGGGTGGTTGACGCGCACCTCTTGCCGCTTCGCACGTAGGAGAGATCGTGCGTCGGACATGGGAGCAGACGATTGTTGTATTCTGAGAGAGGCGAGTACTAGTCCGGGGTTGGAGTCTTTTGTATCACCGCGGGCAAACCAACTTATTCAGACTCCGAAAATGCTAAGAACATGGGCTTTTACGGGGAACCTTTTCAGAGGCAGAATGAATATCAACAATGTTCGGATAACCCTACAAAACAAGTTGTCCTAAGTCTTTGACACTGTCCTCATTTCGCTCGCTCTCACTGATTTCTCTCTTGGGCTCAAGCAGTTCAGTTCTAGTTGATCTCCTGCACAGTATGGTACTTCTGTGTCTATAGGATGATCTACCGTAATCATGTTGGTTACTGTGGTTGCACATTTTAACTTTTAAGTATGCCCTACTGTCAGAGTAGGGCTGTATGAGTACCATGGCATGGAGGGATGTTCCTTTGCACAGAGGAGACTGCTCAGATTGGATGGTACATGTAGTGGTGCCACTCCTACTGAGCATGAGCAGCTTGACAGAATGACCACTTGCCAGTCTGACTGGAAATGTTGCACTGTGTCTGCTTTCTTTCTTGCAATCATTGCAGACCTGAATATGATCCCTTCATTCTGAAGCACACCCACAAATACTTGCTGGGGAGTGGGCCATGCATGGCAATATGATCCCAGTTGTATTGTCTGTGTCTTTTGTCTTCTGGCTCATAAAATCATTGCTTGAATCTCACTTATCAAATGCATTGATATATACTAGTCTGTGAGACTAACTTCTATGCTTTATCAAGTAGTTGTCAAACTGTGACAATCACAGTGCCCTTACGCAAGCCAAATTGAAATCATCAAGGAGTATCATAGTCGTAACAGGGGTGCTTACATTATTGTTGCTTAGCTCATTCCTCATTGCAGTACCACAGGACACAAAGCATCAAATCCCAAATGTTGAGTATCCTAGAGAATCCATAATGTGCATATTTCTTCATCAGAAAGTTTTACTGATCATAGATAGCTATGCCAATATTGCTATACAGCCATTATCCAATGAATGTGTGGTCGCAGACTTGTTCTTGCCCAACTGTACCTGAGCTGCCCTGTCACCATGTCTGGGACATTATGCACTGTCTCAAAACACTGAACAACAATACTACTTTACTAGTGGGAGATTGTTGTATCATGGAATCTGTCTAGGGACTGTTAGTAACTCAACAATGACAATGATCAGAATCAATTGTATCATTTGAACTGAGTAAGTCATACTTCCCTACAAATTGATACTACAATGGCCTAGACCTCCCAATGTTAGAGTCTGTTCATGTCACCCATGCTGATTTTGGTACACTCATGATACCTCTTCATGAATTGTGGCTCATGCTATGGAAAAACAGTAAGTCACATGTTCTTGATGCGGTATACTGGAATGATCATCTGCATTCCTCTCCTCATCCCTTATCCTGACATCATTCCATGTTATTGTCAATCCAGGTATATGTAACAAGTCACTAACAGCAACCTGTTAAATGCATTAGGTGGGCACATGATGTTCAACAGGTGCTTCACAAGTTACACTCAGGACTTCACATTGCGAACAAATGAGAGCATCCACAGATTATCAAAGCCATGTTACAGCCAAGATCTCCTAATTTATGACCTAAGCAATATGTCACAGGCAGTGTTATGAATATTCATATTCAATGGAGAGCAAGAACCTGTAAACAAGGATTGTATCATTAACATCACTGTTTCTTTCTTGCATAGCAGCAGGCAGTCTGCATATATCTTGCACCCCTTCAAATGAGGTAGCTGTAGTCCCATATCAAAGTATGGTAAGTACTGCCAGAGCTTTGAGTGAGCACAATGACCACTTATATGTGATTCATTAATACTTCATAAATTTTCTGGGGTGTTTGGAGGTTTTCTGAGCCTATACAAGGAGGTTATGTGGCCTAGAATGAATATCCTGCACATGTTCATGATTTGTTCCATGCATAGCATAAGGAACCATGAAGGCTAGGGAAATTATGAGAGCATCTGTGAAGCAGGAGCTATCACATAATCATTATTACTACATATGGCAGGTGCCCTCCCATTGGGAAATCACACACTGGGCAATGCCTTGTGGGCCAGTAGATGCTGTAGAAATGACAGAATATTCAGAGTGGATGAATGCACCAGTTCAAGCAACTGGCAGGCATATGGAGAATCATTAATCAGCATACATGCACTATATATGTACTGTGTCCCACTCTTGAAATGTTATTGTGACATTAACAGTTGCTGATGCTTCTTTCCATGAATCCCAATGCTATATGGGTCACATCAGTGTTCATGTGTCCCAACTTGCATCTTTTCATACCTATAGGCATTTGTAATTTTTTCAACCATTGTGTTTGTCTGCTCTCTGTCTGTATTAAGGACAACAAGAACAGGATACATTCCTACACTCATTGGGTCAGGGTGTTACATAAGGCAGTTGCTGAGGAAAATAGTAGAACTGTGTTGTGATGTGAATATATATCGGAGCACACATCTAATGACATTGTTAACTGCATACTCTAACTCACCAAGCCACATATATACTGGATACCTCAGTATCACACTCTCTGAATTCTCAAACATCAAACATTATAGGGGCTTTTTGACCAATCCTTAGGGTGAGGATGGGGTGAGGATGGGTGAGGAAGGCATTTTCACGTTCTGAGCATTAAACGTCTCACCCTCGCAGCATGAATCTCAGCGTGCATAACCCGCGTTTGCGCCATGGCGCGACTGCGGATGCGAGGTACTCTTACCCGCGTTCGCGCCATGACGCGAACGCGGGTAACATGCAGTCTCCATTTGAGTCTGCGACTGCCTTCTGCCAGTCACCCTTACCCGCAATCGCGCCATGGCGCGATTGCGGATGAGTCCGCACATCCATTGCCTTGTTTGGCAAGTCCGAGCGCCCGCCCGATCTCACAGGCACCCACCGACTTGCTCGTGTGCCACAGAGGGCATGCATCTGTGGTGTACCACATCATCCATTACACCCTCCGCATGCAGCGTCCATTCTGTGTTGTGTGTCAGTGATGTGCAGTGACAGGGCAGGCGAGATCACGTCAGCCACCTGCTCAGCCACCAACGGGCGCTCACACGATCTCCTGCCCACAACCACCATCTCCCGCCTCTCCTGCCTCCTGCCTCCCTCTCTTTTACATCCAGCAAGCCCACCGCGCCCTGAGGTGATGTGCGTACCTGCGCATGAAGACAGCGACACGGAGATTGTGCGCGCGTAAGGTACGTGCACGCAAGATGACCTCTGTGAGTGCGAAACACGGTCGCCCGCAAGTTGATAACGCGGCAGACGAGTATACATCAGCAGAGTGTCCTTGTTTCGAGACACACGACAAGCTCACCTCCCGATGTTCTGGATGATTCGCCATACCGACGGGTTGCTCGCGACAGGACTCGCTCGAGAGTGTGCATCAAACCACCTGCCCGGGCTGTTGCTCGTATTACTGGGTACGCCTCGATGATCATTGCGGCACCCTATCGGTGCGCCCTGTGTGTTTCTATCCGCGCGATTGCGAATAGGCACACTGTCCTTGTTTTCATCGTCTACCCGCGCTTGCGCCACGGCGCGAACACAGGTACTGTGCACTGTTCTGAGAGACTCTCAGACGTACTTGTGAATGCTCTTTACCCGCGAACGCGGGTAAGTGCACTGTTTGTGTCAAGGTTTTCTGGGACGTAAACGTAGGTGCAAGTATAATATTATTTTGTATAGTAAGCAGAGTGCCAGGCAATCAAGGAATTTAATTCAAAGGATGCCCCTGGTAGGGTACTCCGAGTATGTTATCCGCAATTGCGCCACGGCGCGATTGCGGGTAAGAGTACACGTGAGCACCAGCATCGCTTCTCGCACGTGGTGTATCGCTTCAACCAGGCGTGCAGCGCGTGCGCGCCGTGTGGACTGGTCTGTCCGCACCGCTGCCGTTTCCACTGCCCAATCCCACTGTCAATCTTGCTCGCATCACTATGGTCGGTACCTACGACCTCCAACAATTTGCGCTTGCTCAGTGCGCATTCACCATCAATCACGCTGACCTCACGGACAACGCGCGGAAAGCGGCTTTTGGCCGCGTGCACAACATGTACATTTTCACGGACTTACCGCCGCAGCCCAGCGAATGGACCGCTAAGCAACTCAAGGCGCTCAACCGCCTGTTGCGTTCGTTGCTCAACAGCGCTGTCTCGTGGGACACATTCCAGTACATCGTCCAGCACCACATCCTGGTAAGTCAAGCTTTCGTGTTGCCGCGAGATACGGCCGCGCTAAACGACACGTTGACAGACCGACCCGTGGCTCATGTCGCTGAAACAGTCAAATCAATATGACCAGTTCCCCCTTGTGCTCGCGACCTGCTTCAACTGGCAGTACCGGACCGCAGAGGGCACTTCCCGAACACGATGGAGGAATACTTCATGTGGAGGCGCATACCATACGTCACCCTCGAAGAGGACAGCTCGCGCGAGACCAGGAGCGCGTCTCTCGCGCTGTTCTTGAAGCAGTGGTGGATCCGTAAGTCCTCATGTGTTGCGCGACTATGGACTCACGCGCGAGCTGCTCGACTGCAGGCAACGACCGTGTCAGGTCCGGTAAGCGGTTGCTTACCGCTCTCCATTGGCCAGCCGCACTGACCAGTCGCTCGATCAATCCCAGGTGGACCGCCTCTCTCACATGAGGCCAACGACTTCGACTTCAGCCATTGTGTCGGACGCAGAGCGCGCCGCGGCAAGGAAGAACAACGAAGGCATCGCAGCCCCAGGGAGCATTCCCGCTGCCGCCATGCTCGACAACGTGGTACGTGGTTCCTTTTTTATCTCAATCGCAGCCAATGCTTACTGACTTGTAAGCTGGTCGAGGCCGCGCGGTGCAAGCGGTGTGTGAATGACCGGCGAGATGAGTGTAGGGTGCCCTTCGCGAAGACGTGCTGTCACCGCTGTATGAGGAGGAAGGTCAACTGCTCGCTCACGGTAAGTCATGTCGTATTTCTGTCTTTCTCTGTGACGCGCTCACTCGCTACAGACCAACGAGCCTCTGAGGCGGTTGACTCGCCGCGCGCGTCCCTGGCACCTGTGCTGCAGAATAATTCCGCACCCGACTCTCTACCACGTGCACGCTCGTCATCGCGTTCGCCCGCGCCTTCTCCATCGCATTCGCCCTCGCGTTCTGTCACTCGCTCGACGCCCGCATCGCCGCCCAACGTTGTATCCGACTCATCATCCCCGCTGCCGGCCGGGCGTATTGCATCTGCACAGTCGCACTCGCCCGCTTCTTCTGCAAGCCCATCGACCGTCTCAGTGGTGCAGATGATGGACGTGGATCCTGTGTCGCCAGGAACATCAAGCAGTGTTGACGCAGGTGCTGGGCCTTCGAACTTTGGAGCCCATCGTGTCGCGAGACGTAAGTGTTCATTCTTTGATTGAGAAACGGAACACTCATGCTGGTACAGGCAACTCAACGAGCTCGACACCAGTGCGATCATCCGCGATGTCAAGCGATCATCGGATCTCCCTATGGCCGAATGATTGAACGTCCATCAGGGGTGATCGCGCGGCTCATCAACGAGGTCGCCAGATTGCGGGGTGCCTTCAGGCGACGAAGAAGAAACGTGCTCGGTATGGGGGTGATGAAGATGATTGAGTAGGAAGGTCGGGATAGTGTATCGCATCCTGCATGTATGTAAACCACATGTACTACCACTTCTTGAGCATGCTCACATATTGTTTCATTTATCTGACCACCGAACTACGCGCACTTGATCAACGATCTGAGACGTGCGAATAATTAACACACATGCTACCCGCACTCGCGCTACGGCGCGAGTGCGGGTACAAATCTGAGGCAGCTCGACGGATTTTGATGGTTCCAAACGGCAGTACGATCACGTCAATTCATTCATTTTAGCGAGCGATACTACGACCTCCCACAGTCAACAAATACATGTACAGTAGTTACGCCCAGTGTCACGAGTGAATCGATCTACCCGCGTTCGCGCTACGGCGCGAGTGCGGGTAGTTGCACTGTTTCTAATATAAGTCACTTCCGCATCTTCCTGACGTCCTTCGAGAGCTTCGCGAGGCGGGACTCGAGCGTCGCGGTGCGCTGGTTGCTGTCCTCAAGGTCGCTCTCGAGCTTTGCGACCTTGCGCTCGAGAATAGCGACCCTGCGCTCCGCCGCCTCTACCTTGTTGGCGGCGTAATGCGCATTGTCCCCGCCGGCCTTCGCAATCTCCAAGGCGAGCTTGCTGCGGTCTGTCGCGAGACTGGCTTCTTCAGCCGCGAGCTCGTACCGGTCCATCCCCGTGCTCCTTCGCGGCTTGCTGAGCCATTTGCGAGTGAGCTCCGGCTCGGCCCTAACCTCGCGATCAATTTGCCTCTTTCTCCGCTTCGCTATCCTCCGTGTCATCCTCGGCACTATCGTCTTCACCGTCGATCTCGTCCTCGTCCGTGCGGTGACTCCTACCGCACCTGTGCCCCCGTCCGCATCCTCGTCCAACTCGTCGACACTTTCATTGCTACTGGTGGGCCGAACGCTCGCGGGCGAGCGCGAAGCATCGGACTGAATCGGAAGGTGAGTGAAGAGGAAGTAGCGAGTGTAAATCGACGTACCGGTACGAAAGACGTAGCATCAGAGGTGCGCCGACGGCGCTTGCGGCTGGGCCCGCACGCAGCGCCGTGTCAGACCTCTCACTCTCGTCACGGGAGCTGCGTTGGGCCCGCGAGGCAACGGCTTTCCCTTGTGCGTGGATCCGCGCCTCCCGGTCTGTGGAGCTTTCTTGGGGACGCTGAGCCACTTCTTGCGCATGCTGCCGGAACCTCCATGTTCTCGGTTTCTTCATTTGGCGCGTACGTCGCGGTACCATCTTCGGCCACGGTGATTATAGGGGATTTTCGACCAATTTCGGGGTCAGGGAGGGGTCAGGGGCAGATTTCCACAAAAAACTGGACCTCTGCACATGAGGAACACCCATCAATTTCCCATTTCCCTACCCGCACTCGCGCTACGTGCGCCATTGCGGGTAAACGACCACTGTCCGAGACTGTTACCCGCACTCGCGCTACAGCGCAGATGCGGGTGAATAGACGGATCATTACTCTACACAACACACTAACACAGTACAGTAATAATATAGCTACGTCAATGATTCATGCGTCACTCATGCACTTACTACCGAATACCCATTTTGTAGGGGTATTTTACCCCCTTTCGCGCTGCCGGCACGAGTGCGGGTAAAGAAGCTTACGAATCAGTCATTTACCCGCACTCGCGCCGACGGCGCCAATGCGGGTAACGACACACTAATAATGTGACACGCTACCCGCACTCGCGTCGCCAGCGCGAGTGCGGGTAAATAACGATAGAATTACATGAACAGTACCCGCACTCGCGCCGGCGACGCGAGTGCGGGTATTGTAGTACAATTTGATGTACCGTTACCCGCACTCGCGTCGCCGGCGCGAGTGCGGGTAAATAACGATAGACCGTAGCATCGAGAGACCGGATCCATTGATCTTAATCGGTATCTTTACCCGCACTCGCGCTGGCTGCGCGAGTGCGGGTAATGTCACACGATCATGTGCTTCGGACGTATCCGTAGCCATGCGTTCGGGGCACACTTACCTTGTTAAACATACGCCCACAGATCGATCGCGCGTTCGCGCACATCTCTACGCTCTTCATCTCACTCTGCTTGTCATCTGTGCTGTGCCATGTCTGACCGTGGCTCGTCTCGGTCGCCTGGGCCTTCGGATCAGTCGCTGCAGTATGAAGAGGTACGTACCGTTATCAAATCAGTGGCCGATCGACACTGACAGTTGTCAATGTAGATTCAACCGGACTTGGACGTGATCGGGGGATCCAATGCCCATGACGGCCGGTCAGGGCGCTGAACAGGATCGGGAGGCTGAGCTTCTCGCAGAGCGGCGGAAGCATGCCTCGGCTTCACGCTCGTGCCGGCATCGCCCTGGCTTATGAGAGCAATGCAGGTCGACTATTTGTACCAACGTTGGAACCCGCGCCCGCTCGATGCTCACCACCGCGAGGGTATCGTGAAAGACCTGAAGCACGAGCCTCGCAACGTACTCAAGGAGAACGCGCTTCTGCTCGCCGTACCGGGTGGATCGGTCAGCCCCGAGTCGTTCATCGTATCCGGTCACAAGGGCTCGAAGACGCCGAAGCTGCAGCTTGCAGCCCAGGCGATTGAGGACGAGAAATCGAAGGTCGTGCTTGACGTGATCGCCGGGCAGCATCGCCTGCACGCGTCTGCCGACTGGCACCAGGACGGTGAGAATGCGATCGTGCGCACGGAGAAGCGCGTGGACGATTGGAAGGCCTCGTTCAAGACGTCGGAGGCGTGGAGGGCCGAACTCAAGCAACGTGAACAGGACGTGGAGAATGCGCATGCGTACATGCACGAGCGGGCGTGGTGGTTGGCGGAGGTCTTCGATAGCGGTGCGTTCGTATCGTTCTCACAAATCTCGCACGATCACTCATACCATCCTTAGATAAACTCTCACCTGCGGCGATCAACACGCTCGCGCGAAACCGCGACGCACGGAAGAAGGTGGAGGGGGATCAAGAGAAGTTTACGATGGAGATGAAGTCGCTGTGTGAGATCAAACCGTCGCAACTCGTCCAAGTCCTGCGCGATAAGCAGGAGACCCACAAGGAGGCTCAGCAGGCGGAACGACAGGTCAAGGGCGGGCACCACGCGAACACGATGTTCTCGCGCATCGTGCACTGTCTTCCGCTCGCACGATTCTGCATCGCACTCACGTCGCTCGGTCCCACTTTGAGAATACCGGCATCATGCGGTGGCGAGAACTCGAGCAGGAAGCGACGACGACATTTGGAGTGAGTATCAGGTTAATCCATTTTGATTGTGGCTAACTATCTACGTCATACAGGCGTCATCTACCCCGTCCTCGACTTGCACCGGACGATGGGCCTGATCGGCTCGAAGCAGGATTTCCCGCTGTCGGACGACAAGGTTACGCAAGCATGTACGGACTGGGACGAGTTCGTACACGCGCACCATGCGAAGGAGGGCGAGAAGATATACGGTGCGGACGGCCAGGAGAGTGCCGCGCTGGACACCATCAAGGAGTACGGTACGATGAACCGGCTTCGGTCAGCGTTCCTGCGTGCGGTGCCCGACTACTCTATGTACACTCCGGAAGTCTTCGAGGCTCTGGAGATCTTGCACCAGAAGCACATCGTCGAGGACGATCCGCGCCTGCTGTACCTGCGGACGACTGACGCTTGCAAGCAGATGCGTGCGTACGGTGATGCGTTGCATGCTGCCATGGCTGACCTCCTGCCATGCGACACGGATGCGGAGATTGCGCATCGTGCAGCGGTCCTCGCGCGGATCCGGTTCGTGTACCATCCGTGGAGTGTGGAGGCGCAGGGCGCCGCGGTTGTCACGGCCGCACCGCTGATCACGCACGGCTTGATTTCGTGCCTGTTGGTTGACCGTGCGACGCACGAGTTGGGATGGATCTGGGTAAGTACATCGCTCCGTGCTCTGGTGATTGTTACTCACCGGTGTCAGCTCGCGTTCGTGCTCGAGCCGATGTCGCTGTTTGCTTGTGCGGTCGGCAACGACCTGCGCTACAAGTCGGCCGGTGCCTTGGTGGGCGCGTTGACTGCGCTTGAGCTGATGGGCGGTCTGAAGAAGCACATTGGGCCGGTGAGCGAGAGCCTGGCCGCGAAGGTCAGTGGTACACAACATACAGATCGGAGACTGTGCTCACCGGATGATGTCAGATCGTGATGTTGTCGTGGGCAAAACGGACGCGGTTCATGCCGTTGCTGGCCTACTGTTACGGGAGGCTGACCGCTCAGCAGATCGAGTTCGACACCGAGTACAAGCACATACGTACCGGGATGGACAAGCCGATTGCGGCCGGTGTCACGGACATCGCCCCAGGTAGTGCGCGCGGTTCTGCTAACAAGGAACGTAAGCCGGCGGACATGGAGAAAGAGGCGGAGGACATGATCCGCCAGCTCTTTCCTTCGCTGAAGCAGGCGTTCCCGAAGGAGCCCAGCTTCCTGACGTGGGTGGTCCATCTCTGTGGCCACCGCAACGTGCTCGGTGGTCCACGGGCATCGGTCACTGCGGAAACTCCGCCTGTCGTGCTTGCCCCGAAGCCTGGACGCACGGCGGCGAAGAACAAGCCGAAGCCTGCGGCACAAGCTCCGGTAGCGCAGGCAGGCCCGTCGCGCCCGCCGATCCGTTTACCTGACTTGACGTGGGACATACCGGGCGCGTTAGCGTTTGCTCGGACGGGCGTTCCGCTGCCAAAGGAGAAAGGCTGGACGCGGAACTATGTTCCGGTCGCGCTTGCGTGCATCGCTGCGTGGGCTCACAAGACCATCATGGCCCGCGAATCGTTCTTGCTTCCGCCGATCGTCACGTACCTAAAGGACCTCACGACGCTGATGAAACAGTTCCAGACCATACCAACGCACGACGCCATCTTCTGGCCTCGCTGGTCGCTCGTCGTGAAGCAGCCGGCGAACCCGGAAAACTGGCCGGAATGGTATGCGAAGGGCCGGTTGTCGGACATTGGGCGATTTCGCGGGTTGCTCACGCACCCAGCGATACGGCGACTGACGGGCTTCGGATCTGGGAAGGGACCGGTGAGTGCGGACGGGACACCGCTTGAAGGGGGCGAGCAGGAGTCGGCAGCGCAGGCGGGCAAGAAAGGGAAGAAGCGAAAGGGGAAAGGTAAGGCGGCGATCAAGGCGGAGGAGGCGAGGTACAAGACGGAGGCGCTCGACTACATGGAACAGCGATCCATGCTGGGGATCAGCATGTTCTTCCCTGGAGCCGCGACGAAGCAGCCAGCCGCGAGTACGTCGGCGATCACGGTCAACAAGAAGGGCAAGCAGCCCGCGCACGCATCAAAATCCGTGCCCATCGACGTTGACGCGTTTGATGACCTGCCCGTCGCGAGCGGATCGTCGACACAGGTGGCGAGGACGAAAGAGGACGAAACCGAGGGCAATCCGGACGGCAAAACTCCGAATCCGACTGCTGTCGCGACGGCAGCGTTCCGGAAGCACGTCAAGAATGAATTCGTACCTCTGCAGAACATGCGCGCGGACATTCTGTCGATCGTGCAGCAGGTCATGACGGTGCCGCAGATGTACGGGCTGACGGTGACGGAGAACGAGCGGTACATCCTGCAGCACAGGACGCTCGATGCGCACATCATGTCGTCAGCCGTGCACCTTGCAAACGTACGTCAGAATCGTCCATCAGCGGTATGATGAGACTGACCTGTGTTTGCAGACGATGATGTACAAGGCTGCACAAATGATGTACCGTGTGGAGGCCGGAGATGCTGACGCGGTGTACGAGCCGAACGACGAGCTGTACACGTTCGAACGGATCACGCTTGAGGATGTCTTGGGCGCGTGGCCTCGCAAGCTCGACGGTTTCGTCGACTCTCCAGACGAGGAGCTGTCGGGCTTGCCGAACTGGATGTTCGTCGACAGTCCGCACTCGTTCTTCATCGAGAAGGCGAGGGGTACGGCCGAGAGGATCCCAAGTGTCGCTCGCGCAGACCCTTGGGCTGAGGGCGTCTCGAAGAAGACGGGTCGTTCGCTTCCGTCTCCAAGCCAGATTGCTTGGTTGGAGCGACGGTTCAGCGAGGACGAGCCCAGCTCGGCCGGCGATGCTGAACTCGTCTCCAAGGTCGTGCGTCCTGCCAGCCGGACGGACGATGCGATGGATACCGGCAACGAGGCGGAGCCTGAGCCAGATGCTGCGGACGCGGATGTCGAGCACCTCCGCACGCAGTTCGACCAGACACGCGTGGCGGGCGGCGCGCCAGCCGACACGACGGCCGAGACGACTGGCCAGTCCGAGGACGATGCTATGGCCGGGGCCCCGGCACCGCTGCCTTCTCAGGAAGCCGGCCCTGCTACGCCTCCCGTCGGTGTCGCTGCACCGAACACGCCTGTACCGGCCGACCCGGATGTGACCATGGACGACGCGACTGCCGCCGCGAAGACCTCCAAGCGTCCTCGCCGGAGTGACGAAAGCACGCGTTCGGAGACGACGGCCTCGCCTAACCGGAAGAAGAACCGTCAGGAGGACCCGCCGAAGCTCGTACTCCCGACGGACGTGACGGCCGACCACGTCAAGGACGGTACGTTATTTTCATTGCTACTACCCGCACTCGCGTCGCCAGCGCGAGTGCGGGTAACGTTCGTCAAGTTGTATTGCTATTACCCGCATCCGCGCAGCGAGCGCGAGTGCGGGTAACGTGCCATACATTTGACACGTCACTACCCGCATTGGCGCTGTCGCGCGAGTGCGGGTAACGTGCATGCATTTACAGCAACTACCCGCACTCGCGTCGACAGCGCGGATGCGGGTAACGTGCAGCGTATTTGACACGTCGCTACCCGCGTTGGCGCCGACGGCGCGAGTGCGGGTAGATGCATCGATATTACTGACATTACCCGCACTCGCGCAGCCGGCGCGAGTGCGGGTTGGATCGGTATCTTTGTACCGAACATACCACTGATCTGTTACCTTCCAGTCATCGCTATGGGTCTTTTGCCACAGATCATCCGTCTCCTGTGCTTGGAACCGGTCATTCTCGAGAGCAGAAAGCCCGCCAAGGCCCAAGCCGAGTGTCCTCGCTGGGACATCCGCATCACGCTCGACGAGTTCAAGGCGATCGCGGAGCAGACGTCCAGCGAGTCCGAGTTTGCGACCTGGTTCACAGGTTCCGATCTCCTGTCGTCTTTTCCGATCGCGCCCACGTTCAATGCCGAAGACATCGAGAAGGACATTTGGTATCACGCGACGCAGATGGGCATGCTCACTGTGCGCGTGTACTACCTCCTGTTGCTCGAGGACATGATCGCGGACAACATCGCCCTCAAGGAGTCGCGGACTACCTCGCGAGCATACCGGTGCGTCGTTCCAGGCAATGTTGAAGCATCTCACTCACATGCGTGGTACAGAGTCTCTCGCCACTCTGCTCACTAAATGGCTCGAGGATCCAGCCGTCCGACGCCCCGCAGCGTCCTCGCTGTTGAACGACAGCTTTGCAACGGCCTTGCTAACGCGTTGCCGCGGACCACCGGCCACTGCGAACCCGAGCACGGACCCAAGCGGTGTGACCTCCGGTGCACCGGCTCAGGACGAGAGCGAGCCCGTTCAGCAAACGCTCGACATGGACGGTGATGAGCCGATGCGACCCGTCGAAGAGGTACGTGATCTGATCTCTGTGTAGAACCGGTCAATCTCACGACGTATCGTTCTCAGCAACAACTTGCTGGCCCCCGTCGCTCGACTCGATTGACCGGAGCTGGTGCTGGCAAAACGGCAGCCTCCCGGTCAGTCACCTCGGAACCTCAGCCGCACGCGAGCACTTCCGGCAGTACCCGTGGACCGTCTCTTCCGCCGGTACCCCAGCCTCGCGGTCGCGGTGGACCTGGAAATCGTCGTGCTCGTGGTCAACCACGGCCTCGCGGTCAGCAAGGGCGTGGCAGTCAACCGCCCGATACGAGCGACGACGCTATCATCCAGGGTGGCCTCCCTGGTCAGTCGCTCTGATCGTCGCACGCGCGTGTCCTTGGTACGTTCGCTCCGTCTTCTGTACGTCGTGTCCTGTTGTGTCTGTGCTGGTGTACTGTGTCGTTCGTTCTCCCGTCTCGTTGTTCGTGCTGACCGTCATTGCTTGGCGACTCGTGTTGTGAGTCCGCTTTCATTCGTTTTTCGCACCTACTCACGCGCATGCAGCAACCACGCAGCACTTGTACTGTGTACTCATCAATATCCTCGGTACGTCCTTGTGTCACGTGGCTGCACGTGATCCTTTTGCTGACTTGGTTTCAGTAGCATCTCTTCTCGTGTACAGTGCCGCCATCTATGCCTCTCACGTCGTTCCCCGCTCGCTGTGGCCCTTCATGTACAATACTCTGCTGTGACTCTGTGATGACATTTCATGACGCTGATCTCGCCGAGTCTGTGTGTGTGCCTCAAAGTGGAGAATCCCTGTTCGTGTTGGCATGACAACATGGCCATTGCATGGCCAAGTTGACTTTGCTCATGTCACGCCAGTTTACAACAGTGAGTGCCATGTGCAACGCGCGGATCGGGTTGATCACTGTTATGTCCAGTTGAGAGGTCGAGGCACGAGGATGACCAAGAGCAAGCGAGCGCACGACGAATTCATGAACAAAGAAGGGCGCGAGCCCCAGACACTGCCATTGGCAAGACAAGGGAATACATCCCAGAGAGCGCGAGTACGGGATAGGCCAGGACATTTCTGGTAAGTCCCTAACAACATGTCCGTCGTCCCTAGCTATCTCATCGGTCAAGTCCTAGATAGTCCGTGACACATTGTATCGTGTCCCTAAGCGGGCTTGTGTAACGTGGCCGTTACACGATGCAAACACATCTCGCAACAGATAAGTAATCCCGTCTTGAAGCACGCACCGTTATTACAGCTGTTTCCAAAACGATAGGCCCCTCATCAAAAATGCGTACACGGGCGGAGAGCGTCGGATCTTGCCTTCAAGGTGATCCGCACCTTCTGCCAGTCGACCTCAGCCACCCGCCGTAGTCTGGCTCGCCCTCGACGTGCCGGTTATGGTCCAATCTTGATGGGAATAGGAGACCGACACACTCCGCCTGAGTGCGGTTTCTTGATGCGGGGCCCATCGTTTTGGAAACAGCTGTAATCATTCACCAACAGCACAGGCGATGCGATTGAACTTGCAAAAGAGCAACTCTGCGGAGGTATGATAAACGGTGACTAACCAGAGCAACAGCAACAAGAGCGGTTGGGAACACGCACAAAAATGAATGACTAAGTCACAGTGACAACATCATGTATATCTACAGTGGTAATCAACGTACAAGAGCACACACCGGCCAAGGGAGGATGAACGGTCCAAACGGAACAAACTGGGTATGTGTGTCAATTGACCGTTCTGTTCGCTCGAACGCAACGCGGTCAAACAAATGTGGTGCATCGGACGTGGTTCGCCGTTGCTGAACTTAACTTGTCAAGTGCAGAGACAATGCTCAGTCCCTCATTCTCTGACTTCAGCCCAAAACACGTCGGATTCCGCCATCCGCGGGCTGCGGTTTCGGGGACTTGTGAACTGCCCGAGGGTGCTGCGGCGGCATGACCATTTGTAGCAGCTCGATCGGCTTGGAGTGTTTCAGCGCAACACGCGCCGATCAAGAAGGTGCGGTTGCATCTCACAGCCACAGTGCGTCGCCTAATTTGGTGTCCCTCCGCCCGAAGAGTCGTTGCACAAGCTCACAGCCGGAAATGTTATTCCAGGCTCATCCCGCCGCTGTTGCGACGCGACCCTGTCTCGAATTTGATGGCATTTGTCTCCGCTCACCCTAGACCGTGCCCATCCTTCTCACTGTCCGTTTGTCTCTCTCTCTCTCTCTCTCTCCCCCGTCCTTCCTTCCTTGAGTCTGCGTGTGTGTTGCCCTCCCCTTGTCGCCCGCTGCTGTCCCTGTTGCCCGCCTGCCAGCAACGATGCCCCGGAGCGATGACGCACCACAGGAAGACCGGTCTGCTCCGTTGGACCCGCGCGACGCACCGCTGGCCCTTCCTGCAAATGGGAACAGGGACTTTTACGAGTTGTGCGTACTCCTACAAATCTGACTGTTGTGCGAGTATGCTAAGGGCGTGGCAGCGGTGACGAGGACCCGGGGGACGAAGACCAACTGACAGAAGCTCACCAGAGGGTCATAGATGCTGCCATGTGAGTTACCGTCCGTCGTCATCGTCAACTGCTGTGACTCACCGTTTCAAATTGATGCAGAGACCACGAAGAGCTCGACCGTGCGCTCACTGGCTTGGACGAGCCTTTCAATCTGGACAACGTGCCGATGAGCCTCACCACTGACGAACCGATGAGCCAGGATGATGTGGGTCGTCACACGTTTGAGGCGCACACCGCGGCGGTGGACCGAAATGAGACAGAGCGGGTGTGGACGAATATGAAGCAGCGGCGGATCAAGCTGTCCGAACTCAAGCGCATGAGCGAGGGGGTCAACCGTCGGACGATCAAGGAGGCGGTGTCGCTGCTGAAGACGAGGACGAAGGTGGAGGTGGACGACAACATGATCATCGAGCCGGACGATCCGCGCCTGCACTGGCGAGGTGGCCCGCACTACCTTGACTTTGTGATGTACGTACCTCGCACGCAGGGTCTTCCGGTCGCATTGCCAAAGGCACGTTCGATGCACAACTATGTCTTGGTGCTGCAGATCCAGCAGCAGAACAGCCAGATGAAAGCGAAGGGCAAGGCCGGTTTTGATACGGATGGACGGTGCGCGTACTTTGGCAAGTACGGTCTGGAGAACCTCTGGATGGTCTTTGCGCCGAACGTGTTCTTTGCGGACATGTACGATCCTGGACGTGCTCCGCCTTCGTCTGGCTACAACGTGAAGAAAGGGGATTCGCGTCTCACCCCACGAGGTTCAAGATTTACACGCTCTTTGTCGTGCACTGGCTCGCTGAGATCCACTACCGGGACATCTCTCTGGCCGACCATCTCCGATATGGGAAAGGGACGGACCTGAAGAAGTGGTCCTTTGACGATATCTGCAACATCTTGTGAGTCGGTCTGTTCCCATATAGTAGTAGCCCGGCCGGTTACCCGCATTGGCGCAGCGAGCGCGAGTGCGGGAAGAGATGCTTGTCGAAACGGGTCATCTCTCCAGGCCTTTGTTGTTCGTATTTACCCGCATTGGCGCAGACTGCGCGAGTGCGGGTAAGATATGGGTGGTGATGCACTTGACTTGACTGACACGCACATTCTTTGCACAGTTCGGGCCCCGCAATGAACGTGACCCTCGCTCAGGCAAGGGCGTTGGACGAGTGCATGCCGCGAGTGTGGAAGCGATTTGTCCGGGAGATGCCAGCTGCGTGGAAGGAAGATAGGTTCTTCACGGATCACACACCCCTCATCATGTCAGTTCGGTATGGGCAGAACGAGGAGATTGGCGTGCAGAACTCTCTTGCCAATGAGCGGGATAGATGGGGTGGTGAACGTGACTGGTCTCGGATTCGAACGGCGAGTTTAGCCATTGCGACACACATTGGGTGAGTGGCATCTCACATAATCCCGCTGTGTGGCCTCTGACACCTGGACAACAGAGCTCGGGTGGTCAATGACTGGACACCCATTGACCCGGACGACATTCTCGACCAACACGGTGATGTCTATGACACTCACGACCGCTACGACAGCGATGACCCCGTGGACCTGTACACATATCCACTTCTGGACCAGGACGGCAAGGAGAATCCAATCTACACCTACGAGGGTCGGCGGATCGCTCGACGGGTGCCCAACGAAGACTACGACCCGAAGCTCAGCTGTGGTGTGCTCTGCGACTTGATGAGCATCCACGACATGTACGACACTGTGGCGAATGCTCGGCAAGCTGCCCGACGTCGACGGCAGCAGGCTGCAGGCAATGGCGGAGACGGCAATGGATCTGATGTGGACAACAGCGAAGACGAAGAGTTCCGGGCCCAGTTCAACGAGGACCAAGGTGTTGAAGGCAGCGATGATGATGTCGACGACGAGGAAACACGGCTGGCAAAAGAGCTGGACGCGATGGAGGCGGAACGTGGAAGTGGCAAGGCATTCGCTGTGCACTCCTACCCACAGGCTTTGCTCGGCAGATACGGGAACGTGCAGTCCACGCGCATGTTCCAGCAGTACAACAGTACCATCCTCGACATCGAACGAGAGCTTCGCAGGGGACTCCCGCCCCCACCGGCAGGATTTTCCAAGGAGTCTCTCACGACTCGAAAGGTCATGCGTCGGTTCCTTGCCGTGCTTGAGGACGAGGCAGCGGCTGCTGCGGGGGATGCTGGGTCGTCTCGCAAACGGCCAAGGGTCCCACCTCTGTCTGAACAAGAAGAAGCGGAGCTGGAGTATGTGCTCGCCCACGGTGGACTGGGCCCGATCATCGAGGCATGGTCGTCACAGATGTACAACGCGTTCTCACACAGGATGCGGCCCACCGCTCGCTCCCACGAGGTCTGCACGGGAATGATGACCCAGGCCTTCACCGGTGCATGGGCCCGCTCAAAACCTGCCCAGGCTGTCCTCGCCAACTTGCTCAGCCGTCTCACTGGGCAGCTTCCGCACGAACGCCTGAAGACATTGCTGATGGATGAGAGCGTCGCACGGGACCTACGACTGGAGAACATGTTCGTGGTCAACTTCGACAACCTTCCACCTGATATGCGAACCGGAGAGTACGTTCGTGTTATGCGGCACTTTGTGATTTACTGGGCTGACCTCAATGTTCACCAGGGTGTTGTATCGGAACATCATCATCCAGCTCATCGCACGAACGCTCAGCCCGGACATCCAGCTGCCCCTGCGAGAGCACCTTGTGGTCTTTGAGCCAAAAGTACGTCTCCGTTTCTGTTGTCTGACGGTGCTGCTGTCTGACCTGTGAGTGACAGGTATTTCCCGCTGTGTATCATTGGACCACCTTCCCGATATCGTCCCTGCTGGTGGAGCTCTTCGAGGACTTTAGCCAATTCCTGCGCGAGCGGAACATCATCCCGCCCACGCAAATTGAGCTGGTGGCCCTTCTGGAGCGATGCCTTGCGTACGCATACACTGGCAGTGGCAAGGTCCTCATGACGTCCCTCATGGATCAGCTCCTGATCTCTCGCGGTCTCTTGTGGGACTCTTTGCCCGTCTTTCACCCGAAGATATTTCACTTCGCCTTGGCCGAGTCTGGTGCAGTCCGCATCAAGGCAGAATCCTGGCCGTGTCGCGGGGCGGAACGAGAGCCGATCATGGCGTCTCTGCGTGCAGTCCAGTTGACTTGGGGATCGTCTCCTGCGGCGGTGAGTCTTCTTCTCCATGCAATTATTATCCCGCATTCGCGCACTCGGCGCGAGTGCGGGTAGACGTGTCTCTTTTTTGCATGATTTACCCGCACTCGCGCCGAGTGCGCCAGTGCGGGTAAGAGTTCCTGTTTTGTTGCCTCGTGTACCCGCATCCGCGCCGGCGACGCGAATGCGGGTAAATCACCTCCGTTTTGCGATTGGTATCTGACAAGGTCGTTCTGCGACAGGCTCACAAAGCGTACATGCAATTCTACATCTCGCAATACCTGCCAGTGCCGGACAAGTATCTCGCTTTCAAGAGCGACATGTCGCAGTGCCGCGCCCTGATGATGGCCCACATTGCCCTCAACGTCTTGGTCGAGGACATTGTCCAGCTGGTGTCCATCGGTGTACAGCAGTCCGTCAAGGCCGTGTCAGCCTCGCAGCTCAAGGAGATGCCCGCGAAGGAAGTGTATCACCACGAACAGCGACTTCAATCGTTGAAGCAGTGGGTTCGCTCCGAAAACCCGCTGTCTCACGACCACGCAGGGCAGGCTTTCAGGTCGCTCCTTTGTGCCATCAGCGACTCAACGGGCGACATGTCTCTCGGATTGACCAACCCATCCCAGCAGATCGACATATCCCAGGAAGAGCTGGCGAGAATCATCTACAACTGTTGCCGCTCTGAGCGTCCTCGTGGGCTGCACGCACCGTTGAGCCGTGCCGGTTCCGCCCCTGCCGTCCTCCGATTCACGATCGAACACATCGCCCGGTATGCCGAAATTGACGACAGCACGGAGGGTGCACTCGACCGGTGGACGATCAACGTCCTGCACACTGCCATTCGCCAGCGGCGGATCATGTTCGTTCCGTGGATCAATGACATGAGATCACAAAGGAGCCAGGGGAAATCCGCGCGAGGCGGGTCAAAGCCCATCAAGCCACATTACAAAGCTTGGATCAATCTGGACCGCCGGACCGCCGGTGAGGCTCTCGTGCCCAGCCAGGGTGCTGCCAATCAGCGCACTGTGAAGGACGTGCACGACTCCATCGCCAACAAGGTGACAAAGCGCGTCATGAAGCAGAGCGTTCAGGCGGAGTGGAACGCGCTTGACGTACATCTCATGCACCTTGGCGACAAGCTCAACTCGATGGAGCCTCCTGCAGAGTTCAACGTCAGGTCAGTGGGCGGCTTAGGGCTGACAGGGCCCGAACCCGAGGCAGGTTCCCAGAAGTGGGTGACATACAAGACGTACGAGTGGGTGGGCTTGAACATCAAGCTCAGCAATCCCCTCCATCACCTGGCTCTCATCATTGCCATTGTCTTTTCGAAGCTCGCCCCTCACCTGTTCCTTTACACAAAGGAAAAGCCGTTCACGTGGGGAGACGCACCGGCCCGTGGCAAGGAGGAGATGACCCGAGTGCTCCGTGACACTGAGTGGCTCTTCAACAAAAGCCGGCGCGGTGTCAAGGACAAGCACCCCTTCATCACGATGGTCACCGTCTTCATCATCGCGATCCTGGACAAGCGCAGTCCCCTCATGGTGGCTTACAGAGCTCGGCCCCCAGGGACTGAAGGCCTCGACCGCTGGTTTGTCGAGAAGCACTCTGAGAAGGGCATCGGTGGCATAAACATGACCGAGCTGCTGTTGCTGTCGTGCTCGGCAAGGGCATCATCAACGGAGGCCGGTTCAACGTGAACTGGACTGTCCGTGAGCCGGCGGTGCTCATCGCCCTGTACAAGGACGTGTGCAAATTCTTCAAAGCGGGCGAGTATGGTGCTTTCGAGGCGGTCCGGTGCCTGATTGGGCCCCGCATGGCCGTCGAGTTGACGAAGCCAAAATTCGGGTCCCAGCTGAAATTACGCCCTGGCGTTCCCGTGCCATCTTCCCTGCCTCTGTCTCAGCCTTCGAACGCTGCCGCCAGTTCGTCCTCTCGTGCGCCACCCCATCAACGGTCGAGTAGGCTGCCTGCCCTCGAGGACGACGTGATCAGCATCTCGTCGGGTGACGAAGACGATATCATGACGCTCCCCTCTACATCCCGACGTGTCGCATCTCTCAAACGTGTTATGAGCGGCGGCGGCATTCATCCAGGCCCTGCACCGCCGCGCATCAAGCAGCAGTCAGTTCCACCGCCCCCGCTTCGATCTATTACGGAGGATCATCAGATGGCTGATATTGACTTGACCGAAGACGCTGATGAGGATGCCCTGCCACCGCCACCGCTGCCTCGCAATTTGGTCAAGAAGAAGCCCGTGCGGCGGGACTCTAGGGGCAGCAAGCGTGTAGTACCTGCAGTGGGTCCTTGTCGTCTGGGCCTTCCGCACCCACCGTCGCACATCATCGACCGGAAGGAAGACCTCGTACGGTGCAGCCTGCACCACCACCGCCACGCAATGCTACGCCTGGTCCATCACGACGACAGAGCCCTCCAGAGTCGCCCTCTCCACCGCCGCCACCCCGCCCACGCATTCGTCCACCACGTCTCAGTCGTCCTTCACGACCACCGGTCACGCCTGTCCCTCCTGTGGAGGACGTTCAGTTTGGCATGTCCCGGTTCCCGTCTCCCCGCACTGCACTGCCAGAGATGCCCAGTTCCACGGATCGGTTGAAGGCTCGTCTGGAGCGACATTACGCAGAACAGGCGGCTAAAGAACCTCGACCCAAACCAACATCTCTGACTTGGGACGAAGCGTCTCTCCTCGCCGTCGTCGAAAGTGTCTCCCTGAACCGGCCCCTCAACCTGAGCCTGCTCGCACGGGCAAGCGTGCTCGTGACGATGAAGACAAGGGGCATGTGAGTGATGATGGCATGTCTGTCATATCTGAAGGGAATGGTCGCCAGCGGCAGGTCAAACGCATGCGTATTCACAGCGGTGATGGCCGCAGCATCTTTTGTATTGAGAAATTTCTTCCGTCTTGAACGTATGCAGTCCTAGATACATTCGTACACTATCTGCTCCTGTAATGCACACCACTCATGGACTGCTACGATCGTAATATCATTTGTGTTTACCCGCATTCGCGTTGCCAGCGCGAGTGCGGGTTACAATCGCTCTTATCGTGACTGTTTTACCCGCATTGGCGCCGACAGCGCGAGTGCGGGTAAATGATGGTCTTTGGGTCGTTCCTTACCCGCACTCGTGCAGGCAGCGCGAAAGGGGGTAAAATACACCGTTAAAACGGGAAAATGGGGGGTCGGTGCGCTCACGTCATTCTATCAATGATACTCTCATCCTATGAGTTTGTTAAATTTCACATATATGTCACGTGAAACGTGGTGGGCGTTGTTGTGTACGAACACGCACACTGCGAATATAAATCCCTCCGCACCGTCTCTCCTAACCAATGATGATTCCCTCCACCGTTCTGTATACTTCCTATGCTATCTTTCCTAAGGAGTTGGGTCACCGTCTTGGACAGCCTTGGAACTTGGTCACTCAGTCATCAAACAAATTGTTTCCTGTTCCCATCCATCTCTCTACCTCATAATTGATTTCAAGGCAAATGCAGGGTGATCTGCGTGCAGGGAAAATCATTGGCTTGGTACTCGGCACCCCTTGTCCATAACAGACTCCAATCACAGGCATATATTGGGTACCTGCAATGCACTGAGCTAGATGTGACGGACTTCCTAGTCAGTGCCGCTGACCCTATTATTCTCGAGGAGAGGATGAGCTTCGCTCAAGGACTGTGTCTTTTCTGATACTATTATTTATTTGTTCTGACATAGCTATGTACATGACTTCAAAGGCCCATGCAGAGGAAGAAGGGCTTGTTGGGTGCTTAGGTGTCCAAGATCAACAGCATAGTCTGTCAAATTCATCTCGTGCTTGTGCGATATCATTCTGCGTGATGTTGTACACACTCTCCGTGCATCCTGTGATTAGACAGGTGCCCATGTGTGCCCTTGCTTTGAGTCGTCGTTATCTGCATGTCATGAAGACCTTCGCAATCCAACTCACTGGATGGGGGTGGGATAAGAGGGAGCTTCATATGCTCATGCACAAGTAACAAAGCACTCTGAGCACGCACCACTACACGCTCATACAAATGCCACATAAATGGCCTAAGCTAATAATTCCGCCCCATGCAAGTCTTGTAGACAGCTGTGTAAAATCATTCAATTCCTCACGTACAGTCTCTGGGTTCTCTCAAATAAATTGGGCGCGACTCGTGTGGAATTATGCTCCTTGCACAGTGCCATGATAGGGCTCACGAGAGGTGTCCATGAAGTCGGAGGCAATGCTATGCAATCATACTCAGGCCAGAGTGTCCAGAAGTCAATCTCTCATCTTCAAGGGAATATCCGCCAGCTCTATAAGTACATCCATGTTGTTTAGAGCTACAGAGCTATGCTCAGCCACAGTCCGTGCAGTGCTTGACAAACATTCTTGGCTTTTGTGCAAAACTCCTCATACAGTCCAAATCCTGCTCACCTCAGTTGGAGGCCACATAGTAGTTGGCTGGGTTTCTGGAACAAACATGTCTATTATTGTCACTCTCACAACTTGGCAATCCATTCTTTAAGGCTCCGTGACCCAGTCTTCCATGTTCTCTGCCGCACACATCAATTCATTCCCAAGTCCCACTTCTCTCTTTTTCAAATCCTTCTGTTCATACCAACACTGCAAAATGGCAATGATTGTGACCTCTCCTGGTACTCAAGTTCAGATATCTTTCCTGACCTTTCCTCCAACTCCAACATCCTCATGTAGTCTACATCATTGACTGTTTGCAGCCTTACCAAGTTTGGGTGTTGGCTGTAGGCCTCTGCACTTTGGGTGTTGGGCTTTGTTGACAGCTCATCATAATAACCTTCTCACTGAAGCTGAGCAAAAAAAACTGGACTTGGCTGGACACCACTGCATCTCGCAATTTACGGGAGCATGGCCACAATGATACGGGAGGTTAAACACTGACAGAGCTCATGAGCAAATGTCACAGCTGTCACGCGGGTAAAAATGCAAGCTGTGTAGTGGGGAATCCTAGCGGATACCAGGTGTTCTCATTGTCTCTGCTCAGTTTCAAGTGCACGACCACCTGCGCTCTGTTGTCTCATACTGTTTGTTCTGTGTGCGCGGTGCCTTAATCAGTGAATTCCTTTCGCTGTACAGTGTACTTTACATCTCCCAGTAGTGCTTACATCTCCTGGTAGTTGACTGACTTGTTCCAGGATTTATCTGTGCAAGCACAAATGGCCTGGAGGCGATGTGCGACAGCATGCATGGGTGGTTGCAAAGTCCAGTTCTGTTTCCAAAAAGGCTCAATATATGCCCGATATCGTGCTCTGTGCGACAAGCTAACCCAGTCACTGCAAGCTCTGTTGCTCTGGACTGAGTCTGTCTTTTTTGGAGTGCACACGACTGCACACTCCTGCTGGGAAGCAGACTTGGTGGAAACAAGCGTGAACAGTACAGCCGTGAAGGAGAGTTTTGCTGAACGTGACAGCCAAGCCTCAATGCAAGGACGAGCACTGTAGAGAACTGTCTTGTTCTGCTCTTTTCTGTGCACTTGTTCTTGAGTTGTCCTGAATCGTTGTGTCCTGAAATCCACAGCTTCTTGGTTCTCACTCTTGTGCTGTGAGCTGTGAGTTGACAGTGCAGTTGTCTGAGTGGCTGTTTTTGCAGTTGGGGCTGCGTACGTGAGTAGTGGGTGTGCTAGAGCTCAGTTGCTGTGTGCTGTGTTCCGCGTGAGTGGGCAGTGTTCCAGTGTGAGTAGAGAGTTTGAAACAGTGAGTTGGACAAGTGTGCGGAGAAGACTGTGAGACGTTGGTTACGAGTACAGGAGAGCTGACCTGAGAAAACACAAGTCACTGTTGGCAGTCCAGCGACCTGTGCAAAACACAAGGAGAGTTCGCAGGACAGACACTGCTTGCTGTGTGCGTGGTGGGTGGAGAGTTCGTTGGCTCGCAGGGCTCGCAGACTCACTCTCCACGCCACCGACGCACAGAGCAAACAGTGTGTCCTTTGGAACTCTCCTTGTGTTTTTCGCAGGCTGCTGAACTGCCAACAGCGACTTTGTTTTCTCAGGGAGTACGTTTGTGGCTTGAAGTGGACAGTGTGAACGTTGTAGGACACAAGTGTGAGTACTTGGTTGTTGGTAGGTAACTGAAACTGTGAGCCAGAACTTAGTGCCTAGTCCGAGTACGTAGAGCACAGAAACCAGTACGCACAAGCTAGAACACCGTACACAGTACCCGGTACCCAGTGCGTACTCAAAGTGCGTAGTCCTTGGGCCGTAGTACTGTGCTTAGGGTGAGCTCTTGACGTCCTGTAGACACGGACTTTGTGAGAGGGTGTACACAACTGTTTGAAGTGCAAGTAGGAGTGTGTACTTGCAGGCTCACAGTGTACTGTTCTTAGCTCCCACGTGTAGTGTAGAACCTAAGCTTGAACTCTGTACGTGTGAACTGTGGCCCCAAGCTCCCTGTGAAGTCTGTGCGTGTGAACTGCACCTCAGGGTCACAGTTCTGAGCTTACAGTGAAGTCCACACGTGTGAACCCCTGGGCTGTGAACTCCCAGCCACAGTACACACGTGTGTGAACCCTGGCTCTCAGTCTGCACGTGTGAACCCCAGCCCACAGTTCACAGTACACACACGTGTGAACCGCAGTCTCCAGTCTCCAGCTCCCAGCTTTTAGCTTTTAGCTTTTAGCTTAGGTTAGGTGGTTTAATCGCCTGAACACGCCGCGAAGCGGCGTTAGACTGAGGAGGTGGCGGTAGGAGCCAAGGGACAAGAGCGCAGTGGGGATCCACAGCGCGACCCTTTCGGCTTATATGCCTCATCAGGTCCCTTTGGCATTGTTTAGTCACGTTTACCTGTACAGTACCACAACAAGCCCGATTTGGGCAGGGTGACACATATCATCTTGCAAATGCTGCGATGTCCGTGATGGACTTCTTTTCTAGACCGAGCCGGATCCCGGCTGGAGTCGCTCTAGAACGCAGTGACGTCAGTAATCTAGAATCCAAGATCAGCGCTTATACCAGCGCCATGTGATCCTGTTCCGGAGTGGTCCGGACAGCGGGAGCGCCCGGAGGCTTCACTGGCTGCACGTGACCACGGCGGAGCCCGGGCGGAGCCCGGGTGACCGAAGGCACCTGACGCGTCACGTGATTAAACGTGACTCGCTCTAGGCCACACGTGATACCATCACGTGACTAGGCCCAGACTGGTCCGACCGTTAGCCAATTTGGTTAGGTACGGTTAGATTCGGTTAGGATTAGATTAGGGTTAGGATTAGGTAAGCGCGCCTGGTTAGGGTTTAGGTTAGCTAATCCGACATTTGTCAGCTGTACAGCAATACATCGATTAAGATGGATACGTACGTTAGGTCCGGTTAGGTCTCGGTAAGGTTCCTAACTACCCCGGTTAATACCGTCTGTCGTGAATGACATAAACGTAGTACTTACAAGATGTGTACAATGCCTCGCAGGCAGGTTCCTCAAACGGAAAAGAGGATTCAATGAAGAAAGCGGACAAACAGTGGTGTTCACTTATGGAAACATCCACACCCGCTAAGGGAAGCACGTTGGCGGCTTCGGGAGTAGTTAAACTATTCGCTCAACTAGTGGATTCCGGGGAACACTTCCCTTGGACCACAGGCACTCGACTTAGAGATATTCTCCCTAGTGCTACCGCAGGCCCTCAGTCTTTTTGTGTCGACGACACAACCATCTAACTGAAAGCCACTCTCCCATCTTCACACAATCGCCGTCCTACTGCAGCTCCTAGAAGCCGCCGTACCGCCAAGCGGGGGGAACGGGGGATGAGCGCCGATGAACCATTATCACATCGTCATCCGAGTCGTCCCTTTGAGGGGGACCATCACGATGTAGAAATTCATCGACGGAAGCAGAAAGCGTCGTGTCCAACTTAGGCACAGGCCCAGTGGAAGGACCCGCCTCTGGGACGTCTTCTGAGTCGGCGGCCTTAGCGACCGGCTCAAAGTAGTCTTCCAGGACGGTTTGAGCGACGCGCTCATCCATCTGCTCAAGAACGATTTTCTTCCAAAGAGTTGAAAGGTCGAAGAGATTACGAGTGCGTTTGCGACTCGTGATTAATCGACGATTTAAGATACTGCTCTTTCTAACGTCCGGCAAGGGCGGGCCATCGCGAAGCTCATCACTCCACGATATCACCCATTGAGGAAGATCCCCAAGGGTGTGCACATCCCTCACCGAAGGTCTCGGGAACTTCAGATTGAAGTCCGCACGGTCGGCGCGATCGCACCATTCCCGCCAGTACCCAAAAATCGCATCTTGAAGCTGCGAGGCATGGAAATAGTTCCATGCGGTATTATACTCGGTCTTTAGGACAAGCACCTCATCGTGCTCAGCTGCTTTTTCACGCAGTCTATTTTCCCAACGCTTGTGGAGATTTTCCTTAAGCCAAGATATAACAACCTTTTGCGGATAACCACGCTTAATGTAAAGGGCAACCAGCCCTCTCATTGCATCCTCATAGTGTGACCACAGCGATGAGAGCGTAGCTAACCGTGACATCTCCCCAATAAACGTACCCCGCTTAACATCGAGCGGGTGGGAGGATATCCACGGAATTCTTTCCTGATGACTTTGCGCCTTGCGGTACGGCATATGCTGCAGGTTCCCCTGCCCGTCGCGGTAGAGGAGCATATCCAGAAATGCTTGGGACGTTTCAGACGCTTGCCATTCAATCACACAGTTATCGTACTTGACTTTCTCCAGATGCGCTAACGCTTCATGCTCGCTATACGCGTAGACAATTGCTAGACAGTCGTCGATATACCGCCCATAAAAGGGCACGCAGGGGTCGTTCATAATACCTACTTTATCCTCGAAATAGCACCCATAAAGGTTAGCTAGATCGGGACTATCCGCGACCCCCATAGCGAGGCCGCGTAGTTGACGGTAATATTTACCCTGGAACTGTGTGACAAGCTTCGTATTTCCAATCTCCAAAGCGTCGCGGAAGACCTTTTGTTCCGCTGCGCCACTTTCGTAGTCGCGATCGCTTCTATCACTCCAATAATATTGAAGGTACGCTAACTCTGCGATGAGCAGCGCCTTGTTAAGGTCGATATTAGGATAGAAGGCGACAACGTCCCCGGTTACAATATAAAACTTGCGTCCGGGTTGGAGGTGAAGCTTACTTAATTTTATCGCCAAGTCTTTGGTCCCGTGTATAACGGATGGCGCCGACGCAATGATCGGTTTAAGTTTCTTTGAGACAAATTTAGCTGCGGGATTCATGACGGCAGAGTGACATGGTATAATCGGACGAAAACCCGTCGGCGTCTTATGGATCTTAGGGATCACATAGAAGGCGGGTACCGAATGTTTACTCTTAGGCTTTGTAATTTTTGACCGCAAATACTTAGCCAGTTGTTTCCCTGCAGCGGGTACCCACTTGTCCGCGTCGGCGGCGAGTAGGTCCATTTGTGCACATTTAACGTCCAGTATAGCATCAGCTTCCGTCTCGCGCAGCGGTTCGTAATCCGCGCGAGAGTTAAGAAGCACTAGACTTTTTTCTACTAACCAGGTTCGCTCTGACACCGCGATTCCCAGGTTCTTGTCGGTTCCCGTTATAACATAGTTATTCCGCAACAGGAAGTCTCGAATGGTCGGGGTGTGAGGACCGAGACGATTAAGGTAGGTCTTCACATCCTCGTCGGGGACTTTGGATATCGTGCTACGCACGAACTTCCTTCCCTCAACGAGTCCCAGTTCGAGATAATACGGTAACGTGGGCGGGGGATGCTCTTCCTGATTCTCATCAGGATCCTCGCCGCAATCGTAGTCTGGGTCGTAGAATTGATTTTTGCCTTCAAACTCAAATTTCAACCTCCAGCGCAAACGGCGCTGAAATTCCATCCATGAATCCCAAATAAGGGCGGACTTAATAGGTTGATGATACATAAAGCGCATCCCGACGCTGAGTTGAAAAGCAATTTCATCGGGCAACGTTACACCAGGCGATCTATGGACGTAATACATGAAGCGGGATGCTTCGACAATCTCCAGCGGAGTCCGACTGATTACATAATTGATAGCTCTAGGCAACGGGACTGTGAGAAAATAGTCCGGGAGGGAGGCGGCGTTGCCGAAGTGATACTCACCTCGATACGCGCTCACTTCGCCTTCCCCTTCCCCTTGTCCTGCTTCTTCGGCTTCGACGAGGAGGCCTTCGATGTCGAAGAAGACGGCTTGTTCTTTTTGAACTTCAAGCCCTTGAGCACGGATTCGCCGAATTTCGGTAAGTACCGAGATGGCGGCGGGAGATACGGAAGTACCTCTACCTTCTTGCTCTGGGAAGAGTTCTGCGACGTTTTCTTGCCGTCGCGCTTCTCGCCCTTCTGGGAGATAAGCAGACAAAACGTTAGTCCGTGGGCGTCTGATAAGGGAGGCGCTAACCTTCCCGGCGCCGGACTTCTTCTTGGCCGCAGCCGAAGAAGACGCGAGGCTCTTCCGAACCTCTTCTTTGACGCGCGCGTTGATGATCTTCTCAATCGACGCCGAACTAGCGGTGTTCGGGGTCGAGCCGGAGGCATCCGCCATCACGACATCAGCGTTGCGCACGATCTCCTTCTTCTTCGCCAACTTGGCCGCTTCGGCCTGGTGCCGCCCTTCGACGAAGAGGCGGACACGTTCGACGTAGGAGGAGGCGTCTTCGAGACACTGCGTCCAAAGTTGGACGGCAATGGGATTCTCGACATATCCTCGGGGAACGAGATCGACGACGCCCGTATCGGCGTCGACGCGTCGGTCGTAGCGAGGCACACGCCCGCGTTGCCGAAGCTCCGCGTAGCGCGCGTTGATGACAGTTGCCATCACGCCATCGACCTTCTCTAATCCCAGGGATTCCCGCAAGTAGCGGACCTACCCAATATGCTTGTCCGCCCACCACCCTGCCGGCCATTTCCGCCCCAAAACCCACTCCCTGCCTATCTGGCCACATCATCTGACCTTTCCATCACGTTCAGCACCCCAGAAAACCCCCCTAGAGCATCCATCAGCTGCATTCCCAGCAACTGTGGTGAAGTCCCACCCCCCTGTCCTGTGGGGGGGCATGGGAGGTGGGGGGGGTTCACCTCATCCCCAAAAAAGGTCATGCTGCGTGGCATGTGCTGATCATGTGGTCTCTCAGCACTTCTAATGAGCCCTTAGGGGGGGCTCTCATTCCTCCTGTTTGCCATGTTGAAGCCAGAGCATGGTGTTGCCTGAGTGAAGGCAGGGGGGGAGGGGGGTTTCATCAGGAAAAATGACAATCCCTAGGTTAGCCAATATAGGGATCACACATAGTTGATGTAGGCTCATTGCAATCCCCCCTGTGTATAGCATGCTTGCAGAATCTGTAGTAGTCTGTAGTGTGTCATAGTACCACCATGGTCGACGTACACCAGATGCTGGCATGCTCATGTATGAATACCTGTTGTTAGCACAAACAGGTCATACATAAATCCCAGTACTTACAATCCCCCTTCATGTATGAAGGCGCAGTAATCACTGCAGCCGGCGCCCTGCTCGCTACCCGAAAGGGCAGCTGCCCTTTATGGACCGCCCAGGTCACCCCCGGCGCCGGGGAAAGCTCGCGGCGGCGGCACTACCCAAAATGGGCGCCGTCGCGCGCTCTTCCTCTTTGGGTCCTGTTGCGGGCCCATCGGGCGAATGTGATCGCGATGGGTGATCAGTAAGATCTCACCCGTTCTCGGGCTGCACACTGCGCCATATATAGCAGTTGGTTCACTACGGTGCCTGATTGATGCGTGTATCCAGATTCGGATATGGACAGCACACATGTTGGGCTCCACGACATATCTTTTCGGGCTAGGCGCAGCACCACATCTAACTGTTTTCCTTGTAGCATAGGACAGTTCAGTAGGTATCGAGGTCTGAAAGTGCACAGCCTGTGTGTCGTAGTCCACGACATATGCCCTATATGTCACACCTCATGACATACACTGATCACAAATGGTTGACAGTGTACAATACAGTACACATGGCTGCTGGAACGTGAACAGGCGGGCGTGGTCACTGGGCACCCTACAACGCAACATCGACCGCACCTCCTGTCCGTCGCCGACCTGCTCATCACCATCCCACCCATCACTTCCCCACCCATCTCCCATGCAATTCATCCTACGCCGTGTCATCCCATCTATCACCCACAGCATCCCATGCTTCACTTGCATTGATCAACTTGGGCTCCTCCAGCCCGCGGCTCCGGGCTAATGGGTATAGCCAACTGGTCAATCGGGCGACAGCTTCTGCGCGACCTCGCAAGCAAACGGGGAGCGAGAAGACACCGGGAGAGAGAACGGGTACAACAGGTACAGCATTAGCGATACTCAGCGGGATGGTGGGCAAGGCACACACATACATATTGATGTGGTCGGCCTCCGCCAATTTGGAGATCTCGTCGGGTTTTGATCCCGACGCGACACCAACGTGCTGGCCTTCATTCGATCCTGATACAGCATTCCGGAGTTGTGGTGAACTAGAAAAACTGCGACCCGTGTCGGCAGCCTCCAGCCAACGGCTTGTTCACAAGAGTTAGTGTGTACAGTGCAGTTTGCACTCGGTGACGCACTGCCATCTGTACCCGCTCGCCGCTATTTGTACCCACCAACGTACCGTTCGTGCTGGTTGGCGCGTCGCCGTTCGCAATCACTGACGTGCCGTTCATACTGGTTGACGTGCCATTCGACACGCTCTGACGAAAGTCGATTAATCCGTGTGCATACATAATCAAGTCAAGCATGCTTACCTGATTGATTTCACTCTTGAATGCATCTCGGAGTGTCCACCGTCGTCTTCCGTACAGAGTTGAACATGAAAGCCGGACGGTAAAGGTACAGTAGCATGCGGAAGTGAGGCGAGCCTCGCGGGCGCCCGTAAACTCAACGTTTGTGTCTATTTGTTGTCTCACCAGATTTGGCAACCCCGATGTGCTCGGGCTGTTCCTGTCCAATCAGAACGCGTTTATTGGTCCTACTTAGGCCTGCAACATACCGGCGATTTGTGATCGGGACGTTTCCGCACCATGTGTGCACGTATTGTATGCTGGAATGGGGATTAGAGACATGTTTGGTAGCATTTACCACAGCAGATGAGATGTAGGACAGCATTCTCGCGTTCAATAAAGATATCTAGTGTACTGTACTGGTTCTCAGTCGAGTCTCGAGTCGTAATGAGTGTTGCGGCGCAATACATACTGGACTCGGTGATAACACTTTCATTGTATAGGTTATATTCCGCCATTACAGTTCATTGAACTTTCAACATTGCCCACAATCGCGACGTTTTCAAACTAAACAAAGCAAACAGACGGATCTATTCTATGTGTTGCGTGCGTCCCGGCCCTGCCCACCGTCGCGGTCACCCACTTCTCGCTCATGCGCCCATCTTGCGTTCGGTGGCCGTGTTTGCGTGCTAGGCGTTCGCCCTGCACGCTCGCCGTCGCCGTGCGTGTGGTGCTGGTCCGCGCCCTATGCTCGCCTGCCCTCTCGCCCTCGCCTTCTCACCCGCTTGTCCTCTCGCCCGTCCGCCCTCCCAGTTTCCCGCTCACCTGCTCGTCCGTCTACCTACCCGCTCGTTCGCTTGTCAACGCATCCGTCTGCTCACCCGCTCGTCCACCCGCCGGTCGTCCACCCGCCTGTCGTCCACCCACCGCTCGTCCACCCGCCGCTCATCCACCCGCCGCTCGTCCACCCGCCCGCTCGTTCGCCCGCCGCTCGTCCATCCGCCCGTTTGTCCGCCCGGCCAATGGTCCGTCTCCTCTCCTGCGTCTGCATTTGTCGGCTGCATTTGTCGGCTGCATTTGCCGGCTGCATTTGCGTGCTGAGTATTCTCCCAGCGCGCTCGCGGTGAACATGTGCTGTCGCCTGCCAACGAGCCCATCTGCTCACTCTCCTACCCGCCCGCGTGCTCGCCCATACACTCACCTGTCCATCTGCCTACCCACCTGTCCACACGCCCATCCAATCGCCCGTCCACCTACCCACCCGCGTGCTCGGAGCCTGTCCGCCCACCTGCTCACCCGCCTACCCTCGTACCCGTGCCTATGCTCCGCCCGTCGGCTGCGTTTGCACGCATGGCATTAGCCCTGCGTTCTCGCAGTCGACGCGCGTGTTGTGCTGCACGTCGACGCGCCCTGTGCCCATGGTCAGCTCGCTCGCTCATGCGTCTGCACTCACCTTCGCTCGACGCTAGGCCATGCTGACGCACCCGCCACCTGTTCGTCGGCTGTGGCTGTGCGCTGCGGTCCAACGGTGACGGTGACCGACGCGGGATGGTGGAGGTCGCAGACGGCGGGCGGAACCGCTCGTCGCTCGTTCGGCTCGTTGCGGCATTCCGTGCTTGTCCGAGGACCACGCCAGGACCACGCAGCGGCAGGGCGGCGGCGCAGGGGATCCGAGATCGTACCTGATCTCAGATGCCCTGACCCCGATGTGCCATCCAAATGGAGAAGCTGCGCATCACGCACCAGTGGCGCCGCCCAGCCGTGGACGAAGGGACCGGGCTGCCCCGGCGTAGCTGCCATATCAGGGAATGACCGACGGCGCCTCGTTTATACATGACGGCGCCTCGCTCATACATGAGCGAGTGGCAGCTCATGTATGAAAGCAGGCCCAGGTAAGTACAGGCATTTATGTATGATCCCTTTGTGCTCACTACAAGGATTTCATACAAACATATGCCTATATGGCCTGCGACGTAGAACAGCATAGTACACAATAGAATGACAGTAATATTAGCACTGATCGTACAGGCTTGTACTGGTCACTCAAGAGTTGTCAGCAACACAGAGCACAGAGCACAGAAATAACATTAGGTGTGGGAAATGTATTTAATTGCGAGATGATACGGTAGTAGGCAGGCAAGGAGTGAGCACGTGCGCAAGAGTGGGCGAGCAGACGGGGGAGGCGAGGGCAAATGGTTCGGTTGGTAGTCGAGCTAGCAAAAGCAGGAGATTGGCCAGGGCAGGTGCACGGGCGGGCGAGAGGGCAAGCAAGCAGAAAGCAGGCGGACAGCAAAGCGGACAGATGGGCAAGTGAACGAGGGGGAGAGCGGGCAAGCGAGGGACGAGGGCGTGAGCAAGCGGGCGAGCAGATGGAACAGTTAAGTGCAGACATGGGCAGGTAGTTCATCAAGCTCTGTGCCATGGATTCACACTCACCTTGTGCCTGGGTATCACAGTTCCTAGTCTCATGCTCGTCGTGAGGGCTTGCACACAGCGGGCCCATCAAGTTGGGGCACTCACACTACTGATTCGCTTGGCGTATTGGTACTAAGCCAAACCTAAGCCGGTGTACGGGAAATTTGCTAAAGACAGAAGACAGAACTAGTGATGCACAGACTTAGAAACTAGCCCATAACCATATATAGTCTTATATTTTGCAGACTTTCTTGGCAGCTTAATGTAACCTAGCTAGTTATCTTAGATTCGGTCGAGCTAGGCTTGACTAATTGATATAGCCGGTCATGAGCTAGTTATAACCTAACTTCACAAAAGTTGGTTATAGTTGGTTCAAGTCGACTAGAGCCGACCAAAGCTGGCAAAAATCTAGTAAAAGGGACCCAACTCCAACCATGTAGGCCTTCTATGGTTCTACCCAGACCCCATCCGGATTCACTGCCAGTGTTGGTGGTGAACCGCGGGTTCATCTATGCCTACCATTTTCTTGCCCCCTCCTGCTCGCTCACTCTTGTGTGTTTCTACCACCCCCCTGGCCCTCGCCCGTGCCCTGCCCTTGCCCTGCCCTCCGTCCTCGCCCTAAATCTGCTCGCAATCCCGTCTGCTGGCCCTGCCCGTTGTCACCGACCCATCCTCGCCCACCATCCACCTCTGTGGTCACATCAGGGAAATCCAGATTCGCAAATGAGGACACATGATGCAAAATGAGGCATAATTGTGCAAAATGTCACCTAATTAGCCGCATTAGAGATTAGATCATTTTGCTTTACCCCCTTTCTAATTAGATCTAAATGACACTTAGAGAGAACGAATTATCACTACTTCATGGAAGATATGGTCTCGGTGAGGCCATGTTATCTCACAAAATTGCATGCTATTTCATACTATAAGCATGATACTTCCCACAAACCGTGGTGTAGCGGCTGTAGTGACGTCGCATCATAAGGTTTAGGATCATACTAATCAATTGGGTGCTAAAGTACTGATAGTAATCAACTTCGGTATTGAAAGTGTACGTATGCGTAGCTCCCGCCGCCAGTGCTGCCAGTGGTAGTAGTCTACCCGTACCTGCCCTGGGTACAGACCCGTCGCAAGCTGTGAATTGCCGGGGGCTTACCTGTACCTGTACCCGTACCCGCCCGGGTACCGTACCCGTGCAGCGGATACAGGTCATGTGCGGGTTCGCTGGTCTGCGGCTCCATGCGCGGATGGGCGAGCAGATAGGTGATGGAGTGGGGGAGTGGGCAGAACGGCGGAGAAGCTCGCGCAGGCGGGCGGGTGGGCGAGCGAGTGATTGCGCGGGCAAGCGGGCGGCACCCGTTGTCCTGAGTCCTCGCCGTGTTCCCCACCATCTTCCTCGCTCGTGCGTACCCACCATCGACGAGCCTACTGAGTAAGATTTGACGTTCCGAACGGTAAACCCGGAGTGAGATCTGGCCGTCTGAAACGGTGCGGCCGGCGCTGGCCGGAGGGGTCCGGGTCAACGTTGCAGACGTTGTCATTGCCAGCATCAGCAAACTGTGCACTGCCTGAACATCTGACGGGCTGATAGGAGGGCCTCAGACACCCTCAGAGTGCCAGATGCCTCAGGACACTCAGATCACGTCAGATGCACAGTAAGTATCAGAACGTTTATCATTCTTCGATATTGTAGTACTACCAGTACCCGTAGTCGCACATCCAATAAATGTCTTCAACATCTCTGTTTAGCTGTAATATTGTATATTCTACCCGTACATGAATGTGCTTCAGTGAGCGGAGCCCCAGCTTCCTCGCAAGTGTCCTTCAATGCCCGCAGGCGCTGCAGCATGCTGCTCCGCGTCGTCCGCACACCGCGTCTCGTTCTCGAGTGGCTCGCTCGCTCGCATGGGTCTTCATACGCTTGGCTGCCTTCTTGGCTGTCTTGCGCATGTACATCCAAACGACGGGCACAATCCACTGACACGGCTTGACGATCGCTGCGAACCGCTTCCCGGATGTTGAGACCAGCGTCGCAGGATTACCAGGCTCGTCATCGTCGAGCTCCATTTGGGTTTCTTCTGTTGTGTGGTACCGTCTTCACCATTGTGTCGTCATCGTCTTCTCGAGCGCAATTCTGGGTTTGATGTTCTGCTAGCCATGCTTGAAGGTTGACGCTCTTGCGTCGGACACGGAGCAGCTCTTGTTGCTGCGCTGCCAGCTGCCCACGGAATTGCCGATGTCCTTATCACAAGAATTAGCTTTTGTCCACCACAACGATTAGTGCTTACTGTTTCTCGTTGCCTACCTTTGCTCTCCTGCTGTCACACCTCGCGCTAGAGCCTTACTCTCTCGCCATCGCACTTCACGCCGTCGAGCTTCACTCTTCCAGTGACAAATTTCACTGTCCTGCTGTCGAGCCTCAGTCTCCCGTTGACGAACGTTGCCTTCCCACTGCCGAGCCCTCCTCTCCTGTCGATGAACATCGCGTTCCCGCCCACTGGTTTGAGTCGCGCTCTGAACACATCATCAACATCAACCGCTGACGCGACCGAAAAGAACACAAAAGCCACACAAAAACCCAACCGTGAGGTCGAGCAGTGGTATGCGAGGCCTCTGCGTCTATGAGATGTACGGGGGACTGTACAGTGGTCTAGGTAAGAAGGGGGAGGACGGACAAGACTCCGAACGACGTGGGAGAGCTTCGAAGATGTCGAAGACTGTTCGAAGATGAGGGCTAAGCCTCGAAGGTAGGAGGGGGAGTTTCGACAGACGTGTCGAACGAACGGCGACAAGGAAGGCGAGCGACGGCAGGAGAAGAAGTGTAGAGCCTCTCGGGGCAACTACGAGCTGGCGAACGTACTGGCGAACTGACTGACTGGCTTCGATCGTACTGACTGACTGGCGAACTTGCTGACTTCGAACGTACTGGCTGACTGACGAACCTCGCCGGTGCGAGGTGAGATTGAGAGGGTAAGGGGGTCTCTCCGATTCGAAGGGAACAAGTCCCAGAGTATATACAGGAAAATACGGTCCGAAGACCAAGAGAGCCAAGAGAAATAAGAAATGATGAATGAAAGTGATAAGGAAAGCAGCCAATCGGAGAATGTCACAACGCTCAACCCGGACCTACTAACACATGAGAGAATCCAACTCGGCCTTCCGCAGGTTCCGCATAACGGGCGACCGTCCCCGAACGGCGAAGGTCATAACCGGAGCCGGTGACAGTCCTCGAAGATATGAGACAGCTGCAGGAGTTCGCCTGACCTACACGAACATGCCGCACCTCGACCCAACTTCCGAGGCGTACGCTGCCCGCTACTACCGCCTCCTAGAGGTCCTCAAGACCGAGGGACTTGTCGAGCCGCGATACGATGCCAACAGTCCCGGAGAGTGGCTGGCTTGGGCCCACGGAGTCCGTTGGATGATTGTACGTGCCTCCGAACTTAGACTATCGTTCGAACCATCGAACCGACCTTCGAACAGCGATTCTTGTTCGAGTCCCGCAGCCGGGCCATCCTGCTAGCGAACGATACGCTTCCTGCTCCTAGGTCGTTCCCCGAGATCGACGAGTTGATGCGTTACCTCGACGAGGTCTTTCACCGCGATGGCAACCAGGGGGACATCCTAGGTTCGCCCTACCCTACGATCGCGTGGTCCGAGACCTTGGTGCTGCTCGAACAAGTCAACCAGGCCGAACGTCGTCCTCTCGCGAACCCGCAGTATCAGCGCGAGACGTTGATCCTGTCCGACTTCCGCCAGCTGCCCGACAACCTCGAGTCCATGGGTCGAGCGATTCACAACATCGCAGTCGACCAGCGCCGCACGCACAGCACCCTCGTCGGGTTGCTCGAAAGCCTGCTCGAGCGCGTCAACACTGACCGTAGCTTCGACGCCGGTCCGTCTGTTCGTAGGGGTAGGGGTGGTGGTCATGGGTGTGGAGGTCGAGGCCATAGATACGAGAGTTGCCGAGGCCGTCACTAGTTAGTTTGACCTAGCCGTGTACTTGCCCGTAGTCCTACCAATGTAGCGACACTTCTAAACCGCTTGCCTTTGCCACTAAGGGTTCCGAACATTGACGCTTGAGCTTCGAACATCGGGCGATTCCCTCGAACGGACGGACAGTGCGTCGACCGTTCTGACTTAGTGTACTGTCGTACCGACCGTAAATCGCGTTTTTGGTGGGTAGATGAGCTAAGGGCTCATCACCGCGTAGGCGGCTTCGCCTTCCGGCTCGCGCTGGCCTGGTGCACGTCGGCGCGTGGGCGGGTCAGCGAACAAACACGTAGACAGGTCAGTGAATGAGTGTAAGGGAGGTGGCGCGAGCGAACGGGAAGAAGGGGAGATGGGGAGGCGAGCGGGCGGGAAGGCCGGCGGCGGGAGGACGAGCAGGCCGGCGGGTGGGCGAACAAGAGAGCGAGGCAGATGTGTCCGCAAGGCGCATGTGCTCGCTAGGCGGGCGAACAGGTGGGCGAGTGAGGGAGCGAGGTGGAAGTATAGTCGAGTGAGGTGGGTGGGCAAGCCAGGCAGGTCGGCGAGCAAGGTGGGCGGGCGAGCGGACTGGCAGACAGGCTCGGGAGAAGGCGAGCGCGCGAGAAGACGGGCGGGCGAGAAGATGGGCGGGCGAGAAGATGGGCGGGCTGGTGAGATGGGCTGACGAGCGTAAATGGGCAAGCATCGCACTCACCTGTACTATCCTTTCCGTGCCCCGCCTCGTCAGCTCTGTGTTACCCTCCCTTCTCCGTCGATGGTTGCGCGTGCTTTGAAGTTGACGCCAAGTTGACGCTACCGCGCAGTGGTGAGGAGGAGGAGGCGTCGACGCTGGTGAGAAGTGCTAAGCGCCTCAGACACGACACGTCACACGCGCGCCCGCCGGACTTCCTCTCGACACTCAAGTCTCATAGTCCGCCTTCAGCCCCTCCTCCCTCTCTGCTTGGCCCTCGCTTGCCCACCGCCGACCCAGTACAGACCGGTGGACCCATCCGCAAGAGACGGCACGTGCCGGACCACTGCAAGGCTCAAGGTCGTGCTGTACGCAACTGCAACGAGCCCCAGCGACGCACCAAGAGTGTCGTAGGAGGCTCGCGAAGGGCTAACATGCAGGGAGGAACACGGGTTGCGGCCAACAGGGCCAGCGAGTCAAGTGAGTACGCCGCTTTTTAGTCCGGTATGATACCGTTCAACGAGCAGGACCGCAATGCGCAACAGCCTGCCAGGCACTCAGCGCGGCATGCAAGGGCCCGCCGCGCATCAGCCCGGCATGCCCCAGTCCGACGCGCATAGGCTTTTGAGGACGGGCACCCCACGGCGTCCCTTTACTGGGTTGTCTGCTAACTCACTTGCTCGCTCAGTCACCCGCTTTCGCCCTCGCTCTCTCCCTAGCTCGCCTACCCGCTCGCCTGCCGTCTTGCTCACCCGTTATTCCACTCGCCTGCTGTTTCACGCGCCCGCCGCTCCACTCGCCTGTTGTTCAATTCGCCTGTCGCTTCCCTCGCCCGCCGTCCTGCTCACCCACCGTCTCGCTCTCCCTGTCGTCCCTCACACTTGTGTCCCTCTCGCCGCCCTACTTACCCGCTGTGTCGCTCACCCACCGTCCCGCATGCCCGCACAAGTCCGTGCATGACCCCCCAGACCCGCTGACCCGCGTAGCACCCGTACTCGCCGTGGCGGGTTTGTACCGGTGCTGGTATGGGTCCGAGTCCGAGCCGTGCTCGGCGCTAGCTGCCATGCACAAGCTCGAGAAGGATCTATCCTTTGAGTACGAACATGGCGAGGAGCATGGCCCGCCCACTATACTTACACCCGCCTGACGAGTCCGAGCCGAGCGAGTGCCAGCCCGCCCAGTGCCGCTCCGTGCAAGTCCGCCGAGCAATGACCCGCCTGGCACATGCGAGCCCGACAAATGGTTGACATGCACGTTCCTCATCCTGCGGACGCTGCGCCACATACCGCGGACGGACCCACCAGCATCGAACTTCGAAGAATTGGAATACAGATCACGAACCAATGCGCACTGGTAAGACGCGGGCCAGTTCGCCGTACATAACGTGCCCAAGCCCGGTACGACACAGCTCAACGAGCAGTATTGTGACAAGCAATACTTGACCAGGCACCCGGCGCGGCACGCAAGGGCCTGCCGAGCCCCAGCTCGCCGTGTATAGGCCCGTGAAGGATGAGCGTGCTGCATCCCAGCCCGAGAAGGAGCTCGGCCGCCGAGTATGGACACAACGAGTGGGGGAGCGAGTCCGCCACGTACATTCACTGGGCAGATGGTAGCTCGTACAAGTGTACGATACATTATGATTAGCAATCACTAATTTGTACAGTAGTAGCAATCAATAAAATATGATTGAATCGATTTCTATGTCCTGGCTGATCAGGCTGACGAGCTGGGTAGTCTGACAGGGTGTCTGAACACTCTGAAAATCCTGTCTGACGAGTTAGCATCGAAAAAAATCGAGGTCATGAGGGCTGAAAATCTGAAGCAATCTGGGGCAATCTGAAGGCTTCTGAAGGCTTCTGAAGCCCCTGACATGGCCCTCAGACAGATTGCATGATTTCCTGATGAGCATGTTGCCAGCGGTCCGGCCGGAGTGCATGCCGGCCGGCTCTGCCTCGTCTCCAACGTTGCGGCCGGCCTTGCCATCCCTGAATACTGTCCCCAACGATCCACCCGGCCTGTTTTCATGGTACGTTGCAACGCTCCGGCCGGAGTGCATGCCAGCCCCGCCCCCCCTCCTCAATGTTGCGGCCGGCCTGTTTTCACTGGACGTTGCAACGCTCCGGCCGGACTACACCCCGGCCGCCCCCCCACTTCTCAACGATCCGCCCGGCCTCTTTCACCCAACGTTGCAATGCTCCGGCCGGAGGGTATGCCGGCCGGTCATCCCTCGTTCCCAACGTTGCGGCCGGAGCAGGCAGAATTCAAAGTGGCCAGGCAGTCCACGCTGCAAACAGTCCGGCCGGTCAACAGATATAGCATTGCAAACGAGCCGGCCGGCCTCAGGCCCTACCACTACAAATGGTCCGGCCGGACTTTTTGCCGGCCGAAAACACAATGTCTCGGGCCGAGGGTACAGCCAAAACTCGGCCAAAGCAGCCAGACATTTTGCCGGCCGAGCTTTTGCTTCACCCGACCGGGCAAGCATTGTCTCGGGCCGAAAAGTTGACCATTTTCTCGGGCCGAAGATTTGAGTACTGCCTCGGGCCGAAGAGTTGGGCATTTTCTCGGGCCGAAGATTTGGCCGAAGCTCGGCGAAAACAGCCGGGCTGTCGGATTGCCATATACGGAAATTTGGTATTGACTGGTAGTACTTCATTGATAGACTATAGTATCAATTCCCTAGTGACCAAAGATGTCTAGTTAGGCCAGGATGTGCAAAACAAGATTTACTCACAGGCTTCTTTGCACAGCAAGTTAATCAATTTCTGAAGCCAGTTTTCTTTTCCCACACTGTTTGACTATCTAGGATGTGTTGTTTCAATGCATAGAGTATATCCCCAACAGGAATAGTCTTATTCTTTGAAGCTGAATACAGGACAACAGATAAGGGGCATACAGGTATGGTACCGTGCTGAACAATGTTGACTCCTGCAGCCAATGTACATTCAAAACAATGTTTCACCATCTAGAATAGTTCATTTCCTCACAAGGACTCAGTTCTCCAAAGGAATAGTCTTATTCACACAAGCTGAATGTGGTACAGAGTTAAGGGGATCATGCACTCCGGCCGGACCATCTCCTATGAGGATGAGGATTGGCCGGCCGGACTGTTACCAATGTAAATGTTTCTGTGGCAAGTGCAATGTGCATGCTGGTACAACATTTCAGTGTGACACCCAGACAGACAATAATCCAAAGTATGTCTCTCACAATATAATGCATATTCACCTTATCTTCATCCCCGAGTTCAGCTTCAAAGAATAAGACTATTCCTTTGGGAGACTTGCTTGTTGCATTGAAATGTGCTACTCTAGATTGTGGAACATTGTGGGGAAAGCATATTGGCTTCAGGAAGTGAACACAGTATGACATGTATACCCATACACCCTTGCCTTAACTCTGTACTACATTCAGCTTATGTGAATAAGACTGTTCCTTTGGAGGATTCACTCCCTATGGGTAAATGAACCATCAGAGGTTGTGAAACAGTGTTTTGAATGTAGATTGTCTGCAGGAGTCAACATTGTTCAGCACGGTACCATACCTGTATGCCCCTTATCTGTTGTCCTGTATTCAGCTTCAAAGAATAAGACTATTCCTGTTGGGGATATACTCTATGCATTGAAACAACACATCCTAGATAGTCAAACAGTGTGGGAAAAGAAAACTGGCTTCAGAAATTGATTAACTTGCTGTGCAAAGAAGCCTGTGAGTAAATCTTGTTTTGCACATCCTGGCCTAACTAGACATCTTTGGTCACTAGGGAATTGATACTATAGTCTATCAATGAAGTACTACCAGTCAATACCAAATTTCCTTATATGGCAATCCGACAGCCCGGCTGTTTTCACCGAGCTTTGGCCAAATCTTCAGCCCGAGAAAATGCCCAACTCTTCGGCCCGAGGCAGTACTCAAATCTTCGGCCCGAGACCAAAGACAATGCTTTGCCCATTGGTGAAGCAAACCCTTGGCAGGTGAAACATCAGGAAAAACACTTTCGGCGCCAAATGGTTTGGGATTTTTCCCAATTAGCATGAACTGCGATATGAGCGACAAAGAGCGGTTTATGGCTCACAAAACGCGGTTGAGCAGCTCTGCACGCGCTATATCCATGTTAATACGTCCATTCAGCAGTCCTTGACACCACTAAAACTACATATCTGCTTCAGTAGCTACTATAAGCACATAATAATTGATTGTACGTCTCAACCGTTCACTACACTTCACAAGCACACTCGTCTCAAGCTATGGGATTTCCACCACATTTTCAAGCACTGTGAAGAATGTACATCATTTGCGCCTCATTATACTGTACATTGTACATGACTTTTGCGACCCAGAACACTACATGTCTGTACGATACAACCAGTCACGACGTTACACAAGCATCTGCCGCCCCTTCTCACTCCTCCAAACTGTCGCCGTTCTTCCCCTCTGACTCGCCGCCGCCTTCCCCCGTCTCCGAGCCAGCAGCGGTAGCGTCCTCGTCCCAGACGCTGGGACACGTCGCGACTTGTTCTTTGTCGATGGTCCACTGCGCGTCGGAGTAGGTCCGCGGGTACTTGAGGTCCGTAGGGCGCAGGAACTCAAGATGCGGCGAGAAGTTCGCCAGCATCAAGCAGAGAGGCGGTAGAGGGAGGAGCCCGAGGGAATAGTCTTCGGCCTCCTTCCGCGTAACTAGCACGTCCGTGCGCTTGAAGACGGGGAGCTGGCGGAGGGGGAGAGGGATTCTGATGCGGCCGGCTTTCCAGGTGGTTGCCAGGGCCTGAACCCACGACCTGCTGTTGAGGTCGTAGTACTCGAATTTGGCCGGCGGGTCGTCCTTACGGCGTTGGCGTTCCCTGTCCCACGGAAGCTCAGGGAACACCTGGGCGGTGATGGGCTGACAGAACTTCAGCGTCAGCACGTTCCCAGTCACCTCAGAAATGAGGGGCAGGGACATGGGCAAGCATTCGTCCTATAGTGCGTCCCATAGCGCTACCAGTTAGATAAGCGTAGAGAATGCAGGAACATCGAACGTACCTCAGTGAACACCAGCACCTCCACCACCCTCAATTCCTTCTCCTTCCCCTCATCGTCGGCCTTCAACAACTCCGGTATCATCAGCGGGTGGTAGAAGTCCTTGATGGCCCCCGGGAAGAGCCAGCCCTCCAGCGTCGGAGGGTCCTCGAGCTCTGTCAACACGTCCAGCAGGGCCTCCCGCTGTTGCATCGCCGGCTGAAGCCAGTACGACACCAGCGTTGGGCACTGTGACGACGGGAATATTGGACACTTGAAAGGAATATTAGTGTAACCTGAATACAGAAGACGAGGATTATACGCACATAGTCAAAAAGAATGCCGAAGTGTTCGCCCTCCAGGCAGAGAACGGTGATGTGCTTGATCGTCTTGCGGTGGGGGCAGACGGGGCTGCGTGAGATAATGCTCGAGTTGGAAAGGACTATCTTCGAGGCAAAGAAGAAGACGCGTTTGTCGTAGGAAGCCATGTCGAGTAGCGAGGTGAGAACGGAGTTGAGAAAGAAGTCGCGTTTGAGTAGTCAAAGATAGTGTTTAGAGGTTGAAGAGCGTGGAATGACGGCCACAGAGCGTTCGAAATTAAAGTCCCACGAATAGGCGCTCAGCCACAGGCGCCGCACCGAGCACGCTGTACAGCGCGAAGTCGCAGGTAGCTACACAAAATGATGAGTAGAGTGAATAGAAATGGATACATACTTTGGTAGTCACTCAGATATCACTGTCTGAAGGTTTCCCAAGTCACGGTAAGCTGAATAGATATTTGACGCAGAGTAGTACACGTTGTTCCAGGCTCAGTCTACATTGTACAAGGTAAATTCGTTACTATACTCTACACGCACACGGTCCCACCGCTCAAGCAGCCGCAGCCGCGTCCTCATCCTCCCGCTCTGGGTCAACCTCCCACATCTCATTCCCTTCCTCGCCGAACCCAGGGCAGGTCGCGACGATCCCATCATCGTCAGAACCGACCGTCCACTTCGCCTTGACGTACGATGGAAGGTTTTTGAGGCCGCGCGGCCACAAAAACTCGATGTGGGGAATAAAATTGACCTTCATCGAGCAAACGGCCGTGATACGCTTACGCCCGAGCGAAAATCCCTCAGGGTATGGCGTGGTCACGAGCGACGCCGGTTTGAAGATCGGGATGTGGCGAAGAGGAAGGGGGAGGTAAACGGAGTTGTCAATCCACCTCTCGGGTGGCTCGGGGGAGGATGGCAGGCGTTCCCAGGTCCTGTACTTGAGGTTGTACATGTCGAAGGCCTCGGGCCGGTACCGCAGCGTAGGGTCCCTCCACCAGCAAAGCCCGGTGAAGATCTGGGTGGTGATGGGCTGGCGGAAGAAGAGCCGCAGCCTATCCTTCACGACCTCGACGACCAGAGGTATGGACATAGGAGATTCATTCTCCTACAGGCAGGGAACGTGATGGCGGTTAGCTACGCAGACAGAAGAAGGGTGGAAGATCTGAGATGCACCTTGACGTATACCAGAGCAAGGATAACCCTTAGCTCTCCATCCCCGTTGAGGCTTGCCGGCAACGCCCCCGGCCTGAACGCCGATTTGATGGCTCCAGGAAAGAGCCATCCCTCGAGCTTGGGAGGGTTCTGGAGACCCTCCAGCGCGTCCCTCAATGCCAACCGTGCGGCCAACTTGGGCTGCACGTAAGAAGCCTTCATGGGGCAGTCTGACGGGAGACACAGTGGACACTATGGGACGTGAGTCAACGGCCATCATATAACATGTCCCTGTTAGTACTCACATAGTCGAAAAGGCGCCCCAGGTGCTCCTTCTCCATGCAGAGCACGGTGACATGTGATATCACCTTGTTCTCCGGGCATTGTCGAGCATAGGCGATGTCTTCGAACGGCCGGATGTACTGCCAGACGAGTTTGTAGAGCTCGTGGTCGATCACGTAGGACATGATGGAGAGTGTGAGATGAGCGAATAGAGTGAATGAAGAGCGAGTGGGAGTTCTTGAAGAGCGACAAGAGTGTGGAATGACAGCCGCAGCAAGTTGAAAAGCTCCCATGTACAGGCGCCCGACTGCAGCCACACTGAGCGCGCGGTATTGAAGAAACTAACGGCAGAGAATTGTGGACGCAGTAGATACATTTCAATCATCAGTAAAGTAATACAATTATACATGTTCTTGCCAGATGTAACGACCCAGTTCACACCCGCAGATACGCTGTATCCAATCTCTATTCAAGAGAAGTCTACAGACTATGTGTATCGTTAGGCAGTGATTAAAGGGTAGTTGGAGACTACAGGAAGTGCGCTGGCGCGCCATACGAGGGGAGTACAAACAGAAGCAAACAGCATATAGATAAGATATCCCATATCGGGTAGGTGGTGATGACATCCAAATAGGCCCGTTACACTCTCCCCCACTGGACTCGTCTCACGAGTCCCAGCAAAAGACAATGAAGATAACATACTATGCTTGTCTTCTTGTAGCAGAGTACTCACATCAGGTCCAGGTAGGATAGACTGTGGGCCAGGTCTCGGAACACAGTAATCCATGTGGCATCCACAGGGTCTCTGTGAATTAACCACATCCCAAACGGACCTGAAGTAGAGCAGTCCATGTAGTGAACATCCCAAATGGATGTACACAGCATGATCTCATCGGGGTTGAGTATGTTCAACCATCGATGGTAGAACATACTGCAACAGGTATGAGAAGACATACAAGGAGAGAAAACATACTATATCGTGCCAGCATACTACTTGCCTGCACCTGAACATCCAACAAGTTCAGGAATGCAGGTAGTCTCGAAGAAAGAAGAACATGGCACGACCACGAGAGGGGTCTACATCCACAACATCCTCTCGCACACACAAGGTTGAACCCTCGTGTACACGATGGGTGGTGGGAAATGGTCTCGCCATGTACATTGAGGACAGAACTCAACGTACTCGACGAGCACATGGTGTAGACACCTCGATCAACGTGCTTCCGTGCGCATTGATCACGGTCGTCGCGAGAGATGAAGCCGCGGGTATGACATGTGTCGCATGTGCTTCGGTACATGGGCTCGACGTATACACTGAGCGAGATGCTCGATGTACGCGACGAGCGAGCCATGGTGGGCGAAATGGACACGTCAGTCGTGCCCGATCGCGCGCCGACTGTGTCGCAGCGGATCGCAGGACATGGTCACTGTGATGACATGCCCGTTGACCATGCGAACCCGCACCTCTACCGTGTCGCTGACCATAGTAGTTGCAACAGACATGTTGGACGCGCTCTCGGGTACGTCCGACATGTTGTTGTTGCTGCGGTCGGCGATGACGACGAGCATTGAGCTCGTCGTACTGCATAGCGGCGACGAGGGAGGTAGCGGCGGCGGCAAGAGGACAGGCGGCGGCGGTACGGTCCCTTCCCCCTCCTCCGTCTTGATTTTAACACCAGCATGAATTATAGTGACCGACGAGGTCACCATAGCTCCATGTAATGGTGTAGGTGGTAGTAGTCCGGGTACTTCGCAGAGTACACCGGGGGAGGTACACTTCTTCGTAGCATTGCGCACGTCGAGCCAGCTACTGCTCGACGTACCCAATGTTCGGAGTACGTTTGATGGTTGGAATGCGCCCGCGGTACTCGAATGTACGTTGCGCACGCGCACGGTCACATCCCTGTGCGTACGGCGGTCGGCATTGATTGCGGGATGAGTATCGCCGCGATGTTGAGGTGGACGCGATGTGTCCAACCTGAAGGTTGTCGACGTAGGCTTGGTTATCGAGTACGACGAGGTCAATACATCCAGCAGTTTGGGTGTACTGTGCCTCGTCGGCTGCTCGACGACTCGCCCAGTCGACGTGGAGGTTGACGGAGTGCGCACGCACGAGATCGTATCTTCGTACGTGCGGCGCGTACCCGACACATACCGACTCGACGTAGGTGCATTGAGGTCAAGCTTGCGTTTGAGCAGCTCTTCGCCATCGAGGCGGCTTGTACTGGACGCCGAGACCTTGGTGGTCCGTGCGTCAGGCGACAGTTCTGATTGCAGAACTATAGACGGGGCTTCGTGCTTGCACCGATCTTCATCATCAGCACGGCCTGCGATGGACGCTGAGTCCTTGCTGGTCCGTGCGCCAGGTGGAATGTCCAGCTGCAGGACCGTCGACAGGCCTTCCGAGCATGGCGAAGCCAGTACATCTAGAGATCTGGATGTACTGCACTTCACGTCTTCCTGCTCGTCCTGGTTGACGGTGCCGAGCGTGCACGTTGTCGATGTTGAAGCGGCAATTGAGGTCGACGAGCCTGTCGACGAGCTTATGAGCACGTCGATAGTGGCGTCGCCGATGCCGGTCGTCTCGTCGGTGGAGATGGACTTGAACACACGCGAGGTCGATTCCTCGTACGTGCGGCCGGTATCCGATGTGTAGCAACTCGACGCAGACACGTCGAGGTCGGCCTTGCGTAAGCTTGGGTCTTTTTCATTGACACGGCCTGCAAGGGACGTAAAGTCCTTGCGGGTCCGTGTGCCAGATGTTGTCGAAGCGGATGCGGACAGCGATGTTGATGAACTGGTCGACGTGCTTCTGAGCGCGTCGACCACGTCATCGTTGCGTGTGTTGACCTCGCCGTGTACAGTGAGCAAGGGGCTCGCCGTACTCGACGATGGTGTCTTGACAGCGTAGGAGGACGCGCCGGACATGTGCGATCGCATGCCGATGGCGTCGCTTGACGGGGCGTTGACCGAGAGGAGCTTGTGCCTTGACGAGCTAGGCGTGGCCAACGTGCTTCTGAATACGTCGGCGACGGCCTGGTCGCAAGGTTCGAACTCGTCGTGTACGCAGAACGACGAGCTCAACGTAGGCGACGGTCGTGTCTTCATGATTGAATGGGATGCGCCGGTCGTGCTTGATTGCACACCGATCGCATCGCGGGGCGCGGTCTCCGATATGTAGGTTGACGTACTGTGCACGCACAAGGTCGAGTACACAGCAGACGTGCTCGGTACGCTCTTGCATGCGTCCGACAGGTAGCTGTTGTCGCGCGTAGGACCCACGATAAGCGGCGAGCTCATCGTGTAATACCCAAGCTGCAGCGTTGGAGACGAGGTCGATGTGCTGGGCTTGCACGTCGTCGGCACAGCAGCAGTCTCCGACGTAGGCGGACCCATCGACATGCTTCTGAGCGCGTCGATGGGGTACCGCCAATGTCGGAGGTCTTGACGGCGGAAGCAGACGCCTGAGAGTGTACACCACACGCATTGCTGTGGCCATTGGTCTCACCGAGTGCGTTGAGCGACGAGCTCTGCGTGTTCGATGGACCTGTCTTGACAGCCTGCGTGGGCGAATCTGCCTTTTGCATTGTCGAAGTAGTAGCAGAGATCGATGCGGATGAGTCGATCGACGTGCTCAAGGGTACGTCGATGGCGACATCATCGCGAACGTTGGCCTCGCCGTGTACGGTGAGCGAGGTGCTCGCCGTACGAGACGAGTATGTCTTGCTTGAGAATATGTACCGCGCACGTCCGAGGTCGACTCCTCGTGCGTGCGGCAGGTATCCGACTGATGAGAAGCTGGTACTTCCTCCTCCGACTTGGGTGCAGACCGTTTTGGGTCTTGCTCGTCGATCGAGGAATCCTGCGCCTGCGAGGTCGGCTCCTGGTGTGCGTGGACTGGGGCTTGATCGCGTAATGCGGGCGGCCTGTACCGCTCGTACGAGCTCGAACGATACGGCTCGTTTTGCGCACGAGTCACGGTACTGGAGGATGGGGCTGCCGACGAAGTCAGTACATCCTTCGAGTTGGATGTACTGTCCTTCGCTGAGCACTCGTCCATCGTAGTCGGATCCTTGATGCTGGACGACACGGCCAGCGTCGACTCGGGAGACTTACATTCCGTTGACATTGAGGCAGTCAACATGCTTCTGAACGCGTCGACTGCAGCCTTGTCACCGGTGTTGATCTCGCCGGATACGTTGAGCAACGAGCTCTCCGTATGCGGTGATGTCTTGAAGACAGGTGTGGGCGAGTCTGCCTCTCGCGATGTCGAACCAGTGGCAGACGTCAATGCGGATGAGCCGATCGACGTGCTCAAAGGTACGTCGATGGCGGCATCATCGCAAGCGTTGGGCTCGCTATGTACGGTGAGTGAGAGACTCGCCGTACTCGACGAGTATGCCTTGACCATGGTGTCGGACGCGTCGGTCGTGTTGGATCGTACGCCGATCGCGTCGCTGGACCAAGTCTTGGCGATGTTCTTGTACCTTGACGAAGGAGGCGTCGTCGACGTGCTTCTGAGTACGTCGACGATGACCTGGTCATGGTTGTGAGTCTCAGTCTTGGAGGCGGAGGTGGATGTGCCAAACGTGCTCGATCGCACGCTGGTCGCATCGCTGGACGCAGCGAGCCTCACAGATACACCAGGTACCGACGAACTGATCGACGTGCTTTTCTGTACGTCCATCGGAGTCCGTCGTGTAGTACCTGTATATCTCGTGTCTTGAGACTCGTAATGAGAACCGTGGGCGGTCCTTCCCCCTCCTCCGAAGTTGGAAAAAGAAAAGGAATAATACAGTGTACGTCGAGCGAGCTGTTGCTCGACGTACCCAGTACATGAGGTTTGAAATACGCGGCGAGCACGTTAGGGCGTGCGTTGCACGCGTTGCTAGGCTCATCGACAGTGAGCGCGTCAAGCCTCGAGCTCGGCGTGCTCTCTGTACGAAGAGCAAGTGTTGTAGTAAATGAAGAAGACGCGTCGATCGTGCTAGTCTGCACATCGAACACGTCGTGCGTCGTGACGCCGCTGAGCTCGTTAGCCAGCGCGTCGCACGCGTTACGACACTCGACGGCGACCAGTACATCGAACCTGGAGCTCGACATACTTGTCGCACGAAGAGTGGATGTTGCAATTGAAGGATGAGACGCGCCGGTCGTGCTTGGCGGCATGCCGGACACGTCGTGCATCGTGACGGCGCTGAGTTCGCTAGCCAGGCCGTTACGAGGGACTGCTACCCATGTAGGGTCACGAATGGATGGTGCCGCGAGCTCAAGGCTCGTGGTACTATCCACTGGCTTGGGCAGCAGACACATAGCCGTTGAAACGGGAGTCCGACTATCACAGACAGTGGGTGCATCGAGCCTCAAGCTCGTTGTACTCCCTGCGTAACGCGCGGATGTTGCTATGAAAGGATAAGAATTAGAAGTAAAAGACGCGTCGGTCATGCTCGATTGCATGCCGAACACGTCGTGCGTTGTGACGCCGCTGAGCTCGTTAGCCAGCGCGTCGAACGGATACGGTGGCTCCGTGAGGTCGCCAACACCGGGTGCAGCGAGCTCAATGCTCGTTGTACCATGCGTTGGTGTGGGCACCGGACGTGAAAACATCGAGATGGAATCTTGAGGAATCGCGGCGAACACGCTTGACGGTGCATCGCGCGCGTCCCAAGACTCGGCTGCGTGCACGTCGGGCGGAGGGCTCGACGTACGCATAGCGCGAAATGGTAGAGAAGAAGAAAAGGACGACCCGGTAGATCTAGCGTGTTCTCCGGGCGCGTCGCTACGCCAAGTAGGGGCGTGTTGGATGGCGATGAGCGCGGACGGAAGTGCGTCGCTCGCATCCAGAAAGAAAGCATCGGGGGATACATCGAGCGACAGGCTCGACGTATCCGCCGCGTGCGGTGGTAAGGAAACAGAAGGAGACGGCCTGGCAGAGCTCGACGATTCTCCAGACGCGCCGTTTCGCGAGGTATGAGCAGCAGGCACACTTGTAGTGCTACTGCACAGGCCCAGTACCCGGTCATCAACGTCGGAGGGACACGCAACGTACTCAATGTTCGTTGTGTTGTCTCCCAACGCGGGCACTGCGGCTGGTGACGTGCGTACCGGGTGCACCTTTGCAGGGTGTACCTCGGGGCCGTCGCTCGCGCATGAGAGGTCGGCGAGCGCGCCGGGTACGTTTGCGAGTACGCCGGGCGCAGCGTCGTCCTCGTCGACAACCTGTACATCGAGTAGTAGGCTCGATGTACACGCTGTGCAGCGGTTCGTAGAAGGACGGGTACGTCAGACGTGCAGCAATGTACGTCCGACGAGCTACCCTGCAGAATGTCGGGTACGACGCTGAAGTCGTCCCAGGAGACGGATGTTCCGTCTTCGTGGCCAGCAGAGCTCACGACAGACTTCCTGTTCGTCGTTACGCCTGCTGGCGCGGGCAGTGGCGATGGAACGGGCACGTCGGACGCGCAGCTCTGTGCGTCTGCCGTGGTACCGTCCAAGGCGGTGGGTACGACGTATGAGTCATCCCGGAAAGCGGAGGTGCCGTCTTGGTGACCAGCAGGACGCACGACGAGCTTCTCGTTCGTCGATACGCCTGCTGGCGCGGGCACTGGGAGCGGAGGCGGCGAGGCAGGGACGGCCAGCGAAGGCGTACCTGCGGTCTTCGAGCCTTCGTGCTCGTCTTGTCTACTCGCCCCGCACCCTTCCCCCTCCTCTCTCTTTCCCTCCTTCTTCTCCTCCTTCTTTGGCTTCCCTCGCGTCGCGTTTTCTGCGTGCTGCGCGACCTTGTTGCTCGGCGCTGGGCTTGCACGCACGTCGTGCGAGTCCTGGGCCGCGCGGCCTTGTTGCGTATTGCGTGGGTCGCGAAGATCGGGGTAGAGGTCGCCAGGGTGGAGAGATGAGGTGAGGGGATCGAATGTAGGTCTCGCGGTTGGAGTTGGAGGTCCGGGAGAGGAAGGTCGCGCCGGTCTTGTACCGCGCGCAGAGGGGTTGTCGGGCGCTCCTAACTGAACTGTCGGTAGTTCAGCTAGGGAGTCGCTGACTTCAATTCGCCTGCCCGTTGGGACAGTGCGAGCGCCTTGACAAGAGGTCGGGTGGCCGTGGTGGTTGCCCGAGTCGAGATCGGAGACGAGGTGCGAGGTGAGGAAGCGGTGGTGGCGGTCGAGAGCTGGGCGCTGGGCGCTAGCGCTGCGAGCGCTCACCGTCGACGCGGGCTCGTGATTCTCAACGCCTCTGGTGTCGAGCGCGTCGCCGGCCGCGTCGAGCGTGTCGCCGGCTGCGTCAAGCGCGTCGGTGACCGTGTCGAGCGCGTCGGTCGACGCCATTAATATATTTTTTCTGTCGCGGCTCATTTCTGAGCGCGCGACGCGTGTTCTTGCGAGTTCCGACTCGTTCTCGCTGGGCCGGGGGATAGGTAGTGTGCCTATCCCTTCCCGGGCGCGGATACGAGTCGGGTCGGTATTCCGCTCGCTGAGCTCGGGCGCGGGCTCGGCGACGGCGGCGCCGTCGAGCCCAGCGCGTGCACCACTCTTGACTGTGGTGCCGAGCCTTGTCGGTTGGGCTGGAGCAGGTGGAGACGGAGTCTCCTGGCGGCTCTGAGCAAGCTCGACTTCGGGCGTGAGCTGCTCAGAGCGCGGTGCACATTCGACCTCGTGGTCGGATGCTACCTGCTTCGTGAGTGCTCCGGCTGAGTTCTCTGGGTCGGAGGACTCAGTCCGGGCGGTCTTCGAGCGGGAAGACCTGCTACGGTTGCTGGCCTCGGTCAACGCATTGTCGACCGATTCCAGCAAGTCCGTTTGGAGTTGTTGAGACTCCTCGAGAGCGGAGTTGATCCGCTGTTGGCTTGCGGCTGCCTCTACGAGGGCAGCCTCCATTCGCTGTTGACTTGCGATGGATTCCGCGAGCACTTCGTTCAGCCGCTCTTGACTCGCGGCGAGCTTAGCTCGGACTTCCGCGCGCAACGCCTTCAGCCTGCTGCGGGTTCCACTTCGGGACCCGCGGCTGCTGCGCGTGGGCTCGGAAGTGTTGGTTGTCGACTCGGCCATATTCTTGAGATATTGCGAGGTCGACTAGAGTGTTTCAAAAAGCATAGATTTCGAGTTTGAGTTCGAAGTTTCGAGAGTTTGTTGCCAGTAGAGTTCCCCAGAGTAGAAGTCTGAGAAGTTCAGAGGAGCGTAAAAATATGTAACGACCCAGTTCACACCCGCAGATACGCTGTATCCAATCTCTATTCAAGAGAAGTCTACAGACTATGTGTATCGTTAGGCAGTGATTAAAGGGTAGTTCGAGACTACAGGAAGTGCGCTGGCGCGCCATACGAGGGGAGTACAAACATAAGCAAACAGCATATAGATAAGATATCCCATATCGGGTAGGTTGTGATGACATCCAAATAGGCCCGTTACAGCTAGGCATGAGAGCACGAAGAGCTGACTGTTGTGACACGACTCACCGTCTAACAGACGATTTATAGGGCGCACGGGAGCAACGCATCTTGGGAATGGCTTGCGATGATCTCACCGTGTATCGACATCCTTCGCCGCCTATCTACACAAATGAATGCGTCCCTCGGTGCAAAGCTAGGGTCAAAGCACACAAGTCCGAGCATCAAGAAGGATATCGACATACTCATGAATTCCTTGCGGCACCATCGTGTTTACGAGGTCATTCCCGGCCGCACAATTGACGATGATCGACCTGTCGTCCCCGACGCATTGACACTTGGGCTAGAGAATCTTGAAGGGCCACTCGAAGACTTCAATCAGACCTTTTCCAAGCTCCAAGCCCGCTGTCGGACCACGCCTCTTGTGGGCGGCAAGTATCCGGGTCAGACAGTCGCGTCGAGTCTGGCCTCGGAGACTGTTTCACGGACTGCTGGGCCGAGCGATGTAGGTCGAGCAGTGCCGAGCAGCTCGGAGCTTCGTGGTGGTGCGCTGGATGGCATGCAACGCGGCGACGAGAACAGAGATAGTGACATCGAAGAAGACGACGACGACGAGGATAGCGATGAAGAGGAAGAAGAAGACGCACAGCCCCAGGACATCATGTTCTCGCTTGACACCGCGGGCGATGTAGCACTCGATCCTGACCGTGTTGGCGACTTCGAGTTTGGTTCCTGATACTATTATGCAAAATAAAACCACTTTCCTCCGTACGGACAGCGACTTGGGCCGCTGGACGAGCTCTCGGTGCTCTGTGCTCAGTAGACGATGTGCGCGATTTCTCTAAGTCCCGTTTCCCACGGGGGTACTCAGGTAAAGCGCGCCCAATTGGACCAGCCGTTCTGGCGAACGTGAGGAGTGCCACGACTGAGTTTGAAATTTCTTACGCCAGAACGGCTGGGAACGAGCCTAGAGTGGAGCCGGTTTGAACGCCTATGGCTTACATAATGCACGCGCTCACGAGTGATCCTTTCGGGAGGTTATGACCTCAAGAGCTGCCAAATTTAATCCCCGCTGTGGCTGGGGCGTGTCGCGCTGAGGCGGGGTACGTGACGAACGCTAAGTACTTGAAGGACGTCCTCTGCCATATCTCCTCTGACTATCTTGTCTCTCGTTTGACTGTGCTGTATGTTATTTCTCTGATACTTGCTGCATAACGATTGTCCCCTGCATCTTGACGGCCATCTTCGTGTGTAGCAGCAGCTGTCGTCGCGATGGCTAGCATCGCACGACCTCCGCACACCCTCGTCGACATCGTTCATGATGCCCTGGAACACCGTCTACAGGACCACGAGGCAGACCAGGACCTTCCAGAGCATCCTCTAACACCGCCTCTTGGCAACACTGACCAAGCCGAGCGGCTTGTGAATCCTGAAGCGGTCCAAGGCAACGAGAATGAGCAACCGCCGCCACATGAGCACGGCGAAGCAGACCCGACTGCGGTTTCGCAGGTCCAGGAGGCCTCTCGTCGAACGGACTCACCAGAAGAAGACGACGAACCCCCATCTCCGTTGATCTCGCGTGAGCAGGCCAAGCATAGGCCGCGGCGGTCGTCACTTTCCGGTGTTCGTCTGCCACCTCCCAACACCCCTTCTGGACGCACAGGTCCCCCTCGGTCGATCTCGCGGAGCTACTCACTCTCACAGCCCGGTGGCTTTGATTCACGTATCCACCAAAAGCGTGCGTCGGAGCCCCACGGACCGCCTGGGGAGGACGAGGACGAAGGTCCTGACCGCACTTGTGACTTTCGTACCACCATTCCTTTCCGGGATGCCATGGAGTACCAGGATCCGCATCAGCGCGAGCGCGAACGCCAGAGGGCTGAGAAAATGGCCAGAAGACGCGATAGCGCCGCTGGCCATGATATTTGGAACGCGATGAAGAAGCGGCTGGACACGCCGCGAGAGGAACAATCCCATTTTCGTTGGCTGGTTGAAGGCGGCGAGGAAGACAAGGAACAGCGTTCTGAGGTCAAGGACAAGGGCAGGGCAGAGGAAGGCGTGGAACCGGAGGCGAACGAGAAACATGACAAGGTCGGGAGCCCTACCGTGGACCCCAGCACACCGCAAGCGTCCGGCAGTCCGTCTAGCTATCACGCTCGGCATTCACAGTCTATGCCGCACATCCAGCGCAGCCAGTCTGAACAACATCCGAACGTCGCTCCGAAGTGGAATCGGCTGCGCTCCCTCATCCCACAGATTGCATCCCAGAACAAGAGCCATCAGCCGGCTCAGGCATCCGCGGTAGTCCCGCAGTCGGTGAACATTACCGACGAGCTGATCGCAGGGGGCTTGTCCGCGCTCGTCCTAAGACTATGGTTTGAACGCGACGAGCGAGACCATAGGCGCGTGCCCATCCTCTTCCACCGCTTGCGCATTCGCGTCAGTGATAGCTTGCACCCGCTTCACGGCAACAAGGCCGTCTTTCGCATCGAGTGCGAGTACGCGAACGGTGCCGTGCGATGGGTGGTGTATCGACAGCTGCGCGAGTTCTTGTCGCTTCATGCTCATTACGCCGTCTCGAACGCGTATTTCCGCAACGTGGACACACTGCCAGACTTTCCCATGATGAGTATGTGCACCACAATCTTTCGTGTGGGTTGATGCTAACTGCAGGTGTAGGCCTACCCTACTTCAAGTTCTTGAAAGAGCGGGGGCGAGATGTCGGACGAGCTGACTTTGCACGCCTGCAACGTGAAGCGCTCGAGAACTATCTCATTGGCCTTATACGCGCAGTCGTCAGTTCGTTTGTATTGAAGAAACCTTCTAGCTGGACTGACGCCGCGTATAGATGTGGCACCCGTCTGCAAACCGTCTTGCAGGTTTCCTTGAAATTAGCTCCCTTATGGTGTCACTTGCGCAGTCGGGCGGCGCCCAGTACAAAGCAGGTATGCTACGAATCGAGGCCATAGGCAACAAGGGTAGTCTCGGGCGTCGAGCGACCTCCTGGCGTGAGCGGAAGACGCCGAAGTGGTGCTCAGTGCGGGACAGCTATCTAGTCGTGCATGAAGAGATCGGAGAGGTGCCGTGTTGTTTAAATTGGTGCACAGAACGCCGCTGATTTGTACGCGCCGCGTAGCTCACCGTTTGGGACGTCTTCTTGATCGACACCGAGTTCAAGATCGAGCGACCGACGCGATATTACCGACAGGGTCTGAACCTTCTCCAGCACTTCGAAGGCGATCATCCAGAAGAGGTGCAGCCAATAGGACACGAAGGCGCCATGGTCGAGCGCCCCGAGCCGCATCATCCACACACCTGGCACAAGATGGGCTCGATCAAAAGTCATATCGAGAAGGTCCTCCATATTCATCATCATAACCCTGAGAAGTCCCGGTCTGCGTCGAACGTCAACGAGAAACAGGCGAACGGGAACGGGGATGCCCATCATGGCGATGGCCATGCCGATACCGATCCAGGGCACCACAGACCGTCTGCGTCCACCGCTTGGAGATCGTCGACATCGTCCTCTTCGAGACCGGTAACACCCATGCTGGATCCGTCGACGAACACCAACCCATTGCTAGGACCAGAAGATCTCGATGAATACAAGCACGACGAGCAGGAGGTGAACAACAAGAAGCGGCTGAGGGCGAACGAGGTGTCGAAACATACCTTCTACGTCGAGAATTCTCAGATGCGACTCAAGCTCTATGCCAAGAACGAGGTACGTTATATAATGCGAGAGAATTGAAGACCTTGGATGACGACACATCCACAGCGTCAGATGCTTCAGTGGATCGCCGCCCTCGAGCGAGTTGCCAGGGATTGTCACTACACGGGCAAAAACAGATTCGATAGTTTTGCCCCCATTCGTCTCAATGTTGCAGCACAATGGCTGGTCGATGGCGTGAGTCCCCCGTACAATCAAATTATGTGACTGACTCATTGTGCCTCATCAGCGTGACTACTTTTGGAACCTTTCTCGTGCTATACTGCTGGCGACGGAGAGTATCTACATTCATGATTGGTGGCTATCTCCCGGTGAGTATACAAACAGCATTGCTCTACCGAATGTCAACCAACCTCATTATTCCAGAGCTTCAAATGCGTCGGCCCGGGATGCCTAAGTATCGCCTGGACAATCTCCTTGAACGTAAAGCGAAAGAAGGTGTCAAGATCTACATCATCCTCTAGTAGGTGCATCAACTCAGTTTCGAGGTGTAAATCTCATAATTGTCAACAGCCAAGAGGTGTCTAATAGGACTACACCGACCGACAGCAAGCAAGTGTATTGTGTTTCATACGAGCTAATACTTATTGATCATATGTTAAAGTTATACTAAGCAGAGGCTTACAGCGCTACACCCCAATATCATGGTCCAACGGTCGCCATCGCATTTTATGACGGGCACCTTCTATTGGGCGCATGTAAGTCTCCTGGATGGATTTCCGATCGGCGCCCTCATTGCATTCCTACCAGCACGAGAAGATGTGCGTGATAGATCAAGCCATAGCGTTTATGGGAGGCTTCGATCTGTGTTTCGGACGGTATGCACTTCGCGCCTGTGGTTATGCATTGCGCTCAACCTCTGGGCAGGTGGGACACGCCGCAACATGTTATCATCGACGATCCGGAGGGCACCCCAGACGCATCTGAACAGATCTGGCCTGGTATGACTCTATCGTGGATGCTGTATCGGGTGTTAATGTTCTACAGGAAAAGACTACAGTAATCCTCGCATCAGCGACTTTCATACCCTCAACAAGCCGGATGAGGATATGTATGATCGTGCTGTAATCCTAGGATGCCTTGGTAAGACAAGATATACACCATTCTGGCTAGCTGCTCACCATCACTTATAGGCACGACGTCGGACTGCAAATCGTAGGACAACCCGCTCGCGACCTGGCGCGTCATTTTGTGCAGAGGTTTGCCGTTGCAATGTTGCTCTTCCATACAGGAATGATTGCTCATGCGCGTGTCGTAGGTGGAACCTCCTCTTGAGAATCAAGGTTTGTTGCAGGACGTTGTGTGAGTTTGCGTAGTGGAGATCTGATTCTGCATCAGAATCATACACGTGTAATGCCAATGCTGTTACCGCCGCCCGAGTTCCGGCCTGGTGAGCTCACGCAAATGGGTCTTACTGGGACATGCGAACTGCAGATCTGCAGATCTGCAGGACTCTGGTCGATGGGTACGCCCGATCGAATTGAACATTCCATCCAGAATGCGTATCTGAAAGGTATGGAGTACCGTTTGAAGGAGGATGCCATTCCCTGACCTCCCGAAAGCAATTCAGATGTCGGAGCACTTCGTCTACATCGAAAACCAATTCTTCATCACATCGTGAGCGGCCAATCTTGTCAACGTATATGCAGGACTGACTTCCTGTTAGCACTGTCGTCAACGAGGTTCCTATCGAGAACCAGATTGGAGATGCTCTTGTTGCTCGTATCATTCGAGCACACGGAGAAGGAACTCCATGGAAGTGCTGTGTAATGATACCTTTGATCCCCGGGTTCACGTATCCCATCGATCACAGCGATGGTAGCTCGGTAAGATGGCAAATGGGAGTGCCTAGATCCAGACTGAGCATCGTCCAGATCCGCATCATTATGGAGTGCCAGAACCGGACTATCTGTCGTGGTCCTAATTCGATTTTTGGCCGCCTACGCAAGGAGGGCATTGATGTACGTCCTCCAACCTATTCTATGTGCATCCTCACTAAACTACCGTAGCCTGACGACTATATTTCGTTCTTCTCTCTGAGAAATTGGGGCAAACTGCGAGACGGAGCTTTGACTACAGAGGAGGTAAGGACATTCGTTTTGCTTCATGCCAAATCAAATCTTTGGCTTATACTCACAATAGGTCTACATTCACGGCAAGGTCAGTAAGGTACTTCGTTTCGCTGGTGTTGCTGACACAGCGGAGATCAGGTCTGCATCGTGGATGACCGACTCGCGATCATTGGAAGTGCGAACATCAACGAGCGTTCTCAACGTGGAGATCGTGACTCCGAGATAGCGGCTGTCATTCGTGATACCGACATGCTTGATTGGTCGGTTGCCCATTCTCTACGGGTCTGCCTACGACCGTTCATTTATCACATCCAGTACGATGGCGGGCAAGCCGTTCAAAGTTGGGCGGTTCGCTCACACCCTAAGGGTTCGGCTCATGCGTGAGCACATTGGGGTCGACGTGGATGCAATGCATGAAGACGACTTGATGGCTTCTGAACCTACAAAATCTCCTGATCAGCAGAGCGCATGGGACCCCGAAAACGAAGAGCAGCATGGTAAGGAGGCCGGCGTGACGCATGTTGGAAAGGGGCAGAGACGAACTGCAATGGGTGGCCTGTTCCGCGATACACGCGATGGTGTGGAACAAGGTAAGCGCGGACCCATCGCGTAAAATCCGACTCACATGACTATCGCAGCCATTCATGGAACTGGCGAGGCCGGTGACAAAGACATGGCCATGCTTTTGCGGAAGACCGGGATCAAGAGTAAGGGCCTCGACCTCACTGCAGACGAGCGGAGCCTGGCAGAGGAACGACAGATGTACAACCGTCAGGGTCAAAAGGAGCCTGGCTTTCCCAGTTCAGTCGTGCCGACTCTTGAGGAGAAGCTCGTTGCCGAGAACCGCCTACCAGGGCCACAAGCCATTGACCACCCGATTGGACCCGGATCAGAGAGCGGGGACGGGGACGGTGGCGCAGCGCAACCCGAGGAAGTACGGATGTCAGACGGCGAGCTCCTTGGTGCACCGGCCAATGCTGCGCCCAATCCCCAGATGGACAGGGAACCTCCTCATGCCAGAGATGCGAGTAACGACGCTACTGGAGAGGAGGAAGTAATACCTGGTGTCCGTTCTCTGCTCAGGAAGCAGGTGGCCGCGAAACTAGGGCAGAAACCTTGGACGCTTCCTACCCCGACTCCACGAGTAGACCCAGACGGATTTGAAGATCCGGTCTGCGATGAGTTTTGGAAGAACGTCTGGTTGTCATGTGCCGTACATAACGTAAGCATTGAGCTTGACCTTCACCGTAGCGATGGTACGACCGTAACGAACACTGATATGTTGTTTAGACCGAGATTACAGGAAAGTGTTCCATGCTGTCCCCGACGACCTCGTCACGACATGGAAGCAATATCGAGAATTCATTGTTCACCACGAGCGTCTCAATCAGCCTGTAGGTCGTAGTCACCAATAATTATCGCTGATTGACCAAATATGACAGGTGAGGGAGACCGGCTCGCGTGAACCGCTCGGTCGTGTGCCCTCGGAGTCCGGAGACCAAGACGTACCAGGCCACAATTCCGAGAACTCTGTCCACCCTGTAGGCCATGCACATACTGTCATTGGCCACCCCGACGCGTCATGCAAAGAGGAGGCCGACGGTGATGCCCAGCCATCGACTTCTAACACGCCGACTCCACCTGCCACTGTGCAAGAAGAGAAGTCCCGCGGACGCAAGGCCTCTCGTACTGCGGAGCCTTTCGATGAATCCGAGAGAGAAGAGATGGAGCAGCTCCTGCAGGAGCTACGTGGTCATCTGGGTAATGTGTTTCTTGGTGCGCCAGAAACTCGAAATTAACGTTGTTTTTCATCAAGTGATCTATCCAACACGTTTTCTGGAGGGAGAAGACGCGGCAAATAATTTCCTCTTCAACGCTGACAGGTATGTGTACTACAGACAATTGTCCGACGTCAATGGAATACTCATTCGAACGCAGGCTCATGCCTTTACCCATATATGACTGAATTGAGGACTCTATCAGGGACATTCGTATACTCGGACACTACGCACGTTCACTTCATGGCATCTACTGATCTTGGTGTACTGTTCTAGCACTGATTACCCATAGCATCCGACATCTAATTCCACAGGCTGATTTTTCCCCGTATTTGACCACGACGCATATCGGAATGTGTGGCCATATTAGATGCCGTCTAATTGACCGACATACCCGTTGTGTATGCTTCATTGACAATCCTGCTTCTGTTCATGCGCCGCTGATTCCTTTGGCACGTGCACTGCCTGCAACGGAACGCTTTGGTTTCGGCTTCAGAGCAGTGCATACGACTCCCGGCACAGATGAGTGTATGCATTGTGACCTATACCCGTTTTTCCATCGGCATTGATCATGCAAACTCAGTGTTGATCTGGCTCCTGGGTCCTCTCCGAGCGACCGGTCCGCGTAAGTCCGCCACCGGGTATTGCGGTCACTGGCCTTAGCGCTCGCACTTTGCATCCAACTAACATTATATCGATCGGTACAGCCATGGTAGCGCTGCCGTTCATGATCATTCATTCTAGATCCTGTCCGAAGGCGAGAACGAAGTCCCAGGCAGCTTCATAGACGATTTCCAAGATCTGTTGAGTGCACCAGTATGCATTGCGAATCTTCTCTCAATGCTCGTCCCTGAAGCGATCAGCAGAATTCAGGAATCAACTTTCATTACTTGCTGTGAGAGCACGCATGACCTTCTGAACACGCATAGAAGAGGGGTGAACAGATGGCTCATCGAAGTCACACCTTCATGCGACGTGGTTATTCTTGTCTATGTATCGTACAACGATGCGAATCTAACCCAAGGAAACTGTCTCACCAGCGATTTGCGCTGAACACCGACACCCAAATATGAAGCAACTGCAGTCACTGCCTCAGCTAGACGAGCCTCCAGACGGTGGTCTCCATGCCTGGATGACCGTTGTAGCGATTTGGCTCATCACTATTGGCTTCGGCATTTCTACTGTCGGGTGCGTGTCCCAAGATGCGTACACCTCAAATGTAAACTCGCAGTTTCTCGGTGGATGTGCAAGGGCTTTGGATTCTCGCTGGGGCCGTTCTCCAATGTCGTCATATCAAATTTTGGATTCGCGCGCCCATCCTCCTCGGCGTGCTGAAAACTGTACTTGTCTTCGAGCTTGCGTCCAAATGACATCATACTGGCAATTCTTCCTCTCCGAAGGCGTCCTGTTCGGGTAACCTCTTCGAAATTGTCTTATGTCAGATGTAACCTGATTCATCCTACCCGCAGGATCGGAATCTCTTTGGATTCTTGCCATCGCATTGCCACCCAGTGGTTCGACAAGAGACGTAGTCTCGCCCTCAGGCATTGCAAGTGTAAAATGAAGATGTCGTGATTCTTGCCGCATAGTGCTCGTGCAGTTTCATAGTCAGGAACCGACAGTAGCGGAGGTTGTTCCCTCTCCCCCGTATGTCAACTTGAAGTCCTCATTGAACGGACGTCTGTGCAGTGGGCCCTCCGCTTCCTGGGGTTTCTGAGCCTAGCCATCGGCCTTGTGTCGGTGGCGCTCGTCAAGCAATACCACGCCGCCGAGAAGCACAGAGTATGTACCGCGTTTGCGACCTATCCATTTGCCGCATCGAGGGAAACGGCTTCTATTTGGCCTTCTGCTTTCTGCAGTTCTTCAGTTCGTGATATCTCTGTTCTACAATCCCAGTGAGTAGTGTGTTACGAGGCTCGCTGATAGCTTGTCTCAGGCTATTGCCTTGCAATCGGATTGTCTGCCTCGCAGGGATCAGGTGTTCTGTCGGTGGCAACGTCAATGAACGCTGTGGGACAACATGGTGGGTTTCGGCTGACAAGGCTGGGCCAATCAATGTTCTGATTGTCATGCACTTCCTGACGGGACCTGTGTGCATTGTTGTATGGTCCTTCGCGAAGGGTATCGGAGTTATGATGGTCTTCGCATTCTTATGGGGTCTGTTCAGCGGACGTAAGTGTCTCACATGGATTTCATGATATTGGCGATACTAATGAAACCCCTGCCTGCAGCTTATTGGCCACTTGCGGTCCCGACGTGTGCGAAGATCGCTGGTTAGTACAGTCACGATTGGCACATGCTACACCATGCGACTAAACATCCTTCTACTGCATTGTAGCCCCGCCGTAGCCTATCAGTTCCTCATGATTGTTGTCCCACCCATCTCAGTTCCGATAGGATCCATAATTTCTCGTCAACCGCCTCGTTGTATACATAGGATTTCGGAGCACTAGCACACGAGGCATACAGAGACCTCATTCTGGTGCACGATTGCGCTGATTTTGGTATCCATACTACTCATCCCTGTGCGCTTGCGTTTCAGTAGACAGTCCTGGGGGAAGCGTGAGGATGTGACAAGGCTGCAAGTAATCCCTGTGCTACGTCTGCCCCACGATTTATTGATCCGTCTAGCTACGAAGCCATTCCATTCGTAATAATTGGGTTTTGATACAGTCTTCTCACTGCTCACCGCAGTCGCAAGCTTTGAGATGTACAGAACGAATGTGGCCGTAACATGGCGCTGGGCCGACATCTCATTACTGCCACCGGAAAACGCCGGAGCAAGTGCCGAAAGCATATGTGTACTGCTTAGTCAGCATACTTCGGTACGCTAGCACGTCCCGAATCCTCACCTTCCACTTTCTAAGCCCGGTTTTCGATCAAACATACTCTGCAAGACTGCAGTGCTGACGCGTGAGTAAGTATCACATCCAGGTCGTGGACTTATGTATTCAATATGTATGCAGTTTCAAGTTGCTCCCGTCCGAAAGCGCCGATAAGCGCTTCCTTTAGTACTCCAGTCGATTGCAACCCGAAGCTGCCATTCTTCTGGCTCACAATCAACTCACAATGTAGGAGCGAGCTAGGCTTATATCTCAGCTCCTACTAACGGCTGACAATCACCACAAGCTCAGGGCACTGTACCGTGGGTTTACATGTGGGCATGCCCAAATACTACGGCATCTTGTACTAAAATTGTCCATTCGTTCTCCCGCGGACCAAGCCTGACGGCGCATTACATCCGGAACATGTCCATTGACCTGTCGCTCGAGCGGATCCGCAAACTGCAGGCGCAGCTACCCGCCTATACTCGTCCTACCTGCCACATCACGGGCACGAATGGGAAGGGGAGTGTATCCGCTTTCCTTTCGTCTATTTTCCGCGCGGCCGCGCCTACTGCACAGTTCAACGTAGGGCGTTTCAATAGCCCGCACCTTATCTCTGTCAATGACTCGATCACCTTCAACGATGTGCCAGTGTCTATGGATGCGTATAGTGCTGCTCGCGCTCGCGTTACCCAGGCAGACCACAAGAACGGAATAGGCGCAAGCAACTTCGAGTTGCTGACTTGCACAGCTCTGAATCTCTTCGAGACCGCTGGAGTTGATGTTGTCGTACTCGAAGTAGGAATGGGCGGGCGACTCGACGCAACCAACATCGTTCCTGACGACACAGTACTAGCGTCAGCAATGACGGCTGTCGATCTCGACCATCAGGCATTTCTGGGCGGTACGGTCGCTGCCATAGCCCGTGAAAAGGCCGCTATCGCCAGAGTCGGGCGTCCGTTCGTCCTCGGACAACAGACTCATTTTGAAGTGGAGACCGCCGCACGGGAAGTAGTAGGGCAGGCTGGAGGAGAGCTGCTCACAGCACCGATTGTCAGCAAGCGCGAGTGGCACAAGGACCTGGATGGTCCGCGTCCATCTGCCAACCAGATCCCCCCTCCTCCTATCCCTGTCGAAGCCGAATTCCCCTGCTTTGATAGTCCGATACGTGCACTGCTACCCTTGCAGGGTGAGCACCAACTGGCAAACTTGGGTGTTGCTCTCGGTGTCATCTCTGCCATCCGAACGCAGAGGACCGCCCGTCTGCCCTGGGTCGACCGGATTACACCGGAAGTGATAGCGCGGGGGATACAGAACACACAGTGGCCTGGTCGGCTGTCCTGGCACCGTGTTCCTGGGCTAGCAGCGCCTGTGTTGGTGGACGGCGCACACAATCCCGCCTCAGCGCGTACCCTGTCGGCGTACATCAAATCGGTCTCACACGACCAGCGGCCTCTTGCACTCACGTATATCCTGGCCCTTTCGTCTTCCCCTCCCAAGACACCAGATCAGACTCTCGCGCCCCTAATGTCTGTTCCCGCCGACATCGCAGTTGCACCACTTCCCTTCTCACCTCCTGAAGGAATGCCCTGGGTTCGGCATGAACCTCGCGGAGCGTTGGTTGGCGCCATCGGCAGGCTAGCCCCCAATGCGGCGATCTGGGGCGGTGTCGGCGACGATGAAAATCAAGACGAGATCGCGCAACTTCGTTCGGCCTTGGACTGGGCGGCGCGCAGGCAAGCGGAGAAAGGTGGCTTGATCGTCGTCGCCGGCAGCCTATATCTTGTCGCAGACTTCTATCGACTGCTCACAGTGCTCAGACAAAGGGGTGATCAAGGGACGACGGGAGATGTTTAGATCGTTAATTTGTATAGAGCGGCCGTAATACAGTTATCGCTTACACCGCACTATCATGCACGACCTTTTGGGCTCCATCAGCGCCTGCCTTGTTGCTGGATCACTAAGTACCGTTGGGACCTCAACAGCAATGTTAGATCGATGAACCTCTCCACATCGTTGCTCTCGCTTTGAAGCACTTGAGCCGACGGGATTCAGATATTCTCTTTCAAGTTCTCTTGCTTCATCAACAATTTCCTGACAGGATCCCGAGATCCGTGATTCGTCGGATGTGTCGATAGACTGAGTCATCCTTAGGACCTCGACCAGTGACTATTGACCATATATATGAGTGCATCCATCCGCATACTCATCGTCGCAATTCTCGCTAACGCTAGGACATGCTATTGCCACAGGATGTCCTAACCCACCTGGCACACAACTCCAACTCGCGCGCACATTGGGCGCACTCATGCGACGGAGGTGCGGAAACATCAGGTGGTATGGTTTTGCACCGTAGAGCTGCACCTGAGGCGCTCGCTGCCGGACCACAACGAGGAGGATTACTGAACATTCGCTGCTGCAAATGAAGTTCTCGAGCTTCACAGAGCGTGTTTCTGGTGCGTTCGCAGCGATTCCATTGGCCGGGACTTGTCCGGCATAACCAGGGTTCAAGTTATCGGCGTCATAGCTGCCTCGCGCCTTCGATGTGGAGAGTGCAGAACCTGCCCGACGCTCGCATATGATTGTCCAGAATGGCCCAGGAGCAACTGAACAAGAATACCCACATCCTCTTAATCAATCGGCCCGCACGCTCACAAACCTTCCGAAGCAGAAGCAAGCACCCCTCGCGGTACACCGGAACCGGAGCAGTTGGCCACGAAAGGCAGCGCCAGAGTTGAAGGGGGACAATCCCATTTTCGTCTTCGACTGTCCCCACGTCGGTGGAATCGTGAAAGGTTCTGTCTATGACGTTCAGTAGAATTGGCATCTAGTCGTTGAACGAGATACTCATGGTAGGTCCGTAAGCTCCCGATCCACCACTCTCCGAACGCATGTATGGTCGCGTTATGCTCAGGCGTCTGTCGTCGAGTCATACCCATGCTACTGCTAGGAGCGGCCTGGGAGCAGCCGTAGTAAACCTACGGCCCGTCGACGGTGGGTTTTCCTCACGATCCGACAATTTCAGCATTGCGTCATGGTCAGCTTCGTCTTCGCAAGCCTGTCTAAAGCATCAATATTTACATGAAATCAACATGTAGTAGAATTGGCGCACTGATTGCGCAGAATCTTGAGAGACCCGCTCAACTCTCAAGAGAGGTCGACATCCAGTCTGTACAAGTGCCGACGATCTCTGGGACGACGCCCAAACAACGGCGAGCGGTATATCTTCTGAAGCCTCTTCGGACTAGATGAGACATACCGTCTCCGAGTACATGCGTTAACGGCACAGGGACCAGGGGAGTCCCGGGCCTCCGGTGAGGTAATGCCACTAAGCTCACATTGACGGAACCAAGTGAGCGGAACGCCTTGATATATAACACTAAAATGAACAATACCAGAACAACACCGTTCGATTCTGGACACCATGACGCACTTGAATGTTGTTTGGGCAACTTGCTCTCCGAGCCTGTACACGAGACTGGCTATAGGCTCAGCGCAAAACCGGTTGCGATTTCAACCTTAATCAAGCTTCATCAGTCGCAATGCCAACGCGCTCTGCCAGTGGCAAAGGCGCCATTATCATGACCGCTTCAAGGCATCAGTTGACATAGCGACATTCCCGGCAACCGTCTTCAAAATACCCTACCGGAGAGATCGCGCCCCATTCGGCAGGTCCATGCAGGAGCCAAGAGGCTGGCCGACGTGAGAAGTGCACGAGATACAACAGTTACCCGCTCCCATTATGGATACTCAACCAAGTCAGTACCTTCAGACCGTCAACTGGCTCCTGGTGGCTGTATGGTCATGGTCCTTTGAATATGCTATCAGCGTATGGTGTAGGTCAATCAACGCAGAATCTCCGCACCTCATGAAGTGACGGTCAGGCCTGGATTTACTGCCACCATCCTATGGTCGATTGGTCGAGAGATATCTCGCGGTCAGACCGAGGAGAATGCACTAATCCGTCTACAATGCATGACCGATCATAAAGTTGCCGTCTGGTTACCGTATCTCGAACAAATTCTGAGGACCGTATCCCAGGTACTTTCCAGCGTTCTCGATCCTCTGCCAGTGGTGGGAATGACCGACGCACAATATTGTAGCGAGGTGACCGCGCATTACCTTGCGTTCATACATCGCATGCGCAAGTGGCTGCGTGAACGAGTATTCATGGAGGCAGTATCTCGCCGCCCCAATTGGGTTACTCCCGAGTCGGTACGCCTTTGATCGATCGCCTAGGAAGCAGAAGACGCTGGATTGGTCTAAAAATTAATATTTCCGACATCATGTGTGGCGAATGCTTGGCCATAAGTAGAGCTGTCTATGCGCGCATGGCTTGCATATGCATTATGTACACCCACCGTGTACCGTCCACTTCATGATTACTGCGTCTGGTTAAGAAGGGTGGAAGTATCATTGGGGCTGATAGATCTGAGTTAGTAATTGATGGCACGCGAATCCCACCGTCACCCTTTCAATGCAATAATGTCGGGTCTAGGGGAGTCCAGCTCGGGTATGAATCCCACATGAGCCGGCTACTCAAGAGTCTTTTAGGAAAGAGCCATCGGTGCCATCGCCTAGTCTGGATCTTGAGAAATAGATCTGTGAGAAGATGTGTCTACTTACGTCCTAGAGATCCCGAAACCTCGACGTGACTTGCAAGCCATTATAGGGAATGTTGGCCACCGGATTACGTCGTTATCCCCGATCACTCGTTCAGACTCGGAGTGCATGCAATGTGCATTCATTTCAAGCAACTCCGCTGACGACGCACAGACCACCCGCAATATGCAATCTGCGACGGTCGTTGGCCTTATACAGACGAGCCTCTTACGACGCCGCGTAAGTATAGCGCTCCCCGAACAACGCTGCGACAGCAACGCTTCACATCACCTGGTATGGTTGCCAGATGAACCCGTCCGCAGAGAGGGACATTGATGGCGTACCTCCGAGTTCGTAGTCGGGTCAAATTCCGTCACCTGCCCGACTCGGAGACATTGGTCAATCGCATCGCGGCTGTGACAAGGCGAGGGGTCGATTGAGCGCGGCATGAACATCACCTCCATATACTCCGCTCGGCATTTGTAAGTGACGAGCGCACACAACGCGTCCGACGATGCCCTCTTCTCCTACCATCTCATCGGCGCACCTTGGCGCGCTTGGCCAATATCATCGTTCGGAGTTCTGTCTTTCCTGGCCTACTCGAGAGCGCGTGATCGCGCTCGAGGCTCCACGAACCGTCGCACCACGGAGCCACGTCCCAGAAAAACAAGGATGGCCAAGTAGAACAGCCTAGAACCATCGGTACGTACAGGCACACCGCAACGCGTTCTCACCCTCCGGCCTGCACCTTCGCACACGCACCAACGGAGAGAGCTCTCGTGGAAGATCGCTCGCTCGCGACTCGGATGCAGCCGTCGTGTCACGTCATCGAAACCATTGACCCGCTGGGAGGGCAGAGAGAACCCCTGATACGTCAGGGGATGTTCATCCGACAGACTGTCCCTCCACCCGTGGATCCATCAAATGCGAAGAAGTTCACTATCGGAGACTCGCGCGCGGCGAGTGCCTTGAGGATGTCCTGTGCGAGCATTCCGCCGACGACCGCGCACACAGGGGAGAGCTCGTGTGCTGCAGTAGTCGCTACAACCCTGATGGCCCAGGTGAGCCCATTAAAACTTAATCGCTGATAGACGTGCAGCCTCGACTCACTCGATGGACTCGTGCGGAATAGTAGGCATTGCTTGCCGGTTGACGTCAGCCTTGGCGAGGACAGAATTTGCCGCCTCCTCGAGGGCAGGCGCTGCGCCGGTGGCGTTGGGGAGGGCGCCGTGACGAGCCTGGTACTCCCATAGCCCTTGAGGATGTAATAAGAGCGGAGAGAGAGAAGACAGATTAGCTCTGCCTGCACACCGCCGGCGAGGAAATCATACCAAAAATGGTGAAAATGGCACTAGGATTGAGCTCTTTTGTCTGTCGCCTGGTCAATTTCGACCAGCGATGCTCCAGAGCAGTCTGGATTGGACAATACACGGTGGTATTCTTGATGTTCTTGCTCGAGTCTTTGGGATTTGCTCGATCACTGATGCCGCGCCAGCGTGACGGGTCGAGAGCGACGATAGAAATATACTGAGACTCACGGTGCGATGTAATCATGCGTCAGTAGGTCGCAGAAAATGTAACCCAGCAGTCCGTATGTCCCCCCTGCGTAGAAGGGCTTGCCTGCTTGTCGGCATGCATTGTTCACGCGGATCTGGCAAATGTCAGCCGAAAAGGCCCGAACGAAGGATGGATACTCCTACCAGCGTGCTGCGATCCATATCGGTGACACAAACCATGTCGACGTCGTGCAACAACGACTCCAACGTGTTGTCTTGCGTGACATGCTTGGGTAAGGCCTCGATCGTCACGAGCGGGTTGAGGCTCTCCACCCGTGCTTTTGCTGCCTCAGCTTTCTGGTCAGGCGAGTCAGCGATGAAATACACGACCGGCGAACCACAGGAGCGAGGCAGGAAGTAACGTAACACCCCATCAACGCGTCGAACCAGAAGTCAGCAGAATTAGAGGTGCACGTCCGTAGCCCGGACGACAGACGGACTAGCAGCAGCCTACGCTTCCGCGCGATCGCTTCCCTTCGTCGGCCGCCGGTAAGCTAGCGATACTGCCCACAGTGCAGCCCAGGAGCAAGCGGCATCTTCCGCGACATGGAGATCTGGTGCAATGCGAGATGGCGAGATGGAGAAGGTCTGCCAGATGCCCCACCCTTCGTGATCCGCATCACAGTGTGTCCGCGAACGCAGGGAAGTGCGGACGCCCGACGGTGGGCCAGGAGTCCTCCCGCCCTCAGAATCTGCGTGAGCGAAGTGATTTTGGCTTGCTGCGACGAACGGCGACGCGCACATTTGTCGTCCCAAGGCCGCCGCACGCGGTTCTGCTTACGCAGAGGAAGAGAAGCCGCGGTTTCCTGCACCATGCACGTCTCGTGCAGTGCGATCTCTGGTATGCACGCTCCGGACAGTCAGCACTGTGCATGACCTGTGGAATCAGTGTCTTCTTTCCACGGCCGGTATTCATCCGATTAGCAGACAAAGACTACCAGCCTTCGGCGACGCCCGAGCTCCATCTGTGACCAAGCGCAGCACCTGAAGAGATACGATCGTCCCGCTGAGACTTTCGGTCATTGAAAGCTATATGCTGCCATCAATTCAGAGGACGGGAATTGAGGTGGCCTCACCCCAGAAAATCGGTGCGATCGCCACTGAGGATAATCTCTAGTGATGACTTCATACCATCTGAGACATTTCGCATGGCGGTCATAACAGCGCCCGGGTGCGCCGCATAGGGGCGCGACTCTAGTCATTCTCGTCCGAGCAGTGCAGCCATGGTTCTACAGGGGCGCCGGGCAGCGGGATGCTTCGAAGCCATTCAATGGCAAGTACCAATCAAGTCTGCAAAGTAGGGTGCGAGTCTGGGCTTCCGATTTCTGCAAAGAACATGAAGCTCATGGAAGAGTGAGACGGGGATGATGTTCGACAGCCTAGCCACCAAAAGTATGGCAGGCTCAGTAAGGCAGGAAGCTACTGTGCAATTCATCTGCTGCATGCACTAGCCACTGCGCGCCAGTCGGACACCAGACAAGACCTCTACGTCTGCCGAGGCTCTGATCGAACAATCAATTCTACGCTGTGCAAAACGCGCAAGGGCCAAGGGTCTGACGACCACCTGGTCGTACGCAAAATGAAAACCTGTCGTGCCAGAGACGCTCTTAGCCCGTCTTGGCTTCATCAAGACAAAGACGTGTCTCGCTCTGCGCGCAGAGAGCACATCAATATGATAAGGCGCATCACTTACGTTTTTGCCAACGTCCTCATCGCGGAAGAAGAAACCAGCGCCTAGGTCCTCCTCCAAGACGCTGTCCCCGTCCGCGATGATCAGCTTGCCGATCCCAGCAAGGACTATATTTTTGATCGCCTCCGTCGCGACGCCGCGCAGCCGGACCATGAGAATCGTCGCGTTGCGCATCCTGCATCGCGTTCGTTCAAGTCAGTGGGGCCTACCCGCATAGACTCGGACGTGCGCGCGGACGCGGAAAGCGTTTGCGCGGGCGTCCGGGCGGAGGAATAAGCTCACCTCTGCTGGGCTTCCAAGCCCCACAGGCGGATCTGCCTGTCGTACACCGCTGCTTCATCTGTACAACGAATCGTCGTCAGCGTACCAGCCCCGCGCGCGTGCAGCTCAACGCGGCCTTCCGGATCCTCCTCAGGCAGTGATTCGCACCTTCTGTGATTTGGAGAGGCACGTTCTTGCCTGCAGGCTCCTCCGCGGCCATCGCAGTAGTCGGAGCTGGTAAGGGCACAGGTTTTCAGGCGGGCGCAATAGGCGGTAGGCTGGAGGAGGGGACGCGTGATAGGAGGCCTCGCGGGTGTGGCGGCGGGAGGCAACGAGGGTGCGCGTTCCGTACAGACGGCCAGTTGACGGCCAGGTGTGTGGCGTGGGCGCCTCCCAACAACCTCCAAGCGCCTCCCGATGATCGAATGCCAGATCCAGCGGCCAGCGTCTACCCGCGCGCAGATCTCATCTCGGCCGTCACCGCGCCCGTTGCGTCCAGGGCCGACGTCCAGGGCCGGGGCGTTCGTTCCCACTCCCCACTGCTTAGGCTCATATTCAAAATCAACTCGAAGGCGTGTCCATTGACATTCGATTTTAACGTAGTCCGAAGCAGGTTTTACTACTTGAGATGCGGACGGCGGTCCGTGGAGTGGGATCGTATGCGGTAGGAGAGTACCTGAGCCAAGAGGAGAGACGGGATAGAGAGGGAAAGTAAGCCAAACGTTTCGATAGCAATGTGGACTCATAATACGATACATCATACGGTACGACCCGGCGCGACTGGGAGCAGAATTATACAGACATACACGGTACGGACGCGGGGCAGCAGTGCTGGCCGGAAGGCAATCACACACGGGTTGGAGAGAGAAGCAGGGGCGTAGGGAGTGCGAAGGGAACGGAGGCACAGAAACGGCACAGAAAGTGGGAGAGAAGCGTAGCGATAGTGATGGGCGCCGTGGGCCTTGCGCCAGCGGAGGGGGCGTGACGACTGCAGCGCTGTGGAGTCTCAGCTGCCCAGGAGAGGCAGCGCGTCCGCGCTCGCGCCTGGGTCGCGCGGCTCGTCGTCCAGCCTGTAGTCATCAAAAAGCCTCAGCGCGACTTCAGGGATCGTCCCCAACACGAGAAAACCAGGGGCGAGAAGGTAATGGTACTCACAGATAGTTCCGCTCGATCTCAGACAGAATCGACAGGAAGTCCCCTGCACACGTAAACAACGCCATCAGCCATGCACACAAACACGCAGAGCCAGAAACACTCCGCGGATCCGAAAAGACGGTCGGAAGGCGAAGGGGTGCAAGGGAGAAGGAGGAACGATGTACGTACAGAGATACGCGTGAGCCCGGGCAGCGGACGCTGGAGCCGTCTCCGCCTTTCGCACCGCGTCCAGCAGCGTTGACGCGACGAAGCGCACTTTATGCACCTATCCAAATTCGCGCGAAGAAACGGGGCGACAGCCAGTCAGCGACGGGCTACCACGATTGGCCGGGCGACGCCGGCCTATCAAACGAAGCGCGTTTGACTCACCAATGAGGGCCCGTTGGTCGCGATGCTCTGAATCGGGATGCTGTGGGATCCCGGCGTCGTAAGCGAGCCGTACGTGAGGGACGCGGTGGCAACAAGCCCCGGAACAGAGGGACGCAAGACCACTGACCTGTGCAATATGTTGAGAAGCTCGCTGGCAACCGCCTCGCGCTCCTCAGCAACGCGCTGCTCGTCGATGTTCCCCTGGAGCGACGTGATGAGCTCGTCGCGGTACTGCTCGATAACAAACCGGACGAGTTGCTAATCGCAGAAACAGCACACGCAATCAGCACCCGTTTATAGACGGCGCACACGATTCCGGCGGTCCGGACGCCTACCTGTGTGACGTAGACGTTCGCCTGCATGACCAGGAACGGGTTCAGCGCATTCGCACGGCTTGCGTTCGGATTGTCGAAGAAGTCTTTGACCTCGCCGAGGGTCGTCTGGCGGAAGTTCGGGCCGCCGAGCTCCGGGGAAGGTAGCTCGGGCTGAGGACGTGCTTGAGGCGCAGAGGCTCCGGCGCGTGCGCGAGCGCGCTCATGATGCGCGAGTGCAGTGCCTCGACCTCCTCGAGGCGCGCAGTGAGGAACTGGCCCTGCGGCGGGGAGCGCTTGTCGACGCGAATGCGTACGAGGATCTCGCCGAGCAGCGCGAAGATGCGCGATATGTAGTTCAAACCGGACACGATCGCCGTCTTGCCGTGCGGCTGGGGCAGGTACGCGCTGTGTGTGATGCTGCGAACAAAAACAGAACAGAACAAAGTTCCGGACGGGATCGGGCGACATTAGCGTCATTTCGCGTTCCAGACAGGGAAGAGTTAACGTTAAGTTCGGCGGGCACCGGCATGCACCGGGATGAGAACAGGGATAGGAGAGGGAAGCGTGGAGGTGGGAAGTGCAAAGGCCGTAAGACACTCACTACTCGTCATCTAGCTCCCTAGGAAAATTACACGTGGTGTCCTCGTCGCGAAGCGAGATGGGTCGCCCCAGCAGGATCGACATTGACTTGTCCGCTGTATGTCAGCGACCCAGTACCCAATTGAGAGTCGTGTGAGCAGACGAAGGCTCTGAATACCTCCGGAACACGTACCCCCAAAAAGCAGCCAAAAGGTCCGTCGACGAACTTCGCACTCTATGAGGTCCAGGCCCTCGTAGGAGGACTCCTCGTGCATGCGAAGCGTAATCGCGATGTGCGCTGCCTCACCGAAGGCAGCGTGTTGTGTTGCATCGTGGCCCTCGCAGAAGTGGTAGACCGTGTCACTGGATAGAGAAGGCGAGTCACGGTCGCGGGTGTGTAAGGCAAACGGTTCGCGGAGCATGAGGCGTACTTACAAGTAACGGACGACTACGTGCATGGAGGTCGGCGGATCATATGACGCGACGGAGATGTGTCGCGAGGCTTCGTGACAGGTCTGCGCAAGCTTGCGGACGGCATGCCGGTCCATAGGCAGGTAGGACCTGGGCACCTGTACGAGGGTCGCAGCAACGGTCGACATGACGAGCGCGAAAAAGAGTGGATCTCGCTCCTCGCGACGGGAGTGGATGTCAGCCATGAAGGACTGCTTGTGGATGCACGGCGTCAGCGGATACACAAAGTCGAAGAAAAGAGCCAGGATGAGGAGGATGGTGTCCCTCGGGGCGACATCTTCGAGTCGATGGGCACGGTAGTAGTAGGATAGCGGGGTATCGTCGCTGGCGGAGGTATCTGAAGGGTTTGGTGTTGGCGGAACGACCAGTTGTGTAGAGGGTATGTGCTGAACTGATCTTGCGGAGGGACGTATTCCTCGCGGGCGGCCGTATAGGCTGTGCCGAGGGAGGGCATCGGATTGTAGTGTGAGGTGAAGCCGTCCGCGGTGATTGGATAGCGCGAAGGGGTTAGGGCGGTCGACGCCATGGTCGGCACGCTCGCGAGCGACTGGTCCAGGAATGAGATGGCACCAGGCACTGACGGCGAGAGGGCATGTGTGGGACTGGTCGCGGCATGGGAGGTGGAGGCAGGGGACTGACTCATGTCAGAGCCACTGGCCTCTGCGTGCTGCTGGGCTGCGGCCGCCTGAGCTGCGGCCGCCTCCTGCAACCTGCGCAGGTAGCTCGGTGGGTGTCAGTGGGGCTCCCCTGATGACCGCGCGGGCAGAAGGGGAGGAGACTCACAGGTTGGGAGGCCCGCGTTTTTTGGGCTGGTAGTCATAGGTGCAGGGGATGTTGAGGGCGATGCAGTGTTTGCAGGAGGTCTTGGGATCGTCGGGATTCTCGCGGGCGCATCTGACCTTGCGTGCGCGACACGCGTCGCAGCCTGGAGCGGGGTCAGGGTGGGTCGTGTGTGTGGAGGGGCTACGCACTCTGAGACTGGCGCCTGGGGGAGGAAAGGGGCGTCAGCGTCGTGCACGGGGAGAGAGGGAAAGGGACGGGACATGGATGCGTGTGCGTTGCGGGGTGGCGAGTGCGGGGACACTCGTGGCGGAAGGAGAGGAGGGGCGGGTGCGGGGAGGACGCGGGGGTGGAGGATGAAAGCGTGCGGGGAAATGTCGGCGGGACCCATTGGACACTCACTTTCTCTTAACCTTGCTACTCTCCTCGGGCGACGCGGCTTCGCGCGGGGTCGGGGACGTGGAGAGCTCCTTCTTGGTGCGCGACGCCATGCGCGGGGCGTGCGGGGGTGGGGGTGGGGGCAGAGGCAGCAGCGGGAGCGCGGGGAGTGAGCGAGTGCGGAGTGCGGAGGCGTGATTTTGAGCGACTGGCTGTGTTTGGACGCGTGTGGCCTGGCGCTCCTGTGCGGACGAGTCGAGAGTGCGATCAGGCTAATCTGAGAAGGGCCCCGCGAGAACGGGGATGGCTTCCTTTGCACGAGCAGGCTGAGCAGCCACGCCGTGCGACCATCCTCAGCCCTCCTCAGCGCCCATCCCGCCAGTCACGCGTCCCCCGGCCTGCGGCCCCAGGCCCCGGCCTTGATCTGTTCTCCCCGAAGCAGCCCCCGTACTCTGAATATTCCTATGACATTCTCTTCTCCTCAATACAGTCACTGCCCTGCCACCGCGAAGCATGCCTCCTATGCAACCAGCTAACCCCATCCGGCATCCCGCGACACGCCCCGCGCAGAACCAACCCAGGCCCAGTGCTCAGACGCACCAGCCCGCCTCCCCATCGCCAACCCAATGCGCGAATCTGCACTCTATATCTCATTAGACGAACATACACATATTCTCCCACCGCACCAGCCGTCCCCGCCCCACCCGCCGCAGAAGCCTTGGCAACCACTCCGCCGCGAAGAAGCACCCACCGTGCCTCCCTGCCCCGCACGCGACTCAGCAAAGTCACTCCTCGCACCAGCCCCGCTCGTCCCGCCGCCGACGCCTCCCGTCCATCCTGCACCCAATAGGATCCCAAAGATGCACCACCGTGCGAAGCCCTCGCACGCACCCCCGACCCGCGCACTCTGTCAACGCGGTCATCGGGACTGCCCTGCAATGGGGCCGACCCTGCTGCCTATGATCACAAGCTCTGCCAGATAGAGTGGTGCTCCTGTGCGCCCGAAGTTCCGCGAATGATTGTGTGTAGTTTCGTTGACTCAATCGTCGCGCGTTTCGCTGGCAATGTCTGTTGCCGCCGCCTCCGTCCCTGCGCCCCCAAGCGGGACAAGACGCTCCTTGAGTTCACGCAGCATGCTGCGCGCCTGAGTCTCGTCCACCCGTCCCGCGACGTAATGCTTCTGTATCCGCTTCGCGATCAACTGACGCGTCCTCGCCTGGGCCTCGTCGTCCCACTGCACCTTGTCCTTCACGAGCAGCCGCCAGAACCTGAACGCCATCTCCGAGTCGTCCGCCCTGAGCGCAGCGGCAACACAGTCACGCCCCATCCGCGGAGAGGGCACCGTCCCCGCCTGCAGAAGCGAGTCGACGAGGTCACTCGAGCTCTGCAGCTGCGCGCGCGGCGACACCCGTCCATCTTCGTCCGGGAGGGTGACCCCTGCGTGCAGGAGAGTCCCCACCGTCTTGTACGAGAGCCGCCTCACGCCGACCTCGCGCGAGCGGCGTATCAGCGCGGACACGAGCGGCATGTCGCCGCGGAGGACGGCGTGGTGGATGACGGACCCGAAGGAGACCGCGTCAGGCTCGAGGCCCATCCGGATCATGCGCTCGATGACGCGCGCCGCCGCAGGCGGGTTGTGCTCCGCGAGGACCGCGAGCGCGACGTTGATGTCGTACATGTCCGGCACCTTACGTGCGCGGAAGAAGTACCTGAACACGTCCAGGCCCTCCTCCAGGTGGCCCAGCATGAAGCTCGCACGCGCCATCGCGGTCAGCTCCCAGTGGTGCGCCCCCTTGTATGGCGCGCGACTCCTCCGGAACGTATTGAACACCCGCTCGGCGAATTCCCTGAAGTCGGAGCCCTTCCGCTTGGCCTCGTCCGCGTGTAGCCCCGACAATTCCGCCTGTTCGTCGCTTGCCTCGGTTTCGGTCGTCTCCGCAGATAAAGGTTGGGACGGATCAGATTCTACAGGGAGATCCCCGCCCGAGGCTCGTGTTGCGTCTACGTCTTCATTAACGACCTTCGGATCACCTTCGATAGCGCATGCATGCGTTAGTTCTTCCAGAAGGGAACGTTCGGTAACTTGAGTACAAGGTATACCAGATTCATCCTCTCCTACCACGTTGGGCTGCAACGACGCACTGGACCAGTCTTGTGCACCGCCAGAATGCGTTAGACCGGCTATCGGAGATGAGGTTCCAGAACTTCCACCCAACGAAGGCTCTTCGCTCTCTTCGCGCACCATGCTGGCAACTGCAGCATCCACAACGTCGGGCACGGGCACTGCCGAGGGCGGGGCACCCTCCTTCAGGATGCTGGACTCCGATCGCTTGCTCAAGCTCACGAACAGGCTGACCAACCGGAGCATCGCGGCCGCGTTGCCCACCACAACCTCGGGCTCCTTGCTGTCGGCGTAGCGCTCCCAGAGCGCGCGGGCCTGCGACGCAAAGCCCTGCGCGGCCAGGATCGCGATGACAGGTGCGCGGAACTGCAGCGCGATCGGGATGTTCTCGTCGACTAGCTGGGAGGCGAGCACACGCGCGAGGTGCGTGTGTTTCTGCTTGTCTGTGAGGTACCTGAGGAACCAGCGGAGCGTGCCCTTGTCCGGAGGCAGATAGGCGTGCTTGTGATACTTGCGGACCAGATCCGACTGCGAGACGCTGTACACCATCTCAGCAAGCTCCGGGCAGCGGTGTCGCTCGGCGCCCACATAGAAGTCTTGCAACACCGGCTGCGGGATCTTGAATCCAGGACAACGCTCCATGAGCTGGACGACAATAGCAGTGGCGGACTCTATTGTCTTGTCTCTCGTGTCCGTGACCTGGGATCGCAGCACCTCCACAGCCAGCTCGCCAACGTCGGGAGTGATGAGATTCATGGTGGGGAGCACGCGCTCTATGAGAGCGGTGGAAAGACGGCGCCATCCCCACGAGGTAGACGAGCGGACAAGTGCGAAGAGCACGATTCGAGCAAAATCGCCCGAGGAGAGATCCGCTTTCTGTATCGCGTAGGGGGAGAGCCTGTTAATATGAACAAGGGAGTTCACGATGTCCAAGGAGCGCCGTTGCAGGCCTAAGGCTGCGAGGTCATAAGTGAGGAGATACATTACGGAAGTAGCCCGTAGGGACATAGCCGTCGGCTGTGGGTTTGCCCTGGCGCGCTCTGAAACCCTGTTCATGTAATCGAGCAGGAGAAGAGCGAGCATGTCCAAAAGTCGGGAGTCGAGGGTGGGGTTACGAGGCATGGCTAGAATAGCTGCGGCGACGGTTAGCCTGGTTGCTTCAGGTATTGTTACGAGCTGGGTGAACGACTGTACGCTCTCCAATAGCGTGAGCGCCTGCTTCTTGGCCAGCAAATCCTTTTCCGTAAGCAGAAGGAGGCGTTCGATGAGCCCAACGCGTAGCTGCGGACCGAGGAGGTGTCCATTCTCCACCACGTCCACCACAAGAAGCTGAATGACATCCGTCCGCCGTTTCCTCGTAGCAGCCTCCAGTACCTCGAATATTTTGTGCGGGCTGTCCCCCAATCTGTGGAACAGGACGTTGCCCTGTCGTCGCTGCGCGATATAGGCGACCAATGGATCCTCTCCCGTGTCAGGGGTCGATTCCTTGGATTCGGAGTTTGACGTTTCACCTTCGGCTTCCGTCTGCTGCGCGGTCTCGTCAACCAGCCATGAAGGGAGTAGTGCCCGTTTGACCCGCTCGACACGACCCCATCCTTCTTCACCCGCACCCGGTGCACGGGTACCGTCGTCACGAGCCGAGTCCGCGTCCTGCTGGACTCCCCTTCCTTCGCCACTCGGCGCGACTTCGGAGGGACCGCTTGCATATAGCTTTGGTCGAGATAGGGGCAGAGCACGCGAAAGAGGTCGTCGAGCAATATGGAGTGTCGTAATAACATGTCTCGGTATGTACGCTCGTAGCAATACGTGCCGGCAAATGGACATATAGTCAGCTGTGTTCACTCGTCAGATCTCGTTTTTTGTGAATATATGCGCACGTACCGCATACCGGTGTACCGCCACAAGTCTAGGAAGTCTGGACGCGAACTAGGGCGACGTGACGCGAATACGCAGGCCGAGCTGGCAAACTTTTCGAGACGACGCACCGGACTCCGTTCTCGGCGACGCCAGCGAGCTTCCGTGGGAAAGACATCACGTGGTGCAATATTCACGTGGTCGAGGACGTGGGCCCGCGTGCGTTTGTGGGCGCTTGTGCGCACTTCACGTCCGAGTATGTCGTCCTGTGGCCTTCCACTGGAAACGGTCTCAGACACTCGGTGCTTGAAACAGATCGAGCGTACATGTCCTGCGCGGCATTTCACTTCACTGCGGATTTCTTGCTATCCTCTGGTGCGGCAATGAGATCTCGCCTCTTAACTACCGGCTGTCCGAGCGAGGTGGAACGTTGACTCTGTCTGACCTCAGTACTGTACTGAGGCAGTAGTCGCGATCACCGTGGCACTTGTTGGAGAAGAAACAGGTATCTGACCCATTCAATTGCTTACCCAACTACTATATTTGTAACGACGTACATGCTTACATTGCCGAATCTCAGGTGCGCTATATCAAGCGTGTATCTGTCTTCTTCTGGGTACCGCTGCCTGCAAGATGCGTCACTGGTGTCCGCGGTGAGCGAGCATTCCCTGTCTTCCGAATTGATCTATCTCCTTCTGGGATCAAGTCGACAAGAAGGTAGCCATGCATCCGACATCCTAGATACGATCACCGGCTGCCATGGGTTGACACTGGTATCCTAGTATCCGCCGCTTCAATTCGCTGTGTCGGCCGGGTGTATCGTGCGTACCGGCACTTCATGTTCGTGCGACGCCATAGATATGTCTCTCACCATGCCTATCTATCGACATGCAGATGTTGACCGGTGCGCTGCCATTTCATTGTATGTCAATCGGTCGTCCCATCACTTACCGCTGTATATCATATTAAGAAGGACAAACCGTGTCATGAGGTAACGGTGAGCCATGATTGTACGTCAACGCGGCTCCCAGCAACGTGCTTCAGGTCTGTATACAATACGTATTCTTCGAACGCCCGATCGTGGTTGACATTGGCAGGCTGCTGAGGCCATCAATTCTGCAACAGAAGCTACACCCAGTAGGTTCTCCGCGATTTTACCGATTGGCGGTAGCAATGCTATCAGAACATCGGCCGAGGAAGGTAGGGTCCAAACGAGGATCGTCCCCTACCGCCGTGGCCCTTGTTCCGCGCTCCGCAGCCTTGAGCAACCCGGTCCCGGCCACATTGTGGCGTAGTGTCCGACGATGCGCGCACGATTCATGGCGTTGCACGCCTTCTGCAGCGTATTTCTCCGACAATCAGGTGAGCCACGCCGCCGGATGACTTTGCGCTTACTGCACCCGCTGAAGACCAGAGTTGCTCACCGACTCTGGGGTGTCAAAATTCCTTCTCGCGGCAATACCTCCGGGGTGGGGAGCACGCATCAGCAGCTACGCTGTATGTGCACAGTGGGTTTTAAATTCCGGTGCGATACACGCCTATCCGAGAGTATTCGGACGGACCACATAGGCGAGGTTCCTACAGCGATCTTGCCTCTTGCTAGATTCTTGGCAGCGTCGCCTCTCACAGTCTACACGGTCGGACGGTAGAGAGACTCCGGCTCGCGTTCTCCCCGATTTGACCGCTCTGCTAGATGTCGCCTATCAAGCTATCACTGCCCAACCTGCCAAGCAGCTTTTCGAGGTCGACGGACTTAATAGCAAGAGCCCCTGGGGTGCCTGCAATCCCGCCCCTCGTTCGCGCGGATTAATCGCTTCTGTCCAGCGACCCACGTCATCTTGAGAGTTTGTTGTCAGACTCGTGTCCCCATACTGAGTAGCTCTGAACAGATGATCTTCTACCGTGTCTGCACGACGGGCCCATCTTCCGCCGGTGAGTACGCCCCCCACTTTCACATCGCGTATGTTACTAGAGAAGGGGGCCTGCACAACTTCAGGCACTATATGTCGCCCGTCAGTTCAGATTTTCGCTTTGAGCTGAATGCTTATACTACCGACGCAAGTTAATAGTGGCAAAAAGACTGTGTTAAGCCGCCTTTAGAGTATCTCTCTTGACCTTGTGTTGCATTTATAGCGAGAATACCTGTTGCTTGATCAGTTGATACACGCAAGAAGGATCTGTATTCAGCGGCGGCGATGTTCAAATTCCAGACAGTGTTCCTTATATAGAATCTCCGGAGTTCTGCCAGTCTGAGGTCTTCTTACTGTAGGACTCACGCGTGGGACGGGTAATGCATTGAATATGGGCGTGAATATTTACCATGTTTCTGAGACACCTCTCCCAGTGAATCATAACTGTTGCAATGATCCTATGTCCGGCAGCACAGTCCAGACGTCTCGAGTCCGAGTCGATGCTCTGCTTCACTTGCCTGGTTGATCGGATTCAAGAGACGCCCGGCTGCGCGGCCACGTGGCAATATGCTGGCGTGTTCCGCATTGAGCAAGTGTGCAAGAACGCCTCAACATCGCCAATCCAGGACTTCGCTTTTTCTCTCTGTTGTATCAAGTCTTTTGCTCGCGCTTTGCTTCCAGAGTCGGAGGAACTGCGACGAAAATACTACCTCTAGGGCTGAACTACAACTCTCGCTCTCATGGGCGCAGGGCAGTCCACTACCGCGAACTCCTCACAAACACCACCGCGCGCGTTGCATGTCCTACGCGTCACACCGTCCTCGCCAGCCTCACGGACGAGCATCGAGCCTTTCTTTGACTTTGTGGTCGGATTCCAAGGCGACGACTTCTCCTCAACCGATAGTGCTGACGCGACAGAGCTTGAGAAGATAGTCGAGAACCATGAGGGGCGGACGCTGAACCTGTTGGTCTGGAACAGCAAAAGTCAGCAGACAAGAGGTGCCCTTCCATTTCTGGCTCTCACTCTCGGTCCTACTAAAGCAATCACCCGGGGACAGTCGTGCCAATTGTGCCCTCGAGGGACTGGGCTTTGCCACACACGACAGCTCCGGACCCGCAAGAACCGGAGGCAGGGCACAAACCCTCGCTGCTCGGACTTAGCATGCGCATTTGCCAACCTGAGCTCGCCCTCGATAACGTGTGGCATGTGCTAGATGTTCTCGAAGGAAGTCCTGCCGAGAGCGCGGGATTGGTGCCATACGGCGACTGGATTATCGGATGGTCTGGAGGCGTGCTCAGTGCCGAGGGGGACTTCTACGAAGTCGTCGAGAATGTGCGTGTTCATTTTGGGCTCCTCGGCTCCGGTGTGTGCTGATATCGCATCTTCAGCATATCGAAAAGCCCCTCCGTGTGTATGTGTATTCATACGACTTCGAGTAAGTTCGGTGTTTGTAAGCATGCCGTGCCTGCACTCATGTCAATTGCAATACAGTACAATCCGGGAAGTTGTCCTCGTTCCCAATCGTCACTGGGGCGGAGAAGGACTGCTAGGATGCGTTTTCGGGCAAGTCTTTATCGCCCCGATCGGCGACGCGTTGCTGAGCTCGATTCTTAATAGCTTCGGTCTGCTTCATCGTATTCCGCCAATACCTCCGGACAGAGAGCCGGGCTCGACGCCCCCAGAGCTGTCCGAGGAATACGAAGGCTACGAGGACCAGCAGCTCTTCGTGCCTGCCGACTACCACGGGGAAAGCGAAGTCTCGGAGCAGGACCTTGACGAAGAGGAGCTGCGTTGGCAGCAGGAAGAGTGGATGCGTCGGTCGTATGCAAGCGCGAGCAGCTACGAGCATGTGTCTGCCAATGGCAATGAGACCATTTCTGCGTACGCGAGGCCGGTTGATGACTCGGATGAGCCGGCTTCTCTACAGGACGAAGACGAAGACAGTACAGTCGACGACCGTGATGACGATAATACTACCAATGACTGTGATGGTGGTAGCGGCGGCGGCAGGGCTAGCGAAGAGCAATTCATGCCCTCGTCACCGCTTGGTTACCCAGACAGTGCCGACGAACAGCTGGTGACTGCTGAAGAGCTCCAAAATATCCCAAGTAACGACATATCCCAGCCTATACCTGCCTCGCGGAACAACCATACTATACCCAAGGCTATTGACTTGCGCGATACCTCCCAATCGCCGCCCCCGGACGCCCCTGAAGATGTCATTGATGGTGCTGTCCGAAGTACTCCAGTGCCGGTGCACGTCACACCTGTGCGGCCAGCGTTTTCTCCATTCCGCGTCGGGTCACCCCGCATTGGTTCGCCGCGCCCTTCAACGCCGACTCCGAGGCTGGGATCATTTTCTTTCATGAATGGTGATTCGTCGCGACCGTCCTGAGTGTCATGCCCCCACTCAACGACCTTTGTGTCAACTAAGGTATCGGCATCAGCCCGCGCACGTCCACATGGGGCAGCAGTGGTGGCGTATACGACCTGTCGGCGAGAGATGCGTCTCCCGCGACAAGGGTGGGCCACATGCGAGGTGACGGCGGCGATCGCCAGAGCCATGACATTGATCGCGACGATGCCGTAAGTGAGGCTGATACCGATACAACGGAGACGACGGAGATGGATAGCGAAGTGACTTCGCAGGCTGGCAGTCTCACGAGTATCGACTAGGATCTGGGATACTGAGGTCATGAGTGTTATGACTTGTGCTCGGTATTGTGGATGGATGAATCAGGCTCGGCGTGTACCCCCCATCAGGGCGAAGTCAGGCCCTGCGCGTCGCTAGACGTCCCATTCAACTCCAGACTCGCGAGCTTTGAAAGCGGTTTGCGAAAAACACGGAGACAGTACTAGGTATGATACACGGAGGCAAGCATGCTAAACTACAGAAGTTACAATCGCGACTTGGTGGGTAGTGCGATATCGAAATCCGAAGACTTGAAGGCGAGAAGATGTGGGTCGCGACTATCCATTATACTGTCGACCCCTCCTTCTCATTATTCTCAGCGGCGTCAACAGGCCGCGGTTTGAATTCTAGGTTGAGTGCGATCACAGGCCAGACTGTATACACGGCGGACATTCAGACACGCCGCAAGGGAAATAGAGGTGCAATCGCAAACATTCACCTTCTTCGAACCCCGGGTGTCTCCCAAGCCGTATTTGCTGCCATACATTGCGCATAGCGTCTGATTCCCGGATTTCATTCCAGTGATCAAGGAAGAACCGTACTTGGACCTGCACATGATCGCGCACAGAAGCGTTCCTGTGTGAGTATCCCCGGGATCGAACGTCTGACAATGAATAGATCTGTCACCTTGCGCACGTCTTCAAATGCGGCGGAGAAAGTTGAGAACACTTCGTACGCAACGTTCCCCACTGTGAGTGACTTGACGATGTGCTGGAACGCGCGTTGCTTCAGTTCCTGCAGGTCAAGCTCTGCCCAGTGGCCGCGAATCAGCGCGGATCACGTAGGAAGCTGCCTTTACTCACTATCCGCCAATCTGTAGACAGCTTTCGCAGAGCATGGCCGGGGCCTGCCGGTATCATTGTTCCTCTCCCACTGTGCGATCCACTCCCGACGCGAACGCGGAGTCGTGGACCCGATGGAAGTCGAGTTCTCTGCTTGTTGGTGATTGGGGCGTTGGCTGAACGCCGGAGCCTGGGATTCCGACATGGGTGTCGCCGGCACCAATGCAACCGCGTTTGGTGTAGTCGCGGCAGATGCCAGGAAGGTAGAAGATAGAGGAGCAAAGGCAATGGTGTCAGTGTATATCTGTGAGAACGAGTTCATCAGGCTGTCGCAACGCCCCGTCGAGAACGAGACTTACGTAGTACAGGACCGCGCGGTAGGTTGCATATGCCGCATCCCGGATAATGACCTGTGTCTTCGTAGGCCCAGGTGCAAGGGGGGTCGGGGCTAAGTCAGAGTCTCTGATATCCCGCTCCAAGGAGGATGGCACACTTCGTGGAGTCGAAGGATGAGATAATTTGGGGCGAACGTTTCGAACCTCCCCAGCGTTGGGTTCTTTACCCTGTTGAGGTTGGCCAAATTCAGCAGTGTCGGACAGCCAAGAACCGAGCATCTCTGAGGGAATACTCTCGACCGACACCGGTCTTCCTGCTGCAGGCGCCGGAAATGTAGTAGAATTGGCCGCCGTGCGATCATTGTCAGTGTCGACGACCATGGCGTCCTCATTGTCATCCTCGTCATCGGAGTCCTCGAATTGTCTCATCGCGAAGCCCGCGCCGTGTGACTCCTCCCCGGAGTCAACAGCATCATCAGACCCACCGTGTCTAGTATTCTCAGACAGAGAGCTGAATGAAGCTTCGGCAAAGCCAGAGTTGAACACTACGGAAATCGTCACCAGATGTCAGAGAGAGGGGATGTTTCTTACTGGTGTCGAAATACTCCACACGTCTAAGTAGTTGTCGAGCCGCATATATCCGTCTTGGAGGGGCCATTGATCTGCCTTGACGAGGCAGTATGAACTCCACATCAGAGTACACAGGACTAGAGCTGTTGCGTGAGAGCCTGCTGCATAAGTAATATAGCCACATACTCATCGAGGAGACCACCCATTGCATCCAGAAGGGCCTTTGGCACTACATGACGAGAAACGGTCGGCGCAGGTTCGGGGGCCGACGGGGATGTGGTGATCGTGCAGATCACCAGGAAGGCGTTCGCCTGCTTTACGCTGTTGGACAGATAGTACACCATATCTCTACGAGCAAATTGGGCCCATCCCCAATTTTGCGTCTAGCAATAAATGAGGTACAAGTTGTCTTCGATGGCGTCTGGAGCTACCTGATGTGAGAACGAATGGTCATGGGCTTCTTTACTATTGAACAAGATGTTTTTCTGCAGGCTGTGGCGTCCTTCAGTGACTATATCAGAAGTACGCACTATGAAACAACTAACTTCCGAAGCTCAAAGCCAAATTTGAAGACTCCTTCTCGGACCCATCTGGTAGCGGGTTTGTCATAACCCCTGGGGCTAATATGGCTAGGCTCACTTTCCATCTATGGCGTTATCTTTCTCTTCAGCAGTAGGCTACCGCGGGTTAATTGCAAGCGAGACCAGCACGTCCAGGAGCTGCGTACCTCGCAAGATAGGTATAAGCTGATGAAGGAGGCTCCTTCGGCGCTGACGCCACCCGAATTGGGGTAGAACAAAATCTACAGTCTCTTCAGAAGCAGCGGTTTTCTGGGTCGTCCTACCATACCTGCCACCGTCCGTCACCAAACTTAATGGACTTTGTGACTTTCGACTTCGCTTCCCCCTTGCTGCAGCGGTCTCGGTGATCGGGGATCTCGATGATCTTGAATTAAACCGAACGCACCTTCCGTCAAACAGATTCTTGAGATTGCCGACAGTCCACTCCAGACGAATTGTAGTGCTCTCTTGGTATTCCGTAGCTGCTTCCATCGCGAGGAAGCAGCGATGGGTCGCAGTCGAAGTTAGGAAGGAGTGCCACCACCGGCGACTTGGTGGCCAGATGTTGGACAATGTGGGGACACCTATAGGCGCTCATGGTGGCCAATTGGCGCTTGTTGAATGACGTCCAGTTCCAACTCTGACATTGGCTGAGTATGTACGCGGTTCTGTCGTCTGTCTGTTATCGATAGTTGTGGTCACTCCTGAAGGCCTCACAGTGTTGTGGTCGTCAACAACATGGGAATATATCGTAAATATTCAACAAGACATATCAGCAACAGACTACTACGGTTTAGCGGTTCAACATCTCATCCCAGCATCTTCCGGAAGTCGTCCTGTCCCTTTCCCTGCGCTGATGCTGAACCCTTCGGGTTCGCGCCAGCCGTAGTATCAGATGTTCTCGCGGCAGCAGATATAGCAGTAGCACGCTTCTTGTTGCCCAAACCGGCCCTGGGTCTGGACGCCGCTGTGCGAGGAATGAACATGCTCGGTCCTGCAGTGGGTGGCGGGGCAGTAGAAGCTGGATGGCGAGCCGCACGGGTTCCTCCTGGGGTGTCGTCGACTAACTCCAGAGTATTCCCGTTGAATACCACGGGTTCTGTGCGGAGGAACAGCTTCCCGACATCCTGCCATGGATCGCATCAGTGGGATCTAGACCGAAAACGAGATCAAACATGGACTCACTGCTGCGCTCTCGAATTGAACCTCCGCTTCTGCCTTGTCGGCGAAAACTTCGACCCGTTTGACAGGCGCGAGCTTTTCAAGTGCTTGCTGCAATAGCCCTTCCTGCGTGTTGGCAGGCAAATTGCGGACGCGAACAGTGCGATTGCGAATCTCTGCACGGACATTGGGATCCCTGGAGGCAATAAGTTTCTGCTGCGTCATCGGGACATGAGTTCACTTACTTGGCCCGTGCACGGACACGCGTATCTGCAAGCGTCACTGCCATACGTCGATTCTTTAGCTCATGGTTGTTGGCACTTAGTGCAGCCATCGCATCTTGCTTTATACGTCTCGAGTCAGGATATTTTCCGTGCGACCAACGATGCTTACCTCATTCTCGAACTCAACAAAAGCGAAGCCTTTCGGGCGGCCTGTATTGTCGAGAGCCATCCTGACCTCTTTCACAGCACCATACTGTCGTAGAGGTCAGTTACGTGGATTTCCATTGAGTTGTCAGTACCTACCGTCTTGAATACATTCTCCAGATCCTCCTTGTTGGCGAACTTACTCAAGCCAGCAACGTATATCTCCCGATCATTGGCATCGGCGTCCGACCGGTCCTTCCTGCGTTCAGGATTCGAGATGTAGACATTCAAGGTCAGGCCATTTTCAAGCTCCTGGTTGTGAAGCTCCAGAGCTGTCTGCGCAGATAGCTGCCGAAAACCTGATGAGATGCAGCGCGATGGCGAGAGTGGTTTACTGACCGGAGACGTGAATTGCACGTAGCAGAAACGTCGAGTGCTCTTGAACTTCTTGCTGGGCCATCGTACGTCGAAAATTGTTCCGTACTACCAACACTACTCAGTCTGACTGCCTCCATTCAAGCACAAAGCCATACCTTCGCGAACAGATTGCGAATGAACTTGTCGTCGGCCTTCTCGGGGAAATTCGTGACGTATAACGTAGACTGCCATGCAAGGTGCACCGCAACTTCCTGACCGTCTATGCGCTTTTTGTCTTTTGTCAGTGCAGCAGGAACACTATCCTATATGGCCCGTGAGTCGAGCAAAGAAGCTTGTGGCTTGATGTGCACGTACCCGCTCCATGAACTCGACAGTTGCCACCAAGGAATTTGGAAGTTGAGTCATTTTGATCTCCCGCATGGGCCCGCACTATTTCTCGTTAGCCAAGCTATTACATCTCACATCACGTCGGCACGCACGTCCTTAAATAGTGCTCGGAGATCGTCTTCTTTTGCACCTGCAGGCAAATCTGCGACGAAGACCGTACAGTTTTCGCGATCGCTGAGACAACAGTGAGTGGTCACTACTAGAGCCATTAAAGAAGTACGGGATACCGTTTGAGCTGGAGAGGCTTTTGATCTGGAGCCCAAGTGAGCGAGTGCGGCACATGATCGACGGCAACGCACCTGTCTTCGCCTTCTTGTTGGCATCCTCCGAAGTAACTTCTTCCTCTGCTTTTCTCTTCGTGCCAGCAGACGCACTTGGACCTGGATCAACGTCCATAGGTGCCGCTCCAGACTCTCCGCCCGTTACGGGTGGTACGGGCGCATCAGCAACCGATACCATGTTCGCTTGTTGCTCTGCGATGAGCTGCATCGCAGCGTACTCCGCTTTCTCCGCTTCCTTGGAATAGTAAGTATCAGCCGGGCAGACTGGGCAGAGTGGGCGTTCACCTTCTGGCGCCGTAGGTTCGTCTGTGCTCGAGCGAACTCAACTTGTCCATGGCCTCCTCAAGCGACTTGACACTGCCGTGTACTTGCTCGAACGCGATCCATGCGTCCCAAATGGCCTCGGGCCAGTCCAAATTCTTCATACATATGTCCTTGAAGACATGTCGTGCGGCGAAATCCTCTTTTGCCTGGCTGGAGACGACCGAAAGTGAGCGAACGCCAATCGAACACGAGGCTATGACGGCCTCACATCAGCGCCTCAGTGTAGTGAGTCCAGGCGATATAGCTCGTCTTGTAGTGCTTGGTAGCATCGTCCCACAGTTCGTCAATGCGCTCAGACTTGTCTTCTAGCCGGGACAGCTGCACCAGGCTTTGAGACATGGGAATACGAAGTACATTGATCACAACTCACGACGCCAGCGAAGAACTTCTCGACTCGGACCCTAGGATCACCTGCTGGCGACGCTGTGGGATTCATCTCAGGTCATCGTTGTTTATGCAGGCACGCAAAGTCAACTATTTACCTTGCCTGATCCTTTTAATACCGTCCAAAATGACCTCCTCGAGTGTTCCGAAGTTGTCTTTACCTGTGCCATCGTCTCACGTGAGTCATCAGAGAGTTGAGAGAAAGACGTTCAACCGACCAGTGGTCCACCAGTCTCCCATCAGCTCGTTCTCGTAACTAGCACGAGCAAGGACGACCGGCACTAGTTGTTCAGCATCCGCCTGAAGAGGTCGTATTGCCTTGGTTTTCTCATACGTAGCTGTGGTATGCTTGAGTCGTGCGACGCTTGGTCAAGCGGCTGTGCTTACCTGCAACTCCGGTCTCTTCATTATCAGCAAGCATGAAACGTTGCTAAAGACGGCATGAAGATAAACAGGTCAATACCCCAGGAAACCATTGGCTGTACACACCAGGAAACGTATGTACCGCGCCCATACCTCCCCAGACGCCGGCACGCTCTTGAGCGCCCTCTGGAAGGTGGCAGCTTGGACATCCTTCTCTGCTTCTTGTATCCTCTGTATTGGAATCATCAGCTCCTACTAACACATCAACTTGCTCGGCCTACCAAAGAGTCGAGATAACCAATCCAGAAAGAACGCAAGACAGTCTCGGCGTTGGCCTCTCCATTCCAGCGGCGCTTGTCGGCTTCCGCAATGGCCCGCTCATACAATGTCTGCAAGACGAAGGGTCTGGCTTCTTACGCCGCTCAGATGCGATGTAGTACGCATAACCTTCCATAGAGAATCCAGATTGGGCCTTCCGTGACACGATATCAATCAGGCGATATCTGAGCTTCAGCGACTGTCATACGCACAAGGGAGGCCTCGAAACTCTCACGTTTCTCGTACGCCTTGACGGCCTGCGAACGCATCTTGAAGCCTCTACCATAAGTAATTCATATTCATCTGGGGGCTTGAAGTTTGTCGTAAAGCTGGAATAGCTTTGGAACGTCTCGTCGTGGTCTAAGCATCGTCAGCAAAGGCACAGGCAAACCCACACTCAGGACTCACTGGAGTGAGGTTGCTGGAGGCGCTCCAGAAGCATCGAATCCACTTGGTGTATTGATGCTGCTCTGCGCGTGCCATTAGCCTGTGTTGAATCAGGGCAATGGACAACGGACCTCTCATCCGGGGATGCATTCTGTAATTGCTCAAGTTCCCAATCCCTATACGCATCCCACAACGTGTGGCTCTGGATATGACTTTGCGTTAGAAATCATACGTTGCAGCGAAACCGTGCTTACCTCCGTCAAATGGCCTATACCCTTGGATGCGACTTCCGACATCGCTGCGTGCATCCAAGACACCGAGAACAAGACTCCCAGATCATCTGGCTTCATCTCTGAAGAAGTAAAATGCTCATATCGTTCGACGAGAAAATCAAAATGTTTCCGCAGCGAGGGCATAGCTGGCTTGAGCTCAGTGTCATAATATATACGGAGCAACACATTACGTACATAAGTAATCCTGCTCTGCCCGACCGAACAAGTCCAGGATCCCCTGCAGGTCCTCTGGAGACTCCAAGTTACTCGCTTGGATCTTGCGCTCAATGAGCGGTAACCAGACGTAATCTCCTGCGGCCCAGAAGGCAGTCACCATTTCCAGAGCAGAGTCCAGCTGGTCCTCCATCCCGGTCTGCTGAGCAATGCGTACATGCTCAACGTGGAGAGAGATGTCGTACGGATCTTCCGTCAGACGGTTTAGGATATTAGACAAGGCCTCCAGAGCGTCAGTTTCGTCCATTTTTGAGTGACAATGAGAGTGATAGTGTCTGGAACGATGAAGTCGGCAGGGTGTGGTGCAACAGTTCGCGCCTTTGGCGACCCGGCCAGGCTGGTACCTCAGAGAACAATCCACTAGCAAAGAGGGATTCTCGGCAGTTCAGCAACCTAGACAATCGCCGCGAGAGGTGCAGTTGTAACTGGCAATAGGTTGCGTTGCTCGTCACCGGAAGAGAGTCGACGACGGCATTCACGCGACCGCCAAACGCTGGAGCGCGTCGCACACGTGATTCAGATGTGGTTTCAGCGACTCAGAGTCAGACGGGCTCAAATTCAAACCTCATGTCTATTGCCAACTTTGTCGAGTAACTTGCTGGCGGTATGCGTCGGCCTTGAACACATATTTTCTTGTCAGCCATTGCTTCTGACGGTGAGTCCTGCGTAGCACGCTGAATGCCATAGGCACTGATCGATGATCAGGACAGAAGGCCGCGCAAGGTGCCCACTGGCCAGTGGCTCGAGAACGCCGACAGACTTGAGTACAAGAGCATTACACCTTCCTGTCGTCGTGCGTATGTCTTCCCATTGTACGAGGAAGCTCATTTCGCGTTCTGAAAACTTCTCAGATTCATTGGCCTTAGTGCCAGTTGACATCCGATACGCGAGCCACCTGTGGGATTGTCGAGCACTGTATATGGCGGAGCACCTCTCCCCGGTCTTTTCGCTCCCTCCGGAACTCCTCTCGGAATGTTTCCATTTTTGCGCACTGGCCGGGACGTCAAATCCAGAATCAAGCTCATCCAACTACGCATGGATAGCGATATCGCATGTTTGTCACCACTGGCGCACTGTCGCGTTGAGCACTGTCAGGCTATGGAGCAGAGTAATCCTGAGCTCACAGCGAGAGTGGATGTCTGAGCTCCTGCGACGGTCAGGGCAAACTCCCCTGGACATATTTGCGGCGTTTCCGTCAACATATGCATCCGCTCAACACCGCGCCGACTGGATGGCGTCTTTTCAAGTCGTGCTCGGGGAGATCGCTCGTATTCATGCCTTGGTCTTCAAAAGCTTGCTTAGGCTCGATTACCAAGTACTCGAGATGCTGAACAGTCCTGCGCCTCTTCTCCAGGACTTGAGCCTATATCAGGTGGATTTTGGTGCACTGGACGCTCCAGAAGATGGGCCACTGCATACGGATCTTGTATCCCCATTTCGAGATACTCCGCGTCTACAGTCATTAACCCTTGTTCAATGTCATATCCCTTCGTTCGGTCTTGACGTCAATTCGCTGAAGAGCCTCACAATCATCGGTTTTCCCTGGGGCGGAGTTTCAAGGGCACTCAGCATGCAAGCACTCATCACGACCTTGCGGTCGACTCCATTGCTAGGATCCCTCGTCATGAAGAATGCTACGCTTCCTACGTCGAGCACCTCAATTGTTCCATTGCCTAGTCCCGCAGTCACACTTCCTCAGTTGACCACCGCCTTGCTATACGGTTGCAGCACGGATATCGTACGACTCCTCGACCACTTGCGGCTCCCTGCATTGAAAACTCTCTACCTCGCCCTCGAAGCACCCTTGGTAGAGCCGCCGGAAAGGCTTGCCTCATCTATCGCGAGGACGATACAGTCCTTCGGTCAGCTGTCCAGTCTTTGTATCGACGGCGAGGTATATGAAGAATTCTCGCTCAGGGGATCCGTTAAGCCGCTCACAGGAGCCCGCCAGTCTTCTGTTGCGACACACTTCTTCAAACTCAGGGTTTCGAGTAACCGGTGCCGCCGAGTCCTCACTGCTTTCATCGAACATATGGTCTTCAATAGCGTGCGCAATCTGGCGATCACATCCGTCTGCCGCAAAAGAGTCTGGATGACGATTCTCCGACAATGCCGGAATGTCTTTGAGCTCTCCGTGCGGGGAAAGAGAGCAACCCACATCCTCCAACAGATGCTTCAGGACCCCACTATGGACGCAGATGGGGAATCGAGTGAACAGTCGGCTTCCCTTCCCTTCCCACGTTTACGATCACTCTCGTTGGACGGCTTGCGCGAGCGAGACTTCTCGACCGATGTGCCGATCGCGAATCCCTTCGTGCAGTTCTGGATGGAGAGGCTCAATGAGCGCCGCGGACGCGACGACGACAGCCTGGTCGTCGTTCAGCAGATAGCCACCCACGCGACCATACCCAACGCCTTGCGAAGTCTCCACATTGCATTGGTACCGAAGGATGCGTGCGAGAGTGCCTGACCACACCGTCACGTTTCACCAAGGCCCTCTCCCTTTGACTGAGGGACGCCTACGACATCCGTGCATTTCTACGGACTACACATACACCCACGCCTACGTGATCGCTCGATATCGCGCCCTGGACGGCTACTCTCAATCCTGGCTGATATCACTCTTCCCTGAACCCCTGCGTGTCATGGGATGCTCAGTGTCGTCGCTGCTTCCCGGTGTCGTGGACATATGGTCACCCTATGTCCCGCGTGCACCCATCCCAACCGACCTGCCCAAAATATCCGCCCTCACGCATCGGGGTCTGCAGGAGTCGCCCATCGTCCTGCGGCCTCTAAGTATCTGATGTCTGACCCCGACCATTAGTTGCAAAGCTCTCGCGAACCAGGTTGCACGTCATCCCACCCCCTTCACTGGGCTCTTTTGCCACCCCGTAGCATTGGGCTTCCGACATCATCTACCCGCCCTCTGGATCGAGTCGCACACTCGCCTTGGAACCGACTATTCCCCACTCAAAGCCGCTCCCTCACATCCGACATTTTCCCGTTCCACGCGTTCGAGGACGGTTGTGCTTCAGGCGGCGATCCTTGTTATGGATTATGAACTCCGAGTCGCGAGCCAATCTCAGAGACTAGAGACGTCTCCCCGTTGCAGAACGACCCACGTCTCCGATGTGTTCTACACCTCTACTTGCATCCCTTCTCAGCCTGGCAGGGCTAGCCACGGCAGCTCCGGCTCTCGGGACTGGAAGCGCCGCTTGCCCTATACTGTTCGATGGACGCGTCGCGCTAACAACTACTGCGGTCGACTTTGACAAGAACACGAGTGTCTATAGCAACGTTTATGACCTCGGTCAGAGTACGCAGCTTAGCACGGATGTATACGTACACGCGTCTGATTCGTCCACTAGACCAGACATGGGCCGAAGTGCTCGATTTGCCAAGTGTTGCGCCCTCGCTGGTGAGCCAAATGCTCCGCGATCAAGTAGCGTCACAGCGTTGTCTCACTTCGCCGTAGTTCGATCTGCCGACAACATCGAAGTCCTTTGAGGTTACCATCGAGTACGCAGTTTCTCGTTGAATCGCGTCTTCATTGGCGACCTCATACGTCTACGCAGCGATGAGTCTATCTTTGTCCCTGGTGGCGGTGCACCACAGGTTGGCTTCCGTCGCTCAGAACTTCTTCCTGCCATCGATCTATCAACAGGCGGAAACGCGAGCACCGTACAAGAAACAACGACCTTCCATTGGTCGATACGCACTGATCTAAGCCGCCCGCTCAATTATTCGCATGAGTACCATGTACGTTTTTATTGCTCTAGGAGTGGCATCTGTTGAGACGTTTCCGCTATTGCAGCCCGTTTGGCATGAATATGCGGACTACTCGTCCTCGCAGTTCACTATTACTGCCGGGGTGCCCTTCGACATGGCTAAGGACCCCAACATCACGTCGGCGAAGTCGCTTCGCGTTGCTGGCCTTCAATCAAACACCCCTGAGACGACGTTCTTCCAGACGCCATTCACCGATGGCGTGTGGCACAATTTCGCATTGACGATGGGTTGGGTGGACAAGTAAGCTTCCAGCCCTTCTATGAGTATTTGGATATGGCTGATGAGTTGTTGCGATGCGTACCAGTACGATCACGGTGTATTACTCAGAGGACTACGCTCCACTGGAGCGAGTCGCCGGACCCGCTTTCAATAACAACACCGGCGGCGGGGCGTTTCACATTGGCCTACTGAAGGAGCCGACTGGTCCCGTTGGCATTGATGTCCTTCATCAAGGATATCAGGAGAGCGGCATCAACGAGGGTCTGATTTTCGGTGGTGTCTTCATCGAAAACAGCGACGACGGCTGTGTTACACTTGGTCTGTGAGCTGAGTTCCGGGAAGTCTCCTGCAGATTGTAGCATTTCAAAATCTGCGTGATTTGTTCGCGTCAGTGTGGCGAGTATCCACGAATGCAGAGTAAGTTAGGCTGGTGTGGAAACATCCTCCACACCCTAGGGCAAACGAACCTTGGACGGTTGCTCGGACGTGTCACGTCTCGTCAATTGCAACCGTACACGACAGGCGGCTCAAAGCGCGCGCGAGGGCAGGAGACGGCCGCTGAGTCACTGAGCGGTACCGTGAAGCCAGCGAGCGTCTTCTGTACCCCTACCATACATATTTGATGCCCATCTACGACGACGGACGTCGAGTACTTGCCTCCCTCGCTGCACCGCGCGCCAAATGAGTCTGGTTAGCAGTGCCATGGGCTTCGACAAGGTGAAAATGGGTGTATATTTACCGGTCGCCACTGTCCACGGTCATAACCATAGACATGGACATAGCCAACAACGGAGACTCGGACCTTGGCGGCGGGCGACTGTCCTTCCATCCATTATTGTCCTATTCGCGGTCGTGTATGGCATTCATATCGCCTGCTCGAAAAGATCACCTGCCTCTGTTCAGCACTCCGACCTGAAGCTGGTCACCGCGCCGGGAACAATTGCCCCAGTCTTCGACTGGTTAACAGTACGTGCTCTTCGTGCCTATAAGTACACCAAGTCAGCCTGCTCATTGTACTCGCAAGCTCACGCCGTCTGACGACATCAACTGGACGCCTTGCTTCGACGAGTATCAATGCGCTCGTCTTACCTTGCCGCTCGACTACCTCTCCCCTGCTGGATATGGTCCCAATGTGACCATCGCATTGCAAATGTTGCCTGCGACGGACCCCGCCAACTTCAGAGGCACGATCCTCATCAACCCGGGTGGACCAGGCGGAGCCGGAACCGAATTGGTCAAGCGCAAGGGCAAGGACATCATGCGTATCTCAGGCGGGTCGTATAACGTACTAGGCTTCGACCCGCGCGGCACTGGGGCCAGTACACCCTCTGCGCAGTGTTTCGACTCAGAGTCACAGTTCAAGATATGGGGGCTTCAGGCTGGACATCGCACCCTGAATCTGAGCGACGGGTCTGTCCCAATTGCTCATGCGCGCGAGACAGCCATTGGCCAGAAATGTGAGGAGACACTCGGTGGAAATGGCAAGGAGGACGCGAATGGGACTGCATTGGAATGGGGTCCGGCGAGGTTCATGAGCACTCCGAGCGTTGCCACGGACATGCTTGAGATCACCGAGAGGCTCGGAGAGGAAAGGCTGAAGTACTGGGGCTTTGTGGGTTCTCCAAAGTGCACCAGTGATGCTTGCCGCTGACGAAAAGACTTGGCAGAGCTATGGGTCCGTCCTTGGCCAGTACTACACGGCCATGTATCCAGACAAGGTCGAGCGCGTCGTAATCGACGGCATCTTGGACGCCTACAACTATCGTACCGCGTCTTGGAACTCCAATGTGGTCGACGCGGATGCAGTCTGGGCCTCTTTACATACCTTCTGCCACAAAGCCGGTTCCTCGAAGTGCCCCTTGTACGAGGACACCGTCGAGGCAATTCAAGCCCGCGTAGAGGCCATCCTTGAAGATCTCAAGAATCGGCCACTCGCGGTTCCCTTCGCGTCTGCTGGACCTTACGTCCTCACGTTCAAGGCTGTTCATTACAACGCGTTCCGTTCGGCCTTAAATCCGACCACCCAGTACGCTCCCCTCGCACACGCGCTGGTGGCCGTGAAACAAAACAACCAGACCGCCCTGGAGGGTATGGAGGAGACGTTCGGCGCAGGCGTGAAGTGCCAATGCGAGAATTCTCCGCCATGGCTGCAGGATACCGAGGCCTTCTACGCGGTTGCGTGCGGCGACGGCGAGCCCATCACCTACACAGACGAAGCATACCGCTCCTACTTCGAGGAGCTCGTAGCCACGTCCAGTTTCGCAGCGCCTTACTGGGGCGAGATGTATCTGCGTTGCTCAGAATGGCGCGTCCGACCAAAGTGGCGATACACCGGGCCACTTGCGGCTGAGAACACATCTCACCCTTTGCTCATTGTCTCGCCGAGATACGACCCGGTCTGCCCGCTGAGCCATGCGAACCGCGTGCACTCGCGCTACTCTTCTGGGCTGCTGATTCAGAATTCCTATGGCCATTGTTCAGTAGCCGCCCCGTCACTTTGCACCGCGAAGCATGTGCGTGCATACTTCGAGAATGGGACGTTGCCGGTGGAGGAGGCTGTATGTGAAGTGGATGAACTACCCTTCATTGGTTCGGTTCATGGGGGCGTGGATGCGATGTCGGTGGAGGATCGGGAGGTTTTGGATGCGCTCAGGAGTCTAGGCGAAGCTATCTCGATGATGTCGGCGTTCTGATCGCATAGGACGGTCTGTAAGAACGATGTGATTGAGTATTTCATTGTGAGATCTACTGTCACTACATCTCAGAGCTCGAGATGAACGGGAAACATACGTTGCTCGGCTTGTATGCCCAGACCGGCGGCAGCGCAGGTTAACACTATCAACCCTGTCGAGAAAGGCACAACACTGAGGGCGGGGTTGTCATTACGCTACCGAGTACGCCGACGGTTCTCGACGAGACAAATAGTAGGACATTACGGCCGTGATACATGTTCCGAACAGACGATTTCTGCGAAGACTGGCTATTACAGATGCGAGACGCACTAGTACGTGCAGGTTAGGCCTCGGCAACGTCGTGTCTGCTTCATCACAGTTAGAGGACGTTATAGTTGGAATGATCATGCTGGCAGAACATGCCTTTTGACGTGGCGAAGGAGGCAACAGTATTCAGCTGAACAAGTGCACCAGTCGGTTACAGCAAACGAGTCTGATTTCCTCGGAAGGTTCAAGGCCCTGAGGCTGCCGGCATGACTGGAGCCCGGCGGAGAGGTGAAACCATGGACCATGGCTGCATGTGTCAAGGTTTACAAGGCTGCTCCGAACAGCATTGCATTCTCTTCCGCTGAGTCTCCTCTAGGCTCAAGCGCGCGGACAATGGTATGTAAGTGCGTTCCCAAATAACGACCGCCGACGCACAGAGGGCGCTGACCAGAGTTATCTTGGCTACGCGCGACACTGTCCGCACACAGCACAGAGGCTCCGCGACAACCTTGGCCTGGCACTGTAGGGCACAGGCAGCGGCAGGTGTTGACGAGCGTTACGGATACGTACAGGAAGACCCCGTGCCGCCGATGTGGGGTAACATCCTCCCGCCACTGGTCGCTGTCGACCAGTGAGAGTCCTGGACTGGTGTGCAGTGCATCAATTCCACGGGCTCAGGCCGCAGTGCTGCGACGCAATCGGCGGAAGAAGGAGTTGTCGAACATAAACCTCACCAAGACGCAGGTACGCGCCGTCACGGTGTGCGCCGTCGTATCACGATAAGAACAATGAAAGAGGTGAGATTATGATTAGGATATCGTCGAGTCCGTCGTCAAGCATAGGCGATAAGTTAGAGGAAGTCATACTTACAGCGGCTCGACGAACGGCTATATTTGGTTAGACAGCGCAAACAGCAGACTTCGTGCGCGTATGTCCTGGATAACGGCGTCAGTATGGTTTCGTAGCGATCGCAGCACGGCCGAACTTCCACAGATCCAGGTCGAGCGTCCAGTAGGAAAGCCGACGCCTCTTGGTCCTGGAGCACAAGCTCAAGAGTCGCGACGCTCTCTCTCGTTCCTCCGACGACAAAGTAAGGCCCGAGGGCTCGGGAACGTGGTCGGAAGCCTGAGGCCAGTCAAGTCCAGCTCCATGTCGGCTGAGTAGACCTGGGACCTCTTGTGCATCTAACCTATAATGCCCGAACATCCGAGTCGGTGCGGAGCAAATTTACTGTGAAAGCTGCCTCGTACTGCTCCTATGCCAATGGACAGAATAGTATGAGGAGCAGCATGCTTATAGCGCGTAAGGCGACAGTCGAGGCATGCTTCAACTTGGTTTGTCGACGCGCAAGACATAATCCACTCACCTATTGACCGTCGACCGTGGGTGGCGAAGACAACAATATTAATAGCTGCGGCTGAAAAAGAACCCCGGTAACCAGATGCTTTTCGGACTTTGAACGTTGGCGTACAAGCATACGGCATCTTGGTCACGTGGGCGGCGGAGTGAAGTGCTGACACCAAACTCGGCGAAATGAGAGTGGCGGGCACGGCGTACCGCGCAGCATTCAGCCGCCCAGCGTTGCGCTTTCTCCACACCCACCATGGCCGCTCCTCAACGCAGGCAGCCTCAGCAGTACTATGCCGTCCCACAAAGCCCGCAGAACAACAGTCGATACCAACCTCAGCCCCAGCCTCACACTCAGTCGTACTCCATACCGCAACCCTCGACGAGTGGGAAGAACGACACTGCGCACGGTGTCGCGACAGGTGCGATAGGCGGAGGATATGGCCCCTACTCGGTGCGTATCACTTTTATCTTATGCATGATCATTGTGTTGATGAAGCCCCAGTACAACCCGAACGTCACGAACGGCCAGTATAACTCCTCCCGCTTCAGTGCTGCACCATCCGAAGTGTCGATCGGCACGACGGGGGAGAAGACAAGCAGTGCCACGCCTATGGTTGGAAGCGCGACCGTGCAACAATATCCGTACCTTTGGGATACCAAAGATCCAGAGCTGGACGATGCTCTTCACAACCCTGACCCCGTCCGGGATGCAGCAATGGAACGAACATGCAATCCGTTCTCCTCGAGAGGATGGCTCAACGTCTCCGCACTAATCATCCTCGTAGCGGGCATCCTTACGCTCTTTGCTGGGTATCCCATCATCCATTATTTCACGGAGGAGAAACCATCGAAGATAGGCTTCAACCTGGGGGGCATCAACGGCTCTGGACAGGTGCCAAATCTCGCCATTCCAAAGCTAATCGATTCGGACACGCCGGATTCGGCAAAGTCGTTTACGTCGAAGGACGGCACGTCGTACGACCTTGTCTTCAGTGACGAGTTCGAGACTCCCGGGCGGACGTTCTGGCCGGGGGACGACGCGTTCTGGGAGGCTGTGGACATGAACTATTGGCCGACAGGTGATGTGGAGTGGTACACGCCGACTGTGAGTAATAGGCGGGTTTCTATTTTTATGTGTGACTGACGTTGATACAGCAAGCCACGACGGAGGATGGCAAGCTGGTTCTCACCTTGGAGGAGGTCGAGAACCACGACTTGAACTTCCGGAGCGCTATGCTTCAGTCGTGGAACAAGTTTTGCTTCACGACAGGTTACATCGAGGTGAAGGTCAGTTTGCCAGGCACACCGAAGGCTCCGGGCTTCTGGCCTGCGGTATGGACGATGGGCAACCTGGTGCGTGCGACTCCGTCCGTCGCCTGTGTGATTGCTCACGGTTGCGTAGGGCCATGCTGGATACGGAGCAACGACCCAGGGAACGTGGCCTTACACGTACGACAGTTGCGACGTCGGAACATTCCCGAACCAAACGTACTCAAATGGAACACCGAGTGCGGCGGAAGGACTGAGTTTTCAGCCAGGTCAGAGGGTCTCCGCCTGCACGTGCCCTGGCGAAGACCACCCGGGCCCGTCCACCTCCGTTGGTCGCGGCGTTCCTGAGATCGATATCTTCGAGGCTCAAGTGGCGGAGGGGTGGCGAGGCCAGGTCTCGCAGAGCATGCAGATCGCGCCGTATGACGCCAAGTATCAGTTCAACACCGACACCGGCGCGACGACCATCTTCGACAGTGACATCACGTCGTTCAACACGTACCTGGGAGCGCAGTACCAACAGGCCGTCTCGGGCCTGACGTTCATCAACAGTTCCGTGTACAACAATTCGGAGTACGGAATTTACGGCTATGAGTGGTACTCGAACCCGGACAACCGCGACGACGGCTTTATTACCTGGTACAGCAGCGGCGAGGAATCGTGGAAGATCACAGCAGCCTCGCTTGGTCCCGACAGTCAGACACAAGTCGGTCAGCGCCTGATCCCGGAGGAGCCCATGGTGTGTCCGCATCTCCCAGTCTGAAATTGCCCTTGCTGATGCCAGTGCAGTATATCATCATGAATTTTGGAATGTCGCGTAAGTTAACTATCCTGACCAGCCCGTTCGAGAGAAATTGATAAATGTGCTGCAGCGTCATTCCAAGAACAAGATTGGATGCACCTGGAGTTCCCTGCGAAGATGTATATTGACTATGTACGCGTCTATCAGCGTTCGGATGTCTCGGATGGTACGACATGCGACCCTCCGAAATACCCTACGGCAGATTACATCAACAAGTATGCGCATTCCGTACCATTACAGAGCAATACTAACCGTTCCTCTCCAGGCACGCGACTGCTTACTCGAACCCCAACCTCACGACTTGGACAGGAGCTGGCTACGGCTGGCCCAAGAACTCGTTGTACGACGGCTGCTAATGAGTCAGACGGCGAGCCTCGTCTACGTCCTCTTTCACGGCTCCTAGTGTTGTTTGCATAGTACTGGCATTGGTGGTTCCTTCGTCGCACGCTTCATTTGTCACGAATACTTGCATCTATTTCGGTGGACTCGTTTACTTTATTATTGCGTACTGCTTAGCACCTCACGGCCTCACCCTCCCCTGGCCCTGTCGTACACGGACCCGCCACCATACTCCCACCCTGCTCCCTCCGTCGCGGCCAGTGACAATGACCTGCTACTCGCCGAATGTAAATAGTAGTACGTATACGTAGACACTCGTTTGCTCTGAGATTCTTCATGCTATGGGCCGTACCGCCCTGAATACAATGCTCTGCGCAGAGACGATATTCAGACTTGTAAGCCAGCCATGTGTGCATGAGGGCGGTGGCGTCGCGCCCGACGGCGGAGACCTTCCGTATATGGTGCAGAGCTAGGGTGATGGTCCGCAACGCTTTGCGAGGTGGCGTGCCGCACTCAAGTCGCCTTGCACCTTGTCCCCGAGGCCGACCTTCGGCTCTGCGTGTATCTCTGTCGACGCTCTCTTACTCAGGCTCTGCATATCCAGTGTCCGGGAAGCTCTGGCGCCCTAGTGTCTCTGTGGCCGCGCGATGAGTGGTATGAGCACGGCGGACCGCGATCTTTCGCGCAGGGCTCACGGGCTGAATGGGCTCACACCTGCATCTTCCAGCTCCTCGTCGCAGACTGGGTAAGCACACATGCATGTATTGCGGCTTGTCGACATAACGTTCAGCTAGGGGCCCGTGGAAATCAAACCCGACGCCCATCCCACTGCCCGGCAACCTTGGTCGAACTACTGGGCCCTCCTTCGTCACCAGTCCCTTCACTCCTGGGCGTATGGGCAATAACCTCCACACTTCTCGTCGAGCTGGCGCGTTTGGCAACCACACCGCGCGATCGACTGTGTTCCCCCCGGCGGTGCTCATCCGCACGCCCCTCCTGCCAACAAGCGACCGAAGACAAATGTCACTGGTTCTTTCGCTCATGCTCGAGCAGGAGACACGTTGGTTCAGTCAAAGCACTTCACAAAATCCTTTAAAGGTGAGTATATGCTGCGGCGCGGAATAATCTCGTGATTTGGCTCAGCGCATCTGTACTGATACTTCGTCCTCTATCAGGGAAGGAGGTCAACAAAGGGAGTTCGCAACGCAGCTTGAGTCAGTGGAATGACGACGAGGTCATCGATATCATCGGCGAGGACGATAGCTACAAGGCTCCGCACATAGAGCATTTGACATCCGAGACCCGTAGGGATGGCTCAGAAGAGAGCTCTGATCCTTTGGACTGTATCCCGAAACCACTCACGACTTCACATCATAACCACCGCAACGATCACAGCGAATCTCAACGGTCTGGGATTAGCAATCAGTCAGCACCACGTCTCCCCATGGATGGCGACGCGACCCTCCGTTTGAGAAAACGCTTGGAGGATTCTCGCCAGGACGAGAAAGCAGAAGATCCTGGTGGGGATCACGATGAGAATGGAGCTGACTCGATCGAGAGCTTTTCCGACGAGCCCCTTCGGTCGCTGTCCTCTGGACCAAAGCCTCGTCCAGGTTCCGTGCAAGACCTCATCTTGAAGTACCAACCAATACCAATGGACAAGCAACCGATACCGAACCGCGCACCCAATCGCCCACCGAAGAACAATCGCAACGCAGAAAGCATACGGACCGTGGACTTCTCCAATCAGCCGAAGGCAAGCAGAAAGGACGCGATGAAGCCCAAGCAAGGCGCGCCAAAGCAAGGTACACCACCGGTGAGTCCGCTGCCGTCAGCAATGTCCCTTGCAACCTCATGAACGATGGCCCGCACAGCGTGTCACGTTTGGTAGATCAGACGATCCTCTTGCAGCATCATCTGGTTTCGAGGCGGCGTCGTCCAGATGGTCCACACAGACAGCGAAAGCCGGAATGTCTACGAGAAGCCGTAAGAAGACTGCGGGCATCCCAACTAAATCTTTCTGCCTACCACTGGAGGGCTTCTCCTGGGGTTGTACTGTCTGCGAAGACGACGTCGACATCCTGCATCCACTATATTGGTTCACTTGGGAAACGAGCAGCGATCGCTTGTGCATCCGTAAGCGTTGCGGCAAAGAGTCCCCTTGGAATGCGGAAATGCAGCATGTGCTGCGAATAGATTTTAGTGCATGGACGGTGAGTTGACGAAACGCAAGGAGGTCGAGCATTCTGACACTGCAGGGCAGTACACGGATATACCGTTCAGAGACGACCTCCCATTGGTCGTCTCTTTCAAGGTTCCAGAGTCTCGAGTGAATAAAGCAGACGAGAGCCTCAAGTTCAGGCCTGGTATGTTCTTGATCGTTGCTAAGATCGCGGCATCGAGTCTAACGGTTGAGCAGGATCGAATGGCGGTGATGGGATGGTAACACTGAAATTTATGGCCGTCTATCCGGACACTCGAGAGAACTATTCTGTGCTCATTACATGCTTGAAGGCGGCGATCTCATATACAAATACAGATACAAATCACGTAGAGTATGCAATTCGTATTGCTTCATGTGACGAGAAGCTAACAGGCTGAACAGTGGGCACGGTGCTAGGGCGAAGTGGGCACAAGTACAGTCTACAGCTGAGATAGCGTGGAATGATTTGGAATCCTCATCTCGCGCATCTTCGTCTGGTCGGTTAGTCCGATCCAAACAGAATGGTTCTTCCAAACAGCAAGGGGACATATCGACCATGATATCGAACCAAGGCATGAAGACGAGATCTACGGCCAGACCTACTGCGTATGTGCTGCCGCCACTCCACTCCGCTCCACTCCCACTGAATCATGTTGCTTCCCAGCAAGGGAGCCACTTCGGAGTCAGACGTTGAAGCACGACGATCAGCGCGTCTCAACACTGATCCGAGTCCTTCGCCTGGTCCCGACGAGTTGTGAGTCTACCTTAACGGGCCGTGAAATGCGGTAACCCAATGGTTTCGGTCAGGATCTTGGTGTATCCGCCGGCGGGCGCTGGCGCGATCAACGTCAACAAGAGTGACCTAAAGCGACTGGACGACGGCTGCTACCTGAATGACACTCTCATAGAGTTTGGCTTGAAGTACGTGGGTTTCCTTGCGACCTCCGGCCCCCGCTTATCCCGTTCAGATTGTGGCTAGCTGATCTCAAAGACAAGAATCCCACCTTCGCGGAACAAGTCCACGTTTTCAGCTCCTTCTTCTATAAAAAACTAAACGTCAAGGGCAAGGGGTATGTCTCTTCCGATATCTGAGGCGCGGTGTCATGCTGACAATGTGGTAGCAAAGACGAAGGGTACCAGAGCGTGCGGAAGTGGACATCGAAGATAGATCTATTCCAGAAGAAATACATTGTCGTCCCAATCAATGAGCAGTGAGTGTCGTACTTCTGACCTCGACGTCGACCTCAACGCCATCGCGCAGTTTTCATTGGTATCTCGCTATCATATGCAACCCAGAACATGTCCTGTTGCCGCCGCTCCCATCTCCTCCAAAGCCAAAGCCAATGACTCGGAAACGCAAACGCGACTCAGATGTTACCGACGTACAGGCCACGACGGACTCAACAACCGCTGAGGCCGCCAATGCGCAGGATATGGAGATCGTACCAGATTCACATCCACCCTCCCCTGCCATCCCTGTTGTAGATAGTGGCGGCGAGGATGAGGTGGAGGACTTTTTGCTGGGGCCTCAGGAGTCTGTTGCAGATGCGGACGAGTCACGACCACCTTCGGCCATGGGAGATGATCCTCAGGTCGATCGCTTTGACCAGTTGAACAATATCGAACTGGAGTACCCTCGTTCGTCTAGCGCTCCCCCTATGGAGGTGGACGAGCCACCATCAGCTCAGCCCGTCGATATGGTCATCGCAGATGATGATATCTCGATGGATCCTTCAAGCTTTTATGACATTATCTGCGATGCCGTTGCAGAGACCACGGGAGTGCTCAGTATAGAGGAGGATGACCACAACAGGGTAAACTCTTTACAGTCTGGAGAGACGTGCGTACCCTGTATCATAATGCTTGTATCCATTTGCAACTGATGACAAACCTCGTAGCGCGCACATTTTGTTCTTTGACTCGCTCGGAAGCAAGCACCCGCAGGCAAGACAGGTGCTCGCCAACTACCTTCAACTCGAGGCGAAAGACAAGAAAGGCGTCGAGCAGTCTCGGCTAGCTCAGGGCAAGTTTGCATTCGTCAGTGTCTTCAGCTCTTCTCTTGAAGTCGGTGCTCACAGCGTGGCATACCAGGTTCCCAGTCAACCTAACTATTGCGACTGTGGTGTCTACGTTCTCCACTTCATGCGGGTCTTTATGGAGAACCCCGAGTTCTACACCAACCTCATTTTGGTAAGCCACTCGTGATTGCCACCGTTAGCACGCAGCGAACAAGACACTGACACTTTCTTAGTCACAGAAGAGTAGAGGTTATGGACCAGATCAGCGCAAAGCCGATTGGAAAGGGGACGAAGTCAAGACTCTTCGCAAAGAGTTACGCGAGCGTATTGTATCTATGAGCGATGTTTGGAAGGCCGACCGACAAGCCAGGGAGGAAGCCCGCAAGAAGGAAGCCTCCAGTGCCTCCGACACGGCGTCAGGCGGACCCGAGCCAGATGTGATCGATGAGTCGGATGTCGAGGTGGTCATCGAGGACACGGCCACATCGTCGAAACCTGGGCGGCGAGGATAACACCCACTCTAACCTACCCTCCTCATCTCGTGGATCCTTCATGACCCATGGTATCCGTAGGTCTCCTATTCTACGCATCTGTTATACTCTACTTAGTACAGTGCCAGTCATACTCCGTATGGTCACAGTATTCGGCTTACTGTATTAGTTCGTTCCTGCATGCTCTATCTTTATTACGTGCTGTGCAATGCTGCTGGTCCTGAATGCATCCGTGGTCCTTGCTTGATTGACCCCCGGGAGAGCTCGGATTCGCCACTCAAGCTCAAGCTCAAGCTCAAGACTCGGACCCGATGCCCACAGATCGTCCCTACTCTACGTATCGCGCGTCCCAGCATACTGATGTTTGAGGCGAAGCAAACTTCGTATGTATGGTACTGGTTCATAGACGAATCTCTTCAAGTGACAATCCGCAGCGTAAAAAAACCGACACATCAAAACGTACAGTACACACTCTCAATCCACGGACTCCCTAGCACCACGATTTGCAAGCAGGGAACATCTAGTCACCTATTCGGCGACGATCATCAGAAAGAACGGTCGACGACATGTAACCAGGTAACAATCACCAAGTACCCGTACCACTGCTCTGTGCCAATATCTCCCTTCATTCCAAAGTGACGTCGCTGGAGTAACCTGAGGCGTCACTGCTTTCATCGCTGCCGAGCTCTTCGTCGCAAATGTGTAGATCCTGCCAATGGTATTGTATTAAATGCCTTTGGGTCCCTTCGAGCGTGGTGTCCATCAGTCGTCTACCGCAGGGGCTTCCGAATCGGCACAACACGCCAGCATCGTTCTCGTCAGAGTCCTCCATTCCGGAGTCCTCCTCACAGTCATCCTGCTGCACGGCATCGCCGTGGGTGGATTCAGCAGGACGCCACACCGCCTCTGCTCTGGTGCATCCTTCGCAACGATGAGTAACCTCGGATGATCGAGTTGTCCTAGCTATATTGAGCCGATGCCACCGACTAATGAACAGGAGACTTACTGCGTGGATTCGTACGTTCGTGCCGCCGTTGAGGAGAGAAGTGATGCGGCGCCGGCACTGTCAGGTGCGCTGTCCACCGGCGTTTGAAGGGCCCTCGGCTGCGGCACAGACTCCAGCCCTCTGGAGAATTCGTGCGACGCATACGACGGTGGCGCAGGGTCTCGTATCTTGCACCGAGCCCACATGTCGTACCACGTGCCATCGCCGACGGGAATGCTGGAAGAGTGGTCAGCCACGAAGCGAGATGGGAGCGGCATACTCTACCTCTCTCTGAAGTTTCGTGCAGCTTGTACCCCGACGATGAGCATCGCAGAGTCTACCGAGGAGACCTCTAGGGCGCGCTGCATGGAACTTCACAACTCAGTGTCAGCCCGTGACTTAGGCGCAGCGTATACTTCACGTACCATGGTGGAGATGTGGACCAACGCATCCGTATGTGCAAATCGACATATGACATGATACAGCCTCGGCGAACTTGAAGTGGGTGGAATGAGAGACTGTAACCGTAGCTCTCAACTTGCTTTTATACCTGGTTGGTAGGCCGTCTGAGTTTAAGGTCCATGCTTGATGCCGCCAGCGAACATCAATCGGGGAGGAGAACGTGAGCATAGCCATTATTCTGGCCCGCATGTGGTCGCTCTCCACATGTGGGCATGTCAAACGGTTGGCTCCCACATGTGGGCAAGCCTCAGCGCTTCAACTCCCACATGTGGGATTCGAATTCAGGCGTTCGATGCTTCGCTGTCAGTCGTAACTCTGCGCAGAGGTTCGATGTCCACTATGTGGGCATGGCAGCAGCTGCCACTCAGATATTAGCCACAAATTTCGATATTTGGATTTCATACCGGACCCATGAAGTGGCTACAAATCTTGAGTTTCCGTCACGCATGTCTAACAACCGCAGCGACAGATTCTAGCTAGCTTTGGCGACGACCATACTCAACTGGTAGAACTTCAGCAGGACACGGACTTGGGACGGCAGAGTCGTTAGCCGATTAGGCAAGTGCTATTAATTGTTGTGGCGGCCGGCCGCTGCCGACGCCGTCCTCGTCCAGCCCTCGTCCTCGTCGCTGAGGCTTGCGGCCCATCACCACTTATCACTGAAAGGCAGGCCTCTTTGAAGTGGTGCACGTATTGTATTAGCCCAAGGGAGGGAAGGGCCGAGTTTTTGAGAAACCGAGTCTTAGGCAGTCACATTCAATCCTCGACGTTCCAGCTCATTCTCCATGGCAAGTCTTCACGTTTCCAAACCCACTGTTGCATGGCGGACCTGTTTTGATAACTCATGCTCTCTTCAATACAGTAAATACGGACCTGCTAAATAGACACGAGTCACACGAATTGAGACAGAAGGACTGCAATTGTCTTGTCCACAACGACGCCGCTTCGTTTGTTGTATCATTTGTCCCCTCGACCATCCGCTAATCGTTAGCCACGGACCAGGTTTGGTTGTCCCTCTCTGGTTGAACGTGTCGCATTTTTCTTCGCCAGCAAGATCTCGACTGTGAATAGAATTTGAAGACAAGATACAGATTTACCCAGTGGCTTCATGGGGCTCGGTGCACGTCATCTCAGCCCTGAATCGACACTCACGCTCGAGCGTGGTACAACGCCCGTACAGCACAATTGGAGGACATCTGGTGATCAGTTGAGTACAACCGATAGAAGACTTTGAGTTCCGATACAGGGGAACCAAACAGACAGTCGGTGGGCCGTTACGTAGATTGTGAGTCCATCTTCTCACTGTGTCTGTCTGCTATTCCCCACCAAGGTCTGTTTTAGAGAACTCCATTCGCTCTATCGAACTTCTTCCCTCAGTGGTATGACAGCCGGCGCTGGAGAACCACTTTCAGAGCAGGATTGATGGGCCGTTCCACACTGTGAGGCATCTCTAGCCCACCGCGTGGCAAAGAGACCGAATTGAACACTTTGTGGCCCATGACGGTAGATGATGGTACGAACATAAAACCAAGTCAGGCCACGCTTCATCTGTAGCTTATGCCATGTCCTTCCCTCCTCCGAATCACCCACGTTTCATTAGCGAGGAGAACACGTTGCTGAGTGGCCGGCAAGACTGGCAAGACGCCACGCCCCGGTAAGACATCACTCCACCTTCGTAGAACACTATGATGACGAGGATTATGATACAGGGCGATAGATGGCATGCGTGGTCCCACGTACACGCCCGATGCCAGCCTCGCCCGGGGACCGCCAAGCAACTCACATCAGTACTTCGACAATGCACAGAGAGAGGGGCCAACGCAAGGGTGTGTATGAAGAATTGAATTTTACTAGAATGCATGACTCATGTGGCTACGTTCACTGGCAGATGGTCATCGGAACGTGTCTCTGAGGATTCAACTACATACGGTACTCACAATGAAGTCCCGTTCCCAACAGGCCATCCCGGTCTGTTCTATGATAATCCCTCAAGCCAGTGAGTGCCTCGGATGATCGACTACTCAAGTACCGTACTGAATGCTGTTCGGAAGAATTGCAACGCAAGTCAGCCATGTTCAGTATGGCTCCCTCTTAGTGCCTGACATGGCTCAATCTATGCATGATTCGCTGTGAGCGCCACGATGCTATTGTCATATTCAACCAGACACAGTTGACACCCATCAGACTGGTTCTGCAACCGGCAGCAATCACGCATTCTCCATACGACACAGTAGATGTGCCCTGGCAAGGCAACGGCACCCTTCCCGGTCCGGCCAAGTGAGCGTATAATGCATCTCATTTCCTCTCAGGCTGACTCTGCACCGCCAGCGACACCTTGCAGCCTAGCAATGACCAGGGATTAGATTCTGAAATCGACGGTATACTGCAAAGTGTCTTGGCCGGCCTTCAGATCATCTTTTCTTTAGCAAGCCCGACGCGGTTAGACCAAGTGAAAGATACTGTCATGTCGAGCATGCGGTATGTGCAGTGTTCATCGTCCAGATAAATGCTTGACTGAAATCTTGTCTAGGAGAATGCGACGTCAAAGCCAGTCCACAGCCACGGTTCCGGAACTCCCAGGCGCATACGTGCATGGGGAGGCGCCGTCAATAGGACCCTCCGCTCTTACTCCGATGACTGCCATCCCTGGTGTGATACCAGGTATCATCGTGGCAGAAGGCCAGTCATGGACATGCCGATACGGCGGCGGTTGCAACATGACCTTCCACGACACCGTATCCGCGAAGGCCGTAAAGCTTCACCTGAAGAAGGATCACGGTGTCGAAAGGGGCTCGGTCCTCCCTCCCCGTAGTACCAAGTGTTCATGGACCGAGCCAGAAGGAAACCCGTGTTCTACCGACGTGCGCGCTATTGGGCTCGCGAAGCACATCTGTGATGTACACCTGCGCGTTGATGCTCAGACATGTGCGTACTGCAAGAAGAAACTATCTAGGAGAGACTCGATCAAGAGACATATCGAGCAGAAGAAATGTCGAGCCCTACGGGCCGTCTCGGAGTTGTCGATTCACTAGAGCAGACGTTGGAGGGTGTGATGTGGGAGAAGACAGCACAAGCACGACAACAGGTATGCATGATTATATCGCCATGATAGTAGAGTGGTTCTAAGCAAGCCTGTTTACAGGAGGGTTGTTGCCGCCTGGTCATCAGTTCACTAGGGTATCTCGAACCCAGTGGGATGTACGATATCATTCATGACATTTGTATCGCTAGTCTCAGAATAAGAAGGGAGAACAAGTTGAAACCGATACCGTACTAGTATACAGTACGCACTAGGCTACAACGTAAGTTCAGTAGTGCCAAGTACTTCGTCGTTGAGGTTGAATAATAGGTGACCTTGTCGGCTCATCTGAGTCATCAACTTGCAGAACTTGGAAGCTAGACACGTGCTAATGCGCCGCGGCGTTCCAATCGTGAATATCGCGTGAATACACGATTCGACGTGATCGTGACATACTGAAGTAAGTACGGAACGTTTGAACTCGATGGCCATGCTCTCATTCGTCCAAACACCGTAGTCTGATCACCCCAGGACAGGAAATGTTCTCTGGACAGGAGGCAACGTAGACTCCGCCCGAGCTGCCGCCTCACCGTGGTGTATTCTCCGCGGTCCGGGTCCACGCCTCGAAAGCCCAGCAACCCATTTACAGGCTGATGCTGCAGCGCTCAGCCCATTGAGTCGCCAGCGGGCCTTTTCGGCTATATCTTCCGCGGATAGGAGCTGAGTCCATTGTCTCAGCATATCGATTGCAGCTCATCTAACCACCAGCGGAATGTATGGCTTACGATCGGTCACCGCCTCGCAGCGTTCAGCCCACCCGTTCAGGCGCTGTCATCGCATTGCATCGCCTGAACGGTTGCCTTTTGTCCTGCGCGGGCCATCTGCGCTTCTGCGTTGCTACAAGATGGGCAAGTAGGTAGCGTACCTTCCTCCTCACCGTGCCACGTTCCGCTATGCCCTCAATCTTCAAGCGTGCTCGTCGCCACGAGCTCACACGCTCCGTCGTGGACGCGGTCAAGGCGATGTATGGAACAGAGTGAGTGTTATCAAGCACGTTCCTCAGGCCGCTAGAAGCAGAGTCGCTTACCGGGTTTGTACTAGGAGACGGGCTTCGGACGTCGGTATGTGAGATGCATGATGCAGATTGGGTTGTTGTTCGCTGACGACGCCACACTCACCGTAGGCACTCCTCCACGTAGATCTCTATCTCGTGGACATAGCCACTCCAGATCTCGCTACCGCAGAGACCATCCCGTCACGAACCTTCCTGCCGAGCTCCTCGCGCACGTCTTCGTCCTAGGCTCCGAGGATGACTCCATGTTCCCCTTGGCCGTCTCGCACGTATGCCGGGCCTGGCGCGCCTCGCCCTGCACACACCAGCGTTGTGGCGTCGTGTCGCGCTCGACGGAAGGCTGCACATGTGGCAGCAACGCATCCTCCGCGCGAAAGCCTGCACGCTGGATATTCAGCTCACTGCCCACCTCCAGGATTCGGTGATATCATCGTTGTGCCCATCCTCGACGCGTATACGGTTGTGCAGTACATGAACGTCGTGACGCCACTGATATCTCGCTGGAGAAGCCTCGACATCAGATTCGACGCATACGCGCCCCAATTATGGAGCGCAGCGCTCTCGGCTTGTTGCGCGCAATCCCCGGCAACACATGTGCCCTTCATACGGGAACTCACATTGATCTATCCAGGTAATGATGACACGCGGGAATTCGTGTTGTTTAATGGCAGCGCACCCAGGCTCCGACGAGTCACGCTCTGCGGCATCCGTCTCTCCTGGACGCGGTCGCTGTTCCAGGACCTCGCATACCTCGACTACACTCACCATGGCTTCACCCGAGGACAGGACGCTGCAGCGGAGGTGCTCGCGATGCTCCGCGTCTCCTCCCACCTGCACGAGCTGCGGCTCTCCTTTCCGTGGCGTGGCGACTCGCATTCCGTCTCCCCGCACTCCGTGCCGCTCACTGTGGTCCTCCCTCGCCTCCTCACGCTCGTGCTGACCGTCGAAGGCCCAGAGATCCCCAACGCGTTCCTGACTGTCCTCGCGCACGTCTCTTGCCCGGCCCTGCGCACCCTGCGCCTGTACTCGACGTACCCGTTCCTCCGCCCGTCGTTGTTCCCGCGCCTCCGGCATGTCTCACGGGTGCTGCCGCCTCTCCCCGCGTTGGAAGTCCTGCACATAGAGCATGGGTGGCTCGACCCGCGCTTCATCTTTCCGCTGCTGCTGAGCTTACCGCGGCTGCGACACCTGACCCTGAAGGGCGTGCGCGTGACGGGCCCATTCCTGGTCGGGCTTGCGGAGAACCTATCCGCCAGGCGCGCCCACACGAGCCTCGCTTCGAGGCTGAAAGTGCTGGAGGTCATCGGATGCGACCTGCTGGGCGCTGACGTAGTGCAGGCCTTCCGCTTGAAGCCGGGATGGAGCAGGCATGGTATCGAGACGATTCTCATTCGGGACTGCCCTGGGGTTGGGCCGACGGCAATTGGAAAGCTGGGGGGGTTGGGTATGGACGTGACGATCTGGCCTGCTGGGGGAAGAGGTGAGAGTGGAACACAGAGGAAGGTGCTGTACCGCTAGATATGATGGACCAGTGAACTGGCGTTGGACCTGCAATCTGTGAATCATCAGTCGAAGTCATTACGATACCCCACTTCAGCAACCATGACATTGTCCCGCAATCGAGTACATGCACTTCAGATACCATACAACACTAGGACAGCCTATGTACTTCAATCTATATCATTGCTATAGGTATGCAGATTGTGGTATATGTTTGATCGAGAAATTGTGCCGAGCTGAAGATGCCAGGTTAGCACGTAGACGGGTTGACGGCGGTGTATCCGCCATCGACGGCGATCTCCTGGCCATTGGTGTAGCACCCGGCCTTCGACACGAGATAAACGACCGTCCCAGCGATCTCCTCGGCACTATGCGAACGAACGTACCCATTCAGATCGATGGAGTAGGACTTGGAGTAGGTTTTGAAACGACTTACGTTCCGGGCCGGTTCTCTGGTACGGGTATCAAACCCTTGCCAACCACGTTCACCATGTCGGGCCCGATGGTGTCGTATGTCATCTCGGACTCGTACACGCCCGGTGCGATGGCGCAAACACGTACAGGGATCTTCTTCAGGGCGAGCTCGGTCGCCAGCATCTTGGTGAGATGGGATGCAGCGGCTTTCGAGCTGTTGTACCCAAACTGTCGCCCACCATGAGGTTCACTCAGGGTGAACAAGGATAGCGACGTACGTGATTTTGTGCGAGCTTGATGATCCCACTGATGCTGGTGATGTTGATCACACTCGACGTGTATCCAGCGACGTCCGCGCTGCCTTTCGCGAGCAGGCCGAGGAACGCGGTGGTGACGAAGTAGATCGAGAACGTGTTGACCTTGAAGACGTCCGCCCATTCTTCAAATGACTCGTTGTTGAACATCGCCCTTCCGAGTGTCTCGGGGTCTTTGTGCTCCGGCCCGCTGGTGTTCTCGAGGAAGGGCGAGACGGGGCCAGTTTGACCTGCACTGTGGAGAAGTTTGAGACTCAGTCGCGAGCAGATGACAGTCACGATGGGGCGCACTTATTGATGAGGATGTGGAGTTTGCCTTCTTTGGACGCAATGACTTCCTGTGCAGCCAGGATACTCTTGCGATCACTTGCGTCCATTGCCAGCCTACATACACGAGCGTCAATATGTCTACAGCAGACCTCAGGACGACAATGTACATACGCTACGACCAATCCCTTGCCCTGATGACTTTGGTTGAATGACGCGGCCGACTCCTCCAACTTAGCCTGTCTGCGTCCTGTGATGTAGACCTTCGCGCCGTTCGTCGCGAGACCTTTGGCGATCATCCATCCGATTCCACTACCGCCGCCGGTGACCAAGGCGATCCTGCCTTGCAGACCAAACATGCTTTCAAGACTGAGAGAGGAAGACATGGTGAAGCACTGAGGAAGTCGTCAAGGAGGAGAGGGGCGCTGAAAAGATTCGAGATATCGTGGATGGTCCGTACGGCGTTTCCTCGATGACGGAAAACCGGCCCGTGCACAACTCCTGACTGTTGCCGGCATGTCGCTGTGTCCTCCCTGACCACAACGGACAGTCGGTCACGGCGTCGAGGCTGATTTTGAAGGCAGAGTGCCCGCTTGCAAGAAAGAGTTCGAGGGCATTGGTCGCTTGATGTAGTTGTGATCTAGAGAGGAGTTGAAAGAGGCGCCATGGACAAGTCAAAATCGACATCAGATTCGGGGATGATCCCGGTCCCGCTGGCCTGTGTCACCGTCCTTCAACTCTCTTCGTCTTGTAAACTGCCATCTATCCTTGACTCTACAGCGCGATGGCGATCTGGAGCTTTATTGCCATGCGCAACCAGATTTACGGTCAACCATCACATCCGAACTCGCTGATAACAGACTGTAATCAGCCCGAGTCACGCTCGAGGCAATGTCTGTCGAGTCCGCATGACCACCAGCAGGCCGACGGCGGCCAGTCAAGCTATCCTAACTCTGGTCTTGCCTTGACTACTTTGCCTATGGCCTGTGCATTGGAAACCATCCGTATCTAGCCCGGTCGCCTCAGTAACATGTCGCCGAACACTTTTGATTGCATCGTAGTGGGCTCCGGACACGCTGCCAGTAGCGCCGCTCTCTCCGCTATCGAAGCTGGCAGCAGACGCGTCCTCGTCGTCGAGAAGGGTCCCGCTGAATGGGTGGGTGGTAATGGCTACTTCACTGCAGGTGCCCATCGTACCGTTCACGGCGGCCTGCAAGATCTCTTGCCCATCGTTACCAACGTCGCCCCGGAGACCGCAGCGACGATCGACATGGATCCGTACACTCCTCAACAGTTCACGGACGACCTCATGCGCCTCTCGGATGGGAGGAGCGATCCTGCGATGGTAAAGGCCGTCGTAGATGGGTCCCGGGATGCGGTGGGATGGTTGGCGGAGAAGGTCGGCGTCCCATTCACCCTCTCCTTCAATCGTCAGGCATACCTTGTCAACGGCCGACAGAAGTTCTGGGGCGGTATGGCACTCAGCGTCGCGGACGGAGGTAAAGGTCTGATAGCGGCTCACAGACGCGCGCTGGAGGAGGCCGGCGTCGAGACGTGGTTTGATACACCTGCCGTCGAACTCGTCACAGACGAAGGGATTATTGCAGGGCTGGTGGTTGAACGTGGTGGGCAGAGAGCCATCCTCAACTCACCCTCTGTGGTTCTTGCTTGTGGCGGGTTCGAATCAAGTGCCGACCTTCGCGGGAAGTACATGAGTCCAAACTGGACCCAAGCAAAGGTGCCTCACCACATACACCTACACTATCGAACATGCTACTCACGCCGGCGCCCTGCAGGTCCGAGGAACGCCCTACAACACCGGCGACGGCTTCACTCTTACGCGGCCTTTGAACGCCTCGCTCATCGGGGATTCTCCGCCACCGGCTGCCACTCTACGTGCTGGGACGCAAACGCACCTTCCGACTGCGGCGACCGCGTGCTCAGCAACCAGTTCACCAAGTCCGGCTACCCGCTCGGCATCATGGTCAACGCCCGCGGGCAGCGCTTCGTCGATGAGGGCGAGGACTTCCGGAACTACACGTACGCGAAGTTCGGGCGTGCGATCTTGCACCAACCGGGCGGATGCGCGTTCCAGGTGTGGGACAGCGAGGTGGTGGAATGGTTGCGGAAGGAGGAGTACGACGATGGCGTGGTCGAGAAGGTCTGGGCGCAGAGCGTTGAAGAGCTCGCAGATGCACTCTCGCAGAAGGGTCTGGAGGACAAGGCAGCGTTCGTGCACACCATCGAAGCCTACAATGCAGCGGTCCGTGCATCCAAAACCGAGAACCCGTCCAGAACATGGGATCCCGCCGTCAAGGACGGGCTGTCGACAGTTTCCTCCCAGCCACAGCTCAGCGTCGACCCGCCGAAGTCGAACTGGGCTCTACCCCTCGAGAAGCCGCCGTTCCTTGCCGTGAAGGTTGCATGCGGGATCACGTTCACCTTCGGCGGCCTTGCGATCAACCCTAATACAGCAAACGTCTTGAACGAGAAGGGGGAGAACATTCGCGGCCTCTTCGCCACTGGTGAGGTCGTCGGCGGGCTCTTCTATGGCAACTATCCAGGCGGGAGTGGGTTGACGGCCGGGGCGGTGTTTGGGAGAAAGGCAGGAGCGGAAGCTGCGAAGCTGGCGGCGCAGGCTGCTTGATGACCTGTACTTTCTGGATTGATGTGGGTCCGTGTGTTGAGCTTGGACCCGAACGGTAATAACGCAGTGACATCATTGATCTGCTAGTGCATTGGTTCATCCGATGATCCATCCAGTTCGCCAACCATACCTTGTCTAGGTTTCCCCGATGACCATGCGCCAATCGTGGATCAACATGCACCTCGAGCTTCAAGTGAGGCATATGATCAACGATGAAACATCTCGGGCACGTTTTCTTCATACAACCTACGCTAGAGGCGGTCACTTGATACTGTAGAACCACCGGCTACGCTGAATGCCCTCGAGATTGTGTATCTCAGCGACTCTGGACCTCCCTGGACACATGCGTACAATGAGAACGCCGAGAAAGGGGGCCGCAACGTTCACGCTTGGCGGCCGGTCCTCGCGTCGGATTCCCCGCAGATAGTGTGTGGCTACTCGTTGGACGACGTTCCATGGTGCCCTGAGGATGTACCGTCCCTGATAGTCTCCCACTAGATAAGCTGCGAATGTTCATCGCGGAATGCCAGTGGACTGCTCTCGTGAAACTCTAGACCCGAGCGCATGGCGCAACGACTCGGTCATGTGTGGTATAGTTGACGAGTTAACGAGCGCAGAGAGCTATGATCCTATCAGGAGCAGCTGTGCAGTGCGAAAGCTGTCATATCATTGTGTGGTCTCATAGGAACGCAGACAGGAACGAACGATACGATAGGAGAACGCCCGTTGCCTTGTCGCCTGTCAGATGACCTCTGCAAGGAGCGAGGTGAACCTCTCGGGCTCGTCCCAATGAGCCTAGAGCGTTGTCAGTATCTGCGAAGTCCGTCCATATGCAAAATGCACCCACGAAGTGGTTGGCCCTTTCCAGTTTGTGGAACGCTACATCACGGCCCTCGCCCTTCGCTCTGCTCTGCCTCACGAGCGCCTTCAGCTTCATGGCCGCACTGACGACGTCGCTATTCGTCATGTCGCACCATACGAGGGCCACTTTGAGGTTCGGCCAGATCATTCCTCCGTCTGCACTGCCCTGGAGGATCGCACGGCGGACAATCTCTCGGTACACGGCCGGGTCTATGACCTGGTAGTACTTCTGGCTTCGCGCCATGACCTCAACGTGGCATACTTCGCGGATCTTCTCAGGACCTATCCGGTGGACAGTCGGCGTCCTCTGCGAGCTACGCAATTTCTCGTCTGTGTGTAAGGCGATGCGCGCACCCAGCGCCTCCTTTATACCGGGAGAGTCGATATCCTGAGAAGCGTCGAAACCAGTGGGTGTGAAATAGTAGGACACCCACTCGGAAAACTGGCTGAACTTCTCCGCCGGACTGAGCGTGTCGTCGCGGAAAGGTACCCACACGCCCGGTACAGGGGCCTCGCCGGTGGCTGGCAACGATATGTCTGCGAGACGCGCTAAGCCACAGACGGGTTAGATGCGGAGACTGTCACATACCATACATGACGAACGATCGAAAATACGCATCCAACAGCTTCCTCGTGGCCTCCGGTACCAGATCCGCATACGATAGGAGCGGGATGGTTTGGCAGTTGCCCGACGACCATCCTAGCAATGTAAATCCCCCACTGCGCCGGCCGCCGCCGCCGCCGCTACGTGATGCAATGATCGGCGGGATGCGCTGCGTCTCGATGAACCGTCGAATGAACTCCGCGAATTCGAGTCCGCGGGCTTGAAGTGCTGATGACTGTATCGCGGGATCAGTGGACGATAGTGACCCAAGCTCGCTCTCCGAGTACAGCGTTGAACCTGGGTAGTCCCTGCAATTGATGAGCACGAGTCGAAGATTGTGATGCGCGGCATAGGGCATCATTGGTCGAAATATGGCTGGAAGAACTCAATCCGTCAGTGAAGTATGATCACTTGCGTAGTGCGTTGACAGTACTGTGACATACCGCTTGAGAACATCGTGCCGTGGACGAGAAATACGGTAACATAATCCGTCGATCCACTGGGTACGCCGCTGTCCTCGTAGTACAAGAGTGTACTGTCGCCATCGACGGCACAATGAGGCATGGTGACTGTACGGTTCACCAGACCACAGAGGACGGGGATTTGAGTAACTCTGAGCACACATAAGCAAGGTTCTCAGGCTGTCGTGACACGAGTTCGGCGGCCTGCCGTGCGACAAGTCGTTCCTATAGATGCACTGCACTCACGGTCAGTAGATTGTTGCTCGCAGTAAGTACTTGTGTCTCGTACCGTCCGAGTAAGTGGCGTGTCGGAGACATCGCGGCCACGTCACGGCCTGGTACTGCCCTCTTGTTCAGGCATCATAGGTCATTTATCTCCGGCCCGACCGAGAGGAGCCACTGGCAGGCCCTCACCGGGGGCAAGACGCGTTGACCGGAGTTCGAACATTATACGGACATCTTCCGACTTATGACATATTTTCCCTCGATGTCATTCCTCAGGACATCGCACGACCATGCCATGTTTCTTTAAGATGTTCGGAGAAAGGAACATCGCATGGACAGCACTTCTGTTTGCGTCTCGAACATGCCAAATGCGCATGTCATGTTCGGAGAGCAAACATTGTACTGTCACAGGGTATGCTAATAGTGTGACCTCGATTAGGACATGTGTAAACCAATCACAATGTTCGTATGCACAACATTGTGCCGACATACTATGACCATGAAGCATCATGTTATCATGTTCATGCACTGGACATTTCGAAGTTTTGGAGAGTGAACATTCCAAGGACATGTGTGATCATTGAAAGAACATGATTAAGAAGCAATGTTTTTACAATGTTATGACAGATGATGGCTTTCCGAACATTTGAAATGTTTGGCCTACGGACATGCGCAGGAAATATATTATGGTCGCGCTATGTTCTCGTGATGTTCCGGGTACGAACATAGCACCTGTTTTTTTAATGTTCTGGTCAGGAACACGCGGAAACCATACCTTGGGACAATCCGATGTTATCTCTCCGAACATGACACGCACATTCGTCATGTTTGAGCCACGAACAGAGGGGCTGTTGTTGTAATGTTTGGAGGCCAGAACATTACACTGGCAGGGACATACCGTATGAGCTAGCTATGTCCTGAGGGATAACACCGTGGGAACATATGTCATAAGTCGGAGGATGTTCGTAGAATGTTCGTACAACGACCACCGCGTCTTGCCCCCGGTGCCTAACTAGTATCCGTGGAACAGGAATGAATATGTGGTCAAAGCGATTCGAAACGATGGACCGCACAGACCATCGCGTACTTACGGCACAGGAGGAGCCTAGACGTCTGTACCAAGCGCTCTGCAGCGTGTGTGGCCTGGAGCGTGAGAGATCCGATTTCAAGCCAGCAAAGCAGTGCGCCGCCGCTTTCGCTTTGAACAGCCACTGCGATGTTCTTGCTGGCCACGGGAGTCCATTGCGAGGACCATACTTAACAAGTAGAGGCGGGATGCGATGCTGTAGAAGGTAATTCTCGCACTATATAGGCATCGGAGTTTACGCAATATGCACTAGGGCGGGTGGAGGAGTGGCTGTGGCCATCCTCAGCCATCGCACAAGGAAGGCCCACTCATTGGGAGATAGGTACCAATCATAACACCCTCGACGGGTTGATACGTCGTATGTAAGAAGCTATAACACGTCGGGTGTCGTCCAATGGTTGGCGTGAGCCCCTGTTATCTCGGTGCGTAAATGCTTGTCCACCCTCTTATACCGACGGCCGACGGAGGCAACCTGGCACAATTCACAATTTATACTCAACCAGTTGATTGTGGCAGGATTGTGACGATTTCAAGGATGTAAACAACCCTCATGAGTCTTCAGTGAAGTTCAAACTTCCATGACTTGACTTACAATGTTACGCCGGTATAGCGCATTTCTGTCTGTAAGTTGCGTCGATAGCTGGGACCTGAAAGCACTAACCCCGCCATGACAAGTCTGCACGCTTCGCTCCTCTTCAGGTGATTTGATATTCACTTGCGCTATACACAATTGGTTGACCGAATGATCTCGCAGAACATCAGGTCATAAGAGTCGCCTGACCACCGAGCGGTCTTCTAGAATGGATCGTCCACAATGTGTACACCTTCGCCGCTCTAGTTCGTACCGCCATGGCTTTCCATGTCCCAGGAAGATCTTTGAAGCACAAGGTGCACGTTTGAACCCTCATTCTCTGCGGCGCATTCGATGTTAACCTCATCCATGTCTTTGCAGACGCAGTCCGCAAACCGCGTCTTTTGAACGATACTTGAGTTAATTAACTGAGTAAGGGATATCCTCGGTGCTGTATGTCATGTTGTCATTTGCTGGCTCTTCGGCGCGAACGCCCGATTGGCAGGCCGCTCGGCCAGATATGTTTTGGTAAGTCCCATATCTGTCTGGGGCGTATCTGGGGGCGTCCTGGATATATGGGAGGCGGTCCACTGTGGGATATGTCCATAATGTGGTATCCTTGGGTTTGATCCTTGGGTATAAAAGCCTCTCTTACGTGATTTCTTGAACTTCATGTAACTCCCTCCTGGCATCCCAGCACCAATAGGGTATCGACTCAGCATGCAGCGCCCCCTGGCTGCATTGCCAGAGATGTTCGGCTGGGACCCACCTGCGGGTGAATGGACTGCGCAACTCCAATCAAACATACAGGACACCGAAGATCTCGACGCGGGTGTCGCAGAGCCATCTGCTGTCAGGTAGGCTCTGCACTCTTAAGCCGCTGTGGACTTGCCTTGATCACTCGTCTGGCTGCGACATCTAGTGGAGCTGCCGCCGATCAGCTGGACGGTGGATTCGAAATTGGTCTCAACAACAACTTCGGTCAAGACATCGTCACGGAGATGCCATGGGGAAACTCGGCGTACTATTCGCCAGGATTGTACGTTACCGAACGTTCTTTGCACTCGTTGCGCTTGCTTGACGTAATCGCAGTCTCGAGAGTCCAGTGATGTATGATGGATCGGCATTCAATATGCGCCTAGATTACGATCAAGGAGGAGTCTCACAGGATCTCCCGCATGATCTGACTACGGCGGGCACTCTACAGTACGTATGTCATTGACGATGAGCAAGCGCTATCGAGCTGACTGAATGACAGAGAGGCACTGGTTCCCGCGAATGAGGTCGCGGTTGCTATGGCCGACGGAACACACCAAGCGGGACAAGACACGATGGCAGGTCCACTGATCCCTCGACCTACTCCGTAAGTTCTGCGAGACATCATCTGAAGACTTATCTCACCGGCGTATCGAAGTCTGGCCCGCTGGGGCAACGCTTCTCCATCCGGCGGAGCTTCAGGAAGCAGCAGCACGAACGTGGGGGATTTCTTTATGGTTAATAATACCAGGTAAGTGTCTCGCACACATGCCGAGACTCACGGAAATGAAAGGGGCTGACTATGTTGTACTCCTTAGATCTACTAACGCGCACCCAAGGCCGTCGCAGCACACGGCTCGAACGCGACGGTGGGCACCCTATGAGCTGCGGCGGGAATCCACGTCTAGCCTCACAAGGCGGCAACGGGAGCTTGAGTATGTGATGTTGGGAAAACATTTGTGTTGTTTGCACTGAGCATTGAATTTATAGGGAGGAACGCGATCTTGTTCGGGATGAATTGCTTCGAAGGTCAGAGCAGTTGGCGTTGACGGCGACGGAAACGACGGATGCGCATGACAACGCTGGAGTCATCGTGTCGCCAAGGAGTACAGGTCATGTCTGTCCTTTCGACGCGGCATGCAATGTCCCCGTTGAGGACTTCAAGCGGCACTACCGCGAGCTCCACAGCAACATCGAGGTCTCGATCTGTCAATGGCGGTTCTCTCCCACGAGCCCACGTTGCCGCACAGTGCTTAAGAGCTTCGGGTCCCTCCTGAAGCATCTCAAACAAGTGCATCTGAAAGACATGGCTTGCAAGTGCTCTCGATGTGGCCGCCAACTTTCGCGGTCTGACGCACTCACACGCCACATGCGGAAGTGTCTGCGATTTGAGGAAGCCGAAGCATCGGGCGATGGAAGCACGGTACTTTATCAGCTGTCCGTGATATTCAGCGCCGTCGAGACTTACAACACAATGTTTCAGGTTACTTAGGTGTAGGGTGCCGTCCATACTATCCTCTGCGACGTCTCCCTACGTCAGACGGCAGGTATATTGTTACGATCGGCGTTGTAAGTTAGAATAGGTCGTGCTTTGTTTTCTATCCCGTTGTGTTTATGCTTTGTATGTGGGAAGATGAAGCGCTCTTCCCGGTTGCTATGAATTGATGTATATGCTGTTTCGCTTTCTACCATATATCTCTGCTCCAATCTCGTTCCTTGGTTGTGACGCTAGCATAGGCCGAAGTGACAGACATAAATAGCATGACGGTCGAACTACCGACTGTGGCAAGCGAAGCTCATCGCCAAAGTTGCGTTGTTCCTGGCATGTCTTCGTGTGTAGGCCGCCGCTGTAAGTTTCATGATGTTACACCGTGTCGTCCGATCCCCGAAGAGGCACGTAATGCACTCGGAAAGATGTCAATTATGGGTCAACACATGATCAGTTCACATTGGATAAAATCACTACGGTATCTCAATGGAGTATATAGGCTACTCGCAAGAGGCTGAGACTCGGACGCTCATGGCGCTCGGCGGACTTAGTATCATCGATGCTAAAGGCAATATGCAGGAACGAACGATAGGACCCCAATCATAGCGCTAGCTAGTGTTGCCCAATGCCCACAATACCGTGACGCAGCAGATTGCCGCAAGGCTGTGCATGTGACTATCGTGGTTGGGCGACACTGCAAATCAGTACTAGGTACTACAATAAGTCCTCCGTCCGCCACCGCAGCGACGGAGGCTGCAGTGCTTATCAGAGTTCCTGTGTAAAATGTCCACTATGTGGACCGAAGGTGACATCTTCGCATCCATAACAAATCCATCCGTGGGTCCGGTGCATACGCTCAGCTGATCGATTCCACGATGTGGACCAAGATGTGGACGGTCCATTCACTTCAAGTTCCTCAGGTCCGCTCCATTGTTCACAAGGTGGACGCATTACGGACCGTCTGCCTACGTGCTTGTGTGGTTTTGGAAGCACCCTCGTTCTGTTCTCCACAATGTGGACCCGTCAAGGGAAAATGGCGCATCGTTGCAACGAAATGGAACTTGAGCCAGTCGTCCCATGATGGCTGTGCTGTAGCGACGGAAGAATGTCTGTGGCATGTTGAAGAAGGGTACATAAAGTGAGAACGCACCAAGACCGAGTCCCCAGTTACCCGTCACCACTTCCCTCCCCGGTTGGGCCGTCGATTCCACCAGACATGCCTTCGGCAACAGCGGAGCACAACTGGCAAGACATGCCATGCGTGTCAATAAACGGCATGCTCGTCCGAGTTCAAATAACGTTTGACACGGAGCAGTCTCGGTAAGCAGACAGTACTACATGCTGGCCGCCATGTTTCATGTCTTCGCAGACCGCAAAATCGCGAGCTCACATACGGCGAGGGGTCTGATCCCGAGTCTATGGAATCAGCAGCAATCACCGCAGCCGCAGGCCTCGTCGCCCGAATCTTCCATCATTTCCTTCACAATAGGTATCGTCGCTTGTCCACGTCAATTCCGACCTTGCGCTTAATATAGGATCCCAATCATTAGACTATCCGATTCAACGCAAACTTACCATGCTAGGTGTATCGTCTTGGACCGCCCGCCACCAGGAACCGAATTCTATTCTCACCACGGCGTCGCAGAGGGGTATGTCTCCACTACATAGCGGACCTGCCTGTCCCTGATTGACCAGGTCTGATAGGCCGTCGGATACCGCCATGCTCGATGGATCCGAACACTATCCTTGGGACAATATGTCGTAAGTATCATAGCTCTCAAATCGGCCATGACGCTCACAGATCGAACAACAGGGACATTGACGGCGATTCAGCGGCAGAGATGTTCGACGGCAGGGAGTGCGCCGACTTTCACGGCACAGAATGTACGGCAGAACGGCACATAAGCCAGGCGTGCGGTTTTGGGACTCCCTGCGGCGTACCAATCACCGATGGGTCGCTCGAGGGCCTCAAACGACATCTGTTGGAATACCACAGGGCGGATCTCCCTCGCAGTGCATACAAGGATTCTGGGGCCGATTGCTGAACGCATCAAGACGACGATGTGAGTACTGATTCGAGGGACACGGAAGAGTTCTCGTAGAAGGCAGCGCACCTTGGCGTTACGGTCGCGACGAGTTCGTTCCCCCATCTGCTTCCTCACTCCTCAGCTGTGGGCCTGCGGATCTTGGCCGCCCACACATTCTTCGATGTCCTGCTTCACGACACGTCGCAAGACGAGATGCACCAGTACGACGACTTGCCATACATATCGACGACACATAACCCCCGCTCTATTTCCGCTCTCCGTATGTCTTTCTTCAGCGATATCAGTTATTTGTTGCAGCATACCTTCTGGTCATTGATGTTTGCGATCGGTTTATGTACACCTATGCCTTCAAAATCGTCAATTGAACCACTGTTAAATGTTGAAATCTCGGCCCTGTGCGTGTTTATGCAAGAACAGCAGTACTGCCACCTCATCGTTCCTGACGAACACATACGAGTCGTACGACAACCCTGGGAGTCGGGAATGAGCCAGATTGCGAGTACAGCTCACTGGAAACTTACAGGACTTCAAGTTGAAGTCCGAAGCTTGAAGCTCGAAGAATGACTCGGACTCCCCAGATCTTCAGCTCATATTGAGTTATTCCAGTCATAGTGGGAAGTCATTTGTTAGGCAGTGATCGTTCGACATTGGTAACTACATGTTAAGATGTTAGCCTCGCGATAACACAGGTTCAAAGTTTCGGCGTACATGTTCTAGTTGTCGGTCAGTCTCCTTGGCAGTTAACGGCTCTAGACCTAGCACGTTACGTCATCTACAGAACTGTAATCAGCGACTGAAGTATAAGGAGGATCGTGCCATCAGTTTACCTTGAGTAGCAGACACCAACTTTTGGTCAAACTTGAATCTGTTGTTGATAAGTAGACTATGTAAGGACAGTCGGAATTGAGTGGAGCGGGGCTTAGCGGGGCGTTGCACCTATAGGCGCTCGAACATCCCAAGTCGTCGACGTCGATCATGCGAACTTTCAGTCGAGGCTCAGGCGGCCGGCGTCCCTCCTTACCTCACTGGGCTCGGGGCGCATCATCACAGCAATGCTAGGGCGAATTTACAGAATCAATATGATTCGTCTGATCACTGCTGGCAAACCCGCAAGCGTATTAATGCCTCGCTGACGTGCATCACCGTGACTGCACCGCGACAGACCGCGACCTGCCACCCGGACTGACCGACTACATCATCGGCTCCTCGAGAATCTGCTGATGGTCGTGCTCGGTCTGATACGGCAACTTCATGACTACGGGACGGACAACGGAGACAATGCTATGCACTCACTGGTAAGAGATATCTGCGCACCGTGGAACATTTAAGCTCAAGAGTGCTGTTCACTGACTCGGGGTCTCGCGTTAACTTCATAGAGACGGAAGTGCTGCGGTCGAGCGCCTTCCTTGCATTAGAGCTAGCAACGTGGTCATGAGTACGAAGGAGCGGGACACTCGATCCTCATCTCGCCATCGCAAGAGGCAAGCTTGGATCGAGTCCGGACCGGAGCACTCGACCGTGACTCACCAGAGTCGCCACTGGGGTTCATTGCAGACTACCGTTGTCCAACTCTTCCTCCGCTCTGTTGAACGACATACGATTGTGATGTCTTGGCTCAGCGAGATGTCCTGAGCAGTCAATGCCGTGGAAGGTCAGTCTGAACAGGAGGGGCAGACCTGTCAGGTACGGGATGTCTGCGGATGCAGCAGCGGTGGTCGACCAACAGTCCCAGGAAATGTCCCCCTATTTATAATTTGTGTAGGACCGTTGAGCGGCAGAAGCCGGTCTAACAGCGGCTTTCCATCGTCAGGGCAAAGACTTGCTTCCGAGCCTCACCGGTGAGCATTACCACAGCGTCGGCGTCAGGGAATGGGCCACTTACAATGAGTTCCACTATCAGACGCAGAGTTGTACACGTGAGCAGTCGGAGGTACGTGTACCGTTATACAGCACCTAGATTGGCTTTCCATCCCGACGTTGTGACTCTCATCGACCCGTGACACAGCGTCTGAGCTTGGTGTGGTGATTTCCAGCTGTGGTCTCGATCATTTCTGCAGATTGGCGATGCAGGTCAGAGCGCCTGGCATACTATTGCTGTTGTTGTTGTTGGCCGAGTCCTACAGAGCGACAGCGAACGAGAAGTTGGTACGGCACACAATCGTGCGCCGTCCGCGGCGTGGCGACTAGCAGATGCACAGACCAGCAAGCGCTCCACCTAGTATGCAAGTGCGCGGCGGTGTCAAGTAGTGGGCTTATTGATCAGTGGATTTGCAAATTTACTCGTCTTGCTCTTAAGTTCACGTCCGTCCGTTAACGTTCAACCCCCCATGTCCTTTCCGCAGGTATCTGCCGCTCCCTCCTCCCCAAGCGCGGGTCTTTCCACCCACTATGATCCACGCGGCACGATCGAGACCCTCGACGACGGTGTACGCCGTAGCCCTGCACACCGACCACCAAGTCCCGGAAAAGGAGTTTCACTAGCACGGTGTGTACGTTCGGCTCTCTTGGTGTGTATCATACTCAGTCACAACTTCAATTCACCGGTGGTTTTCCATACACCCCTTGATGGCTGATGTTAACAGGTCTGACGATTCACCTGCGAACTATCCACGACGCAGGTTATGTGAACCCTTGTCATGCATACGGATGGTGGGCTGTGGTGGGAGATTGCATCCCATTCCACATCAATTCCTTATTAACGCTCATTTACATCGCTAGACATGGTGGACAGCGAGCCACCATATTTCCATCCGTTTCTCCAGCCCGTTCACCCTCGCAACTTGACCATCTCCTGACCTGGTGGATGATGGCCTGGTGGATGGCGGATCTTCCTCAACTGCATGTATAAAGCATCAATGGAGTAGTTCCAGGTTACCGATCGTACCTCCACGATGGTATGCTATTACTGTGGCAAGACGGCTGGCGACCCATTTCAATGTGCGAGCTGTTACAACAACCCGATGGACCCATCGCGCACTTTAATGTCTTCCTCATCCGAGCGGATCGCTGTTGAAAAAAATGTTGGGCACAGGAAGGACGACATGTCGGGTGGCGGGTATGTTTTCATCGACATTGTCTGTGATAGCAGTCTTGCTGAAGTGATCTCTCAGTCTACGTCTCGACATTCCTTCGTCGAATCAGGCTCCGGCTGACACCGTCGCGAGCTCAATGACACCTAACCGTAATCAGTTGCAGGATACATCCAGTGCTGGAACAGGCGAGGGAGGATTGTGAGTCCGTTAACCAATAGCATCACTTTGTCCTAAGATATCCTATTTCAGAGACTATGCCTTCTCGAACTCTTCAACTCATCCAATTCGGCAAAGTACGATGCCAACGCAGTAAATTCGTCTATACAATACTTAAGGATATGCAACTGATCATGTCTACTAGGCTGCGTCGCATAGTCACGCCTGTTCGCAGCGCCACTGGTTCCGTCTGGGTCACGCATACGGATAATGCGCATGAGCTCGCTCCTCCATACTACTACCCGGTGGTCCCTGCGACCTCTCCTCAGATGAATTACGAGGAATGGTGCGCGGCAGCAGCTGATTTGAACCCGGTCGCACTGTCAGCAGCAGCTAGTCCGGCGATGATGTCTAGCGTCGCGGACCAGCAAGACGTAGGTCAGCAAGTCGACAGTCATGTGGGATGGTGTGTAACTTGATACTGCTATATATGTCGGCTACTGACTTCCTCTAGTATCGATCCGGCTTTGATCGCGCAAGATAGGGTCGGCGGTGCTAGCTTGGAGCAGGCGAACTGCTCATCCAGCTACGGGGACCGGTGCGTCTTAGTCTTGGACTATCGCCGTCTCGATGTTCACGTCGGTCCCGCAGGCCATTGCCACACGTTGGTGCGCCTTCTTCCCCCGTCGTAATCGAGTCGGCAAGCGCAAATCCACTGTTTAACGCCACGCGTTCGCTGCCTATCTCTTCTGTGGGAGGTGTCCGGCCAAAACCTTCTCGAGGAACGTGTCATTTTGGGGAGAAATGTGGAAAACCTCTACATGATTGCAGCACTCGCGGCGTGAAGGAACATTTCCTCCTGTTCCACAAACACGAGTTGGAGTACTACACCTACGAAGGCAAGGAGGTAGTGGACTGTCCTTGGTACGAAGAAGGGAAACCATGCGCCCAAACACTTGCGCGGGACGGTTTGTACAAGCATATCGCCACCCGCCATCTGCGCAGTGCTGAAAGTTCTTGCCCTTACTGCCGCAACAAGATCTCTCGCAGCGACGCGATGTTGCGCCATTTCAGGCGAGACTGCAAACTCATACCCGCTGACATCAAGCACAAAGAGGAGGAAGATTGTGAGCATACTTCATTTCGTCCACCGATCGCCGTTGCTGACCTCCTTTGCAGACAAAGACCGCCAGGGGCGCCGGGCGGGTGCTAAGCTGAGATCACAGTGCTCTATGCGCCTAGCTTACGGCTACAGATGCTATCGGACAAGGAAGCGGGTTTCCTATGTCGAACAGGAGCGGGGTGATGTAGCGCGTCATCATGATCCAGCAACAGGAATTGACACGAGTGGGTTGTCTCGATCTCTGTAATTGTAGTCCTGTCGCATTACTACGAGTACTACCTGCGGTCGGGATTTGCGTCAGGTTGTACACTGGGTTCCATACAATGCTTTGCATGTACGGTCAATCTGCTTTAATGAATGTACTGCCTGCGTCCAACATATCCTATGGGTGCGTGCGGTTACTGGTAAGCTATACTTATAAGGAGAAGAGCGCGGTTGGAGCACTGTTCTGAGGCACTGCAGCTGTCGGAGTGCAGGCTGCCCATGCCAGTGCTGAACATGTATGGCTGCTCAGCTCACGATTGGCGACAGGCTTCGGCGGGGCTCACTGGTGCCTGTCCACGCCTAATGACCTAGCTACTAGAGTAAACGTTGAGCTATCAATGGAGGTACCTTCAATGCTTCGGACCATGGTCTAACAGGGCCATCTGATATGGGAGTTACTTGAACGTTCGTCCGTTCAAATCACAGGATGGTAGATCAAAAACTACTAGATCTCCATACTCTCTCAACCAACAAACCATGAACGCCACACACTACGAAGCTGCAGTAGCCTCGAATGTCTAGTAGAAATTCGCCCCAATATAGGCGGCGCAAGATCCATCTAGGTCTGCCGGTGAGACCTGTGAGAGCGAGTCCGCCGCGTCGACCCAACGAGACGCCACCGCCGTGGGTTCACGCTTTCATGTTCCTTGGCAAATGGTATCCAAACTGCCCCAAGGGGTTTCAGCGACGGCAGACCACATCTCCCTGGCATTGTGATGCGCACCTACGTCCATGAACTCAAGGAGATTGTCGCGGAGCCCGGGCATCCGCAGAACGCGGATGAGGCGTATATCTTGAGAGTGTTTGCATGCCTCTGCAGGAGCGGAGGAAGCACCTGAAGTCAAAACGTGCATCTCGGACTGGCTGCAGTCCACGATGGACACTTCCTGTGGAGCGAGATGATGCATGCTCTGGCACCGTGAACACCATTCTAGGACGCCCAACAGAAGTTGGCTCTGTAAGCCGACGAGGTGCAGTGCGCGTAGATGCGGTAGAGGACAACCGCGATTACGTTCAGGCCAATGGTGACCGGAAACCTGCGGTGAATGGATCAAGTGTCCGCGGATCAGCGTTAGGTGAGACAGGTTCGGAAACGCACAAAGAAGGCGTAGCAGGTCATGTAGGTTGTATAGCTCGAAGTCGGACAACTCCACATGAGTGACCGTTCGCGATTGCCGCAGAAACCTTGGGAAACTGGGATGGATCGGAGGACGCAAACATTTTTGGAAACAGATGGCGTCTAGACTGTGAAGGCGGTTCCCAAAGAGAAGAGGCACGGTATGCGCAAAGCGCTCCTTGTCGTCACCGCCGATGATTGTCAACTCGCGCGTACGAGACAGCTCGTCCTGTACATGCGAATCATGACGGGCCAGAGAGGCGAGGATGCAACAGGCACGAGCACTTTCAATTGTTATCTTGACGTAGAGGACCGCCTGGCTATGAGGATACCATGCATGAGAGACAGCTGAGCAAGCAGCAAGGGTGACCATATCGCCTTGCAAGTCATCAATGAAGTGCTCGATGAGCTCCACCGGCACCCTGTCTGATATTTTACGGGGAAGTGGCGAGACGGATTCGACATGGCTACCGAGAGGTCGCTGCAGAATTGCCTGATCGGAGGGTACGCCGACCAGCACACTGGGATCTACGAGACCCGGAGCTGTCTCGCCGTACGTGTTGACCTGGTTCCGGCGGTGGCACATGAAGGTAGGTGTGCCGGCCTTGGTTTGTGAATGTACAGCTTCGTTCACTGTGTACAGCGTGAGGTTACTCGTTCAGCGTGATTTGGTAACGAGCCGGCAACAAGTCACATACTAGCGGGACACCTATCTCATCTATTGGCAGTGCGTGAGATGCGAAACAGAGTCCATCGTCAGAACGACGGACGTTATTGCCCCCGAAGACCTCGAACACAGCACGGTTTATGCAAGGGTGAATGGAGGAGGAAGCACGGTGATGACGAGTATCTTCATAAGTGCATTTGTGCCCCCATATATACACGCAGCCGATGGTGGAGGACGGTGTTTCAATCTCATGGAGTACATACTTTGACGGTGTCAAGATGGGCCAGTGGAAAGCGAGAGGACATCACCCACGAGTCAACAGGCCCTGATCAAGTTGTGCGTATGTTCGATGTAGAAATGACCCCGCCTGGTGGCGTGCTGAAAACCGCACGCGACAAAGCCAGGTTCTGATTACTGGCAGGAAGTCCGACTTGGACGGCAGACGTCACGGTAAGTTGGCAGTCATTCTGACCTGCCAGTGTGTGACCTGTCTAACGGCCGTCGGGTTAACACATGAACTTCCATGAATTAGAAATCTGAGATTTGAAGACCATGGAGGCAACGTACGGAGACAATGACCATATCAGTCAAAGAACGAGACTCGTCAAGAGGTGGCCTAGTACTGCTTGAGGAGGAGGACTGGCCGCCCAGCCGCTGCGGCGCCACCAACGGCCACCATAACGGAAGGATAGTGACAGAACTGTGACCACGCTGTGACCAAGCTGTGACACAGCCTCGAGTCGAGTCTCTACACCGTACATACGTCACCGGCTTGCGTTTCACTGATTTGATTACTATCTAGATGTCGCGAGGTGAGAGCACTTCGTCTCCAGTTCCGAGTTCTGATTTGTTGTTAGCTAGTAGATTGATAGAGTCAGTGCGGGCTATAGACATAGCACCGCAAATTCGTCCCGATGCCGTCTTGCACACCCCGGACTCGGACAATCCGTGCTTCACGCAGGCCCATAATAATAGTACGTGAACATCACGTTGATCCCACGGGTCGTCGCGCTGGCAGCCAACGACAGTCGTAGTGAGCATCGCACGAACAGCCCATATTTCAAAAATCTATTTCACGCTCCAATCGATTTTTGAGGACTCGGAGGAGTGTCTACACGACGAGGCACTGTTGCGATCTTCCCTTCGGGGTTCACGACATTATTTTCAATGTCACTTGGAGGCTGCCTGAAGTTCGATCGCTATTGCCGTTCTCCCGTGAACATGTTCATTCCTTCACTGCTTCAAAACTTCCCTCAGACACTTCAGGTGGCTGTCAGCCGAGTTGCCCGGAAATCTTCGTGTTGTTCGCGGAGCGAGCGTTACATGTTCAATTAACCATCACATAAACCCCGTTGTGTTCAACGGAATGTCACTCCGAGTATCGACAATACAATGGTAGATCCTTTTTACGTGTTTCGAACTGTAGATTCTGACATGAACATCAATTCTAGCCACCGTCAATCACCACTGGCAGGTTGATGGCAGGTTGAGTGTCCGAGTCTTACGGGAGGTACGCCATCTGTTCTAGCCAACTAGGCTGTACTGAGACGACCAGACTGCCACTCGTTCCGGCCAATAGGCTTACCTGTGTCCAAAGAGCAGCGAATGTAACGTTGATCTCGCTCACTGGGTGGCTTCATATTGTTCTCTGCTCAGGCATCACACCGTCTGAATTCTATCTTGTGAACAAAGGCTGACGGTCTGCTGGGACCTCAGCCTCCTGCATCCCGTCCTTCGGATCGGTAACAACAACGGTCCTGGGCGCACCGGGGTGTCGCGGAGGACGGAAACATTGCTAACTCTAGGGACTCGACTCCATGCATCGGTGGCCTTGATGATGCACGACTACGCTGTGCCCAGTTGGTTTAAAACCACAGGAGAAGGCGACAGTTCCCCCAGCAAGAAGTCTTACCAACCGTCGCAAGTCCAGTACCGAAATGGTTTACTACAACCGTCAGACTACGCCAGCCCTCGACGCCCCCGTAGGCACCATGGCATACGCCCGAGAACCGGTTCAGGACTCCGCAAAGTACGTTCTCATTTACCGGTACTCTGACCCACCGTACTGACTCGGACGACCTCCAAGTTGCTTCTCATGGAAATCATCTATGGCGATTTCCGAAGGCACAGACGAGACCACCTCTGCCATGACACCGTACACGATATCCGTACCCGCGGCGAAGTACACCGTATTGAGCGGAGCCGGGGGTAAATTCGTCTGCCCGAAATGCGGTTGGTCGTGCAACAGGAAGGATATTCTCGATCACCACATGGGGAGTCCTGGTTGCCCTGGTATCTAGCTTTCTCTTCTCTATATGTTTGACATGGAAGCTGATATTGTTCATGTGCCAGCCTGAACGACTTGCGCTGTTGTCCGGTTAGCAATCTGTCCGATGGGATTCTGCCTAGTATTTACTATGATATTTATCGTGTGTCGGATTCTTTCCATCGTATGAACTTGCCTCAGCATACCTGCCGTCTGCGGCGCTAGAAGATGTGTTCACTATTTATCTCTACTTCGGATGGGATATGCCTGTTTGTGTGTTCCTTGTATATATTATCCTGTCGTCATACCCGTGGTCCGGTGTATTGATCCGTTTCATTGAACCTTCATGCCATTGACGCCATGGGCATTGGTCCGCAGTATGCATCTCACATTCTCTATTGGATGATGCATCTAGGTGTCTGACATATTCTATCCAGGAGGTGGCAAACATGCCCATCTGACGCTATGTACACGCAGAGGGCGGAAAATGCCGTACTTGGTGTTACCTTAACGGAAATTACCGCTCCCGGTTGAGCCTCCAACAGTTGGCACCTCCACCCCGAGGAGGAGGAGCCCATGTATGGCGTCAGGAATGTAATATACTTCTGTCCTGACACCCAGCTCCGAACGCAGCCGATCGTACGTAGCCCGCGACCATGGACTCCCCTCCTTCTCCCGGGCCTCCTCCTCCTCAGGAAAACCTATTGGGTCAGCTACGCTATGCACGAGCACGGTACACGTAGGCAGGAAGGTCACATTGATGTGAGCCTCAAGGACGGGGGCGCGGGTGTCGGGGGATGGCTGCGAGGTGCTCAGACTCGGTGCACGAAGTGTCGAGGATGCACTGGGCTCACCAAGTTACCGAGGAACTCGCCCGTGCGCAGGTAAGAATACAGGCAAATGCTACCTTCCCCGTAGCGCAGGGCAAATTTCACGGTGAGGCTTAGCGGGACGTCAGGAGACGCAGGCGACAGGCGAATGAATGAGGGGGCGACAAACTCGGGTGGAATGCAATGGACACCTGCGGAGACCGAGTCCAATGTGACCCAGTGGTCGCTCATCAACTCGCCTGACATTCTGAAGAGCAGCGGGAGTTGGGCTGAGCGTGGCTCGCCGCAGCGCGGGCTGCGAGCCCACCTACAGAGGCACCCATATAGCGATGCGCGTGGCGTCCAGCGAAATACCAGGGAGACATTTCTCGGAGCGCTCCGGATCTGTGAAGAAAAGAAGAGCACTTGTAAGTCGTCAATGTTGTAGAAAGTAGTAGACCGGTGGATCAGGCAGCAGTCCACAGCAAATTAAGGTCAAGCCTCGCTTCAATGTCGTGTCTGTAACCCACAACGGGATTTAGCGGAGAGGACAGCATCATAGCGGACTGGTAAGCGAACCTCTCAACCACTCAGTGGATGTGATTTATCCATGAGCCAGAAACAATCCGTCTTCATGAATTAAAGAGATGACAGTGGGCAGCGCGCCGGCGACTGGAGAACACAGGAGTTCGAGACCGAGTCCGCTAGGAGAAGATGCGATTGTCTACACGAGGGCGGCGCTGATTTTTCAGCTGTTATATCCCAATTAGACACTCATCTCAACATTGCTCACCTAGCTTGCTTGTGGAAACCGCCCCATGGTGGCCAAACTAATGGGTGTCGCTGTATATGCACACTATTGGCTCATATGCCCCTGATTCACTGAAATTGAGACATTGTGAGCGTAGACAACTTTGCCGAATAATGCCAACTAATCCTTATTGTGCCATTGCGGGGATCGGCGTATGCAGGCAATTGATGGTGTGCTCCACTGGACAGGCCGCAGCAAAGTTGTTGTTACTGCCCACTGTAGCGCTATCAGCGGAGCAGACCCGGGTGATCCAAGCGTTGAGCAGCAATAGTTACCCCGGGCATTACATACAAGGGCGAGCGGCCTGGTGTAAAGCACCGTCGACAAGACTGTTCAAATTTTGATTACTATTGACTGATCCTGGCAAGTAGACAGAGGCCACTTGCCACACCGACGACAAGCTCAAGGTATTAACTGAAGAGCTATGTGCCTTAAGAGATTGAGTCGCTCCTGAGCCCACTGGCACCGCGGCGGGCGTGGTGCATTTGGACCTTGTGAAATACATAATTCGAAAATACACATATTTACATAGCAGCGTGCGAGTAATCACACACCTATACCGTAACCGCGTTACGTCGTATGCTTCCGAAGCCAAACTTCTGTTCCACCGCACCGCCAGTGCCAGGACTCGGAAGTTCCACCGTACGGCGTCAGGATACACAAGAGGTGGACGTCTGCCCTTACTAAGTAGCGGCGACGATCTGGACGGGTCAGGCCTCGAATGATTACGAGTAATGCATTCATGCCCATGGCAGGGCCATACCGCAAAGCTAGCTACAAGTTGCTGCCAGGACGACGAGGACGAGGAGGAGGAGACTGACTCGGATTCTCCGACTTACTCCAGCGACGCGCGCACGTGCCTGGACGGCGCTTAAAGGTGACTTGCGACTTGCGACCCACTTGGCAATTGTTTTCCCAAGTACTGAAACTGAATTCAGGCTCGAGTGGATACGAAACGAACCTTCAAATATGTATGTCGCGTCTATATCCGCGCGCCGTTCTCTCCTATGAATCGCGAGAAACATCACGGCCATCCACCAAACGAAGCTCTGTGCGGCTGATAAGACTTCACTTGTCATCGCGTCCACCGGCCCCTTCACACCTTTCCACCCGTCGCTCGTTTCCACCTTCACATCCACCACCCATCCACCATCCATCCACCATCCATCCACCAACTCCCAGCATGCGCCTCATTTGGCAGATATGACCTCGGTCTCTATGCATCATCTCGGCATATCAGATAGTGGATGCAAGGCCATACAGTACTTCGTGCGCTGACAGCACGACATGCAGTCGGGTGACCGAGCTTTGCTCATCGTTATAAAGGGGAAAGGTGGGTTGTCTCAACTGCATCAAGCAGAATCTGCCTCACCCACCTCTCAGGTCGTCTACCCACCCAAGTACAACCTGAGTATTCACATGACATTCCCTCATTCCCCCGAGCTTCAGTTTGTCCCAAAGATGTACTACCAAACAGAGGTCAGCGACAATTGCTCCGCCGGGTACGTCAACAGCTTTCTTTCCCCCGCGTGGTGCCATGGCCTGACGTTGTCACAGAGTATATGCGCATCTGACCATGCCGGAGGACTGCGCGTGGCTCAAGGATGGTGAAATGCTTCCCGATAGTTCTCGGCTACATCCGTATCTCGCGACTTCCCCCTCCATGCCTTGGGATTTGCATAGCACTCCGCACGGCGATTATCAGGAGCCTCCGGTTCATACGCCCTCCACCAGCCGCAGTCCCAGCCCCGGCGGAAGTGCTCAAGCTCAAGCTCAAGGACTCTACGAGTATGTATATCACTTCTTTGGTCCCCCCCCGGTGCACATTCGCCTACCGTACTTGCAGATATTGGCAATATCCGGAGTCATCGAACGTGGGATTTGAAGGCGCGGTGTATCCGGACTCAGGGTACGTCTGCAAGCTTCGATGCTGTCCGCTTCGCTCATAGTATTCTTGCCAAGTCTGGTCTACAGTAAACCCATTGAAAATGAAGCTCAGGGCTGGAATCCGTGTCAATATGCGTCACCGCTCGATACGGATGCTCTGGGATTGGCTGGCTTCAGCGTTCCGCATCAGTTCGGGTTGGCTTACGTCTCATGCCAATTTGGCACGGAGTGTGGGACGGCCATACAGGACGTCACTCCCAAGGGCGTCTGCGAACATCTGCAGCACTACCACAGCCAGGACATCGATAGCGACTACGCTCATGACGTCTTCAAATGTCTATGGCAGACTAACGGCGAGCCATGCGGCGCTGCGCGGTACTGTGATACTGGACTGTGCGAGCACATCGTTGCGACACATCTGGTTGACCCCCAGACCAAATGGTCGTGGTCTCGTATGTCTTGTGTAGCCCCTGAGCACACAATATCCTGCGAGCAGCTATGCGAATCGCCAGCAGCTATCGTGTAGATTGTGAGTGACGCCTAACGCCGGTCGTCGATGTTACCTTCGCGTCACATGACGGTGCTGACGTTTCTGCTTTCTGCAATAGCAGCAGCTTGTACATGAGCGGTAGACATATTCTGGTCCGCCCGCACCACAGCCACGGACTTGTGTATCCGCCGATTGTCTATGCCGAATGGTTCAACCGTGAACTCCCCGCGATGGCTATCATACCTCGTCATGTACTATGGACTTGCGTTTTGGTTAGCTTACGCTCTCGGTACGCTCAGACTGTTCTTCTATTACTGCTATGATCTCGTCGCGGTGTTGCTTCGTTCAGTGACTGTACAATTCAGGATCGTCGATTTGACTGGCATGTCCTCTACGACATCTAGGCCCTGATCGAGAGGTTCCGCCGATCGCGCCACCCCGCTGGTTTGTGCACCGACGCAAGTCTCAGCCACGAGCTCTCTGCGGGATGAGGATAGCTTCCGCATTCGTATCCGCATGACCCATAGTTGCTCCCGCGCATAGCCTTGCTCCTGCTTCCCGCGTACCTGTGCATCTGCATCCGCTCTTGGCTCTGGAACGGATGACGGAGGGCCAGTTGTGATCGGGATGCCGATCGTATTTGCCTCTGCCTCTGCGTCAGCCGAGGCCTGCGAGGTATATAAGGTTCGAATTATTGTGCCGTTTCTCAACCGCGCACTCGTACATTCCTGTCCCAACACTTCTATTCCTCACATCGCTATCACCTCTTCATTGCAATATGGGTCACTTCCGCCGCTCAATTCTTGGTGGACTCGCGGTCGGGATCGTCGCGCAGTCCGTGATGGCAGGGCCGTACACCATCGCCCAGACCAACGTCGGGTCTGATTTTTTCAACAACTTCCAGTGGGAGAACATATCGGACCCCACGAACGGTCGAGTGTGAGTTGCATCGCGGCCTGTCATCTGAGCTGTTGCTGAAGAGCTCGCAGTGAGTACGTGACCAAGGAGACCGCGCAGGCGAAGAACCTCACCTACGCCACGGACGATTCGTTCGTCATGCGCGCCGACTCTACGACAAACCTTACCGCGGATGGGCCGGGGAGGATGAGCAACCGTATCAAGAGTAATACCCAGTACAACACTCACGTTGCTGTGTAAGTCGTCAGTATTTTGATGAAACTCTTCGTAGACTGATCATTCTGGGTCAGCTTCGACATTCGCCACATGCCTCAGGGCTGCGGCACATGGCCGGCAGTGTGGGAGGCAGACGATACCGTTGGAGCCGCCAGTGGTGAAATCGACATCCTTGAGGGTGTGAACGACCTCGCGCCCAACAGTGTCACTCTGCACACTGAAGGCAACTGCACTGTGCCCAGCAACCGCACGCAGCTGGGGTGCGTCTCGTCAGAGTTGTTCTTTAATTTGTTGCTGACGTCTTTTCAGGACGCCACTATCAAACGATTGCAGCGATACCGCTGACATCGGAAACGGCAACAATGGATGCTCGGTGGACGCTCCGTACACTTCGTCCTACGGTCCCGTATTCAACTCTAACGGTGGCGGATATTACGCTGTGGAGCGTACGTCGCAATTCATCCGTGTGTGGTTCTGGGCGCGCAACCAAGACGGCATTCCGTCGGACATTACGGGGGGCGCGAGCAGCGTTGACACTGATAACTGGGTATGTCAGCATTCTCTCCCGAGGAGGCAGTAAATAATTGTTTGCTAGGGAACACCGATTGCATACTTCCCAGACGACAACTGCGACATCAACAAGGTTTCGGCAACAATAACATCGTTATCGATCTTACCTTTTGCGGAAACTGGGCAGGCGCAGACTTCACCGAGATTGGCTGCGGCTCGGACTGCATTCGTAAGCCTTTGTACCGTGCTGCATGTCGCACTCATACTCACAGCGCCTCCAGAGTACGTGAACGAGAATCCGTCGGCCTTTTCCGACGCCTACTGGGACTTTGCTGCTGTGCGTGTGTACGAGGGTCATCCAGTTGAATGGTGGCTGCCGAAATGCAGTCTTCGCGACTGTCAGGACGAACCGTTAGCGCTTGGGGTTTGATGGAGTGGAACGCAACTATCACGCACAACTTAACACCAAACTTAGATCCTACAAATGTACACACATTCTGTTATCCAATTTTTATTCACTCCGAATCCACATATTCAGAGTATTGCACTGCGACTTCACCGACTCGTCGCGCGTGTAGGGTGTCGCTGAGCTCTTGCGTCACGCGTCATAAGAGTATCAGTCGCGTGTTCCCGCACTGAGCGCGTCGCCACTTGGTCCCGCGGGCCGCCGCATCCTCGTTGACGCGACTTCCTAATGCTGACAGTGTGACTCGATAGCTCATGCGGCTTCTCGCGCTAATAGTAAGTCTTTGCTAGTCTCTGACTGATGATCGCGACCGTATAAAGACACGTCTCATTTCAACGCGGCAGGTCATCCCGCCCACCGGCACTGGCCATTGCCACTCAGCTCCCTAGATCATGGCCACTTCAGAACCACAACCCTTCACCATATCCGTTCCGGAGGCTGACCTCGCCCTCTTGCACGAGAAGTTGGATCTGACGCGCTTCCCTGACGAGCTGGACGACGCGGCATGGAACTACGGCGTGCCGCTTGCGAATGTTAAACGGCTCATCGCGCGGTGGAAAGACGGGTATGACTGGCGCGCTGCGGAGGCTGGCATCAACGAGATCCCTCAGTTCACTCGAGACGTCGAAGTGGAGGGCTTTGGTACGCTGAACGTGCATTACGTCCATAAGAAGAGCGAAGTGAAGGACGCGATTCCACTAGTATTCGTGCATGGATGTACGTGGCACATCTCGATACATCGCAAGGGAACAATTACTGGACCATCACTTGTCAGGGCCTGGCCACTTCCTTGAAGTCAAGAAGCTGCTCCCCTTGTTGACGTCTGCGTCGCCAGATCACCCAAATTTCCATGTTGTTGCCCCTAGTCTGCCGAATTTTGGCTTCTCTGAATTGTCAAGAACAGGGATTCACAGTTGCTCAATACGCAGAGGTACGTACAAGAAGGGCCATGTACAGATTCTGAATCACATATATCTCATATCCCAGACGTGTCACAAACTCATGCTCGCTCTGGGCTACTCTGAATATGTGCCCTGCTACTCGTTTGTCTCTGAGTTCGATGCTGACAGCCATGCCCTCTGATATATCTAATAGTGGTTCAGGGGGGAGATTGGGGTTCCTATGTTGGTATTCTTGTCTGACCTTCGCCAAACCACTGCCAATGGAGCTGACTAGACATGCTAAGATCACGAGAACAATGGCAGCCATGTATGGCGATCAGATCGTGAAAGCATGGCATACAAACTACGCCGCGTCCGTACCCTCCTGCCTCGACTCATTGCATTCTCGTACTGACCCTTCTCTGGAATTTGTAGTGTGGTCAGCCCACCGTCGTTCTCGAGCTTTCCTCGGCTCTGGCTTCAGCACCTGCTTACACCGTATACCGAGGTTGAACGGGCATGCTTGAAGCGCATCCAATTATTTATGCAGAAAGGACGGGGCTACAGCGCTGAACAGAATACGCAGCCGCAGACAATCGGGTATTCACTCGCGGACTCGCCGGCGGGCTGCTCGCGTTGGATATACGAGAGCTCGTGCTCTGGTCGGATGGTTATCCTTGGATGACGACGAGGGTGCGTTCACACGCTTATATACGCAGTTTGTGCAGAATTGAAGCCGGATGTTCAGTCCTGACGTGGATCTCAATCTACTGGTTCTCTCGAGCGGGCCCTGCCGCCTCTGCGAGGATATACTACGAACAAGCGAAAGTAAGAGAAGATCCAAACCATAGCGTTCCTTGGTGCGCTGCTCCGGTGGTGTATCCTTCTTCCCCAAGGAGCTTATCCGTCCACCAAAGACGTATGTGTTTCGACTTCATGTTCACCACTTCATAAAAGACTGACGGGCACTGGACGCAGCTGGGCGCGCACTATGGGTAACGTCGTGTTCGAGTCTGAACATGGGAACGGAGGACATTTTGCTGCACACGAGAAGCCCGATGAACTTGGGGCGGACTTGCGCGCGATGTTTGGCAAGGGCGGTCCTGCGTTCGGTGTGGTAGCCGGCAAGGCGGGCTACGACTGACCGGTGTGTACGTCTGTCATGCGCCTAGTAATGTGACCACATTCATCAGTCACTGTTCCATAACCGCTCGATGCTGTACTGGGGCAATTGCTTGTGAGGTATGTATATACACCGATAATCGAAGCATATATATACCTCTGACTGCCCTGAGTGCCTGGCAAGGTCAGATGGCATCGCGCGCGAGCTTACGACATGTCCCAACGCTGCCAGAATCTCCAATGAACAGAAAACAAGGTTCTAAGATAGCGCCCTCACTCCGGTAATCGTCCACAAAGGATCCCTTCATTTCTGTTCTTGAGCGGGGAGTGTCAAGATAATCCAGAAGGCCTGATACTTATATCGCCACAAGCTGAAAGAAACGGACAGGCCTAACCCGGGCCCCGTTCCACCGCATCCTCAACTATGACTCTATCAATCGGCATCCAAGCTGCGTTCGCGGTTTTCGTCACCCTCGCCTACTATGGGCTACATTGGCGACAGCTGCGTCGTCGTCTACCACCTGGCCCTCGTCCGTTTCCTATTCTGGGAAACATTCCACAGATGACTCTAAAGTTCCCGGAGAAGAGATTCGCGCAATGGAGGAAGAAGTATGGTATGAACGTTCCGAGATGCTTACGCTGCGGGTTTATAGCTGAATGCGTTGCACTAGGGGACATAATCTTCTTGAGGATGTTCAACACGCCCGTCTTGGTTATCAATTCGGCAGCCGCTGCACGAGATCTGCTGGACAAGCGGAGTGCAATATACTCGGATAGACCGTATTCGGTAATGATGATAGATCTGTGAGTGCATCCGAGTCGAGTGTCGGCCCCTTACCTCCTGTATGAACGGCTTATGATGTATTAGGCTGGGATGGGAACACGATTTCGTATTGACGCCATACAATGAGGAGTTTCGCAAGCATCGACGATGGATGCATAAGCCTTTCTTCTCTAAGTCTTGCCTCGCCGCTGTTGCCGACATGCAGAGGCGCGAGGCGATTGCTTTACTAATGGGATTGCTGAACGATCCGGAGGATTTTGGAAACCATATCTATCGGTGAGCTTCCGAGGTTCATCGAGTTACTGAGCCTTTCTCATAAACAAACGGCATAGGTACCATCTGGAAAGCTTCATTTGAGAATTACAACGAAATATCAACAATGATCAGCATTTCTAGGTAAAGATCTGCAATACCACCTGTTCTATTGTTTCCCAAATTAGCAGTTTTTCTGTAACCCACCAGCACTTCCTGGGAGAATTTGTGGCAATTACATGCAATACGAACCAATTCTGCATACTTGCTGCACATTATATCGGGGATTATGCTTCCTTTGTTTTGCTTTCTGGTTATGCAGTGTCATATGAGGAACATTACGGGGCCAAATGCATATTTGTTATTCCAGAACAGTGACAATGACTCCAACACAGTACTACAAATAGCTTGCATACATATCACTAGCACGTCCGATCGAGCAGCATTCTGAGTCGTCTCGACTGTCCTGCTACTAGTATAACCGGCACACAGCCAGCCCCAGCCCCGTCAACTCTTGTTCCATTCTCGCCAGCGAGATCTGTGTGTAATAGACTAATCAGTACGTTATGATTGGCACTGCAGAGCTACGAGTCAGCAAAATGCATCCACAAAAAGACAAAGTGATCACACACCACAGTGACAGGACATCTCCGAAGTCGATCAACACGTAAATGATGGCACCGGCGCGGTCACGGCGCGAGTCTGTCCCTTGTAATAGGCCTCGCTGTATATCCTCTTCGACGATCTCGGGCATTCGCAGCGAGAGCCTTCACGCGTGCAGCTCCCTAGATGATAACTACATCACTCTGAGGTCATCAATAAATGCGTGCCATCAACAAAGAGCACGTACGCTGGTCTGGTACTAGTCGACGCGCTGGCCGCCGCTGGTGACGAGCTTGCTGTTCAACTCCGCTTGGCACCCGATGAAGCGAAGGCAGTCTCCCCACGGGAGCACGACGGCAAGGAGGTACAACCAGTGGATGCTAACGGCGCCGTGCTCTACGGGCAGGACAGCCAGCTAATGGGGACCTACTGCAAGACAAACCTGTACATGACGGACATGAGATGGGCGGTCCCAGGTGCACACAGCGTCCGTTCTCCCGTCGACCGCGTACAACGTGCCGCGCAGGGCCCGGGTTCGTCACGTTCACCCTCCCGCCCCCATTGGGCACCGTCACTCTCACGATCTGCATGGATCCCAACCCCGTCCCGTCCGCCGAGTGGAATCTCGACTCGGGTCCTTACGAGCTCACCGCCCACTGCATCTCCACGAAGACCGACCTCCTTGTCCTCCTGAACGTGTGGGTGGACTCGGGCGACGAGGAAGGCAGCGACGAAGACTGGGGCACCATGAACGACTGGGCCACATGGCTGCGGCCGCTGTGGGACAAGCCCCTGCTTGACGGGCACGGCAGTCATAGCCAGGACACGCACGGGGAACTGGGAGAGGAGATCGTCGTAGTTAAGTGTGATCGCTTTGGCGAGGAGAACGGTGCGTGTTTTTGTATCATGTCGCTCTGCTGGAAGTAGTCAGTGAACTCGTGCATGTATTAACTTAGTCGTACGGGAGGAGCTGTGTCTGCGTACCATACGCCGTAGAGGCCAACGAGCGCGACGCAGTCTTGAAGTGCCTGTCCATGCTGTGCACGCCACGGAGGAGCTCCTCAGGGTTACGGTCATACCTGATGTTGAGCGTGATTGAGAGGCTGATGGCGTTCCGGCCTCCAGAGCGAGTGCTTAGGCCCGCCGACCCAGTCACAGAACAGACTGAGACAAGAGGACGGAGGACGCAGGCAAGACGTGGCATGTCGGAGTTCGAAGCCGTCACGCGCTCACTGGGCGTCTCTCGCCTTTTGCTGTTCGTACAAGTCGTTTTTTGGTTCTTCTCACCTCTCTATCTCGCCCGCGCGAATTCTGACTCGAATGCGACAAGACGCTTGGGCCATCACAGCGTAGCTCGACCGACATGCAAAACTGGACGCGCGTGAACCTAGACTCGTACGACAACAGATGTACACGCAAATTCTGTCCCGAGCGACAGGCACACGCAAGCGAAGGGCAGGAAAGGTGAGTACAAACATAAGCGAGCAGGTATGCTAATCGCAAGCATAGGGTGCAGCGCCGTGCTGCTGCACAACGCGCACGACGACGGAGAGCACGCGGGGCCAATGCCCTGCGTGCAGACACAGCCGACGAGCGGATGGTAGGCCGGATGAGCGAAGAGACTACCGGGTAGGGGAGCGGGCTGGCGAGTGGGCGGGCGAGTGGGCGGGCGAGTGGGCGGGAAAGCTGTCAGGTGGGGCTGCGAGCATACGAGCAGGTGAGTACTACAGATGCCGGTGGGTGTCGACAACCAAACGATGACCATCCTGACTCCGTGCTCGTCCATCCCGCAGTCAATTACCCTGCTCCTCACGACGCACTTCACCGCCCATCGCCTACTACCCCTCGCCCTCTCCCTCTCCCTCGCTCGTGCGCCCTCACTCTTGTGACGGGCGGGCACACAGGCAGGCGGGCGGAGACTCGGAGTAGGGTACACAGGCGGGCGGAGACATGCGCGGCAACAGCGAGCGTGTAGGACGAATGCCGAACCCACAAACACGATCGACGAGCAGACCGCACACCTGAGAACGCGACACACACGACAACAGCGAGCACGCAGGGCGAATGCCCTGCGCGTAAACGCAGCCGACGGGTGGACCGTGGGCGCGGGCGCGAGTATGGATGGGCAAGCCAGCGCATGCCGGTGGATGAGCGGGCGAGCAAATGGGCAGGCAGACGGACGAGCGAGCAGGCGAATGGGTGAGTAAATTGGGCAGGCAGGCGAGCAACAGGGCAAGCTCGGGGCGGGCACAGGGCGTGGACCGGCACGGCGACCGCGAGCACGAACGCCCAGCGCACAAGCACGGCCGACGCACGGGAGGCGGGCGGGTGAGCAAAGCGGGTGATCACGATAGTGGATAGGGCACGCCGTGCTGCTAGTATTCAGGCAAGTTCCACCCGCGCACTGGGGGCGGCTGGGATTCAACGATCGCATGCGCGATGAGTACGTACGGTGGAAGCTCGTTATGGTGTATCTTTACTGTAGTCTCAATCACGTCAATGCATACTGTTCCCGATTTGCACTACGTCAGTCGAGCCCCTTGAGAATACACATGCATTACTTCGACATTATCAGGTTTAGTGTAGTCTGAATGATTCGAGTCTCACATTCCAGATAATTTCTTGTAGATGTTCACGACACCGCGGAATGTTCAGACTTTAGCAACTTTCTGTGTATTCCTTCGATTGCTGGTCACTTATCACGAATTCCCAAATGGGGGTTTTCCCGATGACACTGCCTCCTCTTTGCTTCAATACCTTTACGGGCACACAGTAACATCCTCAGACGATGAATATCTGCATGTCATCGAGAAGGTAGCGGAGGCGACAATGAACTTCTCGGCTCCTGGAACAGTCCCTGTGGACTTCATACCGTCTTGTGGGTGTACTTCAGTGTTAATTGTTTCGTCGTCTCAATGGCAGCTCCTGATGTTGTATTCTGTCAGTGAGATACCTCCCGACCTGGTTTCCTGGTGCAGGCTTCAAGCGAAATGCCGTGTGGATCAAGAGAGCTGTCAGAGATGCTGCGCAACGAACTTACGACTTGGCAGAGAGCAAGTTGGTAAGTTATGCATTCACGAGATACCACGACGCTGCATGTCTCACCCAACCAAGCAATCGAGGACCAAAGGCATCATGGAAAGCCCCGTGATATCGACGTTGATCAAGGAGTCCGCATCAAAGGGGACTCTGGAGACAGAAAAGCCAGAAATCATGATGTTCGGACTAACGCTGTACGCAAGTGAGTCTCATCTCAACAACTCGATCAGAATCCACTCCATGGTCGCTGATGCGACTTTAATACAGCTGGCACAGATACGGTAGCGTTCATGACATAGCCAGACTACATCAACTCATTCTTTGATTAGACGCACACCGTACTCATGGTCTTCCTACTCGCTATGATCTTGTATCCGGATGTCTATGCCAAGGCGCAAGAAGAGATGGTTAGTGTCATCGGTGGTGCAAGGCTCCCGACCGTCAACGACAGGGATGCACTACCATACCTTGAATGCATCCTCAAGGAGACGTACCGGTACGTGGCGGTTGACGTCCTTGACTAGTAGTATATCATCTCACTGCAGCGACATAGAATCTCCTGCCCTGCGCCATTAGGTACCTGTGTTCTGGGCCTCACCGACTAGTTGTCATCGAACTCAGGCTGGTTCTACAGGTGTGCCTCATGTTTTACGCGAAAAACGACGAGTATAGTGGGTGCTGGATACCGAAGGGGACAGTGGTCATGCCAAATCTATGGTCAAAGTGGTTTGCATGATTCTAGTAGCACTCGTTGACGAGGTGCTGTTTAGGTTTATGCTGCATGATGCCGATGCCTACCCCAACCCGGAGACTTTCTGTCCAGACCGCTTCAACATCGGGAAAACCCCCATTTGGGAATTCGTGATAAGTGACCAGCAATCGAAGGAATACACAGAAAGTTGCTAAAGTCTGAACATTCCGCGGTGTCGTGAACATCTACAAGAAATTATCTGGAATGTGAGACTCGAATCATTCAGACTACACTAAACCTGATAATGTCGAAGTAATGCATGTGTATTCTCAAGGGGCTCGACTGACGTAGTGCAAATTCGGGAACAGTATGCATTGACGTGATTGAGACTACAGTAAGATTCACCATAACGAGCTTCCACCGTACGTACTCATCGCGCATGCGATCGTTGAATCCCAGCCGCCCCCAGTGCGCGGGTGGAACTTGCCTGAATACTAGCAGCACGGCGTGCCCTATCCACTATCGTGATCACCCGCTTTGCTCACCCGCCCGCCTCCCGTGCGTCGGCCGTGCTTGTGCGCTGGGCGTTCGTGCTCGCGGTCGCCGTGCCGGTCCACGCCCTGTGCCCGCCCGAGCTTGCCCTGTTGCTCGCCTGCCTGCCCAATTTACTCACCCATTCGCCTGCTCGCTCGTCCGTCTGCCTGCCCATTTGCTCGCCCGCTCATCCACCGGCATGCGCTGGCTTGCCCATCCATACTCGCGCCCGCGCCCACGGTCCACCCGTCGGCTGCGTTTACGCGCAGGGCATTCGCCCTGCGTGCTCGCTGTTGTCGTGTGTGTCGCGTTCTCAGGTGTGCGGTCTGCTCGTCGATCGTGTTTGTGGGTTCGGCATTCGTCCTACACGCTCGCTGTTGCCGCGCATGTCTCCGCCCGCCTGTGTACCCTACTCCGAGTCTCCGCCCGCCTGCCTGTGTGCCCGCCCGTCACAAGAGTGAGGGCGCACGAGCGAGGGAGAGGGAGAGGGCGAGGGGTAGTAGGCGATGGGCGGTGAAGTGCGTCGTGAGGAGCAGGGTAATTGACTGCGGGATGGACGAGCACGGAGTCAGGATGGTCATCGTTTGGTTGTCGACACCCACCGGCATCTGTAGTACTCACCTGCTCGTATGCTCGCAGCCCCACCTGACAGCTTTCCCGCCCACTCGCCCGCCCACTCGCCCGCCCCTCGCCAGCCCGCTCCCCTACCCGGTAGTCTCTTCGCTCATCCGGCCTACCATCCGCTCGTCGGCTGTGTCTGCACGCAGGGCATTGGCCCCGCGTGCTCTCCGTCGTCGTGCGCGTTGTGCAGCAGCACGGCGCTGCACCCTATGCTTGCGATTAGCATACCTGCTCGCTTATGTTTGTACTCACCTTTCCTGCCCTTCGCTTGCGTGTGCCTGTCGCTCGGGACAGAATTTGCGTGTACATCTGTTGTCGTACGAGTCTAGGTTCACGCGCGTCCAGTTTTGCATGTCGGTCGAGCTACGCTGTGATGGCCCAAGCGTCTTGTCGCATTCGAGTCAGAATTCGCGCGGGCGAGATAGAGAGGTGAGAAGAACCAAAAAACGACTTGTACGAACAGCAAAAGGCGAGAGACGCCCAGTGAGCGCGTGACGGCTTCGAACTCCGACATGCCACGTCTTGCCTGCGTCCTCCGTCCTCTTGTCTCAGTCTGTTCTGTGACTGGGTCGGCGGGCCTAAGCACTCGCTCTGGAGGCCGGAACGCCATCAGCCTCTCAATCACGCTCAACATCAGGTATGACCGTAACCCTGAGGAGCTCCTCCGTGGCGTGCACAGCATGGACAGGCACTTCAAGACTGCGTCGCGCTCGTTGGCCTCTACGGCGTATGGTACGCAGACACAGCTCCTCCCGTACGACTAAGTTAATACATGCACGAGTTCACTGACTACTTCCAGCAGAGCGACATGATACAAAAACACGCACCGTTCTCCTCGCCAAAGCGATCACACTTAACTACGACGATCTCCTCTCCCAGTTCCCCGTGCGTGTCCTGGCTATGACTGCCGTGCCCGTCAAGCAGGGGCTTGTCCCACAGCGGCCGCAGCCATGTGGCCCAGTCGTTCATGGTGCCCAGTCTTCGTCGCTGCCTTCCTCGTCGCCCGAGTCCACCACACGTTCAGGAGGACAAGGAGGTCGGTCTTCGTGGAGATGCAGTGGGCGGTGAGCTCGTAAGGACCCGAGTCGAGATTCCACTCGGCGGACGGGACGGGGTTGGGATCCATGCAGATCGTGAGAGTGACGGTGCCCAATGGGGGCGGGAGGGTGAACGTGACGAACCCGGGCCTGCGCGGCACGTTGTACGCGGTCGACGGGAGAACGGACGCTGTGTGCACCTGGGACCGCCCATCTCATGTCCGTCATGTACAGGTTTGTCTTGCAGTAGGTCCCCATTAGCTGGCTGTCCTGCCCGTAGAGCACGGCGCCGTTAGCATCCACTGGTTGTACCTCCTTGCCGTCGTGCTCCGTGGGGGAGACTGCCTTCGCTTCATCGGGTGCCAAGCGGAGTTGACAGCAAGCTCGTCACCAGCGGCGGCCAGCGCGTCGACTAGTACCGACCAGCGTACGTGCTCTTTGTTGTGGCACGCATTTATTGATGACCTCAGAGTGATGTAGTTATCATCTAGGGAGCTGCACGCGTGAAGGCTCTCGCTGCGAATGCCCGAGATCGTCGAAGAGGATATACAGCGAGGCCTATTACAAGGGACAGACTCGCGCCCGTGACCGCGCCGGTGCCATCATTTACGTGTTGATCGACTTCGGAGATGTCCTGTCACTGTGGTGTGTGATCACTTTGTCTTTTTGTGGATGCATTTTGCTGACTCGTAGCTCTGCAGTGCCAATCATAACGTACTGATTAGTCTATTACACACAGATCTCGCTGGCGAGAATGGAACAAGAGTTGACGGGGCTGGGGCTGGCTGGTGTGCCGGTTATACTAGTAGCAGGACAGTCGAGACGACTCAGAATGCTGCTCGATCGGACGTGCTAGTGATATGTATGCAAGCTATTTTGTAGTACTGTGTTGGAGTCATTGTCACTGTTCTGGAATAACAAATATGCATTTGGCCCCGTAATGTTCCTCATATGACACTGCATAACCAGAAAGCAAAACAAAGGAAGCATAATCCCCGATATAATGTGCAGCAAGTATGCAGAATTGGTTCGTATTGCATGTAATTGCCACAAATTCTCCCAGGAAGTGCTGGTGGGTTACAGAAAAACTGCTAATTTGGGAAACAATAGAACAGGTGGTATTGCAGATCTTTACCTAGAAATGCTGATCATTGTTGATATTTCGTTGTAATTCTCAAATGAAGCTTTTCCAGATGAATGGGCTGTATGAGAATCAGGAGGATCCACGAAACATCGTCTTTGGTTTCGGTCGGCGGTAAGTAGCATCTTGAATTATGTTGCTTGATAAACTAATTAGGGGTTTCCCGCTGATTTGCAGTATATGTCCAGGTCGCCGCTTCGCAGACATCGGGATTTGGCAGGCGATGGCCAACATCGTAGCAACATTCGACCTTGGCAAGGCTCGTGACGCAATGGGTAATGAGATCACGCCGCCGGGGACGTTCTCATCTGGTCTCGTCAAGTACGATACCCTTCCTATGTCAGAAATTACTTAGCTGATGTATTCACTCAGTCATCCTCACAAGTTCAAATGCACCATCAGACCACGATCCAAGCAGGCCGTAGAACTCATCACAAACGGAAAGTCAACGCAGACATGAATGAGGGTCGAGATAGTGACTGCTTCAATATTCAAGTTTATCGGGTCCTTCTTTGTACTCGAGCGTAATCGAACGTGGCGCAATTTCTTTTCACCTCCCCACGCTAATAACATGATCGCAGCGATCCGAGGTCCACTGAGACAAACAAATAGCCTATTTCCACTGTCCTCCTCCTCCGCCTGCATCCGCCATCATTCCGCGAACAATCCTCCAAAGCTCGGTAATGTGCATCACGTTATCCGAATGCGTGCTTGAAGTTCTATGCACAAATGTCAGCCTCACCGAAGACGGTGAAACGGGTTTTTGGTTGGCTGCACATGCCTGTCAGCCGTCGCTTTCTGACCTTACTATCATTGAGTTGATCCTCAAATACCTCCTTATCCTATCCAGACGACATGAAGCTCCCGTTGATTTACGCTGCTGCAGTGTCATCGCTGTCCCTTCTACCGGCCATCCGGGCCGGCTCGTATAGCATCAACCAGACGAATATTGGCTCTAACTTCCTGACCAACTTCGAATGGGAGGATATCGCGGACCCTACCAAAGGCAGAGTGTAAGCCTGTTACTCCCTCCGTATTGTGCTATCGATTCATCGCTTACTGCTGTTAATACAGGCACTATGTCAATCAATCGACTGCGCTTGCTAATAACCTCACATTCACGTCCGATGACACGTTCATCATGCGGGCCGACTACACCACGAATCTTACCGCTAGCGGAAGTGGGCGGATGAGCAACCGCATCAAGAGCTACGCGCAATACAGGACGCACGTCGCGGTGTAAGTACTTCCTCATACACCTATCGCTCATGACACGCATGCATAATACGCCTATCGCCAGATTCGACATCCGACACATGCCCCAGGGCTGTGGAACTTGGCCTGCGGTATGGGAGGCTGACGACCAAGTCGGGACCTCCTCAGGGGAAATCGATATCTTGGAGGGTGTCAATGACATTGCGCCAAACAGCGTTACTCTGCATACTACTGGTAGCTGCACCATGCCCGAGAACAGGGCCCAATTAGGGTACGTGATCCTGTCGCTGCCATCTCGTAGACATCATGTTCATGCTTTTAGCAGCACAACGCTCTCTACGAACTGTAGCTCGTCAGACACGATATCGGATGGGAACAACGGATGTTCAGTTGACGCGCCTTACACCGCGTCATACGGGAAGGTCTTCAACACGTACGGAGGCGGGTACTATGCCATGGAGCGTACGGCGGAGTATATCCGGGTCTGGTTCTGGTCTCGTAACGATAGCAGCATCCCGTCCGATATCACCTCCGGAGCGTCCGCAGTCGACACAGACAACTGGGTGAGTCACCCGTCTTCTGCGTGACATGTAGTGTACGGTGAGGCTGACTGCGAGCATTTGCAGGGAAAGCCGATTGCTCTTTTTCCTAACACGGACTGCGATATCGGATCTGCGTTTCAGCGCAACAACATCATTATAAACTTGACATTCTGTGAGTGGCTCCATACCTATCTATTAGTCCTTTGTCTTTATGATTGCCCGTCTAGGTGGTAGTTGGGCTGGTAACTCGTTCAGCAACAACGGCTGTCCGGGGAACTGCACAGGTGAGTCTTCCTACCCTGCATGCGATCATGCGTGCTTATGCAGGTTGCTTCTACTAGATTATGTTAATTACAACCCATCGGCCTTCGAGGACGCGTACTGGGATATTGCCGCGGTTCGGATCTATCAACCCTCTTCCAATTCCAGTTCGAGTAGCGGTGTTTCGTTGCTGACCAAAGGCGAAGGTCGTCTGGAGACTGTTTCGTCTGTGTTCTTCACGGTTGTTGCGGGCACCGGATGGTTGTTTTTGTAGTCAATCGTACGCAGTTGCCTTCGATAATCTGCAACGAGATACACCGGACCTACCGTACAACATTCAGTCTCGCCACATATCCGTCTAATAGAAGGACAGTAGATACATAAGCACACATTTCATACGCTCATCTTCATCGCGATATGCGGATGAGGTTCATACCCCTCTACCAGTACGTCCTCTGCCTTGAAATCATCGATGTCCTGTACATCGCGTTTGAATCGTAGCTTTGGGAACTGGCGCGGGCTGCGCTTGAGCTGCTCCTCGAGCGCATCCACGTGATCCCGATAGACGTGCGCGTCTCCGAGTTGTATGATGAGCTCGTGTGGTGAGGTATGAGTGAGGTGCGCGACAAGATGTGTGAGGAGCGCGTATGAGGCGATGTTGAAGGGAATACCGAGGCCGAGATCCGCGGAGCGTTGGTAGAGGAGGCAAGACAGTCGTTTTGGAGAGGTTGGTGAAGACGGCGGCGGGAGATGAACGTAGAACTGACAGAGAACGTGACAGGGCGGGAGTGCCATTAGCGGGATGTCTACGATCGTTATCAGCGTAAGGGGAGTGCGAGAGGAGAGCACCGTGAAAGGCGAATAGACTCACCGGCCGGGTTCCATGCGCTTAGAATGATGCGGCGGTCGGTCGGATCCTCTTTAATCTTACGGATGCACTCCGCGAGCTGGTCAACGCCTTGACCCGTGTAGTCCGCGTCGCAGTCCGTGTACTTCGCGCCGAAATGCCTCCACTGGAAGCCATATACAGGCCCCAAATCTCCCTCCCTCCTGTGGCCCAATCCACGCTTTTTGAGGAACTCCTTGCTGCCATTACCATCCCAGATCTTGATGCCTCTCGCGGACAACAGCTTTGAGTCGGTCGAGCCGTGGATGAACCACAGAAGCTCTTCGAGTATACCGCGCCAAAAGGTGCGTTTGGTAGTAAGGAGCGGAAGGGTGTTATCTGCCAGGGAGAAGCGCATGGAAGGGGGGGCGAAGATGGAAAGGGTACCCGTGCCGGTGCGGTCGGGACGTGTCTCACCCGTGTCGAGGACATTGCGGATGAGATCGAGGTACTGATGTTCATCATGTCTGCGCGGCGACGCGCCATTCGGTAGCGAGACTGCCATGACAGAGGAAGTGGACGATGCTGAACGGAGAGGGGATGGAGAGACGCGTCGAGAGTAAACTGCAGCTGGACGCGTCGCGTTACTGACACGGTGTGACTGGGCTGTGACTATACGCATCCCGCGATCACGAGACGAGCGCGCGGTCGCGTTTGTTCGACCATCGGGCGTGGCTGCTCTACTTACCATCACCACTCGTAGTAGGCTCTCTTCCGTCTCTTCCGCCTTCGCGAAACCGCTCTCTATAACTTTGAGAGACACACTAACTCTGCCTCTATTACGATGCCTGCGTCTACTCGAGCCGTCCTACGACGGGGACTTCGCGACCTGTGCGCTCAGCGACAGCCAGGACGAAGGCGAACACGATCACCCCCGACGACCTGGCGAATGAAGTTGCAAACAAGTTGACTATAAAAGACTCGTGCACGATAAAGGGCAAAACAAAGGCTACATCGACAACACAAACCATCGAGACGCGTAGGGCAGATGCAATGCGCACAGTCAATACTGCATCCCGAACTCTGTCGGACCTTTTAGCAGGCGGTCCAGCAAAGAAGAGCCAGAAAGGGATAGGCGATCTTATAAGGTCGTCTTGCAGCGCTCTAAGAGCTCTCAGAGAGCTCAGTCCTGGAGACGTTGACACCGAGCGTGCAGCCTCGAGTATTGCTGGGAAGTTGGTCTCGCTTGAGATGGTACGTGCCATCTGCCTGATTGAATGCTCTTAGATAGGTTTTTCAACATTGTATACCTAGGACGACGCAGCTGTACAGATTTTGGCCGACATGCGACCGGCGCTGAGCACACTCTGCGCACCTAACGGCCTGCCGTCCACCGAACCTCTGCCTTCTCAGCTCCCAGCTCTGCCCCTTCCATGCCATGACGCTCAAATACCGGAGACGGTTATGGTTTTGGTAGCTACATTCCTACTCCACTCCATGTCTGTGCTATCCCGGCGCACGGACGACGTAGCGGCGATGCTCACAACACTACGCGACCCCTCTATCCCGTCCCTATTCCTTTGGGCGCCGACCTTCAAGGTTCTGCCTTCTAAACATCACGACTCTCTGTTCACGCGCACATATACAGCCATGGCGAAGGCAGCGTCTTTGCCCGGCGTTGCAATGCAGCATGCCTTCGGTCTACGGATGTACGCTCTCGAATGCCTCGCTCAGACGCGTCCTGGGGTCATTGTTCCTGAGACGTTCTGGGAGCAAGCTGTTAAGTGGGCACGTTTCCATGCCGCGGAGCCCGTCGCCGGCGACGAGTCGAGGACACAGGATATCCTGCAGTCAGTTCAGCGTCTGGTGCTCTCAATTAGCCAGCGTGAAGACGACTCCTCTTTCATCGGAAGCCCAGGCTTTTCAAGGTTCTGTGAAGTGTGGGTACTGTGGGCTCAGCAGGTATGTTTCATATGTACTTGATGATAAGAGACGCGCTCACATACGACTAGATGGGAGATATCGAAGCCATCGACAGGATCATACAACTTCGGCAGAACAAGGGATTTGAAATGGATTCCTCCCCAGCCTCTTCGAGTACTACTTTCGCGGACTCAGTAATCATGCCACACGCCATGGATGCAGCCACGGTATGCATGATGTTGTCGCAAGCAACTGCTGTGTTCGAGCGATGGGCAGGTGAATATATTCCCTGACTAAATCATCTTGTCTGGTGCTGAATTGTCTTTCAGAGTGCCTCCCTCAAGACCGTGCCGCTCGTTTTGACGCGGCAGCTGCGGCTGTCAGCAACGCTCACCCGCTAATATGCGAGTATGCTGACGAGACACTGCGCGCACGAGACAAAGTCCGCCGGGCTCTGGAGCGACTGAGGAGGACGGTCATCAAAGTACTCGAGCCCACAGCCCAAGAGAACGCTGCAAATGCATCTCTGCCAGAAGACGCCAGGGCTGGTGCGCGCAAAATCTTGCAGCTGATCAGTAAGATTTTAATGGACGCTGTGCGCGAGGTGCGTATAATCTCAGACCCTGTTCTTTCCCCGTGAAGCTGAGATCCTAGCAGAATATCGAGAACGACGGCGTCACAGTGGTCGACTCCGATCTCGCGACGCCTGCTTTGGAGACATTACTCGTCCTTGCGCGCACCTCCTTAATCATCCGCAATCCCGATACGTACGTAACAGCCTGGGATGCGCTTCAGCAAGCCAAGGCGCTCGTCTTTCAGCATGTCGTCGGTTGCGGGTCGCGCGCTGCGACCACGACGGCGGAAGTGATCCTTGACGTGATCCGACACCCCCACGAGAAGAGCGCGCATGACCAGGTTGGCTGGACGTCGGCGACCACGGCTACACTCGCCAACTACACCCGCTGTGTTGCCGGCGCGTTCCATAACGTTGCGGGGACGCTCTGCCAGGCGGACCGCCTCTCGCATGCGGTGAGGTTCTTGAATGAAGGATGTGCCTTGGGAAAACTAGCGTTGGCGATGCACCAGACGGCTATGGACGATGTGAGCGAGGTTGGTGAAGAGGAGGGTGCACGCGACAGGGAAGGGTGGAAGCAGCTCGAGGAGCAGCTGTGGCACAGATGGGAGATTCTGGGTGTCTGTCAGGCAAAGACAGGTGACCGCAAGGTTTGTAATCCAGAATATATGACTTCCCGTACTGACGAGGCTGTGATGTTCGCAGCTGGCATTTGACGCATTCATAGAAGCGATCAAGGTCCTCCCGTTGGATCTGAGCTCTGTATGCGACAGTCTCGGGACCTCTACCGCATCTGCTATTTTCGAGATATCTCCGTCTCTCCAGCAGCTGGGCAAGATCTTGGACCGAGTCACGTACATGGGTGCATGCGAGCTCTTTTTCGAGCCCGAGGTCATCTCCGCGAAGAGCTGGTACCCTGTTACGCCCAACGCTGGTTCCCGGTATACGACCCACGCAAAACACAAAGCGTTCGTCGGCGCTCTGCTCGAACGGCAGGTTGCTGGACTGGAAGGGAGCAGATGGAAGCAAGGCGTCGACCGGATCGTGCAACAGTTGCTCCGCCACGCTCTTGCCGTCTACGAGGCAGCGCTCTTCCCCGTCAGACGCGCGAGGGTTTTCCTGCAACTACTGGAGGGCGCATACTATGTGACGGACGAGCGCGATGGTGGTAAGGTCTTGGGCATGTCTGCCGAAGACGTTGGCACTCAAGTACGGGCCCTGCTGAACTGTGAAGTAAGTCTCTTCCAGGCTCGTCAACTTCACTGTGCACTCAACAAAACCAGGATCCAGGCTGTGACGCAGGCTTTACCGAGATCCGAACTGGGTTGCTCGCGACGCTGCATCTATGGCTCGCCCTGCATGCTCACCGTTACATGGCAGCGGATGCCGGTTTCACGACTATTGCTCGTCATGCCAACGAAGCATGTTCGATACTGAAGAGCCTGGTACGACAAACCCAAGAGCATCGGGCGATCGGCAATCCCTTGTGAAGATCAAGTCTCCCAAGGAGCTGCGAGTCGCCACAAAGAAGCCGGCGAAGAGAACAGTAGCCACGTCGAAGCCCCGGAGCGGAATCCCGAGAACAACCAGAATGACGCGAGTGCAAATCACGGAGCCACCAGTCACTCCCAAGCCTCGTAGAGGTGTGTTGCTTCTGCTTGCTCCCCGCCGAGGTTGTGCTCACTGGAGGTTTGCAGCGTTAAACGACGTCTCATTGAATGCTACCGTCAAGGTGTCGCAGGAGGTATTACCTGTCAAGCCAAAATCTTCGACAACGATCTTCGACAATTTGCCCGCTGCTGTTGCCCTCATCCGTAAGTTATATGACAAGACTGCCAGTATAATGCTCATTGAGAGTGTTGATCCTTGCAGAGATGGTCGCACAGTTATCCGGCATGCTGGGTCATATTTTTGTCAAAGTGCAGTTGCTCAGTCTTGCAAGAAGATTGAGCGAGCAAAATGCTAGCGATACATCCCGAGGTATGCGTTCAGACTGACGGTCATCCTGAACTGCGCTGATGTAATGGCTGCCAGAGTACCTGGTGACCTCAATCGAGCTTGCATACGAATATTCTCAATTGGGGCGTGCAAACAAAGCACTCTCCATATACTCGCACGTTCTGCAAGCTGCGGGAAAAGAATTCGACCCAGAGATCCGCGCACTTCTGTATCTGCGGCACGCTGAGTCGCTTGCCGCTGCGGGACAAGTGCTACAGAGGTACGAGGTTTCGTTTCTCCTTCTAGACAAAGTACTCAGTCGGTCACAGTGCTAGTGCATATTGTGAGGCGATGGCCCTTGTAGATTCTCTGTCCTCGATGGAGGAGAAAGGCGTCACAACATCAGAGAAGGT